TAACATATTCCGATCTTTAGACGCGCGGGTTGTCTTCGTCGCTGTATATTGAAGACGGTCTTCGTTGAGAGTAATCTTGACCCTCCTCTTTCCGGTCAAGTCTCTCCCCTGCAGTACGCAGAACCTGCGTCGGTACACTCCTGGATCCGGCACTGAAGGCGTCGTTGCCTCTCTTCGACAAGGTATGTAGCCGGCTGCATCATGATTCCCGCTTGCCAACGCATACATCCTTCAGCCCTGAATAGACTAAACCGCCACAATATCACTCCTCCCCCCCCTTCCCCCCACCATCCCTCTGACAGAGTCTCTTCCCCCCCCATTATGACAGCGCACAAATCAGCATGCGCATCTTTTGATTGGTGGAGAAGGGAGATGCTGATGGTTTTCTGTAGTTGACTTCACGGCGCAAGCCCTTTGCTAGGCGCATTCTGACATCAGTCCCCTCCCAAGTCGCATAGTAGCTCTGGGAACCGCGGACCGGGATATCCTCACGCATCTGGACCCGAAGGAGCAGGCAGGACGCGCTGCTAGCACCGCCTCATATCGCTATTTTCTGCATCGTCCCCGCCTCAAACAGACGTGGCCTGGCAGCCCGAATTCCCTGAAGGGTCTGAACATTGTCCGTACAGGTAAGGTGCCAGTTGTTGTTCTTCAAATACACTGCCGTAGTCACTGCCTTGCCTACCCCCCATGCTTTTTTTATCTTTGTTGTTTATTTTTCGCTCCCCAAATCTCCCATCGTTGGGGGAAACGATCTGTGAACCGTTTCGGCGCATGCCGGCAATGGCCAACTTTGTTATCAAGAAGATCGGATTTTGTCTGACAACGCATCAAGTGCGACATCTTGTCGAGGGCACCCTGGCTCGCTGCATCAGAGCCCAACCACGTTACACTCGGAGTTGAACGTAAAAAAAAAGGTTTCCACAAAAAGACCCAGAATCTCCGGAGAAAGCTGCTCGAAGTCATTTCGGCAAACAAGCGTTCATCTTTGGACGGTCTTTCTCTTGTCGCGGATCGTGGAAAAGCCCGGGTATCATCCCCAGACCGGAAAACACAGCGGTAAGCGCCCTGGTGCAAGTGCCTTCGCCTTCGTCTCCATTCGACCCCACTCAGAATCCAGTGACCGGTCGGCGCTGCGCTCCGTGCTGACGCTATAGGGAGGGCCTGCAGACCTTCGCATTTAACTTATCGAATCATCAACCGCAGCCTGTCGCTACTAAGTGCGGCTGTCCCTCTTTCGTGCGCGACCGTGATATCCCCCCTCACCCCCCCAGAAGTGCAACAGCGCTTCCACATCCTATCATTTACCAGAGCCTTTCCCAATATCTAAAACCAGTGGTGTCTCCTCCGCCAATTACTCCTCGCTGCCCCTACTATTGGCTCAGGTCTCTTGGTCCCTGACAGTTCGATCGACCCAATCACCGAGGCAAGTGGACGCGTGACGGGAAGCGCCGTCGCGAAATCCGCCCATGATGGAATATCCTCCTCAGTATCAACAGCCTCACGGCCAAAACCCCCATGCCCCCTCTCACATTGCCGCGCCCTACCAGACCGCGCCGCAGAACGCCGGCTCTACCGTCGGGTCGATGACTTCTCCCACCAACCCCCAAGCGCACATGCAACCCGCCCACCCGACACATCAGGCTTCTCCGATTGTCCCCTCCCAATCGCATTACCAGCAGACGCAAAATGCCCCGGGCTCGGTACATCAGCAAATGAATTTCCCTCAGTCGTACGGGGTAACGGCGGCGATGCCGCAGACCTACGGCATCTCTCCAACTCAGGCGGCCGCCATGGCCACTGCCGCGGCTTCGGGTCAGTTCTATCCGCTTCACCAAGACTCCATGGCTGGCCAACTTCCGCAGGGCCCCCGTGGCTCGCCGCGCATGCCAGGCGTGCAAGTGAAGAATGATCGAAACCCTCGCTCACCGCCGCAATTACCAGGACAAATGCCTTCCATGGCCTCCCAAGTGCCCATGCCCCAGAATGCTCAGATGCCGCCGCGGCGCATGAGCCACGTCGGTAGCCCGCACGTTCAAAGCGCTCAACCCGTCCTCAACCACGTTGGCCGTCCGTCCGTAGGCCCGCCCATGGCCCCTCCTCATCAGCCGGCAGTACAGCAAAGTCAACCGTCTCCGGAGATGGTCGCCGGCCCCCAGGAAGAATCCCCGCTCTATGTCAACGCGAAGCAGTTCCACCGGATCCTGAAACGTCGCGTTGCTCGCCAAAAGTTGGAAGAGCAACTACGACTGACCTCCAAGGGCCGCAAGCCCTACTTGCACGAATCCCGTCACAATCACGCCATGCGGCGCCCGCGAGGTCCCGGTGGTCGATTCCTGACTGCCGAAGAAGTCGCCGCCATGGAAAAGAAACAGGGCCCCGGAGCTCCCGGACAGGAGAACATCGACAGCAGCGTCGTGAAACACGCCGGCGGGAATACTCCGTCGGCTCAGAAACGGAAGTCAAGTGAAGTCAACGACGACAACGTCGGCTCGGCCAAAAAAGCGAAGACCGGTGGGCCGAAGACTAGCAGCGCCGAGGAAAGTGAAAACGAGTCCGCCGATGCTTCGGATGAAGAAGGTTGAGCGGTTAAACTAACGACCCGTCACGTTCTCCTTTCACGTCGATTTCGCTCCCGACATCTGTTTCTTCATACTTATTTTTCATGGTCTTTATGGATGGATGCCTGGATTATTATTTTTTTTTCTTTGCCTTTTTAATTTCTTTTTTCCCCCTCCGGTAGCGAGCGATGTGTGACTACTTTCCCGTGGTTCTGATTTTTATCCTTTTCCTTTTCGTCTTATTGTCACGCCTTCTGGTTTCATGGTTGTTGATATTGTTATGCTGGTACGAAGTTTGATCATATATCCCTTGACCCGATGATGCTCTATCTGCCAGGAACGTGTGTATGAAATGATTTCCCTGTTTTGTTTTGTCTTTTCTCCATTTTCTTGTTCTGATGTTTCTCTATTCATATTCATTTTTTCATTTTTCTCTTCAAACTCCAATCCTCTGGTCCGGTGTGAATACATCGAATGAAGTGCAAAACTGCCATAGCTTGTGATGGTCTCTTGCAACGACGGCCTACGTTCCGGTCAGCTCCTAAGCTTGCTGGAGGAGCTCCCCACTCGGCCGTCTCAATTGCCCCCGGGAGCCTTTTTGGCAGGGGCACCGTTCAAGACTATTATTAATCACGCCGACCCAGTCTGCTTACGCTTTTGTCGAAGCAGCTGCTTTTTATATCGACAGTCCGATTGTTCGTTTTTTGCATTTAGGTATCGTGTTATACGGAATCGCGTGATTTGGGGTTTAGAGCGGAACCCATCGCTGGTAAAAAACAAAAATAACCCCTCGTGGAATGAACTTTGGAAATGCGTTGATAACCGGAGGAATGATTTGGACCCACCGAATTTGTTACTCACTGTAGGGCAATACAACGGGTGCATAGGGCGAGGTTTTTGATCTGTTTGGAGTTCTTGTCTCTTGGATTAGATATCTGCGGTTCTATCCTTACCCCTGTCCACAGTGTCACCATGCTCGGACCCAGAATTCTTGGAACTGATCCAAGACGACGGTCATAGCTGTCAGCGCCGACTCTGGTCAACCTGGGGTTGGGATCTGGGATTCACCCTTCTGAGCCAGGAGTTGGGTGGCGCTGTCTTTTCTCTACCGTTCGATCATCGGTTAACCATCTTTGTTGTCTTCCCTTTGATTTCGAGTATTTTTCTTTCTTTCTTTTGCAAGGATGATTCCCCCGGTAGTCGTGTACAAATATCAGGACATACTTTTCGACGTGAGATTTGGCTCTGGTAGCCAGAGATGCGGCTAATCTGGCTGAATTTTCAACGCTCCGTAGAGGTCAGTGAATGTTCCATGCGTATGCACCTCTGAGAGTGGGTGAATGGAAGGTGAGAGAAGAGAGATCCCGGTCTCTCCGGAGTACATGATCTATCACGACCATCATTCGGCGTCTCCGGAATCCACACCAGCAACTTTCCCCTTTGGCGCAAGTGCCAAAAATATCCCCGGATTAGTCAGCCCGCGCTGACATAAGCGCCGACTCGCCTTTCCCCGTCTCGACTGTCGCTTTCCTCCGATTCTCCAACTGCATCGCATCTGTCCCGGTGATTTCCCCCCCCGGTTCAGCTGTCTCGTTCCCTCCAAACTTATCATTGGACTGGGTCTGTGTTCAGGGATTGGTCTCATCCGATTGATTCATCCTTTCTTATAAGGCTTCTTGTAGGTCGCCTTCCTCGTTTACTTCTCTCTTTTATCCCCATTGTCGTGTTTCTTCTGTTACACTCACCACCGCCCTTTGTCTCTCTCGTCTTCCCCTCCCAATTCTCGCTGCCCCCTTTTCCCTACTTCGTCTTCTGCGGCTCTTCTCATTGCAGGAGAGGGGGAAAACGGATTCTCTCATCATTCCCATCACCTCTCTACTTTGATACCCTCCTTTTTGCAACCTGCTTTCTTGCTCTCTGTTCCCGATCTCTAGGGAGTCGCCGGCCATATCGTCGCGCCCTCATTGACCTTCGAGACTTCCGGTGCTTTGCACGATTGTCTTGTCTTTTCTTTCTCTCGTTTCTTTTCTTTTCATTTTCCATCCATCTTTGGCTCCTTCGAGAGCGCGTCTTTATTCTCTCGTTTTCGGGCTCCATCTTTGTCTCTCAAGCCGTGAACATGTCCTCTTTAAGATTTCCCGTCGCGCGGGTTTCAGCCTCGTTTTCATCTTGCTGCTCATCCACCCCCGTTCCCTCTACCCTGCGTCAACATCCAACCTGCCAGGCACTTGGATGATCAAGTCAAGTGAAAAGACATTCTCTAATTTTGTTGATGTCGGTTTTAGCTCACGTTTGCCGGTCTTTACCGCCTTCTCCTGCTCTTCCGTCGGCCGTCGTCTCGACTCCGGTGATTTTCTCCATCTTTGACAGCAGTCGAACGTGATTCGAGACCGGACACGTGGTTTCTACCGCCGCTAAGGACCAGCCCAGCCATTCGACATGGACTCGTATGATACGTACGGATCTCCCGGTAGGAGCCGGGATGGAGACGCGTACTCTAACAGGGCTCCCGTGGATTCTTACCGACGCAGGTCTCCCGGTAAGGCCTCCCAATCTTGACGCTTTGGTGTGAGAGACCCACTTATCCTTTTTATATAGTATCGCAGGATCGTCGCCGGGGACGTGGTCGTTCTCGCTCGCCAGCCATGATCGATCGTTATGAACCTACGGATCGACGAACCTCTCGAGATGATTACTATACCGCCGCTCGCGAACATACCATGAGGGAGCGTGAAGATCGTCGTCGTGCTCCTTCGCCCAACGTCGCAAACATTGATCGATATGTCCCTGGACAGGACTCGGGAAAGCGGCCGATCCCGACGAACCCCCTGCCGAACCCACTCAGCCTTGACTTCCAGGTTGGATTCAACTGGTTTGCCGAATGGTGGCGCGCCGAACAATCCATCAAGGAGGAGAAAGAGCGCGCCAAACATGGTGGACGCCGCCCGTCGGACCGCGTCAAGGGAGAGCGTGAGGCGCGCGAAGATCGTGACCGTGAGCGGGCACAGATCCAGGCCGCTTATGACTCGTACAAGGTGGATCTCCAAATTAAGATGGCAAGGACGTTTGTTCAACACCATCGAAACGAGGAATGGTTCAAGGAGCGTTATGTTCCCGAAGTTCGGGACCCTCTGCGCCGCCGCGTGATGGACTTCAGGGTGGGCGCCTATCAGCAGTGGGAGAGCGATATCGACGGTGGAATGTTTGACGACTTCACTCTTGAAGGGATCTACAAAAGCGAGAGTGACGGTGCGGGCGGTGTTGTCGAGAAAGAGGAAGGTGAAACGACTGCTGTGGGAGAGACGTTAAGTGTCTTGGACTTGCTCCCAGCCCGAGGTGGTGAGCTTCGCGACGAGGCTTTGTCCCAACCCGCGCTACTCATCAAGACCCTGGCGCCGAATGTGAGCCGGGAGAAAATCGAAGAGTTTTGCAAGGAACATCTGGGGGAGCAAGATGGTGGCTTCAAGTGGCTCAGTCTTAGCGACCCGAACCCTTCTAAGAAATACCACCGTATGGGTTGGATCATGCTGCACCCCGCAGCGGACAATGCCGTCGTCGAGAGAGGGGACGGCAGAGAGGAAGAGGGCGAGGAAATCGAGCAGGACGACTATGCCAACGGTACGTCCGGAACTTCTGCCGCCGAGAAGGCTCTTGAGGCCGTCAACGACAAAACCATCCATGACCCAGTTCACGGAGATTTTGTCTGCCACGTTGGGGTCCATGTTCCTCCCGCACAGCCACGCAAGAAGGCGCTCTGGGATCTTTTCTCCTCCCCCGAGCGTATCGAACGTGACTTAGAACTGGCCAGACGACTCGTGTCGAAGCTGGACTCCGAAATGGGCGGTGATGTAGATGGGTATGTTAAGATCGAGGAGCGGGTGGAAGAGTTGCGCGGAAAGGGCTGGCTGCAGCCGCCCGTCACTGGTCCCGTCAGTGTCAAGAAGAGAAAGTCCGACTTTGACACCGATGACATGGACGAAGGTGAAGCCGAGGAAGGTGAGGAGCAGGAAGGTTGGGAGGATGATGAGATTGATGACGAGGAGCTTTTGGCCAAGAAGAAGAAGCTGGACTTGCTTGTGGAATACATCCGCAGGGTCTACAACTTTTGCTTCTTTTGTGTGTTTGAAAGCGACTCGGTCCACGAGCTTGCGCGCAAATGCCCCGGCGGTCACCTTCGTCGGCCGCGCGCTGGTCTCAGCTCGCAGTCGAAGGCTGTCGCTAGAGCCAGTGCCCTGGGACAGCCATTCCCAGTCAAGAAAAAGGAGCCCAGCGAGGAGGGCGAGGAGCAACCGACACCCGCGGAGGAAAAGCGACCGCAACGCTTCACTTCCAAATCAGAACAGCAGCTCCAGCGTGCGTTCAACTGGGTGAAAACCTTTGAGGACAAGCTCCTTCAGATCCTTGAGCCTGAGAATGTGGACATCCGAAAGCTGGGCGGTAAACCGGTTGATGACGCACTTGAGGAGGAATTATCAAAATTCATGAAACAGGAGGACGAGTCGAAGTATCGTTGCAAGGTTCCCGAGTGCACCAAGTTGTTCAAGGCTGAGTATTTCTGGCGTAAGCATATTGAGAAACGCCACACGGAGTGGTATGAGACCATCCGAAGCGACGTGAGTACAACTGATTGTGCCCTTTGGCAACCAAAAGAAAGGAAGCTAACATGTTTGAAACAGCTGTCTTTGGTGAATGCATATGTTCTCGATCCTGCTCGCATCGCCCCCTCGCGGTCTGATGCCAATAGCAACGGTCACTTCCCTCTCAGCTCGGGCCAGAACCAGACCGGAACTCCTCGTGGCTTCAGTCTGTCATCCTCGATGCCTCCATACATGGGCCCGAACGGCAACGTCCCTGCTGGCTTCCCACCAATGGCCGGTGCCGCATCCTTGCCTGGATTCATTGGCGTGAACAATCCGGCCGGAGCTTGGAGCGCCGGTGGTATGGTCGGCGGTGATCATCCTGGGCTACACCAGCCTGGCGCTATGCGTCGGGGTGGTCGCTTTAACAACCGCTCGGGGCCGTATGATCGACGCGGGGGTAACAATCGATATGGCAACTCCGCCGGGAGTGGCCGATTGAGTCCCGTTCGTGGCATGTCGAACATGTATGGATCGGGTGGTCGTCTCCCGGCTAACTCGGGGGTGCCATACATTCCTCCTGGACACCCGGCAGCGGCCGCGTTTGCTGGTGCCGGCGGCTTTCCCGATGCCATGGGCGCCGGTGCCGGTCCTCAGGGCATGGGACCCCGGGAAGCCGTCCAAGGCCGCAGTCTCAAGAGCTATGAGGATCTTGATGCGGTTGGTGGTGCCGGCAGTGGTGAACTAAACTACTAAAGTGCAGCTATGCTATTTGCTAATTGTTGCTTGCATCTTGAAAACAAAAATCTTCTGTTCAACGCGTGGCGTCCAAAGGCTTTCCATCTTTCTGTCATTTTCTTTTTTCCAGAACCATATCATAACATCAGCTTGATCTATCGCACGTCTTTCATTCTATGGTTTGGGCTTTTAATACACGCTTTCAGATCGTCCGGTCCTTTTATTGCCATTCTTTCGTCCATTCTTCATTCCAGTCAACGCCTTGTTTTCAGAGCGGTGGGTCACTACTTGGGAACGGGAGTTCTTTTTCTTTGCTCATCTTACGCAATCTCGCCTTCGTCCTCATGTACCTTATTCACCAGGTCTTTCTTCTCGGATCGCCTTCTTTGGAGTTCATCCGACCGAAAGCTGAAAGACTCAAAAGAGAAGAAAAAGGAAAGAAGAAAAAAAAATCAATCAGCCCTCTGTGAAAAATTTCTCCCCTCGTTGTTCCTTCTTTGTGTGTACCATACTTTTCGTATCTGCTGAAATAAATCGACGCATTCCTTTATTCAGCTAGCTTGCTATCTACTTGCGTTCGGCACTGCATACTTCGAGGTAAAGCCACGGACCGAGCAATAGTGGTAGGCACCATAGTCTATGCTATCCGTAACTCGACAACCGGGGGTAAGATTATGCCTCATAATCTTCACGGCTTGTCCGACCTAATCCATGTCTCTACGTACGCACACACCTGAAAGCTGAAGAAAAAGAACCAGGATGAAGCAAGCACCGCGTGACCTTGTGCGAAATGAATAAGGGGGAATGAGAAGCTTAAGTCAGGGGTTTGATTTGGTTTTATTTGATAATAGGTTCTTGGTCTGTGTTACTGCTCGGGGAAGGGGAAGAGTGCCGGGGTTGTGTTACGCTTTTTCCCGTCCCACATCCATCCCATTCTATTCTATTATTTCATTTTGATGAAAGCGATTTGAATTTGTCGTATACACAGGGTATAATTATTGGGAAGCTCAATTTGATGAAAGTGCGTATATATACGAGGATATAACTGTCATCTGGAAACTGGCCGGCCAGTCTCTGTGGACGTTACTTAGCAGGAGCGGGAGTAGAGGTGGACCCCGGCATGCGGATTACGATTTCCTCGCTGCCGTCGTGCCACTGCGCACCCATTTTACGGATGCGGCGCTCGCTGGCCAGGAAGAGAAGTAGGTATACATGCACGGCGATCTCACCCCATGCGTAAACCTTCAGACTGAGCTCGTGAGCCGGGGGAACGCTCTGGTTGTGCTGGGAGCTTGAACTTGAATCAGTTTGGGAACGGGATCGTGTTTCAGAGCCAGAGCCAGAGTCTGTGTCAGAGCTCGACGAAACATCTTCAAGTAAGCACCAAACTCCCCATCCCGCTCTCTCTTCTTTCCCTACAAACTCGCTTAGGAAAGACCAGAAGCGGCGGAAGAGGGACGGATTCCAGACATTCGGGTTTGGATTGGGTTTGCTCGCATCAGCGTCTGCGTGCAGGATGTCAATACGAATATACCAGTATCCTCGTTCGAGGATGTCCAGAGAGCGGGACTGATGGGCTGGTGTGTAGATTCGCGGGGAATGCAGACGGTTGAAGAGCATGGATAGGGTGGGGGTGATGTGTGTGGTGAATTTCTTGTTGGAAATTGGAGGTGGAGAGGGCCTGATTTGCATGGGAGGGACGATTTTGATGTCAATGACGGGAACGGGAGGGAGAGATGGTTTATTGTCGCCTTTGTCTTTGTTCGGAGACTTTGGTTTGGATTTGGGGATGGGAGAGGAAGGAGGATCGGGGGGAGGGCGGGTTTCACGATCGATCTGGGGTGTAGTAGTGTCTTTTTCTTTTGGTTCCTGCTTTTGTTCTTCTTTTCCTTCGTGCTCTGTGGCAGTAGGTGTAGGTTCCTTGCGCGAGACATCTTTAGAGGGCTGACCTGGGGTCGGATCCGGGTCTATTCGACATCGCTTCGACGGGCGAGGCGACGAGCAATCCGGCGACGATATCCTCTGATGCTGGCCTGAAGTTAAATCGGCGGCATTGTCCGAGACCAATCTCTCGGGCTGAGAGTCCGGTATAACGCTGACCGGACTACCTAGCGAATCCGGCGCAGCGCCACCAGGCGGTGGCGGGTCTGTCGCCGCAGCCAACGCCGTCGAGGGGATAATATTATGATTATGAGGTGGGATCACGTGGAGATCGAGATCGAAGGTAGACTCGGACGTGTAAGGGAGAGATGGGCCGGCGGAATGAGCATCGGCACCACGATGACGGGCGTCATCGGCATGCGGGCGATCATGACTTTCATTTTGGTCTTGATCCTGACTCTGATCCTGCTCTTGCGTCTGATCACAAGGACTCTCGTCCGACTTGAGGGTGATTACTTGACTCGAGACAGGACGAAAGCCGAGGATGGCCTGAACTTGAGCACGATAGCGGGCATCGTCCGCGGCGGTGCTGGGAGCGGAGACGTGAACGAGGATTTCCGACGTTTCCATGACATGGCGGGGAGGGAGGGAGGAAATTCGGAGACGAGACGGGGTTCTGATTGAGGTGATGGTCCGGTCCACGGGCGTTGGTCAACGGTTGAAGCCTTTCTCCATCGTCATGGGCGTCGTTCGGCCGACGAAAGCGACAAAGAAAGAAGAAACGAAAACGCAGGCAAAAAGACGAGTCATGCGCCGGTGGGGATCCGTCCCGATCGAGCAGCCTGGTGGCCTTAGGCCGCAGATCGGCCTCGACGGTGGTTCCTTCTTCTTTGGGAAGCCGATCCTCTTTTTCTTTCCTTCTCTCCTTTCCTTTGTCTTCGCTTGTCTCTCTTGCACCGTCGACTCCCTCGCCTGCTACCATCCGATCCAACGGAGCATTGGCTTGGCCAGGTGCCTGGGAGTGGCTGGGAGGCCCTCTACATAGTACAGCTTACGTTTCGAACACGCATAGTAAGCAACAATGGAAACCTTAATCTGATTTCCTAAATCCTCTAGTGAAATGAGGATCCTCAGAACCAGGGACAGAGAGAAAATGACAGACCAGATAAGTCAATTCTCATCGGTCGAAGCCAATGTTGATGAATCGAGAGTAGTTCGCATCCCAGAAAGTCTGAACGATTAACATCCAGCCCTCACCTTCCTGTGAGAAAAACCAGTCTCAAACCAGACTATTTTATTTGAATCTGCCCCCTGCCATCCCGGGGATCGTTAAACCCCGAAGAGTCCAACGACATGGTCATGGGAGCTCCCCGAGTGGCATTTGGGATCCTCCCCGCCCCCTTAGGCCCCTACCATCGCGTTCGTACCTGAGTTCGGCAGATTGGCGCCGTGCGGTGCGGTACTACTGCGTGTGCATACCGATTTAGTGCTACGACAGATTGCAGGCTGGCTAGCTCGGTGGGTAAAAGCGTTGGGGATCGCAACCCAGGTCTCCATTCTTCCTTCGAGCACCATCCCGATCCAGGATAAAAGGCCGACCTCTCAATGGTCAGTGGGACTCATGAAGGGGGAGCGACCAGTTTTTCCCTCTAAACAAACGAAAAAAGAAAAAAAGGAAATAAAAAAATTAAAAAAAAGGGAAAAAGGAAAAGCAAAAAACCACGCAAAAGAGATCAGTCCGAATGTCAACCTGTCTGCATACGTACAACCGTTGGTGTCCCAAACCCAACCAGGATATTGGAATAAAGACCCTGGACGATGGATGTTACACGCGGACAAGGTTCCCTATGGTCTATGATGTTTTACATGAGAGATATCAACCGACTGAGCGCCCTCGGATTGAGTTGGATGGTCCCCGGTTGGCCAGTCAAGCCCAGGAAAAAGGACCAGACATCCTGGTGCAACTTTCCCACTCCAGTACTTCCTCCGTAGGAGCTCTCGGATCTGGAATCTGGACCTGGAAGCTAGTTTCCGGGAACCACAGTAGCGACAAACGAACGGAGTTCTTTCGGGGAATCGTCCTCTGGGACTAGAACGAACTATTGTCATGATGATTCTTTTTCGAGAGGAATTATTACCATCGCGGCAATCAGCAGGATTCAATGACGACCAAAAGAAAAAGAAAAGAAAAGAAAAAAGAAGAGAGTGAGGCAAAAAATAAAATAAAAAAACTTTGTCTGGTCGATCGCAGGCCAGTTTCAACCTTCCACACACCCTTAAGGATTACACGGGAGGATGCATTCTTGCTTTTTCCTACGGTCCCAGACTGCCAATGAATTATTGGCGATCGGATGAAAAAAAGAGGAGATCAGGGTGGATTCCTATTGACGGATGGAATCCATTCCGGCTGTTCGCTCAGCCGAGGTCAGATCTGAGTGCATCGAGGCTAGAACTAAGGCCAGCGGTGACTCCTTTCTTTTTTTCTCTGATCGTGCTTGGGAGGAAGATGATGCTGCCTATGACGATTCTCATGATTATTGAATCCTCCCTCCCGATTCATGTAACTGCGTCGACCGTGTTCATTCCTGTCAGCGACCCCGTAACTGGAACTAACGGACCTTAGTGGCATCTGCGGAACGTCTCCATTCCAGCCCGTCGTTAATCGAAATTTCATTAATTCGGTGACCGGCAGGCTAGACCATCTTGATTGCGCAAAGACCAAGGGCCCGTGAAGAACGGGGACGCGAGCCAATTAATCGTCAGATCCGGCTTGCATGGTGGATGTTACCAGACGAGTCGGCTTGACAGGGTCTCCAGGTCCATCTGCTTAGCATCATCTCTTGTCCTGTCGAATGTCTTGTCGCCGTGTCCCACTTTAACCTCCGACCTCTTCATCGTTCCACTCTTTTCCTCCGTTTCGGACGTTCTCTTCCCACTCGCCCTGAATCCCTCATCCTTCGACCTCTCCCTGTGGCCTCTTTCCATCCCCCGTCAGTCCCCGTTTGGAGCTATCGATCCCGTCTCCTTCTCGAGGCTGGTTTTCCTATTGCACCTGGATCTTGGGTAATCAACCCTCTCTCTCCCCTTTCCTCCTCTTCCTTTCCCCCTCGTGTGGTGTCCAACTCAATTCCCCGTCGGGCGCGCATCGGGGGGAACACGCATCCGATCTGCCGTGCGTGTTAATAAAACCAAAGTTCAAAAATTAAACAACGACAAAAAAGTATATCGTATCCTTTTATTAATTTCAACGGTGAGGCGCTCGGACAAAGTGGGAATATATCCACTCTATTCTTCGTAGTTTCATTCTAAGGCTGACAACGGTTGCAGGCAGCTTTCTCTCGCTCGCTCCCATACGAGACTTTCGCCACCATCATCATTCCCTCCCGGACCCATCCAGATCTTCATCCGTCGTCAGCGCCGGTCCGGCTCGTATCCATCGCGGTCGTTTCCCTTCCCTGCTTCTCTCGTCTTCTCTCCTATCTCGGGCCTGTAATCGCGCCGGTCGCATCTTCCCTTCCTCCCCTTCCCTCCCTCCTCTCCCTGCAGACGACTGCCAGCAATCAACCATGGAAGCCATGAATGACGGGATCATGCCGGTGGATCAAGGCACGATCTATCGGCATAGTATGCAACAGGATTCGCCCGGTAGGTGGAGGGACATTTTCTTTTTCTTTCTGTTGGTCGAAACAGGTCGTTTTGGTACAATCACTATTCTGAAATATTGACTCGGACTGTTGTCGGAATGATCGGATCTTGAAGCTTTCCTACCTGATCGGCTGGGGACCTTTACCGAAGGTTCGTCGGTATGTGGCGCAATTGGCTTTCCCGAAGGAAACCACGCGCCTTGCGACAGCTATGGACGGCAGCCATTGTCTAGTGGCAATAGCCAAATGTTCATTTGCTCCAGCGATTACTTCTCGATTTCCGATTGTCGCTTTATTGACTTCTGTTTGCCACCCCCGGGCAGAGTGCTGACGTCTCTTAAAACCAAAAGGCAAAACATCCTCCGGGACAGATTGGTTGAAGTTCTTTTCGGGAGGCGGCGGCGGCGGACAGAAGAAAGTCACTCGAGGTTAGTGATCTCCTCACTGGGCTATATGGGATACATCATAACGTGGAATAGATGGACAACCGGCGAAACGACGGGGACCGAAGCCAGACAGCCGGCCCGCCCTTACTAGACGACAAGAGCTGAATCGTCAGGCTCAAAGGTATGTCGAGGAGAACCGTGGATATTGGCTGCACAGGGTGATCTGACCAAGCGACGGGTAAACCAGGACGCATCGCGAGCGGAAAGAACAGTACATGCGATCATTAGAGACGGAGGTGTCGCGACTACGAGAGGCGTACACGCAGGAAATCTCGGCGGCCAATTTAACGGTCCACCAACATCGAGAAATGGTGCGATCCTTGTCGGAGGAAAATAACATCCTGAAAGACATCCTTGCCAGTCAAGGCATCAACGTCGAAGCCGAGGTCGAACGGCACAAAGCCGAACGCACCACTCCGGCATTCCAGCAACCAGCTCAGCAACAGTCGACGAGTCCCTTTGCCGGCAGCAGTGTCAGCTCGCAGCCGCCCAACGTTGCACAGCCTGGCAGTAACATGTACACTTCCCCACCGGCCACGGTCACTCCTCCGACCACCGTTTCGGTTTCGTCGAGCGTTAGTCCCGCCATGAACGGGGTATCGCATATGGATGTCTCCCCCGTCCAGGAACTTACGCCGCAGAATCACTCCCATCACAACGCGCCATGCGACGCGCTGGCCACTTTGGACCGGATAGCCCCGGCCAGTCGGCAACCGGCGCATCCCAATGGAGTTTTTGAATCGGACCCTCAGTTGCAGGTTGACTTTATCCTAACGTAAGTTGCCGGTCATTCCTTCCCCTTAGTCTCAATTCGAGGTCTAATCGTGCGCAGACTGGAAGGACCCTGTCGCGAACACACCGACTATCTGTGTCGACGATCCATCACGGAGGCCGATGACGAGGACATGCCGTTCTCGGGACACGCGCTGATGGCGACCTGCCCACCCCCCAGCTACATCTCCAACACGACGATCGAGCAAACCTATCCCCACCAGACCTACGACTTACCACACGCCAATCTTTCCACTCTGCTGAACCTCAGTCGACAGCTCGTCACCGAAGGGCAGATCACACCAATCATGGCGCTGCAGTGCCTCAAAAGCCACGAGCTGTATCGCAGCTTGACACGCGACGACATCAAGATCATCATCGAGACGCTGAACACGAAAGTACGATGCTACGGGTTCGGGGCCGTGGTAGAGGACTTTGAACTCAAAGACTGCTTGAGTAGCGTGGTAGGCACCAAGGTAGACCTGGGGCTTTCACAGGTCACCGATGATATGTTATATTCATGATGTCGATAAGACGGAGTTGGTGGATTTGATTTGGACTGGGCTGGGCTGGGCTGGACATGTAATTAAACTGGTTGCGAGCATTGGCGGGTTGGCTGCTTTTCTTGAGGGGTTTCGGTCTGGAGAAGAGTGGATGATTTGATTTCATTGATATGGACCATCTTCCGATCAATCTTGTACGCATTAATGTTTGGCATTGGCATTGCATATGGCCTTTTGGCTCATACATACATAAACCGCACACCGCATATTCACTTGGATAGACCAACTTATCAACCCAAATCTAGTATCCAACTAAACCTGCACCATCCTCACCACATCCACCAAATCTCGGCCCTCCCTGACACCACCCACAATCCTCCCCACCAGATCCTCCGACCCCAATCGAATCGCCGAATACAGGATCTCCATTGCCTGATTCTCCGCTTTCCTAGCCCCGGGGCTCGAGCTTGCCCCCATCCCCATCCCCGTCCCCAATCCCTGCCCTTGCCCCAGAGCCGCATTAAACGCCATCCCCTCGCGCAACTCCATGATCTCATGTCCCTCCGCCTCCACCTCCGCCAGCTCCGTCCGCAGCCTTCGCGCCCGCGCCCGCAGAGTCGAAATCACTTCCGCCTGCGCAATTGCCTCCCGGTCCTCGTCCGTCGACGAGTACTTGCACTCATTGACGATGCCGCGCGCAATGCATGCCTCGCATGGAGAGAGGCGGTCGCACTTGACATGGTTTAGTATGCGAAGGCGGATGGAGGGAAACGGGGAGGGAGACAAGACGTACTTTTACTTTTCGGTTCCTGCATGGGGCGCAGGACGCGGCTGGTCGGGGCTTTGGTCGGTGCATTGGGAGGGGGTTCATTTTTCTTTTCCTTTCTTTTCTTTGGTTTAACGGTTCTAGTTGTGGGTTTGTTCTGGAGGTTGGAGATGGTTACGGGGGATGTTATTCGGTGCTGATCCACCGTCGGAGATGTGGAGGGTGTGACTAAGCGGGTTATGCAGCTACACAAGTCTGGATATGGATCTCATCGATGTAGATTGACTGATCTTGACTGATCTTGTCCAATCTCCATTACTACACGAGTTTACTTATATTTCAGAGAGGAAATGGCCGGCGAAATCATAATGCATGCAAACTAACTGCCTATATACTCGGTTCAATCCAAGACTGACGATGAAATCAATCCCGAATCAATCTCGAATCAAATGAGTGAGCGAATAAGAGGAACGAAGCAGTAATGTCCTGCATTACTTCCCTTTCTCCCTTCTTTTCTTCCTTCCCTTGGTCCCATCCACTCCATCCCTCCTTCTGTCCAACCTGCCTCAGCTCAACTCATCTCAACAAGGGACAGAGACAGTGACAGCCAAACAAGAGAAGCATCTACTCCAACTTGCCCTCCAAAAACTCCGTCGCATCGGTGGTATCGCCGAGGTACGAGAAGTGCGGCGGCGCGACGATCAGCGTGCCCTCGCAGACCAGGTCGCCCGTGGCGCAGTAGATCTTGATCTTGTCCTTGGGGAAATCGGGGATCTGCTCGTTGTCCTGCTTGTTGCGGGTGTCGCCGAAGAGCACGACGCCCTTGATCTGGTCCTTCAGGGCGTCCGAGAGCTCGGGGATGGCGCCGTGCATGACGGCTGTTCCTTGACTGTGCAATTATATCTATTAGCTTGCTGTCTCCTTTCATTGCCTTTCCCCAGCCCTGAGAAAAGGAAAGGGGAGAAGAGGTCATACCTATATCCACCCGCCACGATCTGCGTATCGGGACACTTCTCCGCCGCCAGCTCGAACAGCTCCTTGGCCTCGTCGATGGCCACCTGCGACGTGCCCTTGGGGAGGGCGTTATCGCCCAGCGTGGCGCGGTACTTGGGGCCCACGCCCTGGCATGCGACGCCGTCACTGCGCGCCGACTTCAGCTTGCTGCAGACCGACGGGCCGGTGGAGGCGCCCAGGAGTCCGACTTCAGTGGAGGCCCGGGCGAAGATGAACGTGACGGGCTGGCAGTCTCCGTTGCGGAGTTCGTTGCCGGAGCTGGCTGTATATACTTTTAGTATCTTTTCCCCCTTAAGTGTTGGTGATGGATGCTGTGGAAAGAGATGCAAGCATACCTTGCCGTTCTTCCAGTGCCATAGGGCTCGCGGCAGCCAGACCGGCCAGGGCAGCGGAGAGGAGCTGAAGCTTCATTTTTGCGATTGCGGTTGCTTTTGGTTTGCTTTACTTTGGAAAAGAACGAAGTTGGACGGTTGGATTGGACTGCAGGAAGAAAGAGAAAGAATGCTCTGCGATGCTGGAACAAACAATCCCAATCCACCGTGCCTCAACGAGTCTTATATACCCTCATCTCTCGGTACTTGAGGAGCTTGTCATAACGGCATTTCGAAATCCCTCCGTGGACCAAGGAATCGAGGAGCCCTAGACCAGACGGTCTGGCATCGAGCCCATACCGATCAACCACCAACCATAGGGCTTGATCAATCGAAACAACCTCGGAATTCAACCGCCCATCAGGTACTCCCAGCGATCACTTCCTATCCAGACCAGAAACAGGTCGACAAGTGCCGTCTACCTCGGCCAATCCACCCATTCCTACTGTCCAGCCTAGCAGCAAACCCAGGCCAAGAGTCCCTCAGGACCTGGCGGAGTCCCGAATCAAACCGACTCCCTAGATAGATCCATCCCACCTACACCCGGTATGGTAGGCAGTGGGACGGTCGTTTCAACAAAGCAGCCAAGGCCGTGGCAGGGCAAATGAGGAGAATTGCTCGCACTCCGGAACGAGAAGGATGTCTTCTCCGGTGAGGAGCCAGGGTGCGCAAACCCCAACGGGGACGAGAGTTCAACGGCGGTTCTTGGCTGTCGATCTTCTGTTGGATCTGGGGAATCGTACGGGGGGGGTATATTAATTTTGTTTCTTGTTGCGGCGGAGGGGTGTCCGTGTTGGCTTGGCTGGGATGGTTCTGCTGGGCCGAGGGTATGTGTTTGCTGAGTCGGGATTTATAACTATCGTGCTATTATTGTGAGTTGGTTGATAGATAGGGAAGTATAGGAATGGATAGATGAGGCCTCGGCAGACCGCAGACAAGACGAGTCAGTCGCCGAGTGAGGGCGTGGTTTCATGAAGGATGCAAGCCAAGCGGTGGTGGTCCTTGGCGTGAACGACATGTAACATGGCCCAATTTTGGGTTTGATTTCGTGGAATAATAGAATATGATGTCTCGGGGATGACTCTAACTCTATAATACTATATACTTCCATTGTGAAGGCAACATGTATATCCCATAAGTCATCCCAACTTAGCCTCCACAGCATACATCAACAATGACTATAACTAACACTCCAAACTAACTACAAACGATACAAAAGTCCACGGATAATCGACAGCCCCCAATACTAATAGTAGTATTATAATAGCAACGATCAAACCCCGAGCCCACTCCGACCCATATTAATATATTAATTATATGGTAACCCGAGCCGGACCTGACCCCGAACTAGCTCTGGGGATTCATCTAATTCACTCATCTGATCAGGTACATTTGCCCTTCCCCTCTTACTTCTCCTCCTTCTCCTCTTCTCTCCCCTCTGCCGGCTGCAGGAATAGAATGCAGGCTTCGTGCATGCATACATGCTATCCGAGCAAAATCAAAGAGGCCGAGGTCTGTGGCTTGCAGGCAGAGGATCTAGCAAAGTCTTCTTTACGGAGAATTTCTCGCCGTTGGTTTTATCTGCCGGAGATGACGTAGGGGGGCCGGCAGTTGTGTTTTGTATTCGAGGTACGTAGGTCTGCTTAGATCATGCTGGGATGGCTGATGAATGGGATTGACTTTTGAGCGCTCGTGTTCTCGTTTGGGGAAGAGGTATGTGCACGTACTGAATTCAGTGACAAGAAAGGGACAGAGGGTCTATCGTATGTTGCTTCATGAGTTCGGTTACGTACACTTACTCAGTAGCGGTATGTGGACGGGTCTGGCATGAATAGTACAGGTGAGATTCGACTGGTTTTGGTTTTGGATGTGTCTGTCTGCGGAGTATACTGCTTGCTGCTTGCTGCTTCATTGGTTTCAAGAAACGTCATGCTATTTATAGATTAATTGCTGTTTGAACCTGAAGGGAGTTTGTTTCAGCCGTCGATCCGTGCTCCAGCCTCATGGTGGATATGAAGGATCATGATGATATAGGTGAAACAGACGGGACCGTGGATCAGGTTCTCGCGATTGTTAGATCTTTGATTGCTGCTGGTCTAGATCCTTGGTGGTCTTGGGAGCTGGGACTTGAGTAGACTGGTCTATTTGGTTTACGGTGGTTCTCTGGTAGGGTAATAGTAAAATCAGGCATGCTCAATTCTAAGCAACTTTTGAACGTATGCACACGAGTAAAAAAGATTCCAAATGACATTACGACATCATAGAACAACCCCCTTTCTAACCGTTTACTCATCATCCTCCTCGGCCTTCTCCTCCTCAAGAGCCTCGGCTTCCTCGTCCTCCTCGAAAGTGTTGGCGGGCACACTGTACAGACGGATGACGGAGCGGTTGGGGTCCTTGATGAGGACGTACTTCTTGACCTTGGAGGGGTCCTCGTCGGCATCCAGGGCGCGGATGCGGTCGACGATCGTCCGCACGATACCCCAACCGTTACCCAGGTTCAGGTTCATCTGCGAGGCCAGGTCGCGGGGCTTGTAGTTCACAACGCCCAGAACGACGTGGGCAGCAGCGGAGCGGGCGTTGGCACGCGACACGAAACCGAGCTTCATGCCATCAGCCTTCGCCAGGATGGCCTGGGTGGTCCAGCGGGCCAGCTTGCAGCTGTTGTTCTTCATCTCGGTGGCGACGACGGCACCGCGCTGCGACCACAGCTTGCTGCGCCAGTCGAGCGCGCCGCCGGAGCCCTGCGCCTTGCTGTCGAACTCGTTCAGCGCCTTGACGACCAGCTGCTGGTCCTCGCCGCCGGGGGTGGGGTTCTTCATGACGGCGTCGACCTCGGTCCGGACGATCATGTTGAGGGGCTCCTCGTCGCGCTCCAGCGACAGGTCGAAGCGGCGGTACTTGTAGCCCTTGGAGGCGAGGGGCTCGGTCTCCTCGGCGGCGTTGTAGAAGGGGTTGGGGTTGTTGAAGGACACCTTGTCCTCGGACTCGGCCACGGTCTGCAGGGCGAAGTTGTGGTTGATGAAGGTGGCTTCCATGGCCAGGGCGCTGGGGGTGTTGATGGCCTCCTGCTTGTTGGAGGAGTCGGTCACCTCGAGGGGAGCGTCGGCGGCGTTCTCGTTAACCGTCACCAGGTCCAGGGAGGCGCCGTCACGCTTGTCGAAGTAGATCTTGTTGCCCTGGTGCACGATGACAATGTCCCAGGAGTAGACACTGCGGGTGGCGCACATGAGCATGGACAGGATGTCGGAGCTGGCGAAGACGGTGGCCTCGTTCTTGTCGGAGAGCTCCTGGATGACGGGATCTTGCGAGGTCGTGACGTTGTAGGCGGCCCGGTCGAGCGACTGCAGGCGGCGCTCGGCGTTCTTGACGGGCGCCTTATCGTAGGACCGGTCGTAGTAGTGGAGGAAACCGTAGGTGTCGAGGTCCTCGCCCTCGGGGGTCTCGAGGTTCAGCTTGGACAGACGGCTGAAGTCAACCTCCTCCAGCACACCCCACTCGGGGCGAACGTTGACCGAAGGCTCGCGGGTGCGCTGGGGCTTGTCGTAGTCCTTCCATCCGAAGCGACGGCCACGGCCGCCGCGACCGGACCGGTTGTCGTAGTAGCGGTCACCACCCTGGCCACCACGGCCGGCACCAACGCGCTGGAAGCCAGCCCGGCCACCGCGCTGAGCGCCGCCACGCTGGCCGCGACCACGGAAGACGGTACCACCACCACGGCCAAAGGTGCGTTTGGCAGAGGTACGAGTGTTGTCGACAACGGAGAAAGAGGACTCATCCTCGGCGACCTGGACGTTGAAGAGGCTGGAGGAACCGGCACCGTAGACTTGCTGGTCTGTTTGATGAAGATTTCGTTAGTAATTTGCTAGCCATTTTTTTTTTCTTTCCCTCCACCTTGGGATGGAATCCAACGTACCTCTGTAGTTGCGGTTGTAAGCCTGACGACCGGCCCTCTCACGGTCCTTGGACTCGGCAGTCCAGTCGGCCATGCGACCCAGCTTGTCACCCTTAGAGAAAGGAGCATAAGGGACACCACCGAGCATGTTGTCGCCAGCAGTCGCGGGGCCCCAGGTGTCGTCGGCCGGAAGGGCCGACACAATGTCGGCAATCGAAAGAGGAGCCATGACGAAATGAAATGGACTCGGAGAAAGGAGATGAGTAGGTTGCTCAACTCCAAAGGATGGGGGAATGGGATGGAGATCAGGATCGGATTGACGATAATCGCGGTGGATTATTCTTGCGGGTTTTTTGTGTCGCGAGCTGTGGCTGGTGAGGCTTGGCGGGCGATTTGCACTGCCACAGAGGGGCGTGGTTGTGCATTTTGTGCGGTGCATTAAACTTGATTATGTCAGAGCATATAATGCACAATTTATTCAGGGTCACAAGTCACAAGTCACAAGTATTATGCAGAAACCTCTTCACGCCTTCTCTCTCGTCCAATATCTGCCTTCTGATAACAGACTTGAATTTGTCACGAACCAAGAAGGATTGACTTGGCAGCCTCATGCTGGCGATGAATTTGTCACTCCTATCTTGCGAGGCATCGACGCAGCTGATCAATATAGACACTCGCCCCCATATGCAATAGATCCGATCAGCGCGACTAATGGCTATACTAGACAAATTCCGGTGACCGAGAACATCCTCAGCCTGATAGGTGCTATCGCTGCATCCCAATAGGCGCAGAGCCATTTACGTAAATCCACCGAAGGATCAATAATGCAAGATCTCGCGAAGATCAGGATCCAGACTACCGGGAAAGGGGACCCCAAATTGGATCTGCGAGGTCATGACGTACCGCAGTATCGGCAGTCGGTAGTGACTAAAATATACGGAGTGGCAGCTTATCAGGACGTCTTCATTGCTTTTTCTTTTGTCTCTGCCCGATGATTACCCCTTTTGCGATTGAGTTTATGGACCTGCACGACGCGTGGGGAATGCATCCAGATGAATTATATCTGCCTGGTCGAGCAATAAAGGAACCCCATACATCATGGAGTACCAGACATGCCTGGTTAGGGACAACGGAATTGAACGTCGGACGGATGGAGAGAACTGTTGTCTTTGGGATCTTGTAGGGACTACCATGGAGAGGCGTGTATGCCTAGAATCCATACACTTATGACTGTGCCTGTATCCCACATTCATACCAAATGCAGTCTCTTTATTCCATTTAGCTAATAGCCAAAGCATTCCCATTCGTCCACCCCACGAATTCTTATCTTCATCTCAAAATATGGTTTCCTTCGTTGTGTCGATCATCGCCCCACCCGATAAGAGACGGGCGTCTGACAGGCGGAGGGCCAGTCCCAAGCGGGGCCATCGGTTCATGGCAATCGGCTTCCATGTTTCCTCCTCTACCACTTCCACTCACTTCTCTCCTCCATCTCTCCGTACCTGGACTAGACCACTCCGAAAAATGCCGCCCTTCAATCCGATTCCTCGGGGCTTTCAAGCAGCCAGTCAGCAAAGGACCCACCGCTGGAATCGCCTCGATCGGCTCGGTTCCTGCGTCCAGATCGGCCCCATTGCCAAGGTCCATGTCTGCGAATTACCCTTCAATGAGGAGGTGGATCTCACTGCTTGATGCTTAATATTGGTGCACTTGCCTATTACCTCGCCCCTCGCATCTCGGTTCCGTGGGAGCTCATCGCTCCTTATCAGGACAAAAGCATAGTGTGCTGATCATTACCTCGGTCTGGATCTGACTTGTCCAGTGCCCCCGATCGTGACGGCTTTCTTTTCGTTCTCTTGCCGAAGGCCGGAGCTGATGGCTGTCTCTTCCATATTATGTCGTGGTTCAGATAACGAGGCGTGGGATGTCATTGGAGAATCCGATTCTACAGCAAAGAGATAACCAGAAAATAGAGGCCCGAGTTGGTCACATGTCGACTGTCCTCGAGAGTATATAGAGGGCATAAAATCCGTCCCGATTCTTCTCATCAATCACAGCTCAATCCTCAGTTCGATCAGACTCTTCGATCAGACTCAATCATCATCTCTCTCGATTCTCTCGAATCCCAATCTTTGCCAAATCTCAAACTTAAACTCCATCACAATGAAGTTCACCACCGCCATCTCCTTCCTCGTCGCCACCGGCGCCATGGTCTCCGCGTACCCCTCCAACCAGAACGAAGAAGCTCTGAAAGGCCAAGTCCAGGAGATTGCCAGCTCCGGCAAGGTCCAAGGCGTCCAGCACAGCCAGAAAGCGTCCAGTGACTGCGTCGGGCCTCAATTGTGCTGTGGCACCTTGACCACTCCTCTTGATCCTGTCGTGGATCCCCTGTTGAAGACTCTCGGCGTTGATCTTGCCAACATTGTCGGCTCGGTCGGTCTTCTTTGTACGTACTTCGTGATCTGCTGGACGAAAGAAATCGGGCTAACTGATGTTCACAGGCCACGGCTATGACTCAAGCTGCACCACTACTCCTCAGTGCTGCACTGAAGCCAACCTCTTGGTAAGGCTTCCCTCGAGATGATAATACAGTTGGGATACTAATGGAGTCTTTAGGGCGGTACTGTTGCCCTTGGCTGTGCGGATGCCAATTAATCAGCGGAAGCATCGGAATATAACAGTGCACAGTTTGGGTATATAAGAATGAGTAGTGACTGTCAAAGTCAGGGTTAATGGATATGGATATAATGCTTTTCCAGACAGGAAGATACTGTCTGGCTGCTAATAGGACTTAATGTTTTTATCATTGATATGAATATACCAGTAGTTGATATCGCTCTGAATCTGGGGATGCTCTGTAGTTTAATTCGTCTGTACTTTCTATGAGTCAGGGAATAACCACAGTCAATTACTTTGATAATGACAGTTGCGTTCTATCGATTTCAAAATTCTAGCATCTCCATGAAGGCCTAGACAGCAACAAAGTGAACTTTCAACCTCCACGTGCTACAGTCTCCCCAACATTCCTCCAGCATTCATAAACTCAAAATCAACAAATGACAGCATAAAACATTCTGTAAATAACGCAAGCATGATTAGACTGAAAATCTTTGGCTCGAAATATTTTGCCTTCTCAGTCTATTCGAGAATCACCGACTGAGGCCTCCAAAGGCAACACGGTCAGATTATACTAGTACCGTTGTTCGAAATAAGAGCCATGGCGTCTGTTTCGTGGACAGCCACCACCCAAATGGCCTGGTTTTTACCTACCGGACTCATGGTTAGCTCCCTCCACGAATCCCACCATCAACTTACAATTGAAGCAGTGTACTTCGTTATCGCAGTCAGTCACGGTATGACCTTTCTTGATGCCTAGAAGATCTGAAGTCAGCATGACCCAAAGGTGTTCATGTTTCAAGTCACCAGCATTTCCCGCAGGAGTCCTGGCATTCCCATTCCCCATGTCCATACCAGCCGCAATTGCGACACTTGCCTTCCACTTGTCGGCGCTCTATACATTTATCAAATACTCTGGAAAGATAGTAGTTAGGTTTGGATCGTCGCGGCTTCTGGATCCGATACGCCCCCGCAGGCTTATTTTCCCTGGATCGCCGAGACTGCGACATAGGAGATCTCTTCTTCAACTCTTCGCGGAGTACTTCTGAAACGACAGGTCGGATTGATTCTCTCAATTCCGACATATCGAAACTAGAACTTTCCACTTCCACGCCGCGTGACCGTTGCCTACAAGTCCATCATTTAGCCACCCCTCCTCACTACCATCAACGGGATAAACCCCCAAGAAAGAACCCACATGAACCGCGCTGTTCCATCCAAATGACCGATCACCGTGAGATCGGATTCAAGCTCCGTCTGCAATTTACTGATTCGCCTAGACGCACGCTGGAATGCAGGAGAGAGATAGCGCAGAAACTTATTGCCATGCTGGAATTCCTCTTTGATTTGTCTCATCTCGTGGTATAGCTGGTTACATTTCTCCTCGAGCAAGACGTACAACTCTTTTTCCGGTCCTGGAATATCCTCGCGAAATGAACCCCCCTGGAGCCCATCGAATTGCTCTTTCAACCCAGTAACAAGCCTCTCCAGATCACTGCCATCCTGTAGTAACTCCTCCATTTTGCTGAAGCTCGTCACGGCTTTCTTGAGAAGAGTAAAAATGGGAGGTAGGATGCCGAATACTCCGGAAACGATGTCCATGATGGAATTGTACTGAGAATACTTAACTCTTCAGAAATGGATTCGAAATTTCTCGTTAGAACTTAGACGGTGAAACAGAGATGTCGACTGATACCCGGTATCTCCCAAGAAAGATAATCTACGACAGAGACTCGAGAAGTTCAGGACACAAGAGATGTCTTATACCCTCTCAGCCCATTCCATAAAAGAAACCCAGCGAAACCAAGGGAATCCAAACCATCCGTCCACAACCAATCCACCACGTCACCAAAGCTACATGTACCACTGCGGCAACCAATCCGATTCCATCCATCGATTCATTTGGTCGTCCTTCCCGTCCCGTCCCGTCCATCCGTCAGCCCCATTCCAATCCACTCCACCCTACCAGACAAAAATTTTCCTCCCTTCTCTTATTTTCCTTTCCTGATACTTTACTTGTCAGCATGTTTCCTTCCCCCCTTTGTCTTCTGTCCTTGGGCAGCAGTATTGTAGCATGTATAGTATGCAGTAAACACAGACTACGTTTCTCCTCCGATTGACTCCCACTCCATGCTTGCACGCGAAAGGATCGCGATGCATCTACTCTACATGCTTGCTCCAGGAGATGCGGCTCTACAACGCTTCGTGCGTGGTCATGCATATATATTTCCCTATCGTAGCCTGTCTACTCACTCATGTGGCTGCTATCCCATCATGAGCTATTGTATGAGATTGCAATAGAATGCATCGCGATCGATCCTCTATCTCTACTTATCTGCGACCTGTGCTTGTTCGAGATCAGATCTAACCACCCATATTCTTTTCATTCTCATACCCTTTTCTTCAAGGCTTATTCGAATCAAGAGCAGAGCCTTGCATTATCCTTATCCCTTTTGAAGCGACTGAGCCAGCCAGCCTACCTACCATCTACCCGAGGTGAAGCACACCTACACAGGGCGAGGCAAAGCAAAGCGCCCGACACGATGGCCGACCAAACCATCGTCATGCGCTACATCATCGAAGAGCGCCTGATGGCACTGTTGAAAAGTCTGTACCCGAATGGAGGGTACACTGTAAATGTGAGTACAGGGCAGGGTTATTGCGTGCTTTTTTTCCCCCTTCTTCTTTTTCTCCGGAGGGAAAGTGGGATGATAAGCGGTTGGTCAGCAAGTCAGACTCAGTCACGATGACGGTCAGACAGTCAGACAGACAAGGCAGACTCGGGTACGGATAGGACGGGAGACTGCACTAGTCCCCCTGCCCTACCCTTACCTAACAGGGGGCCCTGCCCGGGTCAGACGCAGACTAGCCTGACTACCGGGTCCCTGCCCTACACGCTATCTTGCAACGCAGCAAACGATCACCAGTCATCGTCTTGGCCGTGGCCAGAAAGCGAGCAGGCAATTTGACTAGGCTGGACTAGGCAGGTTGGCTCTCTGAGACCAGGCTTCATGCGGTGGCTTCTTTTCCTGCCTCTCATTGGATTTCTACCATTCTTGTCCTCCCCCACTCTTGCGTGCAGGCAATCGACCTCCTTTCAGACCAAATTTGGTTGGCGACATCCTATTGGAAGATGCAAGCCAAGAGGGCAGCGTTGGTGGCTGTGTCGATGACCGACAGGCAACTTACATGTCTAGTTTCACAAGCCCGACTCCTTGCTAATACGAGTTACTTTTTTCTTTCATGAGCAGATCCGCATGGGGGTTTGTTATGCGACTCTCCCCAAAGCCTTAACCCAGGTATGTTAATTTCGGTGATTATCTCTCAGCCTTTACCCCGGCCCTGTTGTGCCCGGCCTTGTCGTTGATAGGCGTCCCAAGGCGCCGTGCGGTCTTGAGCGTCACAATCAAAAAAGAAAGCTGGCGGCTTGGGATTATTTTCGGAAACAATCAGAGGATGCTTTGACCTGATGACACGAACCAAATCTGACCACGGCCTAGGCGCAAATCGATTCGGTTTCCAGCGACAACTGATGGGTCCTTATGGCAAATTCGGCCGCAGGTAGACGCCGGTGTGTATTCACTGCTGTCGTTGTCATTGGCCACTGCAGCCCGACTATCCCGGGCTAAGGAACAAGGCATGAGCATTCCACAGGACTCCGAACCTTCCTTTGAGGCAATTTTTCCAATTATGAGGGGGCGATGGAGAATGATATCAGTTGTATATAACCCCCTTTCCCCAGGCGCGCCCGCGCCGGTGGGGAGCTTGGTTAGGTAGAATGAAAGTGATGCCACGAGGGCTCTTTGCTCCCCTCCTGCCTGTATTTTATCTTCAATACCATCTTTTCTGATTGACATTCATCTTCGATACCATCTTTGCTGTCCACCACTCAGACCGTTGCGGTCGTTTTGCTATGAGCAGGGCCCGTTTCTATGGGAGAAGACCTCATCATGTCATTGAGGGAAAATGCATGGATCCCAAACGGCTCGTGAGTCTGCTGCGGGACGAGTACGGACAGTCCAATTTCCGCGTCGAGGTAAATCCGTCCTTCTGAACCGGTTCAACGCCCTCAGAGAAGGCCTTCCTGACTGATGAGCTCTCTATAGTTACGGCTGGACACGTATAAGATCTATGTGTCGGACCATACAACAGCCAAGTCCGCCGGACTAACCGAAGTGCGTTGCCCCTTGACTTGTGCCCGGGCGACTTAGGGCTGACGGCAGGTGAGCAGGAACAAATCAACAGCTGCCGGGTTTTCCTATAATAATCGATCCACCCTGACGACTTTACGACCTTTTCTTTCTGCTTTTCGTCCTTTCGAAATCATTCTGGCAATGATGGTTTTTCATATGAACTCTTTGGCCCCTTGGGCCCTTAACGTCCGGCGAGCCTGGAAGACCGGTTGGGGAAATGACCGACGGTGTACAGTACCGAGCAGATCAGTGTGAGGGAAACTTACATTTCGTGTGATGGGGCAGGGATGGACTGGGTGACATGTACTATATCCGAGCCTAGCATAGACTTGATCGTTTTGGGTATTGCTCAGCACTCGTATATGCATCCCGTGTTACCCGCGCCGCAGTAGCGTAGATGACTGGTCCATTCAGAGTCAGCGAGTTGCGTCAGCCGACAGAAAATGCAACCTGATTATCGATGAATTTTTCAGGTCCGATTGGCTGCACGGTGAGTCCTAAGCCCGGGCTGCTACTGCCCGCAAGACCGGCGAGACGCCACGCCCTCTAGCCTCACGCGTCAGCCGCAGATGGATTGCCCCTCGATGATTCAGACCTCTAGGGCCAGTCGTCGGGGCGGAGTAGCTGAATCAGCTGTAAGAATGCCTCGCTGTGCCATCGCAGTCGTTTCTTTTACGCACATTCGAGCCTCAAGGACACTCCACGTGATAAAGAACAGGCAACTGTGGCGATGGCATTCTGCCCTGTAGACTGGAGAAACAGTAGAGATTGTACTCCGTACGAGAGGAAATCGCCATGTCGCAATGGCAGTATAAAGGAATGCGCCCCACGCATCGGATAATGATGGATGGTGTCAGCAACAAGAACTTCGGAGGATTTCACCATGGGTCCATTTTCTGCCCCATCCCATATGGATCACCATCTAGCGGAGAAGATTGCGTCTCGGTCGCACGACTTGTTTAATGCCCGAGAGGGTCGCCCGCAGTTAGAGGTTACCACGTTTGATCGGAGGAAAGATAGCGCCAAACGATGGTCTCTGCACGTCAATGAGAGCTCCAGCATCAATGAGCTGTCGCAGTTGCACAGTCTGACAGTGAGCCCCAACAGCCGCCTGCCCCAAGTCCGACAGGAGCTAATCGATCGATTGTTGTGAACCTAGGAAGATACCGATGCCTGCGCCCATATCTATACGATTCGACATTTACGATCGTGGACGACGTTGAACATATCCCGCGAGCTGTTCGAACGCCTGCTGGCCACGTACAATGTCTTTCCTCATTTCTGGAAGACCGTCCTGACCTTCGGGCGAAAGACGGAAGAAAACGAATATGCATTTCCGACGTTTCGGGCGAAAGGCTCTCGCGCAGAGCATGGGCGATATGAGGGTTCGATCTCTTGAAAATATTGGATGGGATGGAAGCTGACGGGATCAATAGAATTGACATACGTGATTCGGCGCGTGGAGCGAAACAATCGCTCCGTGGAACAGGGAGAGTGTCCATGGTCAATCCGCCAAACGGGAGTATACCACAAACTGCGATACCCAGACAGCGCGTCCGAGGATAAGTCGGTGTTTATATTGGTTGCACCGTCGCGAGTCGCCGAGGGTGATATTGCAGCGTGCTTTCAAGAGACCTCGCCCGAGAAAGACACCATGAAGCCAGCCTTCGTAGTGCACGAGCGACTTGTCATGGATAGTCTGAAGGGCTGGATGGAATATATGGCCTGGTTGGAGGAAGAGTCCAAGCAAAAGGTATGACACTGTGCTTTTTCTGTAGCAGCTACGCGATTGGAATCTTGAATAGAGAGCTGACTTGACTTCCTAGTCGAATCGCGTCCTCGTCTCGGATATCGACAGCAAAAAGATCTACTTCAGCGCCGACGATCGTCAGCGTCTAAAGCAACTCGAAGACTACATCACGGACTTGATCGTAATTCTCCAGACGATGAACGATACCGTCTCTCGCATCGGAAAGAGTTGTCAGCGATACTGCGAAGTCGGTTGCCAGGATACATGCTCGTGCCGTTATATGGTTGAAGAATTCGAGGCATGTGCGGCAGAAATCCAGATATACCTGCAGCGCGCAGAGGTACTCAAAGCTCGAGTGCGATCGACTGAGCAACTGGTAGGTTTTCTTTTGATTCCGATCGGCAGGAGTGCTAATCAGGCGACAGTTGTCCGATTTACTTGGCTATGAGGAGACCCGAGCATTGAAGCGATTAGCGCAGATATCCCACGACGAGAGCCATAACATCACCGAGCTTACAGTGCGTGAGACTTCATCCTTCGAAAGAGACGTCGCTGATCCTGGTGTCTGATACAGAAGCAAAGCGTAAAAGACGCTGCGGCCGTGAAGATGCTGACCATTGTCGGCCTGGTGTATTTGCCCACCACCATTGTAGCGGTACGTGGGTTGTTTGTCACTTGAGAATGACGACTGATTGTTCTTGCTCAGAACTTTTTCTCAACCGAATTTGTCAAAGTCAACGATCAGGGAGATATGAACATCTCGAGGGAGGTTTGGATCATGGCCGTCTGTGCCATTCCGTTGACCTTCATCACGATTGGGGTGTGGTGGTTCTGCGTGCGATACGAGCCATGGACTGATTCACGGAGGAAATGGAATCAACTGATTGATTTCTGTCTGCGAAGAAAGAGGAAAGAAGAGGGGGATTTGGAAGGAGGCATCCAGCGGACGTCCACGGGGAAGGAATCCGCCATGTTCAGTTTGATGACTTCGTTTACAGATCGCGGGCCATCTCCCAAGAAACCAGATTAAACATGTGTATTAAGAGATGTTTTTTCTTTTCTCCTGTATTTCCTCTCTAAGAGTCAAATTTGGGTCTACGTAATCTCTGGTGTGGCTACGGACAAGTTACAACACTCACCGCGGGCTGCCAGAGTAAGCCCTAATGAAAAGTGATCGGATCAGGCGAATTCTCTCCTCTCTCACCTGATCGGGAGAGAAAGAGCAGGAACTTTCCAGCAGCCTCCAAAGAATACGAAGAAACCTAGCTCACTAAGCAGGCCAGGGTAGAGTGCGCCCCGGCCACAGCCTTGACTGGACTCGGTCCCCGCAATCGTCCACTCGAGTGACGGTCTCGAGCAGATGGGGAGACGGTGGCATTATGATCAGGTCAGAGACAGACTGCATATACTTTTTCTTTCCTTCCCTTCTGTCCGGAATGGCAGACAGCCGGAATCGGGGCCCAACGCATGGAGGAGGAAGACCACCGGCAGTCTGTCGTGTCCCCGGACCCCTGCTCTCGCCTCTCACTGCCTCTCTCCGTCAGCTTTTGACTGGCCATCGGCCAATAGATGGTGGCTGTGAAGGCGACGGAGGCTCGCCAGTGGTTAGTAATCGCCTGTGCAGAGTTGACGGCGTGGATTGATGATGTCCGCCTCCCCGTCAGTCAGTCGCGGGCAAGCGTTGAAACCCTCCACTCTTTGCCTTTCTCCGTCATCCGCCTCCTCGTCCCGATCCCGACTTTGGACCAACACCCATCTCTTATTTCTTTCTTTCCCCTTTGCCACTCGTTACCTTTCAATTTTATTCTCCCATCAATCATAAATTCAATTTGCTATCCGTTGTCTGCGTGCCCACTGCTGGTGTGAATTCGCCTCCCACCCACCCGTTCGCCCTCCGTCCGTCATAGTGTCTTCCATGCGTCAAATTGCCACTATATTAATAGCCCGTGCCACAGCTTCGAATACTTACCCTATTCAGGCGTGACACGATGAAGCTGTTATCACTGGTCCTCTTTCCCCTGCAGTGCCTGTTTGTATGCCTTCGTCCTCGGAAGCAACAGCAGCGAATCAAGCTTCCCGTCGCCGAATCTGACCACATCCCCGAAAGTCAACGACCGTTGCTCCCTGCCCCAGTTGGGATCGACGGTGGCAAAGGGTTACGTCCTCCGACTCTGTGCCGAGATGTATCAACGGCCAGCTCCAGATCCGTCCAAACCGAGCCTGGTTATAAGCAACTGAACCCCGCATTGGCGCATCTGCGAGATGATCTGCGAGATGCAGTCCTCGAGTGTCCCCTAGATGGGTTCGGATCATTCATCCCAACGTCAGTCCTCAAGAAACTCATCGACGAGGACACCGTGCGTTCAATTCTTCAAGGCGGGGGAGTGGTTGCCCACGATCACATCGACGAAACAACCCGGCACATCCTCCAACACTCCCGAAAACTCTTCGCCATCCTAGTCGATCGCGACAAGGCATGGTGTATCAGTGAGTTTATGGAGGAGGGGATTGGGGATGAGGATCTACCGTTCATTAGACGAGCCAGTGTCGGAGAACAGACCTGGACGCTGGAAACCCGTCAACGGCGCTGCATCAAGACGCTCGAAACTTGGGACCGCGAATCTCTCAGATCACTCGAAAAGGAGCAGTACCGCATGCTTGCGCCGCTGTTAGAGACCAAAAAACACCACGAGCTTACCGAACTCCAGACCCTCCCCTACATCGCACTAAGCAGCGCGGATACTCAGGAAGGCACGAGCACTGAGGGTGGATACGGCGAAGTCTTTCAAGCATGTATCCATCCCGACCACCACAATTTCTGGGAATACTCATCATGTGAGGTAAGTAAGGGAGTAAAGTCCTTCGAACATCATGGAGCTCTGCCTGCACGTTGTATGTCCGTGGCTTACTGGTTGGCTCCTTAGGGCAAAGGGCTGTTGGTCGCAGTCAAAAGACTTTACTCCTCCCAGGAGTCATCCTTCACGGCCGAGAGACAATTCCACGAAGCCTTGGGCACGAATCATACCCATGTGCACGTCATCGACCTTCTGTGCACCTATAAAAAGGGAGGGAAATATCATCTGGTGTTCCCGTGGGCGGACGGGAGCCTCCGGAAGTACTGGCGAGACAGGCCAGCGCCGCCGTTCGACGTGCGAACACTGCTGTGGTCTTTGAAGCAGATGGTTGGCATCGCCAGTGGCCTCTCTTTGATCCATCAGTTCAACGGTGGCACATTGTTCGGGCGGCATGGCGACATCAAAGCCGACAACATCCTTTGGTTTGCCCGTCTGCAGGACCATGACGACCAGGACGGTATCTTGCAAATCGCTGACATGGGTCTCGCCAGCTTTCATCGCCTCGGATCCCGGTCCAACGTGAATCCTGCATCGATAACCGTCCCCTCCACATATTCTCCGCCCGATGCATTTCGAGGGAGAAGAATTTCCCGAGCCTGGGATATCTGGAGCCTGGGATGCATGTACCTCGAGTTCGTCACGTGGATCGTGCTCGGGTATGAAGCCATCGAAGACTTCTCCAACTGGCGCGGCAATGACGATGACGACGAGGTGTTCAGCTCCGACTGCTTCTACACGACGGACTATCAGGAAATCCGAGCCTCGGTATTCGAATGGGTCGATCACCTCAAAAGTCAGGACAAATGCTCCGCCGTCATTCACGATCTGTTGGACTTGATCATGACCGATATGATCGTCCTAGAGCCTCAGCTGCGCATTCCATCGCAAAGAGTCTGGCACAGACTCACCGAGATCGTTAATACCGCCCAGGCAAGCCCGGAGTATCTGCTGGACCCTGTGCCTGTGCCTGTGCCTGATCGGCCATTGTTGGACGAGTAATACTCGACCTGACAGGATTTCCATTATCAGTATCACGACCACGACTCGAACAACCCGCGTTCAATTGTAATTGACCGCCATTGTGCTATATACCCCATTGTAACACTTTTTCTTTCTCTTTTTGCCTCACCTACTATTTTCATTCTCTTGCCGGACTTGATCGTGGTTGATGTGGTCGTGATGATTATTTAACTTGAGATGATGAATGTAGAGTATATTGACGTGAGTGAGGACCATGCTGATGAGCAGATAGGTGTATATGGATTTTTAATTTCTGTGGGATCTTTCTTTGGGTGGGATGGGACGGACTGATAAAGGGCGTTGTCGGGTAGAAACTTAGGCCAGATCTTTCTTTCAATCGCAACCAATTAACCCAGCCACCGAGTATGAATGACGTGGTGCAATGGCAATCGGTATGCAAACGAATCAGCCACGCGGCTGTCGTGCTTGTTCTTTGTGTCTCCTTCGATCATCCGTGTCTTCTGCTTGATTCGGTCTCGTAAGTCGCTTACAGATATTTAAAAAGTTAGGTTGGGAATCATTGGACTTTCTCTAGTTATACTGCAGGCGATGCTTGACATGTCACAACACGTCGCTTGGCGTGTTACGGAGTAAAGCCGGCTCCAGAACCACTCCAACTTGACGACCCACAGGCGGTCTCTACGGCAGCAGACACAAACGATATTCTCGACCGGGGTAAATCGTTACGCTACATTGCCAAGCAACATCAAGCCTGCTACTCATGAGTAAATTCAACATGCACGCACAACAACAGGACTGCTTAAATGTGAAGAACCACTATCAAATCACCCATATTGACAAGGCACCCGATCTTATATGGACAATGTCATCATGCCTGCGCAAGATATCGGATCGCTTTTCCGAGTCATCGTTATAAGTTCACGGGCAGTTGAAGACCTCAACACCGCCAACAACACCAAAAGCACGTCAAAATCACCCAAGAAAATACATCATGGCAAGTCAACCCGATGCCTCATACATTGAACCCCAATCCCAAAACACCCGCACTATACTAACAACCCCAACCAGTCTCTCCCAATCTCGATCATCAAATATGCAGCCTCCCCGGAGCACGCAACCATCGAGTAAGCCAACTTCCTACCCCCTTCAACCCGACCTAATCTAACCCGACGACTTGATCCAGCATCGTCGCAGTCCACAGCCTCTTCCCCTGCACGCCCCCCAACGAGATTGGCTCCAGCAACTGGACCACCGCATCAGGAACAAACTGGATCCGCGAGCTCCTGCCAAACATCATCCCCTACGCCCGGATCATGGAATACGAATACAACGCCAACGCAATCTTCCATCCCTTCAGAGAGCGAAAAATGCAGACCCAGGCCCTAGACCTCCTGCAATGCCTTTCGACCGCCAGGGCCGTAAGTCCCACCACCCCATCCCCAGCCCCAGCATGCAATAACAAATCACATCCCAGAACCATACAACCCGCCCCCTCCTCATCCTGTCCTACAGCCTCGGCAGCCTCCTCGTGCAAGAAGCCCTCTGCACGACCCTGCGCGAGCAAAAGTACCTCCCCATCTCGACCATGACCTACGGGCTGGTGCTCTTTGGTTCCCCGCACCGGCCACCCTGGTACATGTCCTGGGGGAAAGTGGTTGGCGAGATGGTCGAGAAGATGGGCCGGCCGGTGCGGGAGGTTCGCGAGGGCTTGAGGGTGCTGAATTCGTACTATACGCGGTTGCAGGACAGTTTCCTGCCGTTGTTGGCGGTTTATCGGTATTATCTTTTTGTGCAGAAGGGGACGGCGGAGGGGGGGAGGAAGGTAGGTAGTTTTTTTTTTTTTTTTTTTTTTTTTTTTTTTTCCTTTTTGTCTTGGGGTAATGGAGGCATGCTGGCTGACTGAGTGATGTAGACTGGGTATCCGTCAGCACTCTGTGCGGGGCTATTAGGGAATCAGGAGGTGAGGTGTATTCTGGACCGACAACATCGGGATCTATGCAAGTTTGCGTCGACGGATGAGGATTGGAAGGAAGTGGCGCGGGTGCTTGAGCAGGCTGCGGATGCGGCGCTCAAGTCGATGAATTATAGTATAATATTTCGGGAGCGGGGGACGAGGTTTCAGTATTGCGATGCGGAGGAGGAGTTGCGTCTCAGGGGGTATGCGTTTGAAGGTGAGTATTTAGGACTGTGATAGCAAACGCGCAAGACTGATGGAATCGTCGAATATAGAGCTGGATGAGCCGACACCGCTCTTGTCGCAGGCGGTGGAAAAAGCGAAGGACTTCCTCGAGAAGGTCAAGAATGAGAAGAAGGAAGGACGGTCCGGGGTGGATTACACGAATGAACTCATCAAGATCTCCGTTCGACGGGCGGGATGGATTATGCCGAGGTCGTTTCTTCTTACTGCGTATCATTTGGTATTCACTGCTCATCTGGAAAGGACGATGTTTCGAAGAGCTAACAAACCTTAGGTAGAAGGCTCAGCCATGGATTACGATGGAAGAGCTTTTCTGGCCCTGGAGACCCGCAGATTCCTCTGCCTACAGGTGACTCGGACCCTCGACCGAGCGTTCAATGCGCAAACCCTGGAGGGAGAGAATGAACAGTCTGCGAGGGAAGCCAAACTGGGTCGTCAATTGCGACAGGAGCTGGAAAGCCACGGGGGAGATCTATGGGAGTCGATTTTGAATCACATGCGGCTTCATAATGAAGCCCGCGAAAGGATGAACAAGATATGTGCCAGCCAGCATCCTCTCAGGCGTGATGGAGAGGAAGTAGCCCTGCAAGAATGGCGAGAGACGTTGAAGACGGAGCAGGGACTATCGGAATGGAGAGCACGGCTGGGGATAATCCGGGGCATCATTCAAATAGTCTTCTCGATGTGGTAGAGCTCGATTGTTGGCAGAACCTGATATTGGATGTCATTATTAAGGGCATGCCCCTAGCTATGTTATAATCATAATCTAAGCCTTCAGAATCTCCTTCGCAACCCTCTCCCCCGACCTCACAGCCCCATCCATATACCCCGTCCAGTACTCCGCCGTCTCTGTGCCTGCAAAATGAATCCCACCCACCGGCTTCCTCAGATAATCCTCTGCATATCGCGTCAACACCCCCGGCGGCGCATACGCCACGGGCCCTCCCCTCGAGAACTCCTCATGATCCCACCGCTGGATAACCCACGAACTGACATTCGCCGCCTCCGGCCCAAAATACCTCACATAGTCCTTGACGACCTCATCCTGAATCTCCTTCTCCGTCAAGCGATCCAACCTCCTCATCTGATCCGCCTCCATGAACCCCATGATCGCGCCAAAGCTCTCGTCCGGCGGCGAGCTATCAAACGTGGAGCGCACCGCCCCCGAATCGCTCAGCACCTGCGCATTGAGCCCCTTCGCGCGCCACCACGGCGACTCGTAGATGGCCACCGCTTTCCCCAGCGCCCCCATCGGCATGCGCTGCGTCAGATGGTCCCTCCCCGGCGGCAGCAGCGGGTCGTACGTGATTCTCGCGGCTAGGGGCGGCGACATCGCCACGACCACGTGCTTCGCCGTGATGCTGTGCGCGTCCGACTTCACCACGTACTCTCCCCCGTCTGTCTTCTGGATCCCGCGCACCGCCGAGTTGAGCAGGATATTCTCCTCGCCTAGCTTCGAGGCCAACCGCGTGGCCAAGAGCTGCGTTCCCCCGCGGATCCGACTATCCTGCGCCGCGCCCGTCACCCCAATCAGCCGCTCCAGCGTCCCCACGGAGGTCTCGTTCCCCGCGGCGGCGATATACGCCGCGATATAGAGCAGACTGGGCTCGGCCATGTTCGTGGACCAGATGGCGCCGACGCCGAGTTCCAGCAGGAACTTCGCGTCCGAAAGCGTCAGGATCCCGTCCGCGAATGTCTGCAGATTCACCTCATCCCAAAGCGTCGCGTTCGTGTGCTTCCACGGCGCCGCAACGTCAATACTTCCGGCCATGCGGTCCAGCTCGCCGATCACCGCAACAGCCTGAAGCAGCGCATCGTTGCTTATCCCCGTCGGGAGGCCGGTGGGAGTATTCGGGTCATAGTGCGAGGCCGACCCGTTGCGGTACAGCGTGTTATTACCCAGATTATAGGTCGGGAAGGGTGTGAGGCCCAGGTAGTCTGCGAGCGCGAGCACGCGGTCTTGTGTGGGCCCGATGAATTCGCCGCCCGCTTCGGTGAACCCGCCGCCTTGGACGGGGGCGTTGTAGACGCGGCCGCCGACGCGGTCGCGGGCTTCGAGCACGACGAAGGATTTGCCGGCGGCGGAGAGGTCCTTGGCGGCGCTGAGGCCGGAGAGGCCGCCGCCGACGATGGCGACGTCGACGGTGGTTTGGAGGGCGAGGGTGAGGGAGGGGAGGGTTAGGGCTAGAGAGAGGGAGAGCCCGGGGAGGAGGTTGTGGGTGTGCATGATTATGACCTCGTGGAGCTGGATTTACTCCGTGTTAGAGGGAATGCGATGAGAGAAAGCTAGGACCGACGGCTTTTTTATAAGCTGAAGGAATTGCCTCGTCGAGGCGAAGTCGAACAGCAACCAGTCACACTGCTCCAAGGCAGAGTATTACATGCTGGGATGCATGCAGTAGTGGCGCTCGGCACTCGGGGCATGCGGTCATACCAGCCCTGATGAGTATCCTCCGTGTCGATCTTTAATCTCTGGAGATGGATTCATTTCCTATCCTTGTCTCTGTCTGCATTTATATTGGCGACCGGAGCTAGGCATCTCCGTTAGTGACTTCCGAGACCCGAGAATGTACACACCGAACAACGAACAGCGAGCTCCGAAACTGAAGATCTCACTTACAATGCCGTTTAGAATCAAAAAATGCTGACTCCTCGGCATTCAGAAAACAAGAAAACAGGAATCGCAGTCAGCCGCCCCCAAAGATAAAAATAAAAAACGGGGCTGCGATGCGCACCCCGCCTCAGCAGTCTGTCCCGACGCTAGAGTGCGAGTCCGGGGTCCCTGGTTCGTAATCTCCGTTCTCTAATAAATGTTGACTCTGATCATACGATTCATTTCAGGTCAATATCGCTGCTGGTTTTTATTTCTTCTGATATTACATCGTTGCTTTGAGAGAAAAAAACCCCCCCGAACAGATCAAATTTGCCTGTATAGCCAAATCCAAAAAGCGCCAAAAGCCCACCGCTATACAAACCCACGATCCTCGACCAAGATAAAGAAGAGCTTATAAGATCGTGAAACCCAAATCAAACCGGTCGCACAAACGCCTCAGTGCATCTGCCAGGGCAGGCGTACCTTTTCCGTCTTGCATGGACCAAGACCAGGATAAAGCTTGGCAGATCCCTCAGACAGTCATTGTTGAAATTAAATCATAATAATGAAGGGTATTATTCATTTCCACCCGGTTTGACTGATCCAACGGTGCTCGAAATACGAGATGGCGCTCCTCAGGATTGGTGGGGGAGCGGAAGGAAGATGTCTCCTTTGGAGACGAAGGCGTTTTAGCAGCTCCTTGGCCCTAACCAAGCAGTCAGTATTATGTGTCTTGCTAGTGATGCCATTTCTTTTCACATACGGACTGGCCGGTGAGAGGGGCTTGCTGGGCGCTGGAGGGGGAGGCGCGGGAAAAAGCTTTGAAAACTTTGAAAAAAGCCCTATTCAAATTTGTTAGCTAGAACAATTTTTTTGAACAATCATATTAATACCTACTTACATTGTGACTGTTTGTAGTTTGTTGGAAGAAGACAAGAAAGAAAAGAACGCTGTCCGCGTAGGACCTTTGCTTAGAATCATGAAGACATTAAAATCGCAGTCTTCTATCGACAATAGAGGCTTTCGTTCCGTCTTATCATGATGCAATTTGGCACGAGCCGCAAGGAAGGGCTAAATATTCGTATAGAAAATAAGTATCAGGGTCCTGTCGAAACAATTTCTGTCCGGACCATGCCCACTTTGAAGGTACCATTTCCTAAGATCACTGGATCCGCCAGGAAGGAACGCAAGGTGTGTAATAAGGAAAGCACCTGTGTCAGGGCATACTACCTTCACTTGCCAAACTCCGCGCAGTTATTTTCATTACTCCATATAAAGAAATCAGACAGTTAGATATTAAAAGGTCGGAATATAGACCGTAGATATCTTTTGTACTTAAGATTCGATATACCCCCTCGCATATTGTTATTGATGCTTTTCAAAGCATAGAAACGTGCTGAAAGAGTTGTTCAAGCTGTTGTTGATCGACCACAATGTTGTATGCATGAAACAGCAGACGGCTTCATGGCTTTAGCTTTTCTTTTCTTCGGGGAGTCATAACAAGAGATTTTGAACGTTCTTTCATTTTCAAACTTGCAATTTTCTGCGAGAGCAATCGAAGCAACTGCAGAGGCACGCGTTTCAGCTTCCAAGAGCCCACGATCAAGCGTCAGGCACGATCTCGGAGTTTCGACTTTTCGGCTTATCTGTCAGAATCCCATGATTCAATATTGGTGACATTTAGGGAAATCGATCCCATGGCTGCAATGTATTCGTCGGCATCGGCCATTATATTGAGTCTCCAGCAAACTTTGTTGAGGATTTTTTGAAGTTCCGGGTAAGTGAATTTGCTCCATTTCGTTGCGGAGGTCATTTGATGGTTGACCATATAGTCCGACGTTTGATGCAAGGCTGTTACGCCCAGGGAATGAGTTAATAAAATTTTCAAGACGGTTCAAATCCTTTTCAGGGACCCAGCTGAGCGAGTGGTTACCGAGAGACCAGTTCCAACTGTCTGGATTCCGCTTGGGGGATCTCTTTCAACATGTCCCAACGCTCTCTAAACTGAACAGGAGCGTGTCGATGCGTTTTCTCCAATGGGCTTCCCAATCATCGTTCAGAGCAACAAAATGAACATTCTGGCCTTCGAAGAAGGTGTCGATAGATACCGCCTTGTCGTAAATGCTACTTGCGAGATCCATATAAATTGGATGGGCATATGGGTGCTCAAGAAAAGCTAAGATTTTGTGGAGCCTGTATGAGACGCTAGTATCGTCTTGTGGTAATTTCTGTTGATAAGCCATTTGAAATCCGAAATGACTATGTTGTATCCCCTTCTGTAAATCAAGTTTGTACAAGGCAAAGCCTTGAAGTTGCCCTTGCCGATTATCTTTTGGATATGAAAACTTCTGGGTCGCGAAAGAAACTGGCTTCGTCGAGCGTTGAAGCATCAATCTCACCGACTGACATCATTTTTGTTTCCAGCTGGAAGTGGATGAATTGGCTTGGGCTGTCAAAGTCATCCGTGTATTTGTTCACAAGATATGTTGGCTCTAAACATATCAAAAAGGCCTTGTAATTTGTGTGCGTGTCTGAAAGAGCCTCTGTTAGTTTGGCCGTCTTATAGCATACTGGATCAGATCAAACCTACATCCGGGGCGGCAAATATGGTGAAATAGGTAGAAGTCACTGAGGAACCACCCATTCAACATCTGCGATTTCGAAGACTCCGACGGTGGCATCAGCTGGCTATGATGTTCTGAATGCTAGATCCATATAGTCCGTTGTGTTTGATCGTTCGGAGCGAGGCGACCCATACCCAGGACATGGGGCTGCTCGCCTCCGGTTCAAAGTCGGCTTCATATATATAAGCTGTTGAGCTGTAGGAGAGTAGGATTCTGTGAGAGAAGAGAAGGAGAGGATGCAGTTGAAGAGGGGAAGAATCAGGATTGAGATATTGAATGGGTGGGCCATGGAGGTGAATGTTCTACTGGAGAGGGGATAATTCCCCTATAGCCGGACTTTTCCTTCTACAATGGTGAATATTGAAGTAATTTCCTTCACTGGTCTACTGATCGAAATTGCGAGCCTCCTAGTCACAGTTGCGAGATAGTGAAGCAATGCAGTAAATCTTTCCACTACCGCAACAATGAAACAAATTTTGCGTCTGCCTGCCCCTAGAAAATTAATTAACTTGCAAACATGTCTGCTATCCGGCATCCCGGGTACCTGTACCCGGGATCACCAGCGAAGTTTCTCCGGAATGTATAATCCGCTCAGCTATTAATGTCCAGCAACGAAAATAATCAGTAACCACGATATCCACCGCCTCCCACACTCCCACAAACTCCCCACAAACCAACCGGGCAATTAACGTGACTGCCTTGCGCTATACTCGATAGGAACTCGGCTGAGGGCTCATCTCCGAGCAGCAGACTGCGAGATTTGATGCTGGTGATGGAGTGAACAAACTAGGGTACCGGACTGCTGGAAACGGGGCGCAACGGTTTTCCTCATACATCTACATCATGCATGATTTTAAATAGGGCTGAAATAGATCCAATGAGATACCAGGGGGACCTGCTTGATATAAGCAATTGTACAGCATCCAACAAAAAGCCTGAAGAAATCCATGAGGACGCTGTTATCCCCGAGTCTCCGAGGAAGTCGGCCTGGAGTTCCCGTTCGGGTTAGACTGGTTCCACAGCCTCAGGCACGGATTGACATCGAACTTTCCCTTACGTACGACACGCTGCTCCCTGAACGGAGTCTGTCCGGTCGAACGTGGCAAGGAAAGTTAATTATACCCAGAACAAATGAAAAAGAAACAGCTGAGGCAGTTGGGTGTTTCGTGTCGTGGTTCATAATTGGTATGATTGACCGCAGTCAACCCTGATAGAACTTCTATCATAGAAGTGAACACCCGAGCCTCTCAGACATTCGAATCGGCTACTAATTCCAAACTCCGGGTCAGTCTCTTCCGCGAAATATAGCGTGACATTCTTCAAGCCCTGCCGACTGTGGAGACCAATTAAGCTTACTCCCAGGCAGCAATCAGCATGTCCCAATCAATCTTATCAAGATCTTTCCTCGGTTCCACTCCGATGCCGCGTCACCCTGGCAGGGCTGTTCAACTTATGAGACCGTGGAATGACGCGGCAGATCAGTCTAGTCTGGCTTGATGTTCTTGGCTGTGCCACGCAATATTCTCTTCAATCCGGAATGAAGCCTGGTCTAGAGACTGGCCATCGCAGAGGGTCGGAGTATAAATAGACCTGCATGGCCGTTGGTTAAGATCTTGTCAAGCAAGACATTCGTTTCTCTACGCTCATTCTTAACCTTCTTTCTCTTCGCCATGCGCCCTCATTCCAGCGTGGCTGTCGCTGCCCTGGCAGCAGCGGCCAACGCCGTCTCTCTGACTGATGTCTGCACCAAGTCCAACGTGCAGGACGCCCTTCCTTCCAACGGCACCTTGCTGGGCATTGATCTCATTCCCTCCGCCGTCACCGCAAGCCCCGTCTACAACGCCTCCGCCGGCATGGGCAGCACCGAGACCTTCACCTACTGCAACGTGACCGTCACCTACACCCACACCGGCAAGGGCGACGAGGTCGTCATCAAGTACGCCTTCCCCAAGCCCTCCGACTTCAAGAAGCGCTTCTACGTCGCCGGCGGCGGCGGCTTCTCGCTCTCCAGCGACGCTACCGGCGGTCTGTCCTACGGTGCCGTCGGCGGCGCCACCTCGGCCGGCTACGACGCCTTCGACAACAGCTACGACGACGTCGTGCTGTACGGCAACGGCTCCATCAACTGGGACGCCACCCACATGTTCGGATACCAGGCCCTCGGCGAGATGACCTCGCTCGGCAAGGTCCTCACCCGCGGCTTCTATGGCCTCTCCACCGACGCCAAAGTCTACACCTACTACGAAGGCTGCTCCGACGGCGGCCGCGAAGGCATGAGCCAGGTCCAGCGCTGGGGCGAGGAATACGACGGCGTCATCGCCGGCGCCCCGGCCTTCCGCTTCGCCCAGCAACAGGTCCACCACGTCTACCCGGCCACCATCGAGCACACCATGGATTACTTCCCTCCGCCCTGCGAGCTCGACAAGATCGTCAACGCCACCATCGCCGCCTGCGACCCTCTCGACGGCCGCACCGACGGCGTCATCTCCCGCACCGATCTCTGCAAACTCCACTTCAACCTCACCTCCATCATCGGCGAGCCCTACCACTGCGCCGCCCAAACCAGCACCTCGCTCGGCTTCGGCTTCAGCAAGCGCCAAGCCCCCGGCAGCTCGACCAGCTACCAGCCCGAGCAAAACGGCACCGTCACCGCCGAAGGCGTCGCCGTCGCCCAGGCCGTCTACGACGGCCTCCACAACTCCGATGGCCAGCGCGCCTACCTCTCGTGGCAAATCGGATCCGACCTCAGCGACGCCGCACCCACCTACAACAGCAACACCAGCGCCTGGGAACTCAACATCCCGTCCACCGGCGGCGAATACGTCACCAAGTTCATCCAGCTCCTGGACCTCGACAACCTCTCCGACCTGAACGGCGTCACCTACGACACGCTCGTGTCCTGGATGACGACCGGCATGGTGCGCTACATGGACAGTCTCCAGACCACCCTCCCGGACCTCACCCCGTTCCTCTCCTCGGGCGGCAAACTCCTCCACTACCACGGCGAATCGGACCCCAGCATCCCCGCCGCCTCGTCGGTGCACTACTGGCAATCCGTGCGCTCTGTCATGTACCCGCACCTCTCGGAGCAGGAGAGCCTCGACGCCCTGGCCGACTGGTACCAGTTCTACCTTATTCCGGGGGCGGCGCACTGCGGCTCGAACTCGCTGCAGCCGGGCCCGTATCCGCAGGTGAACATGGAGACGATGATCGACTGGGTGGAGAACGGGAAGAAGCCGAGCCGGTTGAACGCGACAGTCTCGGAGGGCGATCATGCGGGTGAGACGCAGATGCTGTGTCAGTGGCCGAAGAGGCCGCTGTGGAGTGGCAATAGCTCTGCGTTTAGGTGTGTGGATGATGAGAAGTCGATTGAGAGCTGGACGTATGAGTTTGAGGCGTTCAAGCTGCCGGTTTACTAGGTGTCGGACAGAGATTGCAGGAGGGGGGTGTATATGTATTGTATGATCGTTCAGTAGGGTGAACAGAAGATAGGAAATTGCTTAAGTGTGGTTTAATCATTCCAGGCTTGCTTGAATCCCCGGGTCAATCTATTCGTAAGACATCTGAACCCATCTTTCCATATAGAGTTAGCGTGTATTATCTGCTCGACTTGTCCATGATCGGTTCGAGATGGGGGCGGTTGGTTGCGATATCAAGAAAGGTAAAACAGATAATAAAATAGGGAGGTTGTGCGATGGTATATATAGCCGGATACTTTTGTTTCACTGTTATTGTTTTTTTGGGAAAGAAAAAAGAGACAACCCATTAGGACGAAATCTTTAAAGGAACAAGGCTGAACCAAAAATATATATCCACAGGAGGAAAGCGGGCAAAGTGCGAAAAATGTGTTCGTCGACAATCGGACTCCGATATTTCATCATAAAAGCTCAGGGTGAGTGCTAATACACTTAGAAAAGATCTACCAACACTAAATACAAGTAAAAACATCATGGATGTCAAAAGAGGAGGTGTTGTCCACAACTACTCGACAGCTGCCATCGCTACACTGCCTATCGGCAAATGCTGAGTATAGTCCACTCTCCATCCCAGCCCTTCAACAATCAGGCAATTTGGCCGAGTGGTTAAGGCGTAAGACTCGAATTGAGAGGTTTTCCAACCTCCTCAAATATTGATATCTTATCCCTTCGGGGTCGCAGGTTCGAATCCTGCAGTTGTCGATTGATTCTTTTTTGCTTGTTCTTTTTTTTGGTCCCTCGGGTCTGGCCGAGTTGGTGGCACTTTGCCCCGCTCTTGTTAGTGCGGGATGTCCGTCCACTTTTCTCTTTTGCATCCACTCAACCCACCATGTACAGCGTCAGCCTTCCTGTCGCTTCGATACCCGAGCTTTTCATCAAAGATTCAAACTGATTCATCGCCATTTCTGATTCTACTAATCTATCGTCTAGAGTGATCGTCCAACACGTATCCCGATAAGGCTCTGTATACATCTACCACTCCGTACATGTCTCCAAGATGTCAGTCAACGACCGATGAGGCTCTCTTGGACCATCTGCCATCTAACTCTCCTCTGTATAACACGTTAACGAGTCTAGAGTGCTCGTCTCCCCGCATTGCTCAACCTGTTTACTGTGTGTGGTCCTGACGGGACGGGAAGGGGCCGATCTCCAGTACAATGGACCATCAGCCTCTCCATCAGCCTATCCACTTCATCCCTTCGTACGCTTTTCTTACTAAGAAGAATATGGGCGTCGGGGCGTGTAACCCACGACACCCCGGGCACGGCTCTTTCCCTATTCAATACAAGATAGACAAATCGATGCAGATCAATGGCGCCGCCCCGGCTTTCAGCTGGCAACCTTGCAGATCCGGCTGATTGATCGCCGGTCACGATCTCGGTCGCAAATATTACCTGGCAAGAGAACCACCCTTCCTGCCATGGCATCCTCTTTTTCGCAGTCACTTTGCTTGGCGTTCCCGACACGATGACCATGCTAGACAGCCCTCACAAGACGGAAGACGAGCAGTTGCTTTCTAAGTCACCCGCGGTCAGAATCAAGAAACTGGTTGCGCCTTTTAGAAATGCATCCCCGAAGTGGAACACCGTCATCCTCGACACTTGGACGTGGGAGATCATCTCAATGGCTTTCAGCATTCTTTTTTTCCTCGCCATCGTTGGTGTCTTGGGATTCTACGACCAGAGGAAAATGCCCGATTTGCCCCAAGGATTAACGTTGAACACCGTCGTGTCCATTCTGGCCACTGGCTCCAAATCTGCCCTTCTTTGCATGATCGGCACTTCCATGGGCCAGTTGAAATGGCTGTGGTTCTCGGGGAGAAAGTCTCCACTATATGACTTGCAATTTTTCGATGATGCCAGTCGTGGACCTTGGGGCTCAATGATGGCCCTGCTGAAATGGCCACAAAAAGGACACCTCCTGATTACGCTAGGTGCCTTGATCACAGTCGTCTCCCTCGCATTCGACCCATTTACACAACAGATCTTCAAATTCCCCGTCAGAAATGTTCCCAGCGATACCAGCAATGCAACGGCCAAGCAGGCAATACTTCCATGGATTCCAACGGATGGAATTGACTCAAGAATATTCGATGCGATGAACGCCGGGATCTACTCAGCCGATTTCGAGTTGGATCCGGTTTGCCCGTCGGGAAACTGCACTTGGCCCCCCTTTCAGTCGGCGGGCTGGTGCAGCAAATGTGAAGATGTCACCGCTCAGGCCACGCCTGTTGGCTGTGATATTACTTCATTCAATACCAGCCGACATGAGGACCAAAATTTGCCCTGCAATATTACTTTTCCGGACGGATCTTGGATTAACGTTGATTTATATGGGTATTGGAATGAGATGATCTCTGCCCATGTACTGTCCATTCCAATGGTACAGGTGACGAGGGTCAATAATGAAATAAAAGGGCCTCATCTGAACCAGACCATCTTGGGAGTCTACAGCCCGCTTTCAGCATTTGTTCTCGTTGAGTTTAGGGACCTCACTGCCCCAGTTGCCACCACATATTCTGTTGAACAGCTCCAGGAGAGAACCGGTATTACGCACGCCACGGAATGTGTATTGTCACCGTGCGTGAGGACATACAATGTGTCTGTCTCTGGAGGAGTTCCCTCCACCCGGTCTTCACTACCTGATTTTGGTGAGATATTTCACCCTGAGCATTACCCAGGCATGAAAACCACACCACAGAACCGCGAGAATATTGACCAAAAGGAATACGAGAAATCCTCAGCATGCTGGAAGCCTGATCAGGGGCAGTCTGTCGATGTTATGTTAACCACGGACACATGGCCGACTGCGTCCAACTTGTGGCGCAACAACACCAAATTTGCCGGCTGTCCAGTTCATGATTGCACAGAATTTATTGATTTGGTGGGAACAATATCCTCACCTTTTGTATACAATGGCTCTGAACAATTTTGGCAATATCCCGACCCGGACCAGCGAAGGTTATGGCCAAGGTCACCGCCAGCCTTGCAGCACATTATCAGCTCCGGCTTTGCACATGTTATGGAGAACATCGCAGCGTCGTCGACAAAGTACGCTCGAAATATCAGTAATCAGATGGCCTATGGCACTGTGTATGAACCGCAGACGTATGTTATAGTGGATTGGCTCTTTCTGACACTCCCAGCCGTGCTGGTCGCGTTGGGGATTGTCTTTCTTGCGTCGACGATCATAGTCAACAGCAGGCAAAACTTGAGTCTGTGGAAGTCCTCTGTGTTTCCTATGATGTACAATGAACTTATGAAAGAGATGGACATTGAAGGGTCTGCCAGTGCTAGCTCAATGGAACGGACGGCACGGGAAATTACAGTGAAGCTTGAAGTGTCGGATACTGGGAAGAGGATGCTGGTGGCTCAGAGGTCATGAGGTTAGTATAGATTTCTGCTAGCAGGTGAGCGATATGTTGTTTTGCCTGCAGTATTGGGTAGGGTCTGGTAAGGTTTATCACTTGGACACTTTGAATGGTGCAGCAGCAATATGATATTATCTTGGTCATGAATTAGCAGAGTGTTCTACTTTCAGAGCTGATTACGTTCACCCGGAACGCTGCAATATCGAACGCCAAAAGTCCATCCATCCTGGAATCTACGAAGTCTCCACAGGCACCACGGTCTCAGCAACTCGGGACTTCTTTTTCGGACTTCCTTCCTGGTCCTCCGACCCAGCCTTCTCTGCCGCCCCATTACTCTGGCCTACCGCCGCCGCCAACTTCGCCTGCCGATGCAGCGCCCTCGGAGGCATACTGCCCGTCTTCGCCCTCTCCAGAGTCCTCTTCCTCCGACTCTCCCAAGGCCCATCATCCTTCTGACGAATATAATACGCTAGATCCGCCGTCGGATCCCACTCGGTCTGCGAAACGCCGATCCCCAGCCACGAGAACCGATTCCCCTCATACACAATCTCCCAATCATCTGCTCTGGGCTCCTTCATCGCCTCCAAATAGTGCAGCGTACTTCCCGGCCACGTCGTCGGGACCCGGCCCCCGATGGTGTGGTTGTTATGCGAGTTCCGACAGCGGTCGGTCCAGACCGCTTTGTCCATGAAGGAGGCGACGTGGGCCTTGAAGTCGTCGCAGGCGCGCTGCTTGGGCGCCATGCTGTGGATCGGCTCGGTCTGGAACCGGTCGATGAAGGAGCAGATGTAGTCGGCCTGGGCTTCGATGGCGACCAGCGTGGGGCCGTTGGACACGGGCGTCCAGGGACCCAGCATCGTGAAGGTGTTGGGGAACTCGGGGATGCCGACTCCCATGTAGCCGGTGACGGAGTCTGCCCATTCGTTTTGCAGGTTGCGGTCGGATGGGCCGAGGATGGGGTATCGGGGGATGTAGGAGGTGTCGAAGCCGGTGGCGCAGATGATCACGTCGCCGGAGTGGGCGGTTTCGTTGTTGCTGGTGCAGCCGGATTCCGTGAAGGAGGTGACGCTGCCGTGGACAATGCTGACGTTGTCTTTTTGGAGGGTCTATCTGGGTCAGTTTATGCTGAAGAGAGGGGGAGGGATGGAGGTACCTTGAGATAGCGGAAGCCGGAGGGGATGACTCTCTTGCAGCCGACAGCGAAGTCGGGGATGAGTTTCTCTTCGAGCTCCTTGTCTTGGAAAAGCTTCTTCATTTCCGACTCGAGTAGACCCTTGCACTGTTCCTGCAAGACCGTGTTCTTGAGATAGACCGCTAGAAAGAGTTAGCACAAGATCAACCACCACAGAACAGAGAGCAAGCATACTGAAAATACTGTTCATCGTGCGCTCATTATTCCGCCTCAACTCCAACACACTCTCCGGATCCTCGACAAACCGCTCAATCTCCTCTTTCGAGAAGGCGCCCGCCTCGGAGCTGATATCGGGCAACACCCACACGGGCGATCGAATGAAGATCGTCACGCTCTTCGCGATCGGCTGAATCGCCGGAAGGATCTGCACCGCCGAGGAGCCACCCCCGATGAGCAGCACATCGCGACCCTCCAGCGACACGGTCTCGTCGTAATCCGCACTGTGCAGCTTCACGCCCTGGTAGCTGTCCAGCCCCGGGACGTCCGGCCACGCCGGCTTATTCAGATACCCCGTGGCGTGGACCAGGATGTGACACCAGTCGGCGCGGGTCTCGCCCGACGCTAGATCCTGAACCTGCACGAGCCACTGGCCCTTCTGGGCGTCCCATCTGGTCTCGGTGACGCGATGCTCGAGCCGGATGAACTGCGCCAGGCCGTATTTTTGCGCAAAGCCCGCGAAGTAGCTGCGGATCTCGGACGAGCCGGCGTACACCGACGACCAGTCGGCCTTGGGCTCGAACGAATAGACGTAGTTGTGCGAGGGCACGTCGCAGGCGCAGCCGGGATAGCGGTTCTCGTACCACGTACCGGACACGTCGGGGTTTTTCTCGTAGATCTGGCGGTGTGAGTTGGAGCTTAGAATTGGGGGAATGGGCACATACGGTGAGGGAAAAGTTGGCGAACGAGCGCTGCAGCTTGTATGCCAGACAGAGTCCCGAGGCACCGGCGCCCACGCAGATCACCTTGACATGGCGCTCGTGGTGGATGGCGTCTTCACGCGAGGGGTCCATCGTGAGGATTAGAAGATTTCAACGACTCTAGATGCGGATGTTGCATCGGAGACGGGAATGCGTGAATATATTGAGTGTTGCCACGGTTCAGGAAGACCGGAAGCGAGTCAAGGCCTGGATGGATTCTCAGATGTTTGGCCCCTGTTCCTCTAGTTCTAGTTCTAGTGTCTAGTGTAATGACAACGTGGTGCCATTGTGATAAGAGTCCAGACTAAAGTCCCGCATTTCGGCCCCATTTTTATGAAGTGATTACAATCGAATAAATCTTATGAAGTAGAACAATCCTCACGCTAATTTCTCACGAATTAGTCAGGTCGCGTGGAAAAAGAAGCCAAATCGACGGTACGCGACAATCTCAGTTCTCTCCTTTCACCTCTCCGATCTCTCCATCATCCCTACTCTCTCTTCACCTCCATTCCATCCGAACACACCATCATGCCACCTCTTGTCCTCCTCACCGGAGCCACCGGCTACATCGGCTCGCGCGTGCTTCTGGAAGCCCTGCGCAGCGGCTACCACGTCCGCATCAGCGCGCGCACCCCGGAGAAGGCGCAAAAAGTGCTCTCCAACCCCGTCATCCAATCTCTGTCGCCCGGCGCGCGCCTCACCTCCGTCGTGATCCCCGACATCACCGCGCAGGGTGCCTTCGACGATGCCCTGCAGGACATCACCTACGTGATCCACGTGGGCTCCCCCGTGCCGGTCCCCAGCTACGATCCGATGACCGACATCTACCAGCCGACGGTGCAGGGGACGTCCAACCTCCTCAGCTCCGCGCTCAAACACCCCTCCATCAAACGCATCCTCATCACGTCCTCCATCGTCGCCAACATGACGCCCATCCCGGACCCGAACGTGCGCGTCTCCGCCGCCTCGCGCGTCCCCATCCCGCCGCCCACCTCCCTCTCCTCCGTCTTCGAGGGCTACATCCTCGGCAAGATCAACGAGATCAACAACACCGACGCTTTTGTCGCGTCGCACAGTCCCCATTTCTCAGTCGCCCACGTCATCCCGGGCTACGTCTACGGCCCGAACGTCCTGTACCCGGGCGACAACGACGCCCTCGTCAAGAACTCCTCCAACGGCCTCCTCATCGCCTCCGTCACCGGCGTCGCTGTCCCCGTCCCCGTGCACGAAGGCTTCGTGCACATCGCCGACCTCGCCGACATCCACCTCAAGGCGCTGGAGTACGAGCCGCGGGAGGGCGGGCCGCGGGCGTTCGGCGCGTGCAACTTCGCCGACTACGCGGCCACGTTCGATATCGTGGCGAAGGCGTATCCGAAGGCCACGGCGGAGGGGGTGTTTTCGAAAGGGTCGATGCCGACGCTGCCGGCGCCGTATGACTCCAGCGAGACGGAGAGGGAGCTGGGGGTGCGGTTTCGGTCGTTCGAGGAGGCGGTGGTGGATGCGGCGGGGCAGTTTTTGGAGAATTTGGGGAGGGAGAGGGTTTAACTTTCATCGTCTTTCCATTTTCGTTCTTTTTTGAAGGTCGGGTGTATGTAGACTATACAATAGAATGATCCTCGGCTAAATGAGATACCTTACATACTGCGTACGGAGTACTCCGAAGAACCGGATCAATAAGCTCCAAGGCACGGCAGTGAAGCCGCGCACAAGCCAACGGCGTCACGCTAGCCAGACGATGGACGGTGGACGATGGGGGCGAAATGAAACCGGACGGTTTGACGGACTGGACTAGGATGTTCATGTAATCAACTCCGATCACGATGATCTCGGAGAATTTGCATTCCTCCGAGATCGACATACGGCAGGTGGCTGTATAACATATCCCCTGCCCTCCCCCCTGTCCTCCCTCCCAAACGAGAAAAAGAAGAAAGAAAACGAATGGAAGCACCGGAAGTGCTAAACCCCCTCGACACACTCTGCAGGGTTCCCCTCTTCTGAGTCTTGTTGATCCTTGCCTCGGAACTGCGCTAGAGACGCGGTGATCTTTTAGCGTCCGGCAGCCACTTCTGCTGCTCTTGGATTATTCTCTTGGATCCTCTTGGGTCTGGCCCTACGTGCCCTCCGATAGGCACTGTATTTCCGACTCCGGTGTAGCATTGCATTGGTTTCTACTCCGTAACACATACTTTAACTGGGGGCTTTTTTTTTCTCACCCCTCGCACATGGCTAAGTACCTGTCGAATTAATAATCGACACCGCTAACATGAGGGTTACATCGGCCCCCAAAGGCCTGCATCGGAGGTCCGCGACGTCTTGGGTTGGGCCACGCCCTAACCTGAAGAATCTAGTCTTGCGATGCGACGTGGTTTTAATCAATCCAAACCAGCCAAATCAAATGAAACTAAATCAATAAGCCGTCCCATCCGATGCCCGTTAAAAATAAATGAAAAATATGTACAATCTATCCTGCCCCTCCTGTCTTTTGGGGCCGGCCGTGCTCTGCGTTGTCTAGAACACAGACTCACCTCATCCACTCCACTACTTTATCCCTGCCACCATGCCATGCCATGCCACGCGAGGGGCCAGTCCAGTCCCGTCCAGTCGACAATCCCGTCCTCCGTGCCCCGAAGCAGAGGATGTGACACAGACACAGACACAGACACAGTCAGGTCAGAACAGACCGGCAAGCAGACCCACTAGAAATGGCCCCTGCCCTGCCCTGCCCTGTCCTGCCACTACTCTGCCCCTGCTGCACCTGCACGCCGTCAGATTTTAGCCTTACACCTACACCCTCGCCCTCCCACTGGCCGACACGCTGTCCAGAAGCTTCGGCCCTTGCCCGTTCACATACGACACCACGCGCAGGTCTCCACCTTTCTGGACCGAGCATCCGATGTACGTGTGCAGGCCGCGGTCTTGCAAGGCGTCCGGGTGGCTGGGCGCTTGTTAGCGGGCGTTTTGGCAGCAGGGTTTGTTCGACATGGATAGGACATGGGTTATCGGGAGGGGAGGGGAGGGGCGGGGTAGAGACACGCGAGAGATGCAAGTGTAGACAGGGATGGGATGGGATGGGTTGAAACGGGATGGATGAATGACGCAGGTGGGAATCTTAAAAGATTAAAAATTCAAGACACGGAAGGGGGGAGAAAAAAAAAGACTCACCACATGCGTCGCATCACCGATGCAAAGTCTCCCCCTCCTCCTCCTCCCCGCATGGGAGAGGGATTCTCGGCTCCATCCTTGTCGCCGTCCCTGTCGACAGCACCGACCTGTGTGGCCATGAAGGAGCGAATGGCGGAGAGGACGTGGTCGTCGCAGCGGGCGTAGTGGCGAGCTGGCATGTAGATTTTCACCTTGAGGTCTGGACTCCCGGGGCGGAACTCGACGTTGTAGAGGAGGCCGTTGGTGCGGTGGGTGCTGGAACCCAGCGGGTGAGAGTCTGGCATGCCGGACTGCTCGAAGACGGCGTCCCAGAGTCTGCGCAGGTTCTGTAGCCCACGCACCATGTCCGAAGACAGGGGGATGCGGCCGCCGAGGGTCATCATCTGGCGCACGGAGGCGAAGTCGGTGGCGCGGTTGCGGAAGTAGATTTTGAGGCGGGAGAGGGCGGGCGGGTCCATGTCGATGGCGAGCATGTCCATCTCCAGCGGCGGGGTGAGAGGGTCGCGTGCGAAGTCGTGGAACGTGTGCAGGGCCGCTAGCGAGGCAGGGGTCGTCGTGGTAGTGCTGCAGCAGCCAGGGGCCCGCGCGATGGCGTCGCTCATGACCTGCAGGTTGGACTGGGAGGTGGCGCGGGCGACGAAGCCCGGGAAGAAGTAGGCCTTGCTGGTGATGGCGTCGGCGGAGAGGTCGAAGGCGTAGAACAGCTTGGAGGGATGGCCTTCCATGGAGCCCGTGGGGGCAGTCGGGGTGAGTTCGCGGTCGAAGTGCTCGAACCAGGCCATGTGGGCGTCTGGTAGGGCTGCCGTCATGGCCGTCCGGAAGGATGCGTCCGCCGTGCGATTGTCGGGATCGACGGGCGTGCCGGCGTCGATGCCCACCGGTTCGACGGAGAAGCGCACCGTGGGCGACTTGTGTCCGGTGTGCCAGTCCCAGCTGAGTTCGATGGGGTGGTGGTCGTCCGTCATGAAGCTGTGCCATTGCGGTGCGCCGGGGATGTAGGTAGGGCCCAGCGACGGCGCGATGGTGCGGCCGAAGAAGGTCAGGATGCGATGTTGGGCCGTCGTCGAGTATCCAGCCTCGTCTAGGAGGGCACTCAGGAGGAGCCCCGACGTGTGCCACCAGTACTCGCCATGGGAGTCCAGCGACGACTGCACCTCCGTCGTCACTCGCTGGAAGGTGGGCGACTGCCGCGAAGACGTCGTTAGAGAACGCAGCGGTGACGGAGATGGCCAGAAAGAGAACAGGGATAGTAATTTAGCAGCAGTGGGATGAAGCGCCGAATAACACGGACGCAGCAGAGTGTAAGCCATGCCGGTCGTGGATGGGGGCCAGATGGTGGACTGCGATGCTTCAGGATCCAAGCGATCAACGGAGATACGAAGACCAGGACATGCCCGGGATGGGACGGGAGGAAATGGGCTGACGTCTTCTACAGAAGCATCCAGATTGCCCGGACAGTCGGATTTTATAACAATGGCATTCAGGAACGCCCTTTCGCGTCATACTTCCACACGTGGGATTCTTAGCTTCCGAAGCAGACAAGCCACTGCGCCTTCATCTCCCCCCGGCCCCCAATCGCCAAGGCAACTTGCCGATAAAACACGTTGTTGGAGAACGGGGCCTTTGCGACGCAGCGAATCAGCCCATCGCCAGCTCAACGCTCGGGGGTTTGGGACGCAGACGCTCGGCCCCGGTAGCGTGGCACACGACGCGTGGAAAAAGGTCTTAAATATTCAGGCCGGACTAGGGCCTGATGGCTTTTTCTTCCCTGCAACTCCCCTTCTGCACCCATCATGTCGTTCGTCGTGCTGGCCGGCCTCTGCGCCGTGGCTCTGGTGGTGGTTCAGCTGCTGCGCACTCGCTACAATGCCCTGTATCCCATCCCCGGGCCCTTCTTGGCCAGTTTCTGCAACTTCTGGAAGGTCTCGTCCGTCTACCGGCACCAGATGCACGTCGACAACGTGGCGGCCCATGATCGCTACGGCCCCGTCGTTCGTATCGGACCGCACCATGTGTCCGTGTCGAGTCCGGAGGCCTTTTCCATGGTGCACGCCGCGCGCTCGGCATTTCCCAAGGTGAACAGACCTGTTCCCTGCTAGCATTACTCGCTGTCTAACCCGTCTAGACGGAATTCTACGAAGTGGGCGCCCCCAGCTATCGCGGCGGTCCGCTCGAGAACCTCTTCTCCATCCGCAACGTGCAGTACCACAGCTCGCTGCGCAAGAACATCGGCGGGCTGTACACCAAGTCCGCCGTCAAGGAGTTTGAGCCGCAGATCGCCAACTGCGTGGCCCTGTTCCTGCGCCGGATGCGCGAGGAGCAGGGCAAAGCGCTGAACATGTCGCTGTGGCTGCATCTGTACGCCTACGACAGTCTGGCGGACGTCAACGTGTCGGAGAAATTAGGGTTTCTGGAGCAGGGCAGCGACGTCAACGGGATGATCGCGGCCGCCGATCGCATCTTCGTGCTGGTCGGGCTGGTGGGTATCGCTGCCCACAATTATCCGATGGATCGACTGACGTGCTCTTCTCCAGCTGACCCAAGCTCCGATCCTGCATCTCGGATTGCGCCTGCTGCGATCGCTCATGCCGGCGGAGAATTCCGAGCCGCTGATCCAGTACTCCTTCGACAAGGTCGAACAGCGCCAGAAGTCTTTGGAGAAAAAGCCCGACATGCTGAACAAGTTTCTCTCGCTGCATGAAGCGCAGCCGGAGAAGGTGTCGGTGCGCGAGATCAAGGCTGCCATCTTTATCAACCTGTAAGACGTCACTTATCCATTAGATGACTTGTTGCTGATTGCTTAGAATGGCCGGCCACGACGTCCTGGCCATCACGCTGCGTGCCATCTGGTACTATCTGGCGCAGAACCCACGCGTCGCCAAGATCCTGCGTGCAGAAATTGCGGGCGCTCGCCAAGCGGAGGGCTTGTCAGAGGATGACGATGCCCAGCTTTCTTATGCGACCGCGTCGTCTCTGCCGTATTTGTGAGTTTCTCCTGGAAAAGGAGGGAACGTCGCTGACAGGATTCGCCACCAGGGACGCCGTGCTTATCGAGACCATGCGGGTTCATCCCAACACGGGCACCATCCTGGAACGAAAAGTCCCTGCCTCGGGCGTGACTATCGACGGATATCACCTTCCCCCCGATACCACAGTGGGAGTGAATGCCTGGGTGCTGCATCGTAATCCCACGATCTTTGGAGCAGATGCCGACACGTACCGACCGGAGCGGTGGCTCGAGGCCACTCCGGAGCAGAAAGTAGAAATGAAGAAGTACATCTTCACGGTGCGTCCCCCCTTTTATACCCTAGTTTTCTCCTTTTTGCTTTTCTGCATCCCCTCCTGTCGGGCAGGGACCCCGGGGGATTCCTTTTCTCCGCTGCATGAGGCTAACAGCGTCCAATGCAGTTCGGCGCTGGCCCCCACACGTGCATTGGGCAGCATATCGCGATGATCCAGATCGTCAAGGTCGTAGCCGAATTCTTTCACAGGTTTGACGTCGAGCTGACCCGACCGGACCAACCATGGAAGGTCATGGGCAGCTGGGTGACGAAACAGACGGAGATGGAGATGAGGGCGCGGGCGCTGGAGCAGACTGTAATTAGTTAATAAAACCCACGATTCCCACGGCCTAGAGAGAAGGCAGTTTAGTCTCGGGGCTGGACGTCCGGCCTGCATAAGTCTTGATTAGCGCCAACCAAACCGCTGCTGGCGAAACGAACGTGGCCCCGTCGCCGGCCTCTCTTCATCCCTACAATCCCTGCCCGCGAGTCTGACATGCAGAATCCGGTCTCACTCCCTCGTCTTGGGGGCAATTTGCTGCCGATCCCGCCCGAGCAATTCAGCCCCCTCCGTGCCGTTTCGTCGCTTCTCTCGCGGTTGCAGGACTTTGGGTTGTATCCGCCGCCATTGGCCTGGTCTAGTGTGCAGCCATGGGCCGATTCCTCAGAACTAGTCCTGGGGGTCATCCGGGGCAGTCAGCCTGACTGATAAACCGGAATTCCTACTTCTGCAATGCGCCTCCCACTCCGACGGTCATTTCGGTCGCCATCTTTCCTGTCCTCGCTCTGTCTCCCTGCTCCGGTCTCGTCCCCTCGATCGTCCCTCGATCGTCCCTTCGTCCATCATGTCGGATGCGTCCGCAGAGCCTCAGTTCCCTCCGGGGTACATGGAGGCCAACAATGGCAATCAAGTCATCGCCGCCACCACCTTTACGCTGGTCCTGACCACAATCCTGCTGGGAATGCGGCTGTACGCCCGCAGCCTTACGGACGCCGCCCGCGGCTGGGACGAGTTCCTACTGGTTCCTTCATACCTGTGCTGCATGGGGTTGATGATCGTTCTATACGGTAGGTTCTTTGACTCTCGTCCACTCTACTCAGTGTCACGACCCTAACCTATACAGTGGACGTCATACACGCTGGCCTCGGCCGTCACGCCGCCTCCGTTATGGCGGAGGATCCCCACAAGATCGTCGTCTTCCTGCAGCTCCTCTACACCCTCGACTGGCTCTACGTGGTCTCCAGCGCCCTGTCCCGCGTCTCCGTCCTGTCCCTCTACCTGCGCATCTTCACCAACAAGCTCTACCGCGGCGTGTGTTGGTTCATGATCGGCTTCGTCCTGTCCGCCATGCTCGCCACCATCCTGGCCGCCCAGCTCGAGTGCTTCCCGCTGGCCTACGCCTGGGACAAGACCATCCCCAACGGCCACTGCTTCAACCAGGTCCTCTGGTACCAGCTGACCAACCTCCCCAACATCTTCATCGACCTGGTCATTCTCGTCCTGCCCATCCCGACCGTCTGGAACCTGAAGGCCTCCAGCTCCCAGAAGTTCCGCATCGCCGGCGTCTTCCTGCTGGGCAGTCTGTACGTTATCCTGCTTTTCTCTTTTCTCGACCGACACCCTGCTAACAACCCTCCTAACTCCAGTGGTCTATTCGGTCCCTGCGTGCGAACCGCCGTATTCTTCCGCGACGGCGACGTCATCCGAAACGATCCTACCTGTAAGCCCCCCCCAATCCTCTCCTATCCACCAGACTCACCATCTAACACCCAACAGGGTCCTCCGACTGCTTCTCCTGGACCGCCGTCGAGTGCGGAATGTACTTCAGCGCAGCCTGCCTGATCGGGATGCGGCCTTTGTTCGCGAAGCTGCCGCGGTGGCTGCGCGGGCACGTCTGGCGGACCTCGAACCGCACGACGGGCCAGGACCCGCGCACGGGGACGGGCATCAGTTTCAAAAAAAGCCAGCACCGGCCGTATGCGAATCTCTCGGGCCGGGACACGCAGCAGGGGACGCAGCTGAAGTCGATGAATGGCATGACGAGTACGATTGTGTCGATGCGCGGGAGCGGGTACGATGACGACTCCGTACGGAATTTGGTTACCGATGAGGGCGATATTCGTGTGCAGACGCGGATCGAGGTGAAGAGTGATCAGGGGGGGTATTAATGGGTTTTTGGCTTTGGGAGGGAGGGCAGGGTGAGTGTTAAGACTACTTGCTACTATTGGTGGGATTGTATAACTGATTGGGTTGGGTTGCTTATACCCAGGGAGTATTTTCTTTTATATACCTGGTGTTTTTGCTTTTTCTTTTCTTTTGTCTATTATTGATAAGTGCATGGGTCGTGTACAAATGGTTTATACGGATATATGGGATAAATCAATCTTGAATTAGAATCAATCTTAAACTGTTACAATCTTCACTTCGTTCTGTAGCATTCTGTACGAGTGATGGAGCAAATCCAGTCTACTAAGCTGGGAGAGGCAAACCTCCTGGTCCCATCTTACAGCCTCACCTGGATGAAACCTTCAACACTAATCATCCCTGGTAGCCTCCGAAACCACCCTATCCCAATCAAAGCCGGGCAAGGCCAGGACCGAAAAAGTTTCCATATGAGCCTGAAGATGCATGCACAGATCCGACAGCGCAAACTCCTTCCTACAAAGGAGACAAGTCTCCCTCTTCTCGCCATCATACTCCCCCTGACGCCGGAACGTCTCCGCTAGCTCCCACAGGTCCCCTCCCGGAGACGGATGGTGCTCGCGCAGATGGTCGACGAACTCCTGCTTTTCCGGAGTCCTGCAAACGCACCGGTCACAGACATACTCGAAGCGATGCACCTGCTGCTCATGGCCGATCCAGTCATCGACCCTGCTGTACAGCTTCTGTCCGATCCGACAGTCCGCGAACGTGCACAGATACGGCGCCAGAGCATCGTACGCGTCATCCACGGGGTCGTAAAACGCATGGTCGTCTTTCCTCTTGGCCTGCGCGCGCGCAAGCCGCTCACAGAACCACATAATGTCGTCTACGGAGTCGTCGCCCGGAATTAGACCCGCAGGGGCAGGGACATCGGCACCAGCATCGGCATAGACCTTCCGGCGCCAGCTCCGCACGATCCCCACGATCTGCTCCATCTCCACGCCCAAATCCGCAAACGCACCCTCGTCGACCTCCCCGTCCTGAATCATCGTCGCCACGTTGTCCAGAAGATCAATCCCCATCTTGATATCGTCCATGGCGGTTCGAATCCTCGACCGGCGCTTCCCCTGCTCCTGTTCAGCATCCGCATCCGCATCCGATGACCCACTAACCATACTAAAGCACTCATCATCCTCGCCAGCCTCAGCCCCAGCCTCAGCCTCACACCTCCGCGCAGAAACCCCCAACTCCGTCAGCGCCATACGCACGCCCGAGAGACATCCCTTGACGACGCGCAGGAGCAGGTCATCGTGGCGGATGTGACCCTCGAGGGACCCTCTTGTGCGCGCGGGATAATTCGCCTTCTGCGAGGTGCCCCAGGCGGAAAGACGCGCGGATAGGCACTGCACTTCTGGGCGCGTGATGTGGCCGAGACGGATCATGGAGCAGTCTTCGTCGCTGATGGCGTGGGTGAGGGTATCGAAGGCGTCGATGCATTTTTGGTAGAGGTCGGTGATAGGGGCGGTTGGGATCGAGGAGATTGTCATGGTGAGGGTCTCAGTTCTGTGTTTGTTAGTGGGGTAGGGTTTTGAGTGTTGAGAGTTGGGGTTGACTGTTGAAGATGAAGATATGTATCGTGTCTTCTGACGGATTGGATAGTTGGATATTGGCTATCGATTAGGGACATGGTCGCCTTTTTATAGATATAGCCATGACCTGCAATCAGGGCGCAAGGTCTATCTAGGATTCTTTATAGAGTTGCAAAGTCGTGGGGATTTCCAGCATTAATAGATACTATACCGAAGAGTCTAGTATAAAATCCGTTTATATCAAACTCGACAAGGGCCGTGGCGGATGTCCGCGTTTGCTCTGGGTGGCTTCCTTTAACCTACCTTTCTATATACCTTTTAGCTACTTCATTGAGATATGCTAGGACTCATGCCACGCATGTGATTCAGATGGCTGGCTGCTATTCGAAAAGGGGGCGTAGTTCAGCGTGGTCAGAAAAAAGGTCGGTGCGGTCAGGATTCTCGGCATCGGGCTGCTTACGCGGAGATTGATTAATTAGCAAAATTGAACGTATATAGGATCATTTCTAACGACGTTGAGTTTATGTAAGTAATAGGTAGGTAATAGATAAGTAATAGGTTTTATGAAAAGCTCGTTGTCTTGACCACGCCGAGCTATGGGAAGCATTTCAATCATTTAGAAACAGAGCGATTGCACCAGAATTCCGAACGGGTATTGATGATTATGATGATGATGGTGGTTGCATTAAACCCGATTTTCAGCTCCTTTATAAGGCTCTTCCCGGGTCGTCAACGGCCGTTGGGCCGCTGCAGGTTCTATGTAGACATGAAGGTATTCTGCATATGCCTCTCGGTTAGTGCTTTCCTAACAGATATTTATTTCTATTTTCTAGTCATAAATTACTCATGTGATTCTCTATGTGTTCTTAACAGTTCGGGCCTCTATTACTTTATTAATTCTTTTTTTAAAGCAAAAAGCTATCTTATTTTCGAAATTTTCTAACTTCTAAGATTTTCTAGAATCTGCACCTCTCGTTTGGCAGTCATGCGGGTTCATGTCATCCGCCTCGGAAGCCCCAGTAGCGTCCTATCATCATGAGGAAATGGCAGTTCCATCGAGGTGAGATACAACATGATTGGCTAGACCCTCGCGCGGAAATTCCTTCCTGCAGAAGATACAAGTACCCTTGTAGTCAGTCTCACAACTGGGCAAGACCAGACGAGTAATCTCCTCCATGTGGCCTGCCAGATGCTTGTACAAATCCGGGAGTGGAGATTCCTTCAAGCAGATGAGACAAGTGTCCTTCTTATCGGATGTATTCATATCTTCCGACCGGTAGCAGAACCGTAGATTCGCTTCTATCTCTTTTGCGGAATCTACCCGATTGCCTGTGCAATGAGTGAGGAGATGTGCTTTCACCATTTCTCTGCTGCGGGTGGTTACTCCTGGGCACTTATGGCAAACATAAACCATGCGATGCTTCACCTCTTCGTGACCCTTCCAGGAACCCTGCTCGCTGTAGTAGAGGCCCGCTGTCGGACAGTCCTTGAAAGTGCAGACGTAAGGATGAACACTTTGTAGCCTTTTGCTTGCGGATAGGGGTTCTCGCAGCATCCACTCTTGAACCCTCTCCCAATCTGTCATAGAAGAATGATCAATTTCGATGATGTCTGATTGAGGGAGGAACAGAGGATCAGTTTGCTTCGGGAACTCCATCTTTCTCTTCATGTTGGCCAGTGCAAGTCGCTTGCAAAACCACATGATATCATCCACCGAATCGCTCCCCGGAGCCTTGTCGCATTTCAGGTCCTTCTCGGCCAGGGCTTCATGGCGCCATTGACGCACCATTTCCACGACCTGGTCAAGGTAAGGCGTCAGATATGCTTCGTACATTTCCATCTCATCCCGCTCATCTCTGGGCAGCTTATGCGCCTTGAAAAGGAGCTCAAGCTGTCGCTGGATCGAAAATATGGCTACTGTCACCTTCACTCCCCTTCGAAGAGCCGTGAACAATGGGCCGATCTCTCGAAGCCCTGGCATTCGAAATTTACCTTCCTCGCCGCCCGCGGCCTTTTCCACGTCGATCAAGAACTGCACCGACTCATTGAGGACGTTTAGATGATCTACTGCTTTACGAAAAAGTGTCTTGAGACCATTGAGGAGATCTTCAGTCATCTCCCTGGATGCTCTTCTATGCCGGAGTTTATAGTTGAGAGATCCTTCAGTTTCTGCAGGATAATCGACTTTGAGCTTTTCCCCCCAGGTCAGAAAGGTGGAGTATAATTCCAGCAGGAGTGCTACATCGATGCTCTTGGCAAGAGTCCTCAGGCAGCCTTCCTCTCTCAGACCGTTGGCGAATTTCTCAAACAGCTGTCTGCATTCGCAGTACAGTTCGGGAATAAAGGGGTGGGCGTTTGCCGAGAGGCCCGAGAGGTCTGCCATGATGAATTCAGATGGAAAGAGTATTCCAAAACCTCGGATTCTTCTGGACAAAAGGATGGAATGATGTGCGTATCTGCGATGTCAAGAGTTCTTGGGAAGTTAAGACGTGCAGTTGTGGGGTATCGCAGTATATAGGCGAGTGTCAACGATCGCAATCAATGACTTGACTTCGAGCCATGACGGCCTTTTATAGTCATTCCTCATGTGACCTGCATATCGGGAAACGAGCCCTATCCCTGGAATCTTCCACAGAACAGCAAAGTTAGCGGGGGATTCCAGGATCAACTATTCAGGCTCCTCTATTATCAGACTTGACAAGGGCACCTTTTTACATTCACATTTCTTCACCTCTTTATCTACATTCTTTCATTTTTTGCCTACTTAGTTGGCTCTTTACTTTTTCCTTGGTACGCTATTGCTTGATTGATTTATTTGTTTACCAGAATAAAAGGCTAGTGTCCATTCTTTATTGTCCAAAACATCGATATAGTATTGCTACCTGTATTTCCCGGTCCACTCTGTATCTAAATGAAAGCTCCTAGTTTAGTGAATACTAGAACGAGAAGCCAATGGAAATCTCCCTAGACACTGGTTGCACTGGTCTCAATGAACAATTTTCTTCTCACACTCAAAGAAAAGCATGTCAGTTCAGTTAGCTATTCTGAGGCCACATTGCTTGTAACAGTCAGAATCTGCGAATCAATAAGATTTGCCAGTTCAAAGTTCGAGCTTGCCCTAGCCAACTGCACCGGCGTATAACCTTCACGGTCAACAGGATTCAGACACACCTTATCGAAGGTCAGCATACACCTCGCCGTTTCTAAACACCCCCACATAGCAGCATGTGCCAAGGGCGTACGACCTTTCCAATCCGGTGCATTCGCATTGATCTCGTCAAGAGAGAGCAGAAAATGCACCACATCAGTTCTTCCAAACTGTGCCGCCAACCTGAGCGGCGCCCCCCTCCAGCACCTTCCATTGATGTCGGCATGCTTCACAGCCACTAACAACCGCACAACCTCCAAATACCCATTTCTCGCTGCGTAATACAGCGGGGTCCAATCAGCCATATCATAGGGGTTTGTGTTTACACCGCTAGTCGAAAGGAGCACCTTGACCACTTCCACATGGCCGTACTTAGCCGCATTAGCGAGCGGCGTCTGATCGTATCTGCCACGTTCGTTTACTCTCACACCTCTCGCTTTGAGCAGTTTCCGCACAACCCCAGCATGTCCATGCCGGGCTGCTACCACCAGCGGCGTATCTCTTGCTCGATCCCACGCGCTCGGGTAGATGTGGTTTATGGCCAAGAGAAGATCCACAATCTCTTCGTGGCCATTCGCCGCCGCTGCGAAGAGCGGCGTCCTGCCGTCTCGATCGGCTGTGTCCGGACGCACCCCTTCCGTCGCGAGAAGGAGCTCAACAACCCTGGTATTCCCCCACATGGCTGCGAGGAACAACGGTGTCCTCTTGCACTCGTCTTTCCAGCTTACGTCCACCTTTCCGGTCTGGAGCAGAAGCTCGAGCACGTGATGGTTGCCCCATGCGGCGGCTAGCGAGAAGGGTTGATGCGTGAAGGCCATGATCCGTCTATTTTTGTTGACGGGCCAGAGCAGGTCGAGCATTATTTGGACGATCTCGGTATCACCCCATGCGGCGGCCCATTTCAGCGCTGAGCTTTTTGAATAACGGAAGTTGAAACGGTAGAGGTAGTGCTTTAGGAGGACGTAGAGGTGGCGGTTAGCTCGCATGAATGCACTGATGTCCTTCTCGGAGGTTAGCTCTTCGGCGATACAAAGGAGTAATTCGTTGGGGAACTCACTGAGACGCATTTTGGCTGTTTCCCTCTCCGTCTCAGGACTATAGGTCTTTCGAGACAGGGTATGTTATAAACAAAAGCTTACCATAAGAAGCTTTCCACAATGACGGACCAGCCGGACTGTATCACCAACCCCTTCGATCCATGAATATATAGGAGTGTTGGTATAAACGAGGATGGCTGAAAAGGAGGAGCTGACAAAAGGAACAAAAGGGCACCAAGCGCCTTTATATATTCTTTAACACTGACACCGGATACCTACTTAGCGCAAACTTCCTATTAGAGGTCTCCATATAGGTTGGAACCTTGGTTACTATACTCTGCCGAAGAGCATCTGTTGCATCTCTCGACCCTTTTCGCACTAAACAAGGGCTCTTCTTTGTTCTACACGTTGAGAGAATTTCCATCAACTTTCTTTCTTCTTCATCCTGAGTGTAGCTATAGATTAAATTTGAAAATTGGCTTAATCATTTATATCTAGACAGGTAAACTTGTATTAAATAAACTCATTACCTTTGTTCTCTTTGTAGAGCTCACATAGTATTTGGTCACATGTCTAGGAATTAAAGTCATAACACTACTGGTTTCTAAATAGTCAGAGGTTCACTTTTACTGTCTTTATTGTGTAAGTAGCGAGTTGTACTTCCTAAGTATATTTTCATTAGTATTGAATCTGGATACTAGTTATTAAAAATACATAGTATAGACTAAACCTACCACGGCGGAACAATTCAAGAAGTATCAATTACATTGTACTTTTCTCCACTCCGCTGAGTATGCTCATTTCATTCCTGGGGTGGCAGCCAGTATGGACCGCCTACCTTGATATCTATATCATCGCGATTTCTGTAGCAAGCAGGAATACATGATTCAATAAGGTCTGCTATCTCCGGGAGACCACGTCTCCTAGCAATTCGCGCCGGCGTCTGGCCTGATTGGGGTTGATTTAGCCAAACCCTGTTGACTGTCAGCAGAGATCTCACAACATGCGTATGTTCGTAATTAACTGCCGCACCCAAGGGGCTGAGACCGTTAACATCCAGCTTGTTCACGTCAAATCTTCCCATTGAGAGCATGAACTGTATGATGTCAAGATGTCCGAACTCCACTGCCCGCATGAACTGCGTCGGGAATCCCGGATCCCCCGTGTTCCACTCATCGCCCTCCATTGTCACCAGGTCCCGTACAATTTGCCAACAGCCTCTACCCACCGCGTGAGTCAATGCTCTCCGTCCGCTGTTATCGCGAAGCCCGGTATCAACGCCGCTGGTAGCAAGTAGCTCTTCTACCACCTCCCACTGAAACTCCCTGACTGCTGCTATGAGCGGCGTCCGCCCGCGTCTGCCCCTTTCATTCACGTCCACAAAGTCCTCTTTTAGAAGTCTCCGCACAATAGCTACCCTTCCTTCGGCCGCTGCCGCGATGAGCGGTGTGTCTTGCAGTGGGTCCGATTTCATTGCAACGATACGGCCTGTAGCTAGGAGCATCTCGACGGACTTCGCGTACCCTTCCTGGGCCGCAAGGAACAGAGGCGTCCGTGAGTCTTCATTTGGGACGTTTGGATCCACCTTTTCAGAGGCGAGCAGAGCCTCGACGACCTTGTCGTTTTGATGGTCGACTGCAGCGAACAGAGGCGTTTGCCATTCTCTAAGCGCCCAGGCTCTCTTTGGGATATTCGGATCTATCTGTCCCGTGGCGAGCAGAAGCTCGACGGTTCTCGCATTGTTCGAAAACATGCATGCCAAATAAAGAGGCGACTCATCCATTGGCCCATTCACGTCGAAGCCCTCGGTCTTAAGGAACATCTCAACGATCTCATCATGGCCACATGCGGCAGCTTCACCTAGCGCGCCCTGGATCTGGGGGATCCACCGGCTGTACTTTTTAGTAGAGAAAATGAGGTCGAGGAGTGTTTCGATAGGCTTCATATTTTCGCGATCGATGGACCAATTCAGTGCACTGCAACGGCATTCTTCGATATTGTATATGTACAGGAGCCTGTAGAGCAGCGCGTAGAAGTGGTGGTTTGTCCGCATCAACGCACTGATCTGTTTTGCGGACGTTAGCCTTTCTGCAATACTAAGAAGCAACTCGTTAGGAAGCTCATCAAACAGCATTGTGATCTTTCTTCTCTTCCCCTTTATCTCTGGCTGAGCAAAAGACTTGGGGCTGTCAGTGTTTCGGGACTTACCGTTTGTATGTTTATGGACGGAGACCCGCCGCAAGAGTCAGACAAATTGCACGAAGAGCAGGATCAGTTGAAAGAGGAATTGGGAGAAAGGATGAAATCATAAGAAAAAGGAGTGGAGAACACCTTATATAGTCAGTCACTTTACCAATGGAGACCTATTAAACATAAACACAGGCAACTAATAAGAGATGACATTCTTTACCCTTTCATTGACCTTTGTTAATTCGAATAATTCCATTGCGAATGCGGCTCAATCCTTAGAGATATAGTCATGTACAATTAGCCTTTGTATCAAGAATAAACTTCTAGCTTTGTTCTCTTCGATCAAGCTCCCACAAAGTAATATCAGATTTCTCCAGCTCCTCACCTAAGTTACCGCTACCTTCCAAGATAGATCCCGACTATATAAACACCCACCATCTCAACAACAGTCGACGAACCACCCCTCTTCCATTTTTCCCCACCTCATTATATAGAGGTCATCAAAAACGTACCTCTATATAATCCTTATATACCAAGAAAGGTCATTCCTGACCTTCTCGATCACCACGTCCAGGCCAGTAAACGCACCCGGACACGTATTCCGCGCCACTCTACTACCCGGCGAGACCAGAATCTCATTTTTTGTGCCCTACTCGACGCCGGTGCCAAACCCACCGCCCAAAGCAAACATGTCGTCGACTACCACACAGAAAAAGATTGTTTTCCGGAATTCTAATCGTCCTTCGAGTTACGATATCAGGAACCTCAACCCTTTCTCAGCCATTCGAGACACGACAATCAAAACAGATCGCTTGCGGGACCAGAACACAGCGACTCCCGTGGCTCCGACGCCATCCCCGGCGCCTCGTCCGCGTGAATCCATCCTCCCTTCCACTCCTGCTCCAGCTTCTGCTCCAACCCCTGTTCCTACTTCTGCTCCAACCCCTGTTCCTACTTCTGCTCCAACCCCGGATCCTGCGCCGGCTCCTGTCCCGGATTCTGTCCCGGCCGCTGTCCCAGACCCGGCTCCCAGCCCAGTTCCTAGCGAAAAGCCAACAGAGCAGCCCACCAACCATCAAGATGAGCAGACCTCGCCCCGTCGGCGGAAGTATATAACCCGTCCAAACACACCCATTGCCGAGAATGACACGCCTCCCCTCGAAACCCCCAGTGTCAGACAGACACGCCCTCAGCAAAAAGACGCCCCAGCCCCCATGACCCCCATCCCCGAGGAGGCCACGACGCGATTCGACGAACTCACGCTCGGACTCCAAGCCCTCATGGACAAAGTGAAAGTGATCGAGCAGGAACTGCCCGATCCGACTGCCCTTGCTGAAAAAGAGCAGGAGATCGAGACTCTGCACGCGTACATCATGTCGCTGGAGGCTCGGCACAAGCGCGGCAAAGAGCTCCTATCGAGCAGGGAGATTCAGATCCTGCAGCTGCAGAGCCAGCTGAGTACGGAGCGGAGCAGCGCCGCGTATTTGAAGACCGAGTTGGCGAGCTATGAGGAAGAGCGCGCGGGGCTGGAAGAGCAGGTGCAGAAGGGTAAGCAGGCGGTTGGGCGGCTGGAGGAGGAGAAGAGGCAGGTGAATGAGCTACTGCACGAGAGTGAGAGTAGTAATTCGCTTCTGTACGAGGAGCTGGGTGCGTCTGAGGCGGAGAATGAGAATCTGGTGAGAATGCTGGACGAGGCGAATGCGGCGATACATCGTTTGAGGGCCGAGAAGGTCGAGGATGGATTGTTCATTCAGAGGTCGCAGCAGTGGCTGGCGGAGTCTGAGGCGCGGAATAATCTGCTGGAGAAGGATGCTGGGGTAGCTCAGTCTGATGTAGTGAATGCGAAGAAGATGGCAGAAATGGACGAGAAATTCCAGAAGGAGCGCGACCAGTGGTCTGACATCTTCGATACGCAGAGAATCCAGATCGCGAAGCTCCAAGATAAAATCATGCAGCTACAGGAGGACATCGAGCGGCTTCATGGAGAACGGGCTAAGCATGTTGAGATCGAGAATGTCAACCAGATGCTTAGGGCTCAGGTTACTTTTTTGAAGTTTCAGCGAGTGACATTGAATCGAAAGACTACGAAGACTGAATGTCAGCTCATCGAAACTCAGGATCGCCTGGCTAAATTGCAAAACGCAAACGAAAGCGGAGAAACTTCTGCGGAAGAAGCAAAGGCCCAAAGCCAAGGCTCGATCTCATCATGGTTGTTGGGAGGGAAACGATCTTGAGGGTTTCAAGTGATTTCGTTGAAGTTGCCTTCAGTTCTTTATTCCCGACATTCCATTTTTTGATTTTTCCTTTTGTTTTTCTTTATTTGTTTCCTATGTTTCTTGCTTTTTGTTTGATTGTTCAATTTTCCAATTTTTTCCTTTTTTTATCTTTAAATTTCTTTCGTACTTGTCTTTTTGCTTTCCCTTGTATATCCCTTCCCCTCGCGTACAATGTTGTGCTATCATATCCCCTTGCAACATTAACTATAATTCTCTCAGTGTTCTTGTTCCCAGTAAATCTTATAACCTCATCACATAGATCAAGAAACACACCGCCGTCTGAATACCTCCACTAGATCAGTGTCGAGTATTCAAAATTTGCTTATGTCTTTATTTATTTGGCTTCCCCCCCCTTCTTTTCAGTTCCTTTCGAAAAAAGAAAAGAAAAAAGAAAAGAAAAAAGAAAAGAAAAAAGAAAAGAAAAAAGAAAAGAAAAAAGAAAAGAAAAAAGAAAAGAAAAAAGAAAAGAAAAAAGAAATATAGAAAAGAACAGAAAGGGAAGAGACGCCAAGTGTATCTATCCACTTTCGAGCATGTCCACTTCCTCTAAATGCTATGAACTACGTAGACGGCGTTGAGGCCAAGAATAAAGATGATGGAAGGAGCCACACATAGCCAGTCAAAACATGTTGAACGAGTGGCGTATAATCACGAGTGAGTTTCCTTGTTCATCCAGCCTTCCAACCGCCAATCATCCCTGTCAATGCCCGTACACGCTTCCACCGAATCCCATTGGCTTCGCTCATCCAATCCAGTTCACCGAGTATGTTAGTATGACAATGATATAGCCGCCGGGTGTGCGTGCTGAGCCTCGTGTTGTCGGAGATGAGGAGGGCCGACTTGGATCGGTGAGGGGTGATTCCCCGCACCCTTGGATCTATTTAACATGCCTTCTTTGCCCTGGAGCTTTCCTCCTAGACGACATGGTTCCCATCTTGGCTCTCCTTTCAATATGAATAAAGGGCACAGGGTGGCCCAATCAGCCTCTCGTCCCATAATAGGCCACAAAACTAGACGCACAACAGGCTGTCAGACAAACAAGCAGACGTCATCAGTCCTCAATCCCCTCTTAACACCTCCCTCGTCGAGTCCGAATACATCATCGGATGAAACCGACCCTGGCCAACCTACATCTTCTACTTCGTTTTCCAGTCACCCAAGAAGTCGTATTCCCTTGCGGATCAACTCCGAGAACGGCAATATACGTCCACCAAACACTTCCAGATGTCCCCGTCAAGTATATAAGGGCAAGCAAGCCCCAAGAGACCGCATCACCTCATCCTCAAGCGATCAAGCCCCCGGCACAGCTCAGACATCCCGGCAGAATGAAACATCGACTTTGAATGCGAACGACAGTCGATCGGAGAACATACCCGCTTCCGTCGAAGAACAGGAACAGTCCGATTGTGAGACGCAGGGGGCGATTGACGAAGTTGAACGGGTGTTGCGGAAGAAGGCTCGACAAATAAAAGCATTGAAGAAGGATCAGACGATACTTCAAGGAAATGTCGACAAGACGAAGAAAGAGAATAAAGAGCTTCGAGCAAAACAGCGACGTACCCTCAAACTACTTAGTAAAACGAGGCAAAGGAACGTTTACCTCGCCTTCCAGCTGCAGGTAGTCAAGAAAAGGAGACAAACCGCTCTCCAGCAATTGCGCCAGGAGAGACGAGCAACCGGTCGACTTAGGAAAACGCACCACCAGACCAAAGAGTTGCTGATCAACACAGAAAAAACGAATGCCTCCCTCAGCAAGGAACTTGAAAATGCCGAGGAAACGAATAAGAGACATTTGAGCCGCCTCGAAGAATTTCAAAGGAACGAATCGCAACTCAAAACCGAGGCGGAAGTCGATAGGAAGCAAAGACGGGAAGCGGAACAATGCCTTGTAGCGAAATTGGAAGAGTGTCGAGTGTTTCGGCGTAAATATGACGCTCTTTGTCAAAGTCTCAACAATATCCAATCCGATAGAAGCCGAGCAGAGGCACAAGTGAAGGAACTGACTGAAAAAACGGATAAACAGGAGGCCAAAATAGCTCAACTGGACGAGGAAATCCAGTCAGGCTTCGATGCCCGCCAGGCTGATTCCGAGAGTACGTTGAATGAAAATATCCCGGCTTCAGGAGTACGCTAACAACCTTGAAACAGAAATATCATGTCTTGGAGCTGAGAAAATAACCTTGAGCAAGAAGAACCAGACCCTTGAAGCAGAAAAAACATGTCTTGAATCCAAATCACAAAACCTGGACGAAAAGAACAAGACCCTCGAAACCGAAAAATTGCGCCTCGAATCTAAATCCCAAGACCTGAACCAGATTAACGAGGCTCTTGAAACAGAAATCTCAAGTATTGAATCCGAACGCAAAACCTTGAACGAGCAGACCGAGACCCTTGCCAGACAAAACCTCGCTCACAAGATGAACTTTTTACACCTTGTTGCGCTGCTGCAAATCAGCTGTCAAAAGCTTGTCGACCAAATGGCAGAATCAAACCAACTGAGAATCGAAATCGAGGAGGCTGCAGAAAGAGAGAAAAAGCTCAGCGCCTCTCTTGAGAAAGCCAAGAGGATTAAGAAACCCACCCGACGAGGTCCAAGAACAAACGGCAAGCAACCCAGCTGGCTGCGCAAGAAGGGAGAACTTAAACTTAAGTAGTGAGTAATCCCTCCTTTGCATTTCTTTCTCATGATCCAATATCATAACATTTCGATTCCTGAGCGTACGCTAACCCAGTATACAGCGGCATGTTTCAGCAGAGCGTTGCAGTAGGAGAGATTCATTTTGAGCGTCGTCGATAAAGGATCAGAATGAAAGGAAATTTGGGGTAAGAAAATTTGGGGTGATAGATACGTTCTCTATTCCTTGTGTTGGTACTGAATGTTTGTTCTTTAATGGAAGCTATACTATAGAATAACAGACTGTATGATATCGCGTTGGTGTAATCAACTTAACTACTTGAATTATTATGACATACAAACTGGGTTATTCCGCGAGCAGCAATACAATGTATACCGAATAAAAGGGCTATTCCGCGAGATCACAAAGCAGAACAGCCACCACCCAGCTCAGCATCGAGTTTACCGGAGTCTTCCCGCTCAGTATCAACAACCCCCCATCTTCAGCACCCAATATAACAGCACTCTCACTGTATATAACTTCGTTCGACCTTCTTTCATTGTCTTTCTCTCCCACCATCACCACACTCCATCTCACCCAATCCTCCACTCTCATCGATCAATCCAATACATACACACACACAAAGAGAGAGTGAGTGAGTGAACCAAAGAGAGAAAGCCACCCAAAATGACCAACTACAATACCATCACCACGAGCGTCCTCCCCCGGGACGGCTCCACACCAACCATCTCCCGCTCGACCATCGCTAACAGCTCTCTGACGAGCCTAACAACCACCGATACCATCTCGCGCAGCGACATCCGCGGCACCATCTTCGGAAACCTATCGGACACTCCCCCGCACCCTCGCACGCGAGTCACTCGCTCCACCATCACAGACAGCCAAGTGGCCAGCAGCGTTGTCCGCCGCTCCACCGTGCAAAGGAGCCAGCTCTCCGTCGCGACCGTCAAGCGCTCCACAGTCATCAGCGGGGACATTGTGCAGTCTTCGCTCAGCCGAAGCACCGTCAACGGCGGGGAGATCGACTCGTCGACCCTGTCGCGCAGCACGGCGCAGGGGGCGCAGATCAAACGGAGCCAAATGGCCCGCAGCACTGCTGTCTCGGGAGTCATGGAAGACAGCCGCTTGATGAGGGGGGCGGTGCGAAACTGCGAGGTCAAGGAGTGTGTGCTTGTCGGGAGCAGTTTTGAAGGAATGGTGGTGAAGTATGGGGTTTTCAGGTACGGGCGGTTGGTGGGGAAGATTCGAGGGAAGAATGTGCTTGTTATGCGGAAGGCGACGGGGGAAGATGTCAGCCATGCATACGGGGGGAGACGACAGCTTGAGGAGAGGAGTCTGGAGGGGTGGATGGGGATGGCGCCGGATTCCGATAGTGAGGTGGATACTGACAACGAGTATGTGTCTCAGGATGAGGGCGGTGGCAATGTCAATGTCCATTTTGATGGCCGCCGTGGAAGAACGGTGATTCAGCAGGATGGATTCACTATGGTTCTGCGAGAGGGCACTTACACTGGTTTGAATTTCCCTCAGGTGAACTTCCCTGTGCCGCATATCCCTAACGTCCACGAATGGGATTTCCCCGAGTCGAATGTCCGTGAGGAGCCTGTTCCTCCGGAGGTTACTGCTCGGCTGAACAACCCGGAGAATATCCCCCAGGAGGATAGGCCCCTGCAGGATGTCTATGACGATCCGCCGCCTCCGTATTCCGAGAATCCCTAGATTTCCAGGCTCTGTTGAATGGTTTCTGACCCGACTCTTCTGAGCTTTGATCGAATTACCATTGTCAATTTCTGTGATTCTGAGAATGTGTTAGAACTTCACTAGAAAGTGGAGATCTCCAGAGACTGATTCTTTAAAGAGTTTTTGAATTATTGATTTTTACGGCATTTATTTGTTCTATTTCCTTCTTTATGTAGTTTAAAGTTATTGGACTAAGCTTCCTGTCTATCATGTGATTAAATAAAACTTTCCCCGGTGTCTATTAAGACTACGTATTTTGTTAAATTGTAGTGTGTTATGTTTTCTCCAGAAGGACCTAGATCAATCCAAACGACTCTATGCTACCGTCAGGGTGTGCCGAAATCTTTTACATATAATAAAGGATGTTTAGTATGTTTATCCCCACAAAAGAATGATTATCCTGCTGTAAATTAAACCAAAATCCAGTATCGTGCAATTCCATGTAGTAATGCAGAAGCAATCTTAACAATCAACATGCAATGCATCCTATGCGTCCCCAGCTCAACCAAATTATAGATAGATGTATACTCTCCACCCCTTCAATCCAGCCCCTTCAATTAAACCTGCTACCCAAAACAGCTCACTCACTCTCCGTGTCGTTGCCACCCGCAACCACAAACTGCTTCTCCGTCTTCAACTTGCTCAGCGCACTCTCAGGCAACTTCAGCGTATCGGCAACGATCTGCTTCGGCGTAGACCCAATCCACTGACCCAGCGAGATATCTACAACAGTCAGCATCACACCCTAAACATCAACAAGAGAGAACAGGGAGAGAAACAAACCAGTAAACTTATCCGCCTGCAACACCTCCAAGACCACCAACTCCTCATCCCCCGTATTCTCAATATAATGACTATTCGACTGCGGGAAGTACGCCACATCGCCGGCCTCGTAGTCAAACGTCGTCGCGACGGACGGCGCATCGAACAGCGTCGCGCGACCCTTGCCCCGGATGAAAAACGTCCACTCGTCGCTGCTCGGGTGCCAGTGGATCTCGCGCAGTCCGCCCGGCTGCACCGTCACGAGCGCCGCCGCGAAGTTCTCGGCAATCGGGAACGTCTGCGGGTCGACGATCTTGACGGACCCGCCGGATACTTCGTGCGCCGGCTGTTCGGAGAAATGGTACGAGTAGCTTTGCTCGCGCGGCAGGATGCCTGCGGCGGTGGTGACGTTTTGTTCTTCGATGTTGTCGGGGGCGCGCGTGCCGGGGAAGATGTACAGCTCGTCTTCGGGGATGTCGTTGAAGGAGGAGATTGGGAGGTCGAAGTTTTTGGAGAGGACGGATTTCTTGTACCTGTTAGGTTTGATTTGGGATGTAGGGAAAATGGGGGGAGGGGACGTACAGGGTTCCGCATGAAGACTTCAGAGGCCAGGAAGGTGTTATCTTCCGAGAACGAACCGTCGTCGAAGACGAGCAGGAACTCGACACCTGCGTCGAGGGCCTGAATAGAGTGAGGAACACCACTACAGACAGTTAGAACCTTCCAATTCATTCACTGTAGATGCAGGGATACACACGGCGGGAAAAACCAAACATCACCCTCGGTGACATCGTCGACGAAAGTCTGTCCGTCCTCATTGACAGCCTACCAACATTAGCACAACTCCTACCTCGAAAAAAGTCAACAAACCTGAATCCGACACGACCCGTTCAGCACCAGCGACCACTCGCTGGCAACGTGCCAATGCAGCTCACGATACGCGCCCGCCGCCAGCCGCATATCCACGCCGGCCATCTTCGTGGCGTCGGGCATCACCTGCGTATTCTCCTGACGGGCCCATCCGGCGCCGTCCTTGCCCAGACTACAAAGAAGTCAGTTCATTGTTCTTTGCCCATTGTCCATTGTCCAAGTGGAACTGGGAAGTAAACGTACCGGTTCCGGCTCAGGCCTGCAATAGGGTTAGTGACGTCATCGACTGGAGTATAACGCAACAAGAAACAAACTCACCCATGGGCCACTGCGCGTTGATCGTCTGCCCCTTGTCGGTTCCGGGCGGCGCGAATTTATCGCTGTGCGAGCGGTCATAATCGACTTGTCCTGCGGGGAGTCAGTGACACTTGCATTCTATGCCGCGTGCGGGTGCAGGAATGTATGGAATGGAATGCATGCAAGCAAGGGGCCGTACGCTGCGTGGAGTCCGTCCCGCCCATGTCGCCGCGGATGGGCTGCGGGTTCTCGACATCCTCGAAGTCAAGGTAGCTACCGATCAGAGGGTCTTCCTTCTGGCCGGGGACGAGCTTGTACTTGACGCCTTCGGTGGTGTGCTCGGTCAGTTTGTTGTCGGACGAGTAGCCGAGGAGATCGGGGGAGCCGCGCAGAGGGGGGTCTGCGTCTGCTCGGGCGAGGTTTTGGTTCTGGGTTGGGGCGGCGTGCAGGGTAGGAAGGAAGGGGAGGAGGGAGAGGAAGATGGGCTTCATTTTGAATTGAAGTGTGAAGCTATCTGTCTGTCTGTGTATGTGTAGGCCAATGCTGAATGAAGCCACGAAGAATGCAAGGAGCTCAGTCGACAGTGAAGAGGATTCAGATTGAAACTCAACCAGAAGACGCCGCTCGGTCTATTTATACGCATTCCCAGCCTCTGGACGGAGTACTGCACGCAGCAATCTCCGGATCCAGCTCTTTCGTCCTCTCCTCTGACCCCTCATCAGAGCTACTGAAAATTGGAGAAATCCCGCAGTCGCCACCTGCCGACTGTCCCTGCGACTAGCATGCGGGGAGAGCCATTTACTTCGTTGTTGATGCAATTAGGGCTGACAGGGCAGCGAGAGACCGACGGTGCCGCTGGATCCGCAACGGCAAGGATGCGCGGATGAGCTTGGGTTGGATACCCGGACCGGACGGAGTTAAAGGATGCCAAGAACTGGCAGGGCAGGTATTATTAAACATTAATCTCCCAGAAGAGCTGGTGGATTGTGGCAGCCGTCTAAATTAGGTCTTATATCAGACGCAAGCCGGTGCCGGGCAGCCGAAGGAGCCATGGGGCGCAAACGGACGGATCGGCCACCGAGAATCCATAGGGCTATGGACTGGAATGATGCTGCCTGCGGTGGTCCGCAGGAATGAGGGCGACGCAATATTGAGACGAATACATGTCGGTTATGCACAATTTGGCCGCTAAATGCCCCAAGCTACTCCAAGCCTTCCTAAGCTTTAGCCAAGCCAAGATCGGCCACCCACGCAGCGACAGTCGGATTCCACTTCTTCTCGATGTTTCTGCGGGAAAACAATAGACAACATTCCACTCTGACTCTCTATTCTTGCCCGTCAATATTCACAGAATCCTAAATTCTATATCCCCGCACGCGGAGCGCTGAATCCCGTCTCCTGAAGGATTCAAGACGCTCCTACTAAGCCCTATCCGCGTCACCGTCGGGAAGGACGTTGCCCCCACCTGCTAACTGCTAGCCCGAGGCCAGGGCGTATAACATCGCTGCATGCTACCCTCCCTATATCCGAGACCGATCAATCGAAGCCTCGCCCGATGCAGATGGTCTGCAACCCCGCACGAGGACCGTGGAGGGAGGCGTAGATTGCGAGCCAGTCAGAGCACCGGCGAATCCGGCTGACGGCGACTGGTCGGCTGCCAGGATCTACAGACTACGCGGTACGACCTAGTGCTAGTATCTCTGCACTCCAGCCGTGTCGCTGGATAGTCCGAGAATTCAGCGAAATCCCCTCACGAATCGCCGGTTTCCCGACAGCTTGGCAGGGCGTGGTGACACCGGTGGCGATCTTGTATGACTGTTGCGGCGCTTTAATATAACCCGCAGGATGACCTGGGCTGGATCATCTGAGACCGATAATTTTACCCGCCAATGATGGAGGGACAGGAATATCGCTCATGGAAAAGAGCGGTCACTATTCAGGATGCAGGAAAATTACTGCAATTTCGCGAGATGGCAGGATGCAACGGAAGCCATTCCTGCAGGAGACGTCAGGGGCGGCTGACGTTCTAAATATGGAGGAAACGAGCAAGAATAAGCTGGAGATGCGATTGGCTGGGACTGTTATTCTTGCATTGTTCTTATCAGTTTCCATTGTCGACGATATTATCATTTATCAGTCCAACATCGTCAGCCCTAACTCAATCCGCCTTTCCCTTCGCCTTCGCCTTCCACCTCCTGAACCATGAACAAATCCCCCTTTTCTCCTTCTTCTCTCCCTTATTCTCAACCTGTCCCTTCTCATCCAAACCCGCAAAGAACTCCTCTCGCTCCTGCACCACCACCCCCGCCCACTCCCTCATTTCCGCCAGTCCAATCTCCTCCACCACATGATAGAACTCGTCCAGCCGCCGTCCCGTCGCCCGTTCATACTCCAACACCTGCAGCAGCATCTCCAGCTTATCGACGTCGTGCACGAAGCGCGCCTCCAGCGTCGTATTGGCCTCATACTCATGAAACAAACCCATCAGATCACCTCCCTCCCCTTCCCCTTCATCCTCATCCTCCTCCTCATCATCATCATCATATTCACTCGACCCCTGTCCAGAATCAAACCCCTCCCCTTCAAACCCCAACCAATCCCTCTCTCTCCCTCTGCCCCTGTCCCTCCCCCTAGTATCCCCCCCTCTTCCCACCGTTATCCTCGGTACATGAGCACTCCCCTGCTTCAAAAACCCCAACAACCCCCCCTGAATATACTCCATCGTGGCCCCCTCCCTTCTCGCCTTCTCCCGCTTGGACACACCCGTATCCCGCGGCGTGAAGTCCCCCACCAGACACTCCGCCATGTCGTGCACCAGCGCCATGGCGATGCACCGGGCCACGTCCAGTCGCGGCGCCAGACTCGGCGGCGGGATCATCGCCATCACGGCCATGCGGTACATGTGGTCGGAGATGGACTCGCCGTGGGGGATGCCGACTTGGAGCCAGCCGGAGCGGGGGGTTGTTTTGAGGCGTTCGAGGAGGTGGAAGAAGGGGATGGGGTTGGGGGGACTGCGGTTGGAGCTGGCGCTGGTGGTGGTGCAGGGTGGGTAGGGGTAGGGGAGGGTTCTGAGGACTATTTCATTGTAGATTTGTTAGTTTGGGAGGTGAGGTTGGGGTTGGGAGGGATGCGAGAGGAAGGGAGTACCTGTCTGCGGCGTCCATTGCTCTCCGGGCCGTTCGCGAGGACGGCCTCGTTCTTCCATCTTCGCTGCTGTTGATATATACCAAAAAGGAACAGGGATTGGAGATGCGATGAATCAGGTAAGACGATTCAGAGAAAAGCGCAAACAAGACAAGAACAAACGATCTCCCCGGCGAGCAGCACCCTCGAAACCAGCATTCAGCATTCGTGTAAAGCCCAGCGAGACACAGGCCTTTATAGGGACTGTGAAAAGGAACCTAACTCCGAGTCGCTCTCGCCAAGCGAGCATCGAGAATAAATGATTCCTTATTGGGAAGATTTCCAGAACGTCGATCGATAGACAGTGGAGTTTGGGCCGTCAGGACTGCAAGGAACTGACGCGCCGAAGCATCAGCTGGACATGTCAGATGCATGTGTCTATTGTCTATTTGTTTACGTGTCGGTCGGTCAGCTAGCCAGGCGGAGTCAGGTCTATCACTGTTAATCCTTGTACCTGGGTATATGCGGATGGGATGGGAATTCTAGATCTGTCTAAGTTGTTTGAATGGAGGGTAAGGAGACGTGCTGGATTTGATTCTGCATAAAGTTGCTTAACGCAGTAAATAGGGTTGGACATGCACATACAAAAACAGACACACATACAATCATGATCCCAAAGCAGCCCAAAAAATAAATATATAGCCTCATCCCAGCTCAGCCACAATACACAATATCCACCGCTCAATCAGACTACCGGAAATCCTCGGGACGGAGTATACCCTAATCTGAACTTCAGTGTGATTCGCAATGTGACAGACACCAGCAGACGAATTAAGTTTATCGAGTCGCACTGCATCTCGTCGATCTAGTTACTGTACCTACCTACGGCCATGTCAGGTCGGTCAGCTAGGCCAAGTCAGTCAGAAAGTACGGAGAGAATGACCCGAAATGCACAGCCAAGATGGACTGGGATGGGGTTGTCCCTTGCATGATGCGGAGACTAGTTGGGGTTATTTGCTAACGTGTCATGAATGGGTCATGGGGTTTTTTCTTTTTTGCCTTGTGGCCGGATTTGTTCTTTTCTGGGATATTTGGTGTGTATAGTGGGTTATTCTAAATATGTAGGTTGTTGACAGAATTGGGGTTGATTTGTCAATAGTGTGGAAGACGCTGATCGTCCGTCTGATGTGATATCTGATACGTTATTTAAATAGCACCACTAGGTCAAATCGTATCGTGTGCTCGATTATCATCTAACTATACACTATTATATACAATGCCATCGCTCCGATCCAAACATGATCTAGTCAGTAGTATATACGTTATGTAGGTAAGTATAATGCAAATGCAGTCATAACACGTCACTCATCCAATTCTATACACCCCGAGGGACCCGACACGCCCCCCTGACATCCTCCGGCACCGTGTTCCAAAGAACCTCACAAACCTCCCTTCCGACCTGATCGACAACATCCATGGCCCAAAGGACATCCAGATGCTCGTACTCTTCGATGACCTTGGCATGAACCACCCGGACGTGAGGCTCGCGACCGTTCTGCAACCGCCGCAACAGCCGTCGTCCGTCGACGAGATCATCCGACCCCCCGATCCACAGCGCCATCGGGGGCGCCTGTGGACCGTACCAGGCGGTATCGGTGCGAGTGGTGGAGGGTTGTTCAAGACCCTGCTCCGCCCGCTGATCCTCTTCCATTTCGAGTAGGCAGGTCTCGCGCGTGGCGAGGATACATTTCTGGATGGAGAACGAGTCGCGCCCGAGCCACCATCGGATCGTTTCGGTGCTGACGTACACCGGCGCGAATTGGAACATGCGGTCACGGAGACCGCGATCCCAGTGTGTGTCGCTCCAGCCGAAGAGATGCGAGAAAACGTAGTAGCCGAGGGTGCCGTAGACGCGGGGATTCAAGCGCGCGTGCATGGTCATCATGAAGGGAATGAACGAGTGGATGCCGAAGACGAGGCGGAAGAGTCTCGGTGACAGGGCGCGCACGATGCGGAAGTAGACCCGGTCCACGAGAGGTCCGGCATACGCGGCAGGTGCGAGAGCACAGAAAACGGAGATGCGCTCGCCCAACTCGGGTCGCTGGTCCTTCGCCAGAGCGATCAGCGTCTCTGTTGTCCCTTGAGAATGACACACTAGGCCCAGCTTCTCGAATCCTGTCTCGTACAGCACCCGCGACATATGCGCCGCAATATCAAAGACCCCCATCTGTCGAATATTCCACGCCCACATGCGCGGATCGGACGACGACAGCGTCGTATGCTCCGGTTGCAACGCACAGCGGTTATTCGCCAGCCACACATCATACCCGCTCTTGCAGAGATAGAACGCAAGACTATCATCGTCATTCGTACAATACGCCCCAGCACTCTGCAATAGCCCATGGAGCATCAGAACGGGATACTTGCGACGTCCACCGTCGCGTGTCGCCACGCGAGGATTCTTCTGGCCGGTAAAAACCTGCGGTCCACGACACCCGCGGTCCGCGACCGACGAGGGGTTCTGCTCCTGTGGATTATAAACATGCCACAGCGTCAAGATAAACCCGTCTTCCGTCTGGACCTTTAACGTCTCGACGTCCAGGCCCACGCGTCTCGCATAATATGCCACATCAGGGACGATGGGATCCCTTCCCCCCTCCAGCGGCGGACACTCGTCCGGAACAGGGGCGTGGCCTTCCTCATCGACCTCGTCTTTCTTCTTCTGCTGTCGCGTCCACCGTCGATGGTCGGCCTGTCGGTCGCGATTGCGGGTTCGTTCTTCCGTGTAGAACTTCCGCTGGGCGTTCGGATCTCGCCCTCTCACTCGGAGGTACGCATTGTGCAGAACCTCTCCGGCGCGATTGATCAGCGCCCCGGCAACAATGACGCCCAGGAAGAGCAGCGACAAGACGAACGACACGCATCGAATGGCGAGACATTGCAGGGAGGAGAAGAACGACGGGGCTCCGTAGACCGGGAGCGGTGGGAACAGCGGATGGGTTGACGGATGCAAGCCGGTCGTCGCATAAGATGAGGGATGTGAAGTCTGGTCGCGCTGCTCCTCGCCCAACAACGCATCAGTGACGGTTGACTCGCCGAACTTCTCATCCTCGCGTACCCTGTTTATATCCTGTAGTTCGAGCGCATATTCGAGGCGTTTGCCGTCGGGGAGGGAAGGAGAGGTAGGAGAGACGGGCTCGATGGCCATATCGGGTATCGCAGGTCGGTGAGGATCGCAGTGGTGTAGATTATTATAGATTATCGTAGGTTATCGCAGGGTATGGGTCCAGGTTCGTTTCGCAGGCTTGCCGGCAGTGATCTCGACATGTGAATCAACGAGCGGCGGTGACCAGCAGGCTAGAGAAGGGAAGATAACAACAAAAGCAACATCTCCTCCCTGACAACACAGCCGGAATAAAAGGGGCAACAAACCACTCCCAACGCAGGGAGACTGGAGACGAAGCGAAGACCAAAAAGAAGGAGAGTCGAGCGTCCCCGGGATTGCCGCTTTGGGCAGGTGTTCTAAATCGGGGGCGCACGTGAGAGTGGGGCACTGCGTAAGCGATTGAGACCAATCAGGAGTGAGCTATTCTATGCCTGAGGCTACTGTTTACTTCGTGCCTGGGGCAAACCACTTTACGACCTGGAGGTAAACTGCAGTAGAAGTCCAATGATTAATTCTATCTACCAAGAATCAAAGTGAGCCATATCACGTCTCTGTCGTCTATTCCCATCAAAACATGCTGTAATCAATCGTGCGAACACCAAAACCCAGAATCAACCCAAAATAACCCGACTATGCCTTCTCAACATGCTCCAGATCCCGCTTCACCTGAGCATCAGCCTCCAGCTCAGCCAGGGTCGATCCCGGCCCCGAGCTCCCCGAGCCCACGTCCTGCACATCAAGGTAATTGACCGAAGGCTTGAAGCCAGGCGAGCGCCACGCCACCGAAACCTTCGAGTAGAGCTCGTCGACCTGCTCGAGACTGAGCCCCTTCGTCTCGTAAATGCAGGTGTAGACGAAAACGGCGGCAATGAGACAGAAGCCGCCCCAGATGAAGAAAACCTTGGACTGCAGGTTGGCGTTGCCGGGACCTGCGTTCACCATGTAAGGGGTGGCGTAGGCGATGGCCCAGTTGAGGAGCCAATTGGTGGCAGTGGTGATGGAGAGACACTTGGCGCGGGCCTTCAGCGGGAACAGCTCGCCGGTCACCACCCACGCCGAGGGCCCCCAGGAGCTGGCGAAGAAGAAGATGTACACACACACGAAGGCGATCAGCACCTTGTTGGCCACGTCGGAGGTAGCGACCATGCCGACAATGGCGACGACGAGCTGGCAGACAAACATGCCGATGGCACCGAAGAGAAGCAGGGGACGGCGACCCCATTTCTCGACCATGTAGAGTCCGGGGAAGGTGGATACAACATTGACGATGTTGGTAATTAGAGTGATGATAAAGCCATTCTTGATGCCGGAGTGTTCAAAGAAGGTCGTTCCATAGTAGACTAGGGCGGGTTAGCACAATCGGTGAGAGAGAGGGTAGAGACAAAGACATACAGATAAAGTTTACACCAGCCAACTGCTGCAGGGCTTGAACAGCACATCCAGTCGCCAGGCGCTTTGCAATGGATCCGCGGAGAATTTCCAGATACCCCGCCTTGCCAACGCTCATTTCATATTCATGGTTCGCCTGGATCTCAGCCAGCTCTTGAACGACGGACGGATCATTAACATCTACCCGGCGAAGTTTGGCAAGAGACTTCAGGGCAGCCTCGTGGCGATCCTTCTTAATCAAAAAGCGAGGTGTTTCAGGCAGCATGAGCATTCCGACCACGAGAATGATGGCCCACGCAAACTGCACGGCGATGGGGATTCGGTAGGAACCGGTATCCATACGATCCTTAGTGGCATTGTTCACGATGGCGGCAATCAGCAATCCGAGGGTGATGGCCAATTGGTATGCGCCGACGATGGTACCACGAATCCACTTGGGGGCGGTTTCGGATTGGTAGAGAGGAACTGTGCAACGTCAGCATATGCACCGAAAGAATAGTCTATGCAGAGGTAGGCAGGCAGGACAAGACATACTAGTCGCAGACAACAAACCAACACCATATCCAGCGAAGAACCTTCCCGCCACGAACAGCGGAATGGACGTCGCAGCGGTCTGAAGAATCACACCGAAGCAGAAAACGACCGAGTCAATGATCATGCCAATACGGCGACCGAAGTAATCGGCAATGGGAGCGGAGGTCAAGGCACCAAAGAAGGTACCAGCCGACAGCAACGACACGATCATGGAAGACTGCGAGGAGGTCACGTCGGGGAAATTGTCGTCTGGATTGACATAGCCGGTCGAGAACAGCTGTCGCCAATATTTCATGGCCAGAATGCCGCTGATAGTACCGGTGTCATATCTAACCAGCGGTCAGTATATGCCGACAGAGCAGCACGCGCAGTCAAGAAGGACCTACCCAAACAAAACACCTCCAAAGGCCACAAACAAGCCAATGATAATAGCAGGGGCAGCGGAGCCCGACACATCGTCGGGCTTCCTCAACATAAAACCCATGCTGAGATAGGGTTGTAAGAGTTGTCGAGCCGGAGCAGTAATGAGTAATGCAATAGGAACTAGAGCGACGTAAACTTAGATCGCAAAGTCAAGAAAGTATAATGAGGACTCGAGAATGGAAAGACAATTCCTCAACCCGACCCGGAAAGGCAAGAGCAATTTATACTCGGCCAACCGAGTAGCCACCATGCGAAGACGCGGCGACTCATCTCCAGATCCGGCACCCCGGACGAACAGTGGACGGCCGAAATCAGGCATCAAGCCGACCGCACGGAATCGGTGCAGGGCGACCAGACCGCATGAGGCATTAATCTGTTCGTTCGTGCTGCTCACGCGTGCTTCTGGCTCCATTCGTGCCGTCCCCGCGCCACGGGATCCCCGAGTCTGGATCTGGGGAGTAAGGGAGTGGAGCGATTGGCACGAGGGGACGGAGAAGTCGGGCCAAAAGCAGTGAGACATGGCCGAGACCAACGATCAACAATATCAACCACGGCGGAGCGGCGCCGAAGGACTCTGGAAATAACCAGGGAGAGCGTGGACGCTAGCGAGGATCCAGAGTCGTTCTCCGTGCAGGTGCAGCGTCCTACATGGCCAGACTTTGATTGCGAGCGCTAAAATGGAATCCCCGAGGCGATCCCGAGGTTTGGCGGGAGCTACTATGCTTGAAGAGGTCAAGCAGCGGACTAAGGCTAGTGCGCGTTTAGCGTCGCTGCAAGCGGGCACAAAAATAGGCGTGGCGATTGTGCTGCGCCCGCAACGGCGTGGAATGTGCAAAGAAAGCAATGGAAGAGGATGAGGAATGTGAACAAGTTCAATTTCTGAAGTTGAAGAATTGCTTACGGGAGCCGAGGCTGGTCCCGTGCCTGTTCGAGCCCCAATCCGGGACTTTCCCCGGTTGTTTACTTGCGTCGCAAGGGACCATCCTCGCCACGCTCACTTCATCTTAACGTGTGGACACTACAGGAGTCCTCCGTATTGACCAGAACTCGGATTCTCACCGACACCCCGTTCAAGCCCGTGTCCGTCCAATTGACGTTACACGACCTCCTTAGCCCGTGCTGAGATGCCGTCATGACCCCGATCCTCCCCATAATTGGGCGATGGCGATTGGAAGATTCTCCGATATGTCGCCGGTGAGTTTCGCAATCTTACCCCGGGACTGAAGATCTGGAGTCCAACCCCGCCTGATGGCTATGAAGGCTGGGGTTTGACTTTCTCAACGGAGGGAGGGAACCGTGGAAGGAGACACGGGCTAGTCTGTCTTGGTATCATCTACACGACGGACGACGATCCCCAGTCCTGGAAATTGGATCAGCATGCAGAGTACGACATGGATATGCACACGGGGCCCAAATAGGAGAAAGCTCTAATGAAATTAAAATTTAAAACCGCAGACCCGGACTGTACGCCACACACCAGACCCCCTGCGTCTTAGATGATCTTGTTTATTGTGTATATACACCCCCGGCACTCAGACGGACTCGCGCCGGGAAGAATTCATTCGAGACGAAGGATTCACCAGCGCCAGATGAGGAAAAAGTACCACACAAACACAACCGTAGCGACGTGGCGGGCCGAGTCGAAGAACTCGCACCCGATCAACCGCAGCCGGCTTCCCGATCGCCGTCGGGTCTCGACGTGGCTCGGTTTCCACTTCGTGCGGTCCATCTTGTCCTCGTCGATATCTACACGCGTGTAAGTATCAGGATACGACTGGGATGGTTTGTATCGAGGCGGGTAGTTCGTCGCTCGGCTGGCCAGGCCACCCGGGGACGGAAACTTGGAGCTGGACGTACCTGAGGCAGGTACTTGGGAGAATTCATATTGAGAGGGAGGACGGGTTTCGGAGAGAGGAAGGATTGGGGTAGAGGAGGTAGGTTGAGGGGGATACAACGTGTGCACAATGGCGCGGGCGAACAGCACGGCTAGTGACAGGCCGGCAATAAGGCCGTAGTGGATGAAGATGGAGAGCTGGTCGGGGAGAAGACATAGGTGGTTTTGCAGCGTAGTCGGGCTGTTTCCTTCTGCCGTGGGTTTCCCCGTGGCTGGGTCGATGGGATTCCATAAGCTGGTGAGCACAAAACCCGGGCGGCGGACTCCCATGGCCCACGATAGACTCTTCACAGTAATCTCGTTGGGCGACCCGCTGAATTCGCGGTGGGAGACTTCGCAGTAGTCGTGATCGTCTCCCGAGTAAACCTGGATGAGGTTTGGCCCGACCTTGCTGATAATATCTTTGGAGATGGTCTGAGTCAGAACGTTTTGGTACTGGTAGCCTCCGGCGATGGTGAGGGCATTGCGCTCGTCATGCTCCGGTTCCCCAGGGGAAGGAGGCCAGTGTTCTCTCAATGGCCCGCAAGGCGTCGCTGGTGGACGATATAAGGGAACATGGGTGAGGAGAACAGCAGGAAGGCCGACAACCTCGGGCTGAGGTCGATGCGCGATCGAGGGCTCGGAGATCTCAATGGCTTTGTGGGTGAAGAGATGCCCCTCGCTTTGATTGCTCAACATGCGTAGTTCCTCCATCTCCGCCTTGGCCCGATGCACGCCCATGTTGTTGAGGAAGTCCTCCGCTTCTTTCCAGATCTGCTCGTTCGGTCGGTGCCCATCCCCGGAGCCAGCACCTGAGCTGCCGGTCTCAGGATCGGGTTGGTCCATGGCGCTGAGGGAGACTGTATCCATCGAAACGAAAGTGTGGTTTCCGATGACATCCACACGATTACCTTTTCCAAAGAACATCTGGAATCGATCGCGGACTGGCACCTGAACCCCGGACCCGAACCCAAGATCGTGATTTCCCGGCAGACTGGCAATCAGTCTGCGGCCACGGGTATTGGTCGTGAACCGATCGCCTTCATTCCACTGATCCAGAAAGATCTTAACGAAACGATGGTACTCCTCCTTCCAGAACGAGTCCTTGTATTTCTTATACCGCTCCTCGGGACTGGAGCTGTGAGCCGTTGCCCACTCTCGGCCTCCATCGAACAAGTCACCCAGAAACAGCACCGAATCGGGACCGAGTTTGTTTTGAATAGACCAGAACGACCGACGGAGGTACTGATCGGTGAACCGCACGGTCAGGGTAGAAAGGGGCCATGGTCGGCCAGGATACGTATGAGGGTCGACGAGCTGAGGATCGGCGATGAAGGCAACATGGTGAGGCGTGGCATCTCGAGGCTGCGCAAGAATACAAAGTCAGCTCCTGACCATCCAACCAAGGAATCCGTACTCACCCAGTGTTCCCAATTTCCCCACGCGCAAGTCTCCAGACTCTCCCGAAAGACAGTCCGCTCCCCCCACCACAGGGTCCAGAACCACAGGAGAATCAGAGCATTAGCGACGGTGAAGATGGACTTGATTGTCCTCCACGCCTGCGCACCCAGCTCCGTCCTAGCCCTAGAGCCCTCCGCGCCGCCCGATACCAACGACGCACCGCGAGTCTGAAGGTCAGCGATCTGACGGCTTGCCCCGGTCGGCAAAAGCGACTGCACCCGGTCCAGGGTACCCGGGGACTTGGAAAAGGAACCGCGATGAGGTCGGTAAGCGTCCGCGCTTGCGCCTTGTCGATATGAATAACTCATGGTCATGTGTCAATTCGACGGTGTGGAAGAGGCCAAGCTACGGTGTCTGCTGCATCGCTCCGCCCTTGTAATCGGGAGTGTGAACAGACACTCGGCAATTGGCAGGCCCTGTGGAGCTCGCAATCACATAAAAGTAAGGATGGAGAGAGCAACGACGCTGTACTATTGCTCGAGGTTAAAAAAAACAAAATCCACAATATTTGCCATTGGCGATGAGACACGATCGGTCAAGGGGTCGGAGATCTTCTGACGGAGCCTAAACAGCGCGGGGTCACGTGGTCTGTCCCGTCACGCGGCCAAAGTTTGGGTCTTGAACAGCTTGAAAGAGTCGGATCGATGGTGTCAATACAAATAAAGCTACGATAGAGTCCTAGATGAAGTCTCTTACGTTTTATAAAGAGTTTATGCTGGTAGTCATCGCTTGAAAGCGACCGGAGAACAGGCCAATGTGGGTCTAGAGGACGGTTTGGACCGATCTATATATATCCTCGCTCCAGGACAATGCTGGTGGGGTAATTTAGAATAGTCCAGGGCATAATTCTGACCACTTCTACTATATCTTCACAAAGAGAGAAAACCCAGTATATTGCTAAGAATACAAGTAACGACGAAAATGACCAAATGCGGTTGATGCCTGCCAACCCAAGAGTCAATCCATCGCTTTAGTCTTTTTATCTATTAGTATCAGGTCTTCAGCATCCAAGATATCCACCCTGAATAACGGTATTAACGACAGCGATCACATGGATGTAATGCAGATATGCAATGAGGGTATGAACGATGAAAAGAAACCATCTTTTGGAGGTAACGACAAGAATGAATGAGATGCGCGTAGCAGTCAAAAAGGTTAAAGAAAAGTGAAAAAAGGGACTGAGTCAGGTGGGCTTGGTAGGACAGCATTGACCTCCCCGAGCACATTCGTCGCCACACTCGAGTAGACACGCTTGAGGGTCGCCGTCCCGAATGCTGTCGGGTCGGTTGGAAGGATGGTTGGCAGCCGACGGGTCGCTGCTACTTCCGCGGGAGTAGGACGGAGCTACCGTGGACTCGTCAACGTCGCTCTCCGGTGCGAACTCGGGCTGGATGGTCGAAGAGTGAATTCCGTAGGCATGCAGGCACTTTCTAACCTGTCTTGCAAGACGCATGTACCGCTCCGAACCCTCTCCCTTGATTTCCGTGTCCACCTGGATGTGAATCGAAGCCACGATCTTGGTGTCGCTCAGTTGCCACACGTGGAGATGATGAGAGCCGATAACGCCGGGCAGTCTTTCGATGTCCTCCTTGATGTGGTCGATACTCATGCCGGGCGGGACGGCCTGGAGAAGGATGCGGGAAGCGGCCTTGCAGAGGGGAATGGCCGAGGCGAGGATAATGACAGTGATCACCAGCGAGATGCCGGGGTCCACGTAGAATCGCCATTCGTAATCGGTAAGCCAAATTACCAGAGCGGAGACGATCACGCCGATATTTCCCAAGGCGTCACCCATGACATGCAGGAATACACCTCGCATGTTAAGATCATGACCGTGGCCGTGGCCGTGACCGTGTTTACTGTTCTCCTTAGGCTTGGGCTGCGCATGGTTGTGAGATTGGTGAATGTCGTCGTCGGCCCTGTGATCGGCCGTCGGGAAAGGAGTATGATCTTCATCGGTGTAGTTTCGGGTTCGGTCCTTGGGAAGTAGGGTTGAGCGTTCCGATGGCTCAACACTTCCCTCTCTTGAGACAGTCTCTGACTCGGAGGATTGTTCCTCGTCCACAAATCGCGTGCGACTAGCCGCGATGATCTCCTGTCTCAAGGTAGCCGGATGCACTTGGATCTCTTCAGGATCAAAGTCACGGGTGGAGGTGCTATAGCGGTGCGAGTTGCGGTTCTGGCTGTCAAGGGTGCGGCGTCTGCGAGAATAGGGCGATGACGGTTCGATGGCATCCTGCGAATCCTCATTCTTTTGATAAGCGTTAGATAAACGTTCACGACCGCGTGTTGAGGGCAGGGGGAAGTTACATTCGCCGTAGCCTTCCGCTTATCAATGCCAGTCGGTTCGCCATGGTCGTGAGAATTATACCCCTGCTCTGCAGCATTGACATCATCGATCTCGTCGTGTCCATGACTGTGGCCGTGACCGCCATGTCCGTGAGAGTGATCATGGAACAACGCCAGACCGACGATGTTGGACAACAGGCCCAAACAGCCGACGATACAGACAAATTTGGGGTTCTTGACCTCCTGAGGCTCCACCAGTCGTTGTATGGCCTCCAGGAAAATCGATAAACACAAAGCGACCAGGAAAACACCATTCACGAGGGCACCGAGAGTTTCCGCGCGTTGCCACTGCACGTAATCAAAGTCGACAATTAGAGTTTGTTTCATCCGGAACGAAAACAGGGAGGACGTCTTACCCCGTATGTGTACATCTTGGACGTCGTTTCGCGATTGGCGACTTTGACTGCCCACAGTCCGACCAGTAAGGAGATAACATCATTGAGCTACCGTGTATGTATTAGAATGGATGCTAGCCATGAGATCGGAGCGTAGGTAGCGTACCATATGAAATGAATCGGCAACTAGAGCAAGGGAGTGCACGGTATATCCTGTAGGATTGAATGGATTAGAGAAGATCCAGGACAGCCTGATAGGAGGGAAAAAACCAACCGGCAATCAGCTCTAGCAAGAAAAATGCCGTATCTATCACCAGCAGGATCAAGATCCTGTGGGTTTTTGAGAGACCCATGGTGTACAAGAAAGAAGCCTTTGGAGCGCGCTCAGTGGCGCAAGGCAGGAAAAAAGAATGAACGTAACCCCACCAGTCGGGGTTTGGAGATGAGAGGAGCGAAGTAGAGAAGGGAAGGTCAGCTCAGGAATCAGATATAGCAAACAAGGGAAAAGGGCATGAACAGAAAATGGGAACGAAACGAGAAGAGGCAGGGAGAGCAAGAATGACTGGGAAGAGAAACCGCGAGAATTGGCGGGCAGAATTCCAGGGCGGCGAGACTCTCCGACAAACCGGCAGGTGGCGTTATCCCGGCTGCCGATGGCCTCAGGCTTGCCGATCCCGGAGGATCTCGAGACTCGGAGTATACGCTGCCCTCTGTCGATACTGACTCTCACACTCGCATTGCACCCTGTCGAGAATTCTCTAAATTCTACTTTTATCATACAGAGACAAATTCTATCATGTCAATTGAATCGCTCATTTCGGAACACCTGCCACATGCTTTCGATTTAGTACTAGCCCACTAGTATTTAACGCCTCTATTAAGACACTAAACTCTCGCTTACAGTCGCGCATGAAACTGGACCTGAAAAACCAAGACAGGCAGAAATTAGACGATACTAGACTAATCTGGAGGCATCTAATTGGCCTGTTATCCTGCTATCAAGGTAAGAATTTTCTTAGTTCGAGGACATTGATGACTCGTGATAATGACTACTTAGAAACAGGAGCAGATTTCATTCTGAACGAATGCATGACAAGTTTTGGGTGCCACCTTTTTTACCCCAGAATGAAACCTCTGACAGCCCGGTTGACTAGCCATGACTCCAGGTGCTTCTGTTCGTGAAACCTAGGAGGTATTTGACCAAATGTTTAGGAACACTTGTTGAACGCGACTGGGACTTGTTTAACACGGAGTAGAAGGAATTTAGGGAGCTGGTCTTCTCTATTTGTTGTTGAAATTTCTGGTGGGAAATTTGTTAAAACACTAGAAGAAAGGTTTTGGTACTGTGCAACAGACAGGAACATGCTAGAATGGCGTGTCACGGGTTGGGAATTGAACTGAGGAATTGATCTATCTGCTTGGGATGGTTTCATCATCATCCCGTCATCTTATATCATGAAAGAGCCACTTGCCGGGACCAGAGCTCCTTGACCTCCTGGCATGACTATGATTTTGGTTCAACTAAGTCACGCATGTATGAATACGGCTTTCCTTCCCCCCCCTTCTTTTGATCTAATTATGGTAGGAGAAAGTCTCCTTGCAAGCGATATCTTCCTCCTGCAAAGCTCCAAGCTTCCAGAAAGCCCAATCAACACTAGAGTAGGACCGTGTGACATTATTCTACCTGCAGTGATCGAATCGACCCGTCATTATGGTAAGGATTAATGATTATTCTGGTTAGTGCCATTACAATGTCTTCTGCCCATATACCACGTAGAGCTTAGAATAGTTATGCAAAGAAAGATCCTTCAGTTCCTTCCGGACCCCTATCAGAAGCAGCTGGACCTGTTCCACACTCCATCCAAGGTACCGCGTGCACAAAGCCAGTGAATATGCCTCAAGTGCTTCCAGCATGTTTGTTTGATGGTATCTGCCGAGCTCTTTCTGCGTGGCGTTCCTTGCCCACGGACCAAACGGGACCTGCAAAGGTCAGCAGGCTGAGATATCTAAGCCATTAGTGCTACGGGTCGACAGACAGACCTTGATGATTTCCTGGCGGATGTTCGCAAACCCCGACTGTGCCATCCATTCGTCGTATTGGCTCGCGACACCCATGGGCTTTCCAAACACCCGACTCGCCTCGATGAGTCGATCCCGCCATTCTAGGAGATGTGGTGACTTCTCGGTGCTTTCATCATCGGAAAAGATCCCCGCCGTGAAGTCGACGACCTCGAACCACCCCCCAGGACTCAGCGAGTCATAGGCCTGCTGGAACAGTCGCGGAAAGTCATGCACGCAGCCTTCGATTGCCCGCGCATGGATGAAGTCAAACGGTTGCGAGAAATTCCATTCAAGCTCGAAGTCATCGATTTCGAAGACGCAATTTGGTGGAACCCTAGGAAAAAAGCATGGTTACATGGCAACGCGAATCATGGCCTGGTCTTGGGGGGAGCGGGACAGATCATACCATAGAGGTTGAATGGGGCTTAGATCCGTGCCTGTCCTACGTGAATACCAGGGCGTTGGGGAGGTGATATCGAGCATCATTCGACCTACCGATTACCACCGTCTCGGGAAATGAGCTGTCGGCATGTTAGCTTCAGCGTGAGAATGTGGTGATGGGGCTTGTCCTACTCCGCCATGTCAATGACCCATGCTCCCGTCCCGGTCCCAATATCCAGAACTCGTCGGATTCCTTGTGGAAGGGGACAACGGTACAGGTCTCCCCTCATGGCTAGACTGCAGATGTGGTGATGCTGGGGGTGGTTAGCCAAACATTTGGGACTGACAGGGATTCGGTGTACCAGGTCGAGCCGCTCTTGTTCCTGTTCGTCGTTGGGCTGGATCGTGGGTTAGAGACAGATATCCGTGAGTCTCCAGGGTTGCATGCTGTGGTTCTTACGATGACATATTCTCCTTGTCGATATGCGTGGTATCGTCGTCCATTCTTATGACTGATTAATGACGACTCCACAAGAGGAGATGGCATCTCACCTCATACCTAGCTTAAATGTTAGACTTTACAAAGATAAATCAAAGCCATGAACACGTACTGATAATTCAGAATAGTCGATGTAATAGAAGCGGTTGAACTGGCGAATAGTATGTCAAGACCACCCCTGAGGATGCAGGAGCCACGGCGCAACCCCTGAAAGTATCCCACTCACCCATTTTCATATTCATCCCAGTCATCAAACAAGTCCGAGTCCTCCTTAAAATCAATCAGTGTCCATCGAGGCTAACGCAAGTCCTAAACCAACTGAAACACAAACCTCGGGCACGGTGAGCGGGTCAAAATGTGGCTGGTGCTCGTCCATCATGGGTCAAAAACGGAGCATAGACGGACGGACCTGATCGATGTGACAAACCACCTGTGTTTTATCCCGACGAGCGCCCGCCGATCGCTTATATTCAGGCCCGACTTTTTCCCTGGCCACGCGAATGCCCTCGCGTGGAACAATTTTAGCCTCCGGGGTTACACAAATCACTCTTTTCGTTGTTTGCTGTCCTTCTTAGCCCTGTCCGACACGGATTGACTCTTCCTCCCCCTGGGCTATTCTTCATGATTGGACCGGGTCTTTTGTAACCGCTGGAGGTTGCATTTCCCCCAAACTTCAGCACATGCGTTTCGGATGATGCCCAATCACGAGGGATGGAAACGGGGTTGCATGCGTGAGGAGGAGGATGGAGGGGGCCAACACCACCTTCAGGTTACTAGAGAACTGGATAGATACATAGACTACTCAATAATTCTCCGAAGAGATATAATCTAGGATGGGTTGTCGGGCTGAACAATGGGTGGTGGTGGTTTGAGCAGCTTTGTTGAGTACGTCGCGCACCTCGGTGCTTTGTTTTTTACCCGCAAAAATTTGACTGCATTGAATACCAGATGCTTCAGCTACTTTTGGAACCCTTTTATGTTGTGCTCGTGTGGATATGTTATCTACTGGCTATCACCATCTATCGGTTATATCTCTCTCCATTGGCCAAATTCCCCGGGCCCAAGCTGGCTGCTCTAACGAGATGGTATGAAACATACTACGACACGTACTGCTACGGGAAGTATACGTTTGAGATTGCCCGAATGCATGAAAAATACGGTGGGTACTTGGCCTAGACATTAGCATTGACAAGGGCTGACACGACGTAGGTCCCATTGTGCGAATCAGTCCATGGGAACTGCACGTCAACGACCCAGATTTCTACGAAGTGCTCTACTGCCGAAGCAGTCCCCGAAACAAATATGAGTACTTCACCAAGCAATTTGGACTCATACGCACGGTGGTATCAACAATCGATCACAATCATCATCGTCTTTTACGCTCCAACATGAATCCTTACTTTTCCACATCCCGGATCCGCAGTCTAGAGCCCTTGATACAGAACCTGGTGAACAAGCTATGTCACCGGTTAAAAGAATACAAAGACACAGGGAAGCCCATTGATATACATCACGCCTATATCTGCTTCACCACAGATGTCGTATCTGACTATACCATGGGCGTTGGGTTTCATTACCTCGACGAGCCTGGCTTTGTGCCCGAATGGAACGCAACATTGGCCACAGGTGCCAAGACAAGCGTGTATATGAGACCTTTTCCGTGGCTTCGATGCTTGCTCGACGCGCTCCCCGAGAGAGTACTACTGCGGATGTTCCCAGAGGCCATTCTCACGACACAGTTCAAACGCCGCTGTGAGAAGATTATGCACTCTATCATGGATGAGCAACGTGCCGAGAGCTATGGAAAGACCAGGCGCCAATTTAGTCACCCGACATTTTTCCACGATGTGCTCAATAGTACGTTACCTCCAGAGGAGAAATCCCCCGAGAGGCTGTCCCAGGAAGTACAGCTGGTTATTGGAGCCGGGTCGGAGTCGACCTCGAAGATGTTGGCATGGACGACATTCTACTTGTTGGAGAATAAGGAGAAGATGGATAAATTGAAAGAGGAGCTCAACCGACTAGATCCTGACTATACGGCTTCATTGGTGGATTTTGAACAAATGCCTTATTTGGTGAGTAAGGTCATATTGAGAATGCAGTCTGCTAATTAAGTCAGACGTCGGTGATGCTCGAAGGATTAAGGTGCCATTCCTGTCGACCCAAAGAGAATCATTGGAACTAAATCAAATAGGCTCTCCTATGGCATCAGCTCACGTCTCCCTCGAATCGCACCCGACACCCCTCTCCAGTTCGAGGAATGGACGATCCCCGCCGGCGTGAGCTCTCACCCAGCCATATCTAGAAAACAAAACTGATATCACAATCTAGACCCCGGTCGAGATGACTAGTGTGCTTATGCATCACAACGAGAAAGTATTTCCCGACTCGCATACCTTCATCCCCGAGAGATGGATGGACCTTGGCGAGCGGAAACGACTGGAGAAATACATGGTGTCATTTAGCAAGGGATCCCGACAATGCCTTGGCATGAAGTTAGTTTGTTTGATATTCATGACTTTACCGAAGATCTAACAGTTCATAGTCTCGCCAAGGCGGAAATATTGCTACTTCTGCCCAAGATTTGCCGGGAGTTCGAGTTCGAGTTGTTCGAGACGACCCGTGAGGACGTTACCATCGCACATGACCTTTTCTTGCCCTACCCGAGGGAGGATAGCAAAGGTGTGCGGGTGCTTGTCCATTGACGCTTAGCATGCTGGCGGCTCGACTGGAGTTGACATCGGTATTAGGATGGTAAAGAATGGTATATGCTTGACTGGGAGACTTGATCCTTTCTCTTTTTGTTTTTACGCGTTGAGGCCCAAGTGGTACTTAGGGCAATAGCTGAAATGCATCGAATTATGTGGATGTTTCGCAGATTTACTCCGTAGATACAAACTATTTCTAGTATTATTTGACGACACAGGATTGATGCTGAAAAAAAGGAAGAAAGAAAGAAAGAAAGGTCTGCTGGCGCCCTGTAATTCTGCGATTTCCATAATGGATAATGTAACAAGTCACATTTGTCATGGATATCGGATTTAGATCGTATAGGACATATCAAGTTTCAAACACTACAATGTCCGCGTCAATATGAGGAGGGCCCGATGTTAGTTCAAGAACATAAATAGTGGTGGCCCAGGACTACGCGTTTTATAGGTGTAGTGACCTGCGAAATACTTTAAAAGGTATGATTAGATTGCTTCAGTGACGAAATCATCCTATCTTGTGTCAGATGCTTTCTCGGGTGACCCATCCATCACATAAACAAACTATTGAATGATAGTTCCGTAGAAAAATAAAAAAGAAAATCAAAGCAAAAACATACAACAGCCGGGATTCGCTGGTGGTCACCCACCCAACTACTAACCGGCCGGCGTGAGGTTTAAGTACGGCTGAGCGGACGGGAAGCCCTGTTTTCCTCACCCTGTGGTCGTATGTACTTGTGGTTATAAAGGTATGGAATATGTAGTGCTTTTACCAAAATATGACAATAGAAGGAGGTGCCTAGAAACTGGCGACCCTGGCGATCGCCGGTATTATCGCGCGAGCTCTTTAAGTGCGCTTTAGACGGCGCCGGAGTCGCCCGGCGACTCCCGGTGACGGGTGTGGTCATTTTTATTATTTTATTTGATGCTTCCTGTCCCCTTAGTTAAAAAGAAAACATTAAAGCCATTGGTTTAGCACCCCACCTTCTGAAACAGCCGGTGCCTGAACTAGAGTTGCTGCACCTCTCTAGTTATTTAGACAACAGCGAACATAGAAGTGAAGTGTTTCGTACTGTATAAGAAAGAAATTAGATTCGAGTTTAAAATATATTAGAAATGGCTCTTACATACTTGCAATTAGGACACGTCGGAATATGCTGGCCAGAGGGTGTAATGGCGCTGACGACGAAGATGTTTCTTTTAAGCTACTTTAGTTTGAGGACAACCCGCGCAATCCAAAGCTTTGATCGGCTATTTTCAACCTTCGTTCGTACTCACACACTCCCTATTGCCCGGGCTTTCTTTTATATATTCCGTGCATGTTCTCCCTCCACCTCCAAGAAGATGAGGCCCTCACCCTCCGAATCTAACTTATAATGTATACCTGAACGAGGGGATTTGTCTGTCGGTGCGATTCAAGAAGTCTTCCGTCACGTAATCGTCTGTTGCCTGATCAGGAGGGCCGTATTTCCTGTCGCGTCGTCGATTCTCATACTCGTAGTAGATATATAAGAGGATGAGGAAGAAGATCGCTAGGGCGAATCCAACTAGAACTCCTCGAAGTCCGGTCTATTGTATACATTGTTGATTCAGTCAGTCATTGCAGCAGATAAAACGAAGGGGATAAGAGGAGGGGCTTATTGGCAAGGAACCAGATATACAACAAACTTACAGGATATTTTGGAGCCTCATCAGTAAAGAACAACTGAGGCCCGATTATATTCCCCGTACAATATGCGAGAAACAGCATGGCTGATACGGTTGCCTTCTTCGTAAAACCTCCGACATTCGACGTGATCAGACTCAAAGAGATCGGGATACTGGTGGCAAACGGGCCTAATAGGAAAATACCCACCCAGCGGCCCCAACGGTTGGAATCGGGTAAAGTGTTCATCAGAATCACGCCCACGAGGGCAAACACGATCACCACAATCATCGTAATTATCCGGCTTTTGGGGATGTAGGCGGCCGCGAGGCAGATGCCACCGATGGCGAGGATCTGGAGGAGGCCGCTGGGGGCGGAGAGGAGAAGGGAGTTGAGTTCGCTGAAGCCGAAGCCATTGATGATTATGCTGCTGAACTTTTGTTTGGATTTGCGGTCAGCGGTCGCGGTTTAGTATATGTACATGCGCAACATACCGAACTGAACCCTCCATTCGGGATATTCTGAGTGAGACTATAACCAACCAGCAACCATGCCTGGGGATCTGTGAGTGCATCCAGCATCTGGGAAACCTTGAACTCCCCTTCATCCATCACGCCCGTCCGGTTCTCCAAGGTCCGGTGCAGCGCGATCTTCTTCTCAGCGGCGGTCAAGAACCAAGCTTTCGATGGCGAGTCGGGGAGAATGAACGCCAGGAAAATGCCATAAGCGACGGTAATCACGCCAAGGATCAGGAAGAGTAACTTCCACGAGGCGATATGCGAGTCAATCCGGCCGATTCCGTACGCGATGAGGCCGGACACGACATTCGCGACGGCGTTGCCGAGAAACCACAATGTCATTCGTGACGGCTGCTCGGAATTCTTGTAGAACATCCCTGTGATGAGCGAAAATCCCGGCGCCACTGCCGCCTCTGTAACGCCTAGGAAGAAGCGGGCGGTTAACAGGCCACCGAAGTTGGTGCAGGCTGCGTGGGTGGTCAGCACGACGCCCCAGAGGGCCACAGAGGCCCCCAGGTACTTGCCCAGCGGGAAGCGAACGGAAATGTAACTGCTCGGCCAGCTCCAGAAGAGATACCCAAAGTAGAAGACGGAGGAGCACCAGCTGTACTCGCTGCCTTGGAGGTTCTAAAGAATGAAGACTCATTAGGGAGTTTCCAATGCAATGCTTCTTGCACTTACAAGATCTGCTCTTAGATTTAGCTGGGTGGCGTAACCCAAAGTAACCTTGTCCATGTACTGAAGCATATAGCATGCAGCCATAACCGGTATTATGCTGGCATATATCGTCAGTTATTATCAGGACGCCACATGAGAAATGGTGATAAAAAGGCCGACTCGACATACTGCAAGTCAATTTTCCGAAGAATTCGCTTCTCTTCTTTTGGGGTGGCCTCCGCGTGAAGAACTTCGACGACTTGAGAGTCTAATTGGGCGACAGACGGTTCATTTGTATTTGTAAAAAAGGTGGCGGACTTTTCCATGATGGTGGTGCCAGTGTGATTGATGTTTGAAGATTGAGTTGTTGAAAGTGACCATTCTATGTCGCTCTCGAGACCTAATAACTGATTAATGTATTCTTGATGAGAAAGCCGATGTCGCAAGCGCTTGTCGAGATTGCCTACAGACTAGTAATTGGTAGCCATATCGATCCTGAATCACAACATCGGATGGCCCTAGTGCAGGAATGGCGCAATAGCTACGCCCTATACATCTTCTGGTTATAACTTCCTTCCCCGCACGGCGGGCCGTTGTATGTTTTCCCTTTCTTTTTGCTCACAGATTGAATGTCTTGAGCGGAATTCAATTTCAATTCAATCCTAAATTTTCCAGCATTTTACCTAGACCCTGTATCTCCCTCCCCGAGTTTCATACCTGAGATGCTTGCTGCATACGCAGTTGCCGGAGCATTTCACCGGAATTTTCTATCTGTCAACCGCAAGCTTTCAAAACGAAAAGCTCTATTTCCCCGGCATTTATAGCTACCTTAATTTCGTGTCAATATTCTAATTATAATTGTGATGTAATAATTGCATGCGTGACATGGATTCTCGGACCAACTTGGACACCCCCGAGTGGATTTTCGGCGTCTCCCTCTACACCGACACCTAGCTGTTCTTTCTTTCCTCGTCTTTTCCTTTGTCAGAGTATGAATCACCACTATTTAAATGCCTGTCTATACGCCTCGTAAGCCGAACAAATCTCGCATAAATAAATCTGTCGTAAAGCTCCGCTGCTAAAAGCACAATCGGAGTTATCATCAACCCCGAAATCAGGAACGAAGCCACGAGAACACGAAGTCTCTGGGACGCAACCTCTGCTCCCGGATATCCTTCGTTTGTGAATGACATCCACACGTAATCCCGCAACGGCTTTTGCCAAAGATAAAAGATGAACATATGAACAACGTATAACGAAAACGATATCTTTCCAAGATACTGAGCCGGATCAAATGGTTCCATGGGGAGGTCCACGGGCTCAATTTGGCCAGGCTTTCATCGCGCAAGTAGTATCCGAAAATGTCAAAGAACACGGCGAGCTGCGAAATGATGGCTAAAGTAAAAACTGGGAGGAACAGACGGAATGGTCGGCGACAGACCGCTGAGCGAAGGTGCGAGACGAATTGGTCTGGTGGACCGGAGTTTCGGCGCTGAAGGAGGCCAAGAGAGATAGAGTATCCGGAAATGACCATGAGAAGAGGAACCATGGCACACACAGCCCAAAGAAGACTGATCGGGGGCAACTGAAGTACATGTCGGTTTTCTTCAGGTGGATGAGCCCAAAATGACCGAGCTTGGGTCTTGATCTCTCCATGAAAATAGTGATTAGATGCCACGACAAATGCCGCAGGCCCCCTGATTCCGTCTAACCATTGAACTCTCTCCATTCTGGTGCTCAAACAGATAATCAAGGAAAGTAAAAAGAAGATAGAAACCGCTGAAGAAGCGTTTTCGAGTAGGCCCTGTTGAATTTTCAAAGTCCAGAGGAAAGGAAACAAATTTTGTTTGAGCCACACTCGCTTGTGTACCAGTTCTAATATATATTTAGCATGCCCTCGAGTCAAACATACAAAATTAATTCGGGAAATTCTTTTTTCATTGACGGGAGTCCAGATATAACACGTAAGTACGCGTCACGGCGTATCATTTACAAGTCATATATTCCTAATACCGTGTTTACAATTCATCCAGAGGACCCTTTAAAGGCGAATATCGAGATATCTCAAGCAGGGCGAGTACGGTCGACAAGCTACAGCAGAGAAAGTGTTGCATGCCACCATAGTTTTAGACTGCCAGCTCGAAGCTAGATCTTCGCAACCCCTCTAGAATTACTGTCTCAAGTTTAAAAAGCTCAATAAATACTGCCAAATTATCAATGGGGCCCTTCATATTAACAGCTGGAGAACCATCGGAAATCATCCTTGTCGTTGGCCAGGTTCTCCGCTCTCCGCTTCAAAGTAAATACATATGCTGTGCAACACGCGCTTCCACATCATCTACTGACCCAGCAAATGGTGTCCAAGGGCTATTTACAGATTAAGGGTGTCCAAAGCACTGTTTACAAGACCGCTGACACTACCCACGGTCTCCGGCGCACCTTCACAGAGAACAGTGTTGACTCCATCGAGAGCCCCGTTCACAAGTCCATCGGGGTTCCGTCCGCCGCAAGGACGTCCGTCCGATCCAACACCAGTCGGGTTGCCAGGCTGCGTAGCACCGGGAGTTCCAGCACCAGGAGTACCAGCGCCAGGAGTACCAGCGCCAGGAGTACCAGCGTCAGGAGTACCAGCGCCAGGGGTTCCAGCGCCAGGGGTTCCGGCACCGGGAGCGCCAACACCGGGGTTAATAGCCTCAGGGATACCAGCACCAGGGAAACCGGTGCCGTGCTCTCCAGCGTCAGCGGTGTGGGCCAAGTCGTCGGCAATCGCGGGGGTTTCAGAGCGAGGAATGGCTGTAGTAAGACAAATTAGCAAAAATGCGGAAAGGACAGCAGAGAGAAGCGCCCGTACCGGCAATTGGGACGGCAGCAGCGCTCAGGAAGAGGCCACAGAAGGCAGCGGAGGAAAGCAGAGTGAAACGCATTTTGATTGATTCTTTGAGGAAGAAGAGTGCGTTGAAGCAAGAGGCTTTGGCTGGTGCTTGAAGCTGGAGGACTTGGAACTTTGGGCTTTGGACTGAAAGCTTGAGCGGGTTGATTTCCTTGAAGTCCGGGCGAAACTCGATGGTTTAAATGCTCGACAATCTGAAGGCATGGCGGCCATGCGCCTATTGCTGATTCCTGTTTGAGATCACTATACCCCGGGATCTGAGATGGTCATCTTTTGAATTATTGAAAGCCACAATTGAAGCCTTTTCGTATCTTGTGTGGAGTATACCCGTTTTACGTCCTAGTTCGGGAAATTGTGGAGAGGAAATGCAGGTTCGTTAGCCTACACCGCATTTTGTCTGGGGTTCATATCACATGTACTTGTACCGAATGAGTGATGCATATGTGATTTCCGCAATAGCACCGCTACTATTGGGGTGCGTGACCCAGGCTGGGCTGCTATCTGTCGCATTTGATGGCTCATGGTCGAGCAGATCATGCTGCCTGTTTTCTCTTCCTAGATGGAATTATCCTAAAAAGAAACGACCCTGACCCACTCATTTTCCGAACACGGGATTATAACAATGATGTATTGATTACTGGAGCTGACGTGGAACAAAAGAGAATAGCCATACCCTGCAAATACTTTGTAGAACACAAGATGTCACTCCAAACAGCGCGCTCAAATCCCGGAAATCAATCGGTCCTGATTCAAGAAAGGCTTACGCATTCTTCCGTGGCTTGCAGTAAAATTAAATATCCAGAGCCACGAAGGCTGGACCGAAGCCATGAACTCGTTTTGGCATGCTGCGCATGCATATACGCCGCAAACCTTCGAGTTCGTCAAGTGATTACTTTATGTAACCATGTGTACCTGAAAATGTCTCAAACAACCGGCTTCTAGAAGAGCTGTTGTGCCTTTCATAATCTCTTGTAAACTTTGCGTTCCTGGAATGTCGAATGGGCGGTTGCATAAAATACAATATACTCAGCCACGACAGTCAAGACCTCAATGTTAACAAAGGGCTCGCAAACATAGCTTCTTTGGTCAATAATGGAATTGAGCACCACTGTTAAATAAGACATGTATAAGGAAGGTCGCTTAGAGTCCATTATTCCAGGCCAAGGCAATCCTGTCCTGACTCGTGTCACCAAATAAGTCTAATTAGTCTAATCAATCACATAGGCGGAAGGAAATAAGCCATGTGAAAAGTATCGGGCGTAAATGGAGCATTTTAAATGGGGATCTGATATTACATGGTTCGCACTATGTATGCACTGCATGCGTCAATCACTAGTCTTGTGGCAACTTACTACAGGTCATTTTTCGTGGGAGGGCTTCACAAGAAGAGTAAGTAGGCCAAAGCTCCCTGAAGACTACATAGACTGGATCCATAATGCCTATGCTGATTATTCTGTGACACCTTCGGAAGATTTCCTTCGATACCCAACCTATGGCTTGACATCGTTGCTGTCTAGACTCGAGAAACATTGCACACGATTTACCTAACAAAGGCAACACTCGGTATTGCTCAACTATTCAACCGTCCTATCGCTTCACCGTCTACATTAGAGAAAATGGAAAAAAGGGGGAATGGCGACGCCGCCATCCCTCGGCGTCAATGGAACCATTCGAACAGAATTTATGCGGCGTTGAAGTACAACAGTCTAATTTTTCCACTCACGTTGCTATTGACATTTTACGGTACGAATGTCCCGATCGGGATTGCAGAAAGAGTGAAAATCTAATTATTGAGATTTATTGCTGAGAAAAGTCGCTTCTGTAACTGGGTATTACTATGTGGACGTGGTCGAGGATGGTGGCTGACATAGATCCGCTACTATCCATGCCATTTTGAGCACGCCTTTCCTCTTGGCTCAATTGCCACCATACGCCAACACTATAGGACTATGTCTGCCTATGCGGCCGGATAAACACTCGAAAAGTCCCCGAACGAGACACTTAGGGACTTTGCGAATCTTCCTTGTGACGAGAGGAACCAATGTGCAGGTATTATCCTTTTTTAACCCTACCTACGAATCGCTCAACAAAGACCCTAACCTCAGTAGACGGCTTTGAAGTTAGTGAGTAGTTGGAGTCGACTGAAAGAGCGTGATCATCCATCTATACAGTTCCATGTCCTTGTTGATGGTGAAAATGGCGCCGATATTGCTTCAAAGCTTCCCTCTTTGTTACGGTCGACCAAGTACCGATTGGCTTGAAGTTCAAAAAAGCGAAGTACAAAGCCAGAGCATTTGAGCATTTCCGACTAAAGTACAAATTTTCAAAAGAGGACTGGGTGCTACACCTCGATGAAGAGTCTGAAATAGACGACCGTGTCATTGAGAAGTCACTCGAGTTCATTGAGAATGACACTGCGCACTTTGGAATGGTGGGGAAAAATCGAAGCTTTAAGGGGAAGTGACTCACAAATTTAGGGCACAATATTCTACACCTCCTACAATCATTGGACGAATCTACTCTTGTCTGCGATAGAGGTTGCCAGAGTTGCAGAGGACTTTGGACGCTTCCAACTCCCCACGTTGCTGTTCCGTCGCCCTTTCCTCGGTTGGACACACGGTTCTTGGTCTTTGATAAATGGGGAAGTCGAAAACAAAGTCACTTGGGAGACAGAAAATATATGTGAAGACTACTGGCTTGGATAACATGTAAGAAATGAACATTTGCTACACTATTCAGCATAACTAACCTAGGATTTAAGGCCGCAGCTCATAGCTTCAAGTTCGAATGGATCCATGCGATATTCCGCGAGCAACCCCCTCTCACACTATTGAACTTTTGGAAACAAAGACGGCGCTGATATACTGAAATTTATACTATGGATAGCTTCATTGTGCGTGCTGCCATAACATTAACTGGGTTTGGTAATCTCGGCGTTATTATCTTGTGGGTTTCTTTCCCATTTCTTTCGTCTCTTCCTTGACTAAAAAAACAAGGTATGCTAACAATGTGATATTTACAGTCCCTTATTGAGAATATTCGGATTCAGGATCATCGCTCCTAGGTGGTACTTTGACTGGATGCTCTTCAACAACGCGGCCAGTATCCATCTTTTTCTTGCTAGTGCTGTTTTACAGGATTTTAGTGTGGATGGTTTACCATGGGATAATGTTGTGTTTCATGCCGTGATATCAGTTGTCTTTTCGCCTGTGGTCCATATCCTACAGGCTTTGGCACTAATATCTGCTATATTGGTCCCCTCCAAGGGATGGGTTATCATTGATAAAAGATAGGGGACAGATCGGGAGTCAATCATCAAATTGTACCAGTTTGGCCTACTACCTGGTTTTGAAGGATCAGATGTGTCTTTCAGTGGGATCATCAGTTTAATCGGTGAGCGCAATCATATGGTGTTAATGTCGATAGAGGTCTCGAGTGCCTCATCACGTCTTCCGTTCTTCCATCTCAAGAAGCAAGCTTGATTAATGAATAAAAAACTATATCAACTGAGATAAATAGCAGCTGGATTTGAGTATAAATCTGAGAATCAAAATCGACCTACACAGCCGGATGAGTAGATCGGTATGCAAAGTCGACCAAGACACCTAATGGATGCTCACGCGCATAGAAACAGAAGTCCCATCATTGTGGTCACACATAACCAGCAAGCTATTTCCATCGACCGCGACCTCTCCAGCCCAATGGCAGTTCTCGTGCACCAGCGTCTTTTGGCCCCAGGTAGCTCCTCCGTCAGTGCTCACAACCACCTTGACATTAGGGGGCTTCGACTTTCCCGCCTCGCGATCATCCTCCCAGGTCGAGAAACTAACGACGAGAGTCTTCTCCCCGACGCGCACAATCTGAGGGGCTGCCTCCGAGGGAGGCCCGTTGGTGCCCTTGTAAACCAACTTGCGGTTGCCCCAGGTCTTGCCGTCATCGTCGGAGGTAATGGACGTGATGCCCGTGTTTGGCGTCAAGCTCTCAAAGACGGCAATCAGCTTCTTGGAGCCCTTTGCAACACGCGCGACGCCCAGCATTCCGTCGCGCTTCTGGATGTCGCCGCCGGAAATCGTCTGCTCTTTGCCCCAGGTCTTGCCGCCGTCTGTGGATCGCACCAGGATGCTATTCTGGTCCTTCCCATCCGTGCGTGTCTCCCTCGAGTAAAACAGCATCAAGTCCCCGTCCAGACCTTCCATCATGAACGGCTCCCAGAGACCCAGGCCGGTGGTCTCGGTCGTGGCCACCGTGCTGAGCGGTGCCCATGTCTTGCCGCCGTCATCGGAGGAGTAGACTAGCATGATGTGCTTGACGTATTTGGTGTCTGCCGCGTCGCGCTGGGGGTTCCGGAACGCCAGCAGGATCCGGTCCGAGTCAGGCAGTTGGTGCAGGTAGCAGTTGTTCAGTCCGTACTCTTTCTTGAGCTCCGTGATCGCCGTGCCCACGGGCTTCCAGGTCTTTCCTCTGTCAGTCGACCGCACTGTCTCGATCGCTAGCTTGTCGCCCTTGTACGATCGGAAGCATCCCAGCAGTGATTTGTCTTTGATGTAGGTGGCGCGCGGGTAGGTGCCCGCTCCCATAGTCCCTGCCTTGACGTCGACGCGCACCTCGCGCTTGGTGATCACAGATGGGGAGGCATTGGCTATGGGGAGGAGAATGTGGAAGAAGAGGAGCGTCAAAATCGTTAGAGGGAGACGAGTCGAGCCCATTTTGCAAGCCGGAAAGTACCTATCTCTATGTGTGGAGAAGTTGAGAGTTGATGAGATCTGCAGTATAGACATCGGGGTATTCTTCACTGCTTTATTTTTGCATCATGGGTACTTTTATTTCCAATTGGGGTTATAATTTAACATTATCATTATTCCGGGGCTGAGTCCCCTGGGCAGACTCTAGATCATCAGCGCTAACGGGAATGCGAGACAACTTGCTCTATGAGCCCCTGCGTTCACCAACAGTGAAGGGGGCTAAAGAAGATCCTGCCGATCGTTTCCTAGTTATGGTAATAAAATGACAGAGTGATGTAATTCTGGAAGCGTTGTTCAGGTTGTTTCATGAGAAAACTATGCGGCTAAGAAACAGCCTATTCTTATATTACAGACTCTAATCCAGGCCCATGTTGAGGAAAAGACTCTACCTCCACACAGGGCGTGGCGAGGTATAGACGCAGTGAACACAAACGCTTATACCCTACATTTGTTGATTAAATGAATAGTTTTCAAAACCTCTTAGTATAGAATCTACCCTCTTTTGATTCTGGACCAAGCGGAGCCTTTTCTGTCCATGTCTTGATAGATTAAGGGCATACGTTAGGACGTAGAACTATTACGCTGCCGGGGCCAAGGGGCTGCCTCCTGAATAAAGCCAAGACTGAGTTGGCGATGATCTGATTGGTGATGGAGATCGACTACATGCTACCATGCCTACATTGCTTGCGCAGTCTATCAAATGCATCTAGGTCTGTATCAATGAATGCCATGATTTATACAATTGCAGAACACGACTATTCATAAACAACATATTGATTCCGTGGCTAGCCAACCGTCTGAATACTTCCATACCAATTGTGCATCGAGCATGAAGCTCTCTCTCACCAATATTGTCATCTATCTCAGTGAAATGACCGTTGCTCTGAAACTATGAAGGTGGGATAAGCTGCGCTTCCTTTGGCCAGGTAGCAAGGGTCGTAACACTGCCAGTCAAAGTAAATCTGACAATCGCGGAACGCTCATTGTTCAAGACAAGCTCATACTTGCCGGGATAGATGTTTCGATTTCCATCAATATCCGTCCGAGCGATGTTATCCAATGAGATTGGGATGTTCAGAACATGAGAGGATTGCGGTTTGAGCCCACCAAGACGATCAAAACCAACCAGCCACTTGTTGGGATGTGGGCTTGGTCCAGCTGTAGAGTTGACAAAGGCCATCGCTGTATAATCCGACTCGACGGCACCAGTGTTCTTGACGCTCACTGTGTAGTTAAAAAATGGCCTTTGTTCCACGGTATTGTATCCCACATGAGGCCGGGTAAGCAGCTCGCGAATGTTGTAAGTTTCGTTGAATTGCTTGGACGAGGCATTGAAGGTGGTGTAGAAAAGACCGTGACCGAATTCAAAGACAGGCTTGCCGGTATACCACATATACGTCTGGCCGGGGTTGGTTCCATTTGGACGTAGACCCATATCTGTCGCAGGGAACTGGTGGGCGTACTTTGCAGGATACTGAGTGGCAGTAAGTCTGCCCGCAGGGGCACGCTTGCCAGTCAGAATGTCAAAGATTGCAAGGCCACCTGATTGCCCAGGATATCCACCCCAGAGGATTGCGTTGACATCCTTACTTGCTTTGAGTGCTGAGGAGTCGACCTGACCACCACCCATTTGAAGAACGATAAGAGGCTTTCCCAATTGACTCAGTTTCTTGACAAGACCCAGTTGATTGCCAGGCCAGCTAATCTCCTGTCGATCTTGGGCTTCCGATTCAACTGTATTATCAATTCCGCCGGCAAACACAATCACATCGGACTTTTTAGCGGCTAAAATAGCCGCTTCAAAACCGTCGGTTGACTCTGAAGTAATGTTGGTTCCAAAGGCGTAGTTGACATGAAGACTCGAGTCTTGGAACGCAGCAAGAGGACTGGTCAGATATGGTGCGTTTCCTAGGGGAAGATAGTTGCCTTTCATCTGGGTAGTCGCATTTGCCCAAGGTCCAATCAACGCAACGCTGCTAGTGTTTCTAGACAGTGGCAGAATCCCGTCGTTCTTCAGAAGAACAATGCTCTCCACAGCAGCCTGATAGGAGACATTCAGAGCATCGGTAGCAACAATATCAGACCAATCCAGATCGCGATATTTACTATCTTCCCCATCAAAGTAACCCGCACTCGCAAGGTTCGAGTAAAAGCGAATCACACCACGTTCAATCTCACTGCGAGAAATTTCATCTTTCGTAAAAGAACTGTTCAAGTACCATTGGTATGTTATACCACAATCGATATCTGTACCTGCTAGCAAACTCTTTGAAGCAGCCAGTTCGCCGGTTGATGCATATCCATGAGGATTGAAGACATTATATACCGCGTCGCAGTCGGAAGAGATAAAGCCATCTTCAACAAGGTTCCAGGTGTCACGCACAAGTGTCTGTAATAAGAAAGTATTTGCTGATGAAGGTACACCATTCACGGCATTGTACGACGACATGACACTGTGGACCCTAGCATCCCTTACAGCCGTCTTGAACGAAGGCGAGTAATATTCGGACAGATCCTGCTGAGATATGATCATATCGTTGCCCAGCCTGGAGTGATTGTTCCAATTCTCGATATCATACCCGACAAAATGCTTTGCGTTGGCAATGATTTTCAGAGGAGAAGGGTCCACGCCACCTTGAATACCGGTGATGTATTCAAAAGCATAAGTCGAACCAAGGATATTCGCATCCTCGCTTGGAGTTTCTTGTCCACGACCCCACACTGAATGTCGGAATGGGTTGATATTAGGCGAGTAAACATTCAAACTGTATCGACCGAAGTTGTTCAATGCTCTTGCTTGGGTAGAACTAATGCTACCGATTTGGTTGATAAGGGTGCGGTTCAACGAGGCCATCAATAAGATAGGTGATGGAAAGGCCGTTGTCCAGCTGAAGTCTCCAGATTCCGTCCAGTTCGCCCGGTCAATGCCGTGGAGGGACTCAGTCCAGGCCTGGTATGGTGGAAGTCCAAGACGTGGAATTGCAGGAATGAGGTTTCCGCTGCTGTTCACGAGTTCTTCGAAGGTAAACATAGAAACCAGGGCGGCAGCTCGGTCATGCGGTCTGGCTGAAATATCGCAGATAATTGTGTCCTTCAAAGGACCACCCGCACAGTCTGGGAATGCCCAGTCCACAACATTCTGGGTGAAGTCGTAAAGACCAGGCTCTGGGTCGGTATTGTAGTCAACATAGGTGGTATTAGACTGAGCTGAAACGCCCGGTGCGAGGGCCGCCAGTAAGGCAAGGGCCGATGTAAAAGACATGACGAGAGTGCTGAATATTCAGTTCGACTGCTCTGAGACCTTGATTTATAGCATTTCTGCGCCAAGATCGTGTATGGGGAGTTTCTCCCACACCTGCCAGAAATAGTAAGTTCTGGGGTCGATCTAGGGGTCTCGGGGTTTTGCCGAAGTGCAACCGACCGTGATGTGGGATATGGTCGATTTAGCCTGAATGTTGTGATGACGAGGAGATACCTGTCTTGCATAGTTCATTTCTTCAGGCCTTGCTCAAAGTTTCTTGAACCTCTTCCTCGCGTGATATAATTCAACCGAGATCACCCAAATTTCACCTTCACCTGAGGTTGCATGTACTGTATAAACCCAGCCAGTAACATGGAAGATTGCGAAGCCTCAAAACTACCTGCCTCAGTATAGCAGCGATTCCAGCCTTGCTTTTTTTCTTTGGCTTTTAGAGGCGAAATTGCCTTTCGGTCCGGCAAAAGCCACTTAGCCACACCTCAAGCCTTCTGTAGGAGATCGTAGCTTGATGGTTCAGGCTGAAGTTATGATTCATACCCGGATAATCACTCAACTACACTCGGTACTACTCCGTACATTGGCGCACCTCGCCTCCAGCTGTGTCTATTGCCAACCCTCAGGTATACCGGGTAAATGACGTTTTGTGGGCCGTTCAAATGGCTCACAATGGCTCTGCGCTACCACAGCATCACCGTCACAAGTGGATCATGAAAGACTTGCTCATGAGAATTACCTCAAAACTGGAAAAAGCAGATGACATGAACACTGACAATAACCCCCTCGCCCAAAAAAGAGCATTCATATAATGGCAAACACACTGAGAGTCAGTGTTACGCAAACTCTGGCTATCATTTATTCTAATATTCTATCGACCACACCAGAAATCAGGCCACATTTTCTCGTAGTGAATGACCTTCAGTCCCCAGATGACCCGGCCCACTTCTACAATAACACGGCGCACCCGAAAATGCATTTCCCCTCTGTCGATCTTTCATGGCGGTCCAAAGACGGCGCTCTTCGACGACCACTTAATTACTCGGCAGGTTTGGCGATTCGTGAATTTTCCAAGGCTTTAGAGACGCGGCTATCTTGCCGTTCATGAAAAGCCTTTCCACCGGATCATGTTCACGAATTTATTGGGTCTCTGTCCCTTCCTTTCAATTGCGAACAGTTTTATCCAAGGCACAATATACCTACACGACAAAGTCCGTGATGGAATGGTGCGAGGTGACATCTTACATCCAGGCCAGCTTGACAGAGTCATTCTGTACCGTCATTGTTGAGGCTTCCAGCTGCGGTCTATGCGTTGTGTGCCCCCGCCTTGGTGGCATTTCGGAAGAGTTGCCCCAGGAGATGACTACTTTCGCTAAACCGGAAGAGGACGACTGTCCTCACGTCCAGCAAAAGGCTGGGAAGCAAGCGACGATCACTTTCGCATCTTCGCGCTGGTCGATAGGCTGAAGCGGTACTATAGCTGTGCTGGCTGGGCTGGCAAGCTTTTCGGTTTAGGGAATATTAGCGACTAGGTTAGGGGATTTAGAGAGGATTGTGGAAATCTGCATTCTACAAAAGATACAGTATTTAGGGGGTGTTCAAGTTAGAAATTTCAAGGTCACGCTACTTACTCAGCTAGAGGTCCTGAAGCGATGTTCGGGGTTGAAATAAGGCCCGAATCTTATAGTCCGTTAGTCAAAGCTACGTCGCTTAGTCAACGACAAAGATCGCATGGTTAACTAGGTGGATCATGGCTCCGAAACACCACTTTGATTTGTTATTCAGCCTGGCTCTAAACTCAGACTGAAAACCGAGTAGCAATAAGACTTAGAGCGTCTCGCTCCAATCTTTGTTCCTTTTTCTACGCAAATATCTATTTTAATTTATACCCAGGCGCATCAAACATGGCAGCTTTGTTAATTACTGGTGCTACCGGAAAACAAGGAGGCTCTCTTATCAGAAGCCTCATCTCCCGGAATGCTTCTTTCGAAGTGTTAGCTGTCACACGCGATCCTACTTCGGCATCTGCACAAAAGCTTCAGAGCCTATCTTCCAACATCAAGTTAATCCAGGGAGATCTGGATACTCCAACCGAGATTTTTCGGAATGCGCAGAAGTCAACCTCCACCCCAATCTGGGGAGTGTACAGCGTGCAGGTAATCAGATTCCTAATACTTTTAACTGGCAAAATTCTTTAATGCTAATACGAGCCATCGTGAACAGGCAGCCATAGGCAATTCCTCAGAAGAGATCCAAGGAAAAGCCCTTATCGATGAAGCAATCAAGCAAAAAGTCAAGTTCTTTGTGTATAGCTCCGTCGATCGCGGTGGTAAAGAACGCTCATATACCAACCCAACCAAGATTCCTCACTTTATCAAAAAGCACAACATTGAGCACTACCTTGTAGATAAAACACAGAATATCGAGATGCAATGGTCAATCTTGAGACCGGTGGCATTCTACGAGAACCTGACTCCCGATTTCTTCGGCAAGGTTTTTGCGACATGTTTTAAGATGGCGTTGAAGGGCAGATCTCTGCAGCTAGTCGCTACCAGTGACATTGGTTACTTCGGGGCTGATGCTTTTATGAATCCTGGAAGCTACCAGGGCAAGGCGGTTTCCTTAGCTGGTGATGAACTTACATACGAGCAGATGGAGCGAGCTTTCACCAGTCGTATAAGAAAACCTTTACCGACCACCTTCCAACCGATCTGCTCTTTTTTCATGGCTACTATGAAGGACATGGGCTACATGTTCAAGTGGTTTCACGACGAAGGCTACGGGGCTGATATAAAGAGATTGCGTGAAGTCAACCCTGACATGCGAACATTCGATGCCTGGCTCGAGAAAGAAAGTGGATTCTCAAAGTCATGAGAGTGGAAGAAACACTTCTCTTGATTTCCTTTGTATTTTGATTCTGTTTTGTGTTGTTTCCTAGTTGTTGAGAAGACTTGTTTGAGAAACGAGCTTGACAACCATATTGTTAAAATATTTAGATAAAATCTACTTCTTTAATGCGACCCAAACGAGGGGACTGTTTTCTTGTTGGCAAACCCCTACAAAAATTCTATATTCTTTACCCTGGAAACAATATAGATCTAGAAACAGCGCATACTCGACAGCAGTTTCTTGAATGGTGACAACAAACACAATAGGGCCAAGATCAGGAACTCAAAAGTCTGTTGCATGAGACAGCAAACAATAAAATCACATGTCTGGGATTGATTTAAACAGGTTGCTCATGTGAAAACAGGAGAATCTAAGGTCATGCGTATTCGTTGCAAAAATGTTGTTGTCCATCCAGGATTTCGACTTTCTGGTCCTTCGCCCATGAAAAATTATTAAATCTGGCCGCTGCAGACCATAGTCAAGATCTCAACGGGGTATGAATATGATATTACGAAAGAAAGTAAGATACTATATATTATCCATGATTTGATGCTGGTATATCTACTCACTATGATGATAGGACTTTCAAAGCGTAATCCTCGCCGATTTTGGAAATAACATGCGCATAAGTATCCAGTACTTGCTGTTCTTATATTATTATGTAGCTATCTAGCTAATCACAGGACTTTAAGCGTTTAGAGCGAAGTAGGAGGTGGGCAACTGCTCAAGAGGCCACTGCTTCATGTAATCCTCCCAGCTGACCGGCTTGACCTCGGGGTACTTCTCGTTGTCGAGCTCTGGGCCAACGAAGGTCTGGCCATTGACCCAGTAGTAGTAGAAGAACCTGCATTAACTTCCATTAGTATTTTTAAACAAAGAATGTGAATTTGAATAATGACATACAGCGACATGTAGCTGTAGAAGTCAGCGGGGTTCGAGGCACGCTTGTCATGCATGGTCTTGTAGAGATCGTCCAAAGAGCCGAGGGACTCGAGTTTAGCCTTGACGCCGTACACATTCTCGTAGGTTTGAGCGATTTCACGGATAGTCGAACGACCGCCGAGGACTGATTTATCTGTTAGCGATAATCCCTATATTTCTTTTTCCTGTACATACAGCGAATAATTCCGGTAACCTCGGTGTCCCGGGCAACTGCAGAGGTGAATTCGGCAGCGTTATCGTACGTCGTACCCTCCATGATCTCATCGCCGTTGCCCCAGAAGCGGAAAGTGTGAGATGAGGCGTCCAGGATGCTGAAGAAAGGGCTGAGGACGGGCTCCATGAAGCCTCCGATAAGAATGTGAACGCCCTTGACCTTTTCTTTGCTGGCAAGATGGGCCCGAACGTGAATCATAGGGTCCTTGGGGAACAACTCTCCCAGCTTCAGCTTGGTGTAATCCAGAGCCCAGTCGCTGGCAATGTAGCGAGGAACACCAACTTCCTCACAGGTATCGATCAGAATCTTTTGCCCATCCACCATGAGCTTGTCATCGCCAAGGTAGCAGCAGATCAGCACGTCGCTGCCCTGGACAAAGGTGCGAATAGCATCATTATCAAACGCGTCGCCCTTGAACAAAGTCACCTTATCAGAGGAAGAGATCGACTCTGGGACCTTGTTAGGATCACGGCAGTAGCCGCGAATGCTGACATCTGGGTTCTTTAGAAGGTGCGAGGCCACACGGCGGGCGAACTTTCCGGTGATACCGGCAATACCGACAGTGATAGACATGTTGTAGTATTCGGGTTATAAAAGAAGATTTATAAAAGAGAAATTGAACGTGAGTTCCAACTATTAGCCCGACTAGCAAGCTCAACTTTATACTTTAGATGATGGGTACTTAACTTATGTACCATCGTGTAATCACTAAGCAGCCCGGGCCTTATTTTAAGCCCGAGATTATTGTTCTCGGGACTCGGGTCCAAAAAGTCCTTACGGAGCGGATGGGGCAAAAGTGTTCCCTACTTCATCTATGATGTCTATGCTTTGTCGCCGATGTTCAAGGCTACCAAGATGACCAACCTTAGTCACTCAACTAATTTTCCTGAGGTTCTTTCTCGGCAATAAACTGGTACCGAGATTACCAATCACTCTAACACAATATTTTCGTTAGCTCTCAAATTAAGAGACTCATAGTTGAAGAGTGAATGCCAGGTACATTTAACCAAACGCGAATTATTAACAAGTTCAAGAATTCTCCAACCACCAAGGGCTCCTGGATCATAGCCACGGCGTCAATGGCTTTCTTGCCTCTCATGTAGCTGATCATCTGTTTCGTAATTGGTACAAAGTTCGCGAGAGCGCTTGAAGGCCATCAAAAGACTGATGGGAGAATGACTAGATCGAGCAGAAATAAGGCCAATCCACGCTTGAGCTAGTTCAACTTGAAGACGCGACTCTCCCTAGCATGTTCGAAACAACCAGGAAAATTGATTTCCGTCAACCCAATGAATCCATTTGTATTAGCCAACAAGTATACATCATATAATAGGAGTCGCAAGTGTGGCTCACGTCCAATCAAACTTAGGGGAAGCGCCAGAATATCAACACCTTGGTCGTCGAAATAAACCAAATTCAAGCATGTCACTCAATGTCTCTTTAGTCTTTCTCGAAGATTGGATACAACGCAAATAAAGCCATCAGCAGGCCTTGAAGTTTAGAAAGCCTGTCCTTATAATCAGATGACTTCTTTTGCCTTCGACACGGTTGGGTATAATCGCCCTTTTCGTGATTTGATCTCTTGTACACCCTATATTTTGCCTCCTCCTTCTTTTACCTTGGGGGAACGATGCTGATTGAAGGAACTTTGTTGGCGGTATAGGTGGCATCAGTTAGATTGAAATCCAAGTAAATTCTCCCAATGCTCCCATTCGTGACAGACTAAATAAGATGTCGTATTCATGAAATCCTGTTGAAATAAACCTGTCCAGCAGTCTATTTCTAATGAAAGTCTTGCATCAGGGGTAGGCTTTAGAAAACACTGGTTTGTTATCTTATTAGATCTCAAGCTCCAGCATTGGCCGTTTGGAAGCTTTCTCTACCCTTTTTAATTTTTCTACTCGGCTATAAAGAGTTGACTGCTGTTAGGGACCTGCGGAACTTTCACATATTCTGGCTACGGGTACGCATGCTGTAAATATCTAGCCAGGGCTGATCTCGACTTTTTCATTTGATAAATTTACTGACCGACAAAAGCCAGCAAATCGCAGTGACCTGCCATCCCGGCTAGAACCTGGGAAGAGATGCATACACTGAGGTTACCTATATGCGTGTGATTGTATCTGGAATGAGACTGTTTAATGCATCAGGATTCGATCTATGCAGCACTTCGGATCAGTCCCATACGCCAGCTAGGGCTTGCTAGCAATGAACATAATTATTTTCACCACGTCATAACAGCATACAGCAGTATGAGTTAAACGATAGCCATAAAGTACATTGTTTTATCGGACCTCTAAATAAGACACTATTTCAGACTTAAACGAATTATGTAATTAAGTATAACAGTTGTGCCTATCTTATATATCACGTAGTCGAAGAAATAATTATGAACTAACCAAGACGTACACCAGAATTTTCTATCTCAATGGTCTGTATCATCCATAACTATGTTCATTCTGGTACATACGACCACAGGGTGAGGAAAACAGGGCTTCCCGTCCGCTCAGCCGTACTTAAGCCTCACGCCGGCCGGTTAGTAGTTGGGTGGGTGACCACCAGCGAATCCCGGCTGTTGTATGTTTTTCTTATTTTTACATAAACTCTTTTTACATCTACCAAGTACTATAATTTATGGATGGACTCCTAAAAAAGACAGTGAAAGATAAGTCTTGGATAGAAATGCCAAAACTGAATAAATTTAAAACGAGATAACTAGAGCATGACAGGAGTGATGGATGGACGCAGGGAGAGATATGCTCGAATTCGAGGTATTAGGAACGGTATCAATGAATAGAACCTCATGAACTCCAGATCGATTATTTTCTAGATCATCTAGCTACATAGAAGGCATGTTTATAATCGAAATGCGGTGGTTCCTATAATCCTCAATCACAATGATTGCCACACAAATTGTACAGCATAAAAAAGCTCGCTTATTAACTAGAGCCTGTGAATTGAAATTCAAGTGTAAGAATGCATAACTTCATCCATCTATACATCGCATGTAAACGTTGTTCTCAAGTCAAGTGGCGTATCCACCAATCCTCCTTCCGCTTATAAGATTCATAGATCGTCTTCTCGCCAACCCACCCATGGCCTTCACCCTCGAATTCAACCACATCCGCGACCCGGCCATGCGCATGCATCGCGCTAGCCATCATTCTTGCCTGTGCCACGGGGACCACCATATCCGAGGTTCCCTGCAACAAAAGCAAGGGAGCCTTCATCTTCTCGGCATAATGGCACGGACTCCGATTCGTGAGCTCCTGCTCCCTATCCTCTTTTGCAGTCTTGCTCAGCAACAGTCGGTCCACATCTTGACTCTCGAACTTGTATGAATCGGCCTGTAGAGCCCTCACATCGCTGATACCGTAGGAGCTGACTCCCGCTGCCCAGGCATCAGGGTACATGTGGAGAGCCTGCAGGGTGAGGTATCCGCCCGCACTGCCGCCGTAGATGCCTACGCGGGCTTTGTCAATGAGCCCTTCGTTGGCTAGAAATTCTACCGCGCTGACTGCATCGCCTGTATCTACTAGGCCCCAGTACCCGGAAAGTCGTTCTCGGTATTCCCGTCCGAACCCGGTGGAACCAGTGTAGTTGAGAGCACAGACGGCAAACCCGCGCGTGGTCCAGTATTGAATTTCCAGGTTCAGGGCAGGAGTGACGCATCCATTTGGTCCTCCATGGACGTTCATCAGGAGAGGGGGAAGACGATCCTCGCATTCGAAATCAGGGTTGCAAGGGGGGAAGTAGAATATGTGTACGTTTCCGTCGCATAAGGGGCCGTATTTCTGAGGAGCGGTGTATTGTTTGGCGATGGAGACGATTTCCGGCGCCAGATCGAATGATGCAGTTGACGTTAGGACGGTTGTTTTCGCTTCGAATGAAGGAGTGAGCGAAACCAAAGCTAGTTCCTGAGGAGAGGTTCTGGAAGCGCCGACGACAACAAAGGAGCTGGACGAAGCTCGGAAAATCGCGTTCGCGCGAACTCCAATATCAACGTATGGAAGTCCCAGGCTTCGGACTGACAACGTGGGAATGTCGATAAGAACAACCTCACTGGTGGCATGAGTGATAGCCGCCGCAATAATGGTCTTTTCATCGAGTGAGAAATATGTGGAACTGTGAGAGTCAGTTTGATATATCAAATGGCGAATGATGCAGGAGTTACCTTCCCAACTCCCATTCAGCAGCCGCAAAGTCCGCGTTTTCCAGACCCTCGAGGGACAGATATCGCACAGAAGCATCATGCACGTTGTATGAGTATAGCTGTAAATATCCTGTCCGATCGCTTGCAAAGTACAGTGCTCCATCCAAGCCCCATCGCGGCTGAGCAATGCTCTCCTCCTGGTATTTCCCAGCCACCCTAGTCACATTTTTCAGAGCTCCGTCGGCCCACTCAGCGACATAAAGCACGGTACCTGTCCATGGCATGTCAGGATGGGTCCATTGAATCCATGAGACATATTTGCCCGACGGATCAAATTTAGGATGCGAGTAGAAGTCATCGCCTTCAGCAATGGTGACCTCGGTGTCGGAGACAATGTCAATCGCCACCAACTTGTTATGCACATGAGTTGCCTGAGTCTCAGGCGTCGCTTCCCGGTGATCTTCTTTAATAGCAAGGATCCATTGTGTATGGACAGGATGATTGCAGAAGTCAGCATACCGAATGCCCTCGACTGCCGAATGAACGAGGGTAACCTGACTCGACGTCGGATCCAAGAGATGGATGCTGCAAGTCGTTTCATTCGCAAAGAGAAGTTTTCCATCAGACCTCATTAATATGGAGCCACCACCGAGCTCCTGCACCGTTGCATGTGCACTGTATTCTTTCGGCAAAACATCTCGGCTTTGTCCATTGAGGTGTTGGATAATTGCAAAGCGTCCACCCTCGGTGGGATGACATTCAACCGAGTATATAGCACCGGTTGACTCCTACATCGGTTAGAGATGCATCATCTACGCTGGAGGAACCGAGAACCCTTACATCGACGACTACTTCATGCAGCGAAATGCTGTCGGTTGCCAACCGTTCCGCGGTGAGCGGGCTTTTCCATTTCCCATATGGAGCGTGAGACGGAGACATTTTCACTCTTCGAAGATGGATATGTGAAATGCACGAGTAAGAAAAGCGAATAATTAACAAAAAATGCAGACTTTCGAGATAGTTAACTTGAAGAAATTCTTCTGACTCACCATTTACTGGACAAGCCCCACTGTCAATAATGTTGACGTAATCGGTAGTGAACCAGGATCCTCACCGCCCTTTTCAAACCCATTGAATTGAACGGTTCATTCGAAATTGAAGCTCTTTAGCGCTTTAAAAATCGATATGGAGGCCTTACCTAGGGACGAATGATTGAAATGCGTTATTGAATTCTTTTATAAGGGCCCTTTCTGTACAAAAAGGCCTGCGCAGAGGCCTTTGACCTTAAGATAAGTATCTTTAGAGACCGCCTAAATGGAGTTAAATTACGCAGTGAAATCGAAGCCAATTTATAGAGGCTTTCAAACAATAATAATCGGTATTAAAGCAAAGGATTATTGATATGGTTTCTCGTGCGGCCAGCCGGTTGCACTTTCCGCCTTGTCTGAGTCCAAGGGGTGAATAGTCACACAGCCAACCTATTTGGCCATAAGCTCATAACTACGTATAGAATCATCACCTTTCACTCTCCTTAACATTACCTTCCCTTTCACCCATTCCCCTCCACATCGACTGTCAAAAGGCAAGTCCCGGCCTCAATGATCAACTCGCCGTCAATCATATCAAGCGAGTCAACTTCGTTACCCTCAGCGTCGATCAGAACTTTCAACTTTCGGCCAAGTACCATCTCCGCAGAGATCCCACTTATCGAGGAGGGTCCTGCGGTCCTTGAGTATATCGGCTTTGACGCCCCGACGTCAAACGAAATCTACCAGCGCTATGCCGCACGGCCGTGGCCCGATGATTGCCCCGACTCACTCCTTGACTACGCTTATGGGCAAGTCAACCAGTTGAATTCAACAAGATACGCGACTCTCCCCATCGAGGAGGCCATGAGACGAGTTGGGATCAACGCTCAATTCGAACCGCCATTGCCGATCCAAACTTTACCGACCTTCTCTACACTCAAGATCTCGTTTTTTGGGTGAAGGACACATTGAAAACCAACTATGCCACCCTTCTTAGTCGCCGGGACCCTTTGAAAAGGCATGCCCATCAAACCGCACACAGAGAAAAGAAACGAGTCAGCTTGGAAGGCGTTTTCAACCCACAGACCGTAGCCACTGTCACGGCTGCCATCAACATGACCACGAAAGACTTCAACCTCCCTGCGGCGCATGTGGCCATGTGTGAGGGCGATCCTCCTGCGCTCCCCAATCATGTTGTGCTGTATAATGGAAAGGCTTTTGCAGAACTTCAAACCACCCGAAGCATCATTCGCGACGATGGAAGCGTGGACATGATACCACTCCGGTCTTCGGTTGGTGGCGATTTCAATGCCACAGAGCTTGCCTATTACTGGACCCCGGAGAAAGACATCGCGGAGCGTTATCGTACCTGGGCAGCTCTTCGAAACCCGAGCAACGACACATGTATTCTGCAAATCCAAGTTTCCCGTACCTTTTTGGACAACATGGCATCCGAGGAGATTTGGTTTTCCGACTATAGGGACCATTGGAAGGAGTTTGTGTGGTGTTGCCGGATGACGGAAGAACCACCCAGACACTTGGAGTATTTACTCAACGCAGAATTGATACGCGGCCATATATGCACTGGTCATACTAATGCCATATTTCCCCTGCAACGGGTTGAGAATATTTCGAGAGATAACCTTCTCCGATGCCGTTCTACTGGCCTGCCGGCTAGCCAGTGGGTGTTTAAGCTAAGCACAGGCAGCCGGTTGGCAACTGAAATTCGAGGAAAGGTTCACTTCAACATTTTTGCCGCAATCAAGTGAGGTATTAGTCTAGCAGGACCCACTCGCGCGATCTGTTAACACCAAATTCAATGGCCCAACATCAAGAGCCAGATAATCCCTCGCACACGTATCAAATTCAACGCCATCTTCCCCATGTGCAAATCTAATATCGAAGTTCAGTGCGACGCGACTCAGAAATATACGCATGGTCATCATGGCAAGTTCCTTGCCAACGCATCCGCGAGGACCTTTGGCTGTGAGCACAAGAAGACTACAGTTTCCAGGCAGCACGTACCAATTTGAAACGGAAAGAAGGCCTGTGGGTCTGCGATCAGGTTGTTATTTTTGTCTAGCCATCGATCTGGCAAGAACACTTTCGCTCGAGGGAAGAACCGCTCGTCCCTTTGCACAGCATACTGGGGAACCAGCACATTAACGTCTCCTGGGATCCAGACGTCGCCGATTTGCAGTCCTTCGTGTGGGGTGACGCGAGGTTGGCCCCCTGGTACTGCTGGCTTTAATCGCATAGTCTACTTGAGGATAGCGTCAATATAAGGGATTTTTCGGATCTCGGCATAGGTGTAATTATGATTTGAGCGAGAGGAAACCCGATCTAGCTCTTCTTGGAGCTTTTTGTAAACGGAGGGATTAGATGCCAGGTAGTGGAACACGCATGCAAGCGTGTTGCCCGTAGTATCACTAGGAGACATGTTAGACTTGGAGGCATATGTACTGTACATTGTGACCATACCTTCCGGCCAACATGAGGACATTCGCGTCCTCACCAAGGGCCTTCTCCGTAGGGGGCGCTGATCGATCATTCTCGGCCCGAGCTTTCAAAAGCCACGATATGACATCGTCCGGTGTCTTGTTTTCCGAATTTTCAAACTTCTAGAACGGAGTTAACGATAGTAATACGAGCGAGAAAAGCCTCGACGAACCAATGAAGCTTCCTTGACCATACGGCTGCAGTACATCTTAAACAGACCGAATCCTCCGCTCAAAGGTTGAAGTGCATTCAATGGATATGAAAGCCACGGAATCTGGTTGAGCAGTCCCAGCATGAAAACCTGATCATGAATTCCTTTGATAGCATAATGCTCCGTGGCAAATCCAAGCTGATTGAAATCGTCGCTGAACCCCACAAGGCCCAACACATCGAACGAGTAAAACATAGCCCATTTCGATACGTTGATCGGCATGTTAAGTCGAGATTTAAGGTGATTTATCGCCAAGTCGGCTTTCAGGGTCACTCGCGATTCGTAGTTTGCAACAGCTACCCGTATCAATTGCTGCAGCATCTGAAGATCATGGTCAACACACCTTTAACACCTAGCCCCCGGTCCCATGCCCGTCTCCGAAGTCGATGGGATTCCGGGTCCCTGGCGCAATAATTTTGAACTGTTCTACATAGTGAGGAACAATACAGTATTACTGTAGAAATGTTGTTCAACATAGAAGAGTAAACTATACTAACTGCATATGCAGCTCACGTCGATCATGATCAATCAATATCACAGTTCATTTTGTTAGAACGACGACCAACATCACACTGAGTTTGAACTGAACACTAGAGTTTAAGATGGAATAGCCGAAGGCAAAACAGGATTTTGACCTGAATTTGGCCAAATAACTCGAAAGTCTCGTCGCCTAGCGATTGCGTCTGCTTTCGAATACTCAAGGCTGCCCTAGTCATGCGGACCTGTTAGCTCAAGTGCTGGCATGGTCTGTAGAATGGACTGAATATTTTGTAGTCTTTGCGATTACGGTCCGTTTGATGACGGTACAGAACGTTGTCCAGCACATTTATCGCTGTAAATGAAATGATAAACAGAAGCTAAAATAGGGGTCACATCACCATGGCTACATAACAGGGGGTTGATAGGATTCATTGCGACAGGCTTGCCGCTCTAGACACTGAGAATAGCAGAGTCATCCGGTTGAAGACAACCAATATTCAGGTTGACGCTCTTTCTTGAGCCCGAATTTCGGACAATGTGACCGAGTATTTGAATGTAGCCCATGATAAAATAACGCGAAGCAGCTTTCCGCACTCCGAAGGCCCAATTGACACATTCTCGGTTTTCGGTATCTTGGCAGTAAGTCTTTCGTGACCCACTTATTTGACATGATACTATGCCCGCCGAGTATCCGGTCTAGATGGTTACGTGCGATAGCTTTAAAATAACTTATAAACTCAACGATATATTTTGACAGCAGAGTAAATGATGAATCACAAGGATGCTTTCGTCGAAATCATCCCACATCGCACGCATTCATCGATTGACCATGTCTACGAGCTATTCGACCACCATGCATTCATGCACTCCCGAGCTTGCATACATTGAATATCTACCATCTATCGGTGGAAATGCGTTTTTCTTAGCCCTTTTTTCAATTCTTCTACTCATGCAAATGATCTTAATATACTATCGCGCGTGGGCCTTTTCTTCAACCATGGTATGCGGTCTTATACTCGAGATACTAGGATACATCGGACGGATCAAACTGCACAATGACCCCTGCCAATTTACAGATTTTCTACTGTTAGTCGTACTTTTTTGCCATGATTATCACTAAAAGTTGAGGCTCAAGCTAACAGACACGCCATCCACAAAGCTACCTCGTTTGTCTTACAATCGGACCGGCCTTCTTCGGAGCTGCGATCTACCTCTGTCTAGGACGAATCATCATCATCCATGAGGGTGAAGACGTATCCCGCCTCAGACCCCGATCTTACACAATCGTATTCGTGACCTGTGATGTGATCTCATTGATTCTGCAAGCAGCCGGCGGCGCCATCACATCTTCTGCAACTGACAATGCAGTTCGTGACATGGGCGTCAAGGTCATGATAGCAGGCCTCGCATTCCAAGTAGCCGCGTTGGGTCTTTTCATGGCTTTTGGGGTTGATTTTGCAGTCAGGTCCAATGCGCGATTTGTGAGATTTCGGCCGACTGAACCGCGCAAGACGCCCAACCCAGAATTTGTCGCTATAAGAGCTGGCAAGAAGTGGAAGTTGTTTCTAATTGGTAAGTAATGAAATCCGGGCATCCCAAACCATGGGTCTTGATAAATATTGATACTCGCAGGCATCTCTACCGCCACTGTCACTATTTTTATTCGATCTTTCTTCCGGGTGTTCGAGCTCAATGGTGGTTTTCATAGTCGACTGGCTAACAATGAACCTGCTTTAATGGTCCTTGATGGAGCTATGGTGTCGGTTGCGTGTCTCTGGCTGACAGTAATGCACCCTGGAGTGGTCATGGCAAGACGGTGGAATACTGTGAAATCAGGGAAATAATCTCCACATGAGTCCCGGTTCTTTGAAACCGATCAGGGCAGATAGCTAAGGATCAAAATAACATGTACAGCTTGCACAGATTCATTTTGGATTTCAAGGGGCTGTGATACTACATTAGAACAACTTCGAGGCATGTAGACTAGTTATCATGAATTCAAGGCGAATGAGATCAAGGGGGATAGTCTCGGATTGGCCCTTGTAACCATTTAAGTTATTTCTGAAAATCTGGGGGCCTCGAAAGAAAAGAAGGCTCCGTTTCTATTAGTACTTTATTCCTCGAGTATTTCCTGTCTTATGGATAAAACAAAAAGCTCTTATGAACATAAGCTTGCAAATTACATCCTGCTCAACGCTTATGGACAGATTATAGGCAACTTAATCTGGGAGACCTAACGACTAGGTGGCATTTGAGAATAATTCCCTTCCAGGTCATTACAATCGACCAATCCAATTCCTGGATCACTGGTTGCAACCTTTCTGAGATGCAAGAAAAAGACACCCGCATAGAGAAATATTGTCGTTACAATGAACTCCATCAAGTACTGCAAGAACGCAGTGGCGAGAACATGAGTCAATCCTTTCATGAACACAGTGTCACTGGCTATAAATGACGTTGAAAGCCCATAGGCCACGCGTACTGTTAGGAATGGGATACTGGCAACTGCAAATCGTAGGAGTCTCTTGTCGCCCGCAAGTTTACGACTATGACGGAACAAGACAGCACAGATTATTACCAGTACGACAAACACAACAGCCACCAGGATTGAAGCAGCTCGAGTGAGGTCCACTCTTCCCATACCCAGCCCCACGGCGTAGAGAATGAAAGCTGCATATTGTGTCAAGTGGATGAATGACCATGCTCTCCTGTCGATGTGCTTGAATGGAAGCATTGCTTCACTGCGAGACAATCAGCACAAACAGTAGTGAAATGACTTCAGGATCCGATTGGTTGGGACTCACTAACGGTCGATAATCTCCAGCAATGCGAGGAGCAGAGCCGTGATTCCAACAGAAGAAACCACACTAACAGCACTTCTGAGGTTGGAGTCGTGACTGATTTCGCTGGCGATTTGCAAGGAAGATCCAACCACGCGGGCAATGCAAAGCAGGGCCATGTATAGCCATCCTAGTTGTTTTCCGAATCCATGGCAGCGACAGATCGATGCTGTGACGAATATCGCGGGGAAGAAATAAATTATAACCACAATCGATAAGGCTTGTTGTGAGGAAACACCCATTTCGAATGTATGATGCTGCTGCATAGACTGTTTGAGATCTCAAAGGGAATCAAGAAAGCAGAATTCATTAGGTACCATTGGACTTATCTCTACCCCTTAGTTTTTGTAGTTCGGGACCGAGCCCGGCGATCATCCAGTGTGCTCTCGGAGAACCCTCCCCTTAGTTGCCGAGATTGCAAAATCAAGCTCGGAGAATATGGCCTATGATCTCCAACCTACATAACATTGAATCTATAACTTGGGAAGCATCTTCTAACTTGATGGCACTTTAATTATTCTTTGACTTTCTCCAATAACCTGATTGTTTCGGGAATCAATAAATCACCCCTCAATACCGCCAAGGCCAGAGGGTTCCAGGCTCGGCTCCGAATATGATTGAGGAGCCAAGACTCCTCTCGGCTGTCGGCTTTGGTATTATTTCTTCAGTTCTGAGGTGTTTCTATTAGTAGATAATAGGCATGGTGTCTCTGAGTCGCTTCAGAATGATGCTATGTGAAAGTGATCACTTTATTCTAATCAACAGGGTATTCGATTGCTATCAGATCTCTTGCGCCCCTTGGTATACATTCTCCCAATCTATGACAGACGCGAAAAGCGCTCCTAAATCAGCTTCTGTGGCAGTCTGCATGCTAGTGGGCCATGAGCCCTCATCAGAAAAGTAATTGTCAAAGGTGTGAGACTGGCTTTGGATACTGGATTCGCTCCTGGTTGCTCTTCTTCTCTCGTCTCCGCTCGAATCTGTCTGTCTCTTGGGGAATTATCAGCACAAGAGATGATTTGCATGACCAGCCTCTGGAGATACACTTACGTGATCGGTATCCACAGAGTTAGCTGCACAAGTTTCTAGCCTCTCGACAGGCAAGTCATGGGTGCCCCGGGCGTTCTGTGCTTCCTGATTACAATCATCAGTTGCTTGTCTTTCGACATTCTCGACATAACCTTTGGCGATAAACGAGAAATACGACAAGTAACCCCCTGGCAATGTTCCTCGTGAACGCTGCTCGAGAAGACTGAAATGCCCAGAGACAATGTCCAGCAGCATGAGGTGCTGTCGTGTCTCCGGGTGATTTGGATGATGGACAACAAAGTCAAACACAATGAACAGAGCGGCCAAAGGCATTGTGGCCAGGAGACTAGTAGTCGGAAATTAGTCCATATATTAGTTTATAGATCACAGGGATTCGTACAAGGTCGGCGTATACGGCTCAACATCAATGAGAGAACTCAGTTCTATTATCGCACCTGCTGCTTTCAAAAGAACTTCCTCGCTTTCGCGTGCCTTTTGCTGGTCCGAGGCAAGACGAAGCTTTAGTCTTTCCGATGTGATGACTAAATGATAATAATAGAAATTCGTTCGTAGAGCGATCTCCTTTAAAGCAGGGCGCGACTGGAAAGCTGGTCGAACGGATTCTCCAGGTCGGTATTCCAGGGGTATAGATTGCCGCCAATCCTCTAACAATTTGCGCACATGGTTTAAGGCCGATACTAACTGTCCTGGTGAGTGGGTGGAAGCATCTACCGAGAAGAGACAAGCATAGGCAATGGAAAAGATCCGACTGATGCGAATAGAGGCCAAGAACCAATTGAACTCTCCGAAAATGGACTCCGGAACATTCGGTACCTGACAGCCGACGTCGTAATCTGCAATAGCCTGTCTTGTCAATCCCATAACTATGCCCAATTTAAACGTCAATATCATGTTAAACCCAAGACTTACTGAAGCCCTTCGCCCTTGAAATCTATATTGTTTTTCAAGATGATAGACTACCCAGAAGACCCTGTGGCATTCAGTTGGGTTTGCATCGACGACCGAAGACTTGTGGTACCTAAGGGCAAGTACCATTCGACTTGCTTCGGCCAAGAGTGTGTGATCTACCTGCAGACAGCAAGCATTCATGGCAAATACCGCCTTCAAAATTGATCAGCTGTGACCTTGTGCGAGCTTCAGTGCTCAGAGAGCTAAAGCGTACCATTGCAGTGATTGCCTGCATGTTAGTTAGCAAAAAGGTTTCAACAGAAAGCAAAAGTACCGCCATACCTGGACTGCTATTAAAGACTCTCGAGCTAGCACCAACCGAGGGATGTGGCCAAGTGACGTTTGAAAGAACTTCCATGCTGTTCCCTTGCCCGGATCGAACGAGCCACCGCCGTGATACTGGCAGCCCAATGCTAACACTGCATGGTAGAGAGTACTGAAGACGGGGTGTGTATTGAATGATACGGAAGTGTGGAGGTCTTTCACTTTCTCTTCAAAGCTGTGCTGGTCAACGAACGGGAATATAGGATGAACATTATCAAAATAACCTATACAATTATCAGTATGGGTAATGAATATAGTAATCGAAGATATAACAACTTTTTATATAAGCCTCAGCCTGCTTTAGTGGTATGGTATCTGGATTGGGTGCCCTGTTTAGTGGACTTTGGGTCACTTCGTGATCGGATCTCGCGAGGAGACGCGTTCTGATCGTGAGGTCCATCTGATGTATCAGATCACGTAGTCTCGAATTCCCTATCACTCTTGTGAGGGATTGAATTCGTTCTTCGGAGAAAAACGCAATCCCCGAGCTTGAAACTAGAACACGTAGTTGAATTGTCAAAGACCCAGATCGTGTTAGTAGCCATCACGTAGATCAAATACCTTGTTTATCATGGGCCTTTCACTAATGTTAGATTACACAAAGATAGTAATGATGGAAGGAAACATACTCGCAGAACCGAAAATTCATCGAATAGGAAAGCCTCTTCTGCAGGATCTTGGAGAAGCCGGTCTATGAACAGGCCGCTAGAGTGCGCATGACCCTCGGCTGGGGCATTTTGGGAGGGCTTGGATTCTATACTGATAATTAACTATGGGACAATACAGTCGGGGAAACCAGTAGACTACCGGTTCTCCATCGAGAAGAGCGTTTCGAATTGCTGAACTGGCAAACTTCATTTCTTTTCTGTGGTAATGCCCGTGGTTTTGAGCGTCTGATACTGTTTTTGTATTATCTTCGTCGGCGAACTCACGATACAATGAGTACAAGCTGAACGCTCGCCTGAAGATTCTGGTGGGACTTGAAAGATGAATAACACTGTCAGCTCCTATCTAAGCGACCATGACGGAGTGTAAATTATAGTGGCTTACCTAGGCACCGAACCTTCCGAGCGCGACATTGATCGCATGATTTGCTCAAGCGGGGTGTCTGCATGTTTCAGAGCAGTGCTGTACTTGAAGTTGGTCTCGGGGATTTCGCTCCGTCCTGGGGGTGGCAAGTAGGCAACAAGCCGTTTCCAGACTTCTCGGCACTTTTGGCCGAAGCCCTCACCGCCAACTTCTGGAATTCTCGGTCTTCGGTGTCTTGGCATCGAGCGGAATGATTTCTTGGCTACTGGGATTTCTCAACATCGCTAATCCATCGCAATACACTCTCAGTACAGAGCTCACGGTGCGTTGGCTCTTCAACCGGCTCATCCCCAATACTATCCCCAAATGGATCGCTAATCCACGCATGTGCCTGCAGTCTACGAATGAGTCCAATGTCCCCACTGCCGTCGTCAAGCCAGATCCCATCATCATAGTCTCTATGCCAATTGAACAAGCGCGATGTAGCAACTTCGGACTGTTCATCGGCGGCATCTCGATTCGCAAAATGTAGTCTTCAAAGTTAGCAGATGGAACATGTATTTCTCTATTAGACTTACTCATTAACTTGGTCTAAGGGACCTGGGCCACACATATTATGAACCTGAATAGCAGCAGCTGGGTGATTTTCACCTGCCAGTATCCTTTCCCCAGAATCCAGGATCCAATATATATTCCATGAAATCGGCCTGTGCTGATGTGCAAGATGCGCTCTCACTTCAAGACTGCAGTTTTGGACCGGAGTCACGCCAAACGGAGGCGCTGGCGACCATGGCACTGATATATTTGGTCGAATAAAATAGGAAGTTTGGAATTCATTTGCACGAGAAACCCTGAACTCCTCCAACTCCAAGGAATATGTAACCTGGATAAAGGATTGGAATGTGTCGGTCAGAAATGCCGCAACTAGACATATAGGCGGTAGACTGTTCAACGCCATATTCAGGAGCGAATTTGCCTGGTCGTTACATATCGCAGCGGCCCATAGGATGCTCAGATGTGGGCTTTTAGATGTAACTGCATTGAGCAGCTGCTGGTAATCAATCGAGTCCGCATTAGGGGCTGAAAGTGCTTTTGTTATTCCTAGAGATGCGGCCCCTAACAAGTTGCAGGGAATAGAGGGGTCAAAAAATGCACTGCAAAGCAGCGAGTCTAGTGCGTCTTGTGTAGAGCTTAGAAAAATGCATTTATCGATCGACTGGAAAAGCTCAGTGAATATGCTAGGCATGCTTGAGGGGAGAATAGGAGAGGTTGGAATCGATACTGGAGGCGCAAATGTTGGCGGCGGCATGTGCCGTGATATCAGGATTAAGACAGAAGCAAGGCCGACGATACATTCGGCTTCAAGACCCTCTAAGACACAGGAGCTTAGAAGGATATCAAAAGCAAGGGATGAGTTTGGCGAGACAAGTGTCCAGTTTGTTCTAGAAGTTTGAGTTAGCAAATGCCAAAGCAATAGACATGAATGTTTTCAACAGGCATACTGCTTCCCTTTGGTTCCCTCCTTTCTCAACATCCATGGTGAATGAAAAGTGCCATCTGGTCTTTTTACAAGGGCCTTCCAACGACCTTCGGTGACAATCGGCCAGAAAGAATCTTCTAATGGCGTAGTACTCTGTTCATGCAAATCCGACTATCCTCGCCGGCCTGTTGCAGTATCTCCACCCAGCGACAGGAGATAATATAGGACCAGGCTAAAACAATGCTTGTGAAGTACCCAGAGCGGAGAGTATGGCCAGCAAAGGAAATCTCGTGGAAACGAGTCTCGGCCGTCTTGTAAGTGACAGGTTTTGGCGATCCAAGGCACTGGAGAAAATCTATTGATTTCTCAGGTTGAGTGCAGCTCGGGTGGTCTGTCGTGCGAATGCACAAGGAAGACCTCAGGGTCAGAAAGGACTTCGGTCTGCCAAGAATTTTGAGGTGTTTGGGGGGCTCGTGAAGGAACAAAGGGACATTTTTGAGAAGACCAAAAAAAGCCCTTGTTTGGGAAATTAAAGGACATTGATCTTGATGGCCAAAAGCTTCCTTCCACTCGATATATTTTGACTGACAGCAGTCGTTGAACCGTGCCGTTGGTGGACAGATCCCATCACCGGGATACCAGGTTATGGCGACGTCGCTTTCGGATTCATCACTATTGTCAGAATTGTAGGCATTAGCTTCTGTTTGCATAATATCCTTAGATAAAATATCGCTCATGATGGGTATGTTGAGTGCTTGGGGAGACAAGACGTTGGATCCGCGACTATGTCAGGTTATGTTATGAACACGGGGCAGTTAAAAGAGCAATCAGGCATCAATTGGCAAGATGGCCGAGCGGTCCAAGGCGGTAGGTTAAGGTCCACCTTAATTCACAACTCCTGTTGAGTTTCCTACTCATCTCACGATGGCGTGGGTTCGAATCCCACTCTTGTCATATCTTTTTGCACTTTCTTTTTATTTTTGTGTCTCGTTTTGCAGGGCACAAGTACTGTTCCCCAGTCTGACCAAACAAAAGACCCATTTCAGCCATATAAAACGCCGTAGTATCCATCGAATACTAGGCATGTACGCGTTGCTCAATGCCACCATTGGCTTATGGAATACCGATTATGTGGTATCTTTTTATTCCCTGCATTTCCACTTACCTCCACCACAAAATATCTGCCTTCGTCGACCAAAAAAAAAATAAAACATTTCTTTTCCACCGCAGCAAAAAGGGTCAACCCCCCATTGAGGAGGGATAGTTCTAGAATACACTAGCTAAGCGTGTCGTGACTCTACATGTACGAGTCTGTTGTCCACGAGGGGACTGTTCTGTGATATGTGACTGCACGTGAAGTGACAGTCGGTGGTCCGCATGTCCGGACGATTCCGTGATGGTATGGTATGAGTTCTTACTCTCACTACCGGGTGTTTATCCCGCCTCGGCGCGGGTTCGAACGCGACCGGTTCGAAAGTGTGTTGCTCCGGATATGCATAATCGAATTTTCCACTGCACCAAAAAAGGTTGACCCTAGAACCAATGTTGATATAGTGCGTTATAGGACTATGGAAACGTGGAGCCCTAACAATATTGAATATGTAGGAGCTCAGATCTGAACGCTGTTGCAGGCCTTTACAAACAATTTTAGCCAGAAGCAACAAATGAGAAAATAATATCTCATGTCTTCGTCAATCGAGTCGCAGAACCAGAAATTACTTGTCTCCTTAAGCCTGGACCGAAGACACCAAGCCATCCTTGTAAGTATAAACGAGATCTGGCTTGGTGCCTATGGCCATTATTTATATAGTGGATCAATACTAGTGCGACCACGACTTGCATACTATCTGTGATCGGTTACATTGCCTGCTAGCTAACTGAGTCGGACTACAACCGCATCCTACGTAGTATGCCGAGCAAGGCTGGCTGGCCATGGCGTGGGCTGTTGTAGGGTCATAGCCTGATGTTGAACCAGACACCGGACTTCCAGGCCATCTCAGCTGCTTAATTCTTGGGATCCAAGCACGATCGCAGCGGGCTAAATTTATATGTTCTTGGTCTAGGAGAATGGGGTTGACAGGTATTATAAACAAAGCTTCTGAAAAGGTTCTGGGTAGCTATGGGGCCGATAACATCAAGAGAATGCAAGATACTGCGGCCAAGTATGACCCGGAGGGAGTTTCCAGAAGCTGCAGCACGGCGGTTCCCTCTTGAAGAATAATATATAACTGATTTCATTGCCCTATGCAAGGGACCTTTGAGTCCTAATCTCTAGTTTGTTTGGCTAGTTTCCATCCTCTTGCTTCAGGATTTCCTTCTCCCGCTCGCCAATACACGGCGTCAGCAATAGTTTCTCAAACGCATCCAGCTTCCCCGAGTACCCTCCCGTCTCAAAAACCCTTGCAAAATCCCCATACAGCACCGTCTCCGAGCCCAAGCGATGGGCCTCCGACCGCCACGACGCATCCGTATTCATATTCCAGAACGCGCCACCTGCCGTGAAGGGCAAAACACTCAACTGCCTCACAATCGTACAATTTCCGACCTTTAGCATCGAATACAGCCCCTCCATCAACACAGAAACAATAACCGTCCGTCGAACGCTCTCCGCGAAGATCCATTCCTGCCATGTTGGCGCAGGTCCGAGCTCTCCGGCCAGAAGCTGCAGTTTCATCGTCCACGCTCGCAACGTGTCCATGTTCTGCTCTGCCATGGCTCGTTGGCGCACGTCGCCGTCGAAAAGCTGGATGGTGTGGAATATGATGAGGGCTTGGACTGCTGCGAGGAGGCCTTCCGCGGTGCTCTGGTTTTGGTTCTGACGGAGGAGGTCTGTTGTTTTGGATTCTAGGATAGACAGTACGGTGTCTTCTGTTTCTGGCGTGCGACTGTAATAGCATGCCGAGACCATGAATGCATCTTGCATTGGTTTGGGGAGAGATACGTCGTACAGGCGGTGGTGGATGAATGGGGTTTTGCGACCGCGGGCGAACATCCGAGGATAGCTTTTGATACTTTGTAAGAGCTGTCTTGTTGACCACCTGTCTATCACCGTAACTTCGGGGTAATAGCCAGCCGGGAGCAATGTTGGGACGGCCGAGATAGACGGGCTGGGTGTAAGCCACGAGGCGAGCAATTCCGCATCATTGAATAGTAAGGTGGGGTCATCGAGCGGAAAAGCGGAGAGTACATCCTCCAGGGACTCAGATGGTGACTCAAATGATTGAAAGCACGTGGAATCCAGGACTGGTTGTTGGCGCGATCGAGTGGGGGGGCTATTGAGGTAGACGCATTCCAGCCCGCGCGCAAGACACCGCGAGCACTGCGGAGTTTGGCGATTGCATCGTCGCTTGCCTTCGGCGCATGTGACACAGGATTTCTGCCGGGAGCGGGAATATGGCGAGATTCGAGACATCTTGCGGAGTTGTGAATCATCGATGAGGTTGGAAGAAGGAAGGAATGACGCTAAAGTGTTGACAGCCTGAGGCCAAAGTCCGCTGGAAACCCCGCCGCCCCACCCAAAGTCCGCACGGCTTGGCCAATCACATATCTAGAATACTCCGCATATGGATTAGTCATGTGTGTTGTCCGCAGACAGGTTTCTATATCGTCTCGACCCATGGCTGGGAAATGCTATATAACAGGGAGATGACCCCGGCATATTCGTAATTATTCTCAGCAGTTTATTCATTCCACAACTACCAAAATGGCCACCACCGAGCTCATCTTCCCCTCGATCAAGACCGATCCGGAATCACTCAACGAAATTGAGCGCGATTGGCCCGTGATCAGCAAGAGATTGACACACCCGAATCCCGGCTTGTTGAACGCCTTTCGTGGCTTCCTGCTGACTGAAGATGGAGTGGATGTGCGAGGTGCACACAGGGAGTTTCTTCTATTCGGTAAGTCCATGAACCCCTGAGCGTGATGACGGAGAAGGAATGCTAACGTATTTGGTATAGAATGGACTCAAGCGGATGATTTCCATCGCTTTGTGAAATCGGAACAGTTCGCGGAATTTGCGGCATCCATCAAACACCTGGTGACTGGACCACCGACGCTGCAGCTCTTCGAGACCAATGTCAGCCCTAGAGAGGCAGCGTCGGCGGCTGTTGTTGAAATCATTCGATTGAGTGTCTCGGATGCCGCCAATGTCGAGACAGCAGTGCACACATGGGAGGTGATATCTCGCCTCATTAGTGACAAAAGGAACACTGTCAATTACGGAACAAGCACAAATCTCGAGAACATTGTTGTTGTCGGGATCATAGGATGGGAGAGTTCGGAGGTAAGTTAATGCTTTGATATAGAATTGTGCAGATACTGATGTTGAAAAGGCACAAGCTCAAACAACACAAGATTGGAAATATGTCGAGGCAATCGATGCACTCCGGTCTCTGGGAGCAGTCAATCGACTGACTGTCGGCATTGACCCGATGGAGCTAAGCTCCATGTAAAAGAAATCCCCGAAAATGCCAGGCAACATAAGTAATCACGCAGTCATTTCTTTTCTTAGAAGATCTCTACGGTCAGAATCATATATTCAATCAAGGTTCATCTATTCAGATTGTTTAAAAATAAAAGATAAAAAATTCTAAAAATAAAGACAGGAAAAAAAATGTCAACGGAACGTCCGGTTGATATTAATAGTGACGGTGCTGCCATCACGTCTGCTCCAGCGGGAGGTCAGGCACATGGGGGGCAAATGGCGCCTTCTGCACCAACGGCAGAAGGGCTTGCATGCCCCCTCATGTGCCCAACCCCCGCACCCCGGATGGGGGCACCGAGCACGCACTGGAAAGCTCGTCAGCCTGGTTCGACACCTCAAACACCGTGGGGATTCGATTCCAACGTACCTCTTCTTGCCTGCTTAGCAGGCCTAGCCCCCTCGGAGGCGGGGGAGGGGGGACGATGGCTGGCTGGCGGGGGGTCGGCAGCGGCCGTGGAGGAGGGGGGACGGCCTCCTCAGGGTCGGGGGGTGGGCGGGAAGAAGAAGTCTCCTGTGGAGACTTAGAAGAACTGGCGGTCTCCACGCCCTAACCAAGCAGTGAGTATGCCCCGCCTTGCTATGGGGGTCGTTGGCTTGCACATACGGTTTGTCCAGCGGTGCGGGCCTTTGGGGAGGGGGGAGGCGAGGTCTGAGTTGACTTATCTGGCCTATACGACTTTGTTAGCTGACAAGCTCTTTGCGAGGAATCGGGGAAACGGGCTATATACTGACATGGTGGGATTTTTGATGTTTGCTGGGAACAAAGAAAAAGATACCCCAGCTTGCTGGGAGATACTCACCTTTTGTTTGACTGTCCGTACTCGAGGAAGGCGCGACTTTCTGAGTAATAATAACTGTCGGGGCGTACGTACCTCGCGAATCTCAATATTTGGGCAGGAGCGCCCTTGTAGGGCGTGGATGCGGAACTTCTACTTCATATGGGAAAGATGTCACAAACGTCCTTTTCAACAAGCGGTTCAGGACTTGCTGAAGCCATAAAACAAGTCATTGAAGTTTCAAGTCTTCACCAGGAATAGAACTGTTGAGATAAATGAAACTGATTGTCTGGTTGATTCTAGAAGTTGACTTAAAGGCTATCTTTCACATGAGAAGAGCGCCTCATACATATACATGTTCCCTTGCCTGCCTTAAGATTCAGCCACCGTAATATCCATCACTCCCACTCGATGAGCTTTGCCAGCCATATTATGCCCTTTCACTAACTCAACCAGAGCCCACGAGAAAAAGGCACTAAGCCTCGAAGAGGAACGAAACGTTTTTGGCGAACCCCACTCTCGAGTAAACCAGGAAGAAAAAGGTATACGCAGTGACATGAGGGGAGGGCATATTTCACCCTTGTTGTCAGCACTAGTAGCAAGGCCAACCGCTCCGAGCTGGGATTATGATTAGACGAATTGTCCAAGCTCCCTTCAGCGCCAATCCTTTCTCATTTGGTAGTTAGGCCACCCTCCTCTAGCAACATCTTACATCGTTGGTGACAATTATGTTGGGTCAGCTGCAAGTGAATGCACAGGCCATGTGTCATGGTGCAGACTTGCTCAGACGAAGAGGAAAAAGAAATTATTTCAGATAATTGAAATTAAACGGAGCATTTTCCTGCAGAAGTACACCATCTGTATTTGGCCCCAAGCAAATCATTTCTCATTTTGATGCAAGCCAAATGTGATACTTAAGCCCATTCTCTCCTATTAGGTCATTGAGGTCTACTGCCTTCCCTTGGATTATGCTCCTTCTGTCCTGGAAACTTGACATTCGCGATGGAATATACATCGAGACAGACCACCCTTCTCATTGTTATCTGGACACTCACTGCAGTGGCTGCTATCCTGCTGGCAGCCCGTCTTTATGTAAGGTTACGCCTGCGACCGGGGGCGTATGGATGGGATGACTCGTGAGTTACTGATCCTCTGATAAATCAATCCTCTGAGCCCTAGAATTAAAAGACTGACTTTCTAGGACTATGGTTCTGTCCTTTGTAGGTAGGACCCGTACGGCGGAAGACATTTTTGTATCTAATAAACAGATAACAGGCACTCGGAGTCGCAACTGCGGCGTTAGAGCATCTTCTTATCCAGGTTTGTTCGTCTGCAATAACCTCATACTCTTAATTGACCGGGCGCTGATGGCGAGATACAGTACGGAATCGGCAGGTATGCTTAGATCGGTTCAAGATCATAGGAATCCTCATAATTGCTAAGACTATCCCATCAGGCACCTGGATGATGTCGACCTAGCAAATCTTCCCAAGCTCGCCAAGCTAACTCTGATCTCTTCGATTACCAACCTCCTCTGCACAATGACGCTGAAAATATCGCTGTCCATATTCTTACTCCGCATGGTGGAACAAGCAAATCGGACCGTTCAACGACTCGTCATCCTCAATCTTATCATCCTCATTCCCTTCACAGTCGCCGTGATCATTGTCGATCTCGTCCAGTGCATCCCTCTACACGGTTACTGGGACAACTCTGTCAACGCTAAATGCATAGACACCAACGCCGTTAATATCCTTCTCAAGGCCGCCTCCGGTACGCCCGTTGCTTCCCATCCTGACCGGGCGCCTATTTTCTAACAGTCAATTATAGCCGTCGGCGCCGTCACTGACTTCATGACCGCTGCCATCCCTATAATTATAATCCATAATCTCCAGATGCCTGCACGGCGGAAATACATCCTCTACGCGATCCTCGCGCTTGGTTTCTTGTATGTCATGCCCCCAAATTCCTCCCCCATCCTTCCTTCTCCGGTCGGATCGTCTGACTATTTCTCACCCACAGTATCACTGGGGCTTCTATCGTGAAGACCGTCTCGATCGACTGGAACCCCGAGGACTACACATGGGACAACGCCAAACTGGTCCCCTGGGCGTTCACGGAGCAGGAGGGCGGGGTGATCGTGGGTTGTCTCGTGACTCTGAGGCCGATTTGGCAGCTCATACGGTCGCGTATCAGTTCGCAGCCGCTTAGTGAAGACTACAATATGTCTGGTAGTGGGCGGCGGACATTACTGAGGAGTAAGCAGGAGGTGGACGAGCGCGGCTTGCTCGCAGAGCCTCTGGAGATCAAGAAGCAGACTAGATTTGAGGTCTTGGATGAGGCAGGAGGTTCGCAGGCTGATGGATCGGAGAACCCGTGGGAGTACAGGCGGTAGAGTACCTAGCTAGGCAGCAGGTAAAGGGTTTAGTGCTTCTCTGGTAAAATGCGAAGACTTTCCATACATCCCCCCACCCCTCCCATACAGGCGTGAAAAAAAAGAAAGAAAAAAAAATCCAATTTTATTCACAAGGCGCCTACCTTCTGCATGTCGGTATGACACCGTCAGATTCATCATCGGAGGAAGAATAAGCAGCGGTCTTACCTCCCCACCTGCACGACTTACGGAGTACGACTAACCGACGATCTTCTTAAAACTCCGCCACCGTATTCTTGGCTGTTGCGAAATACCCGACCGGAATCCGCTGGGGTGCGGGTGCCAATTAAAGGTTTTTGGGGGCTGATCCGGATTAACGAATCGCGGATTTGCGGATAATTGGTAGATAATCCAGGCGGCTAGTCAGCGCGAAAGAGCAAACAGATGTCAGTTGGCTTTCATGGGGGTATCTCTCTTCTCTTTAACCCCTCTTTTAGTGGGTCATCTTGGCTGCTTAACTAGTTGTAGCCCCCACTATACACAAGGCTGGGATGTATTGGTATTCTGGTCTAAACCCAGCTGAACCTGACCACCCGGTACGTGCCAGGAAAGGGAGCATTTAGGTGGTGATGCGAAGGATTTAGTGTCCTGGTCCGACCACCAAGTGCATGTGTAGCTAGCGAAGATATGGATGGGATTTTCACATCGCAGCGTCTGCCTTGGCCTTGCCAACAACAGCAGTTCCCGTTCCAACAGAATAAATCAAACGTCAGGCGCAAAAATCGCCGCGAAATCACCATCGATCCAGAGAACCTCGACCTTAAGTGCTGCGATCTTCCACTCTCCATCCACCTGCGTAAACTCCATCGTGTTAACTCCGTGGCCAGTCGCCAGCACTGCCGCATTCCCGTCTCGAGGAGCTCTCCGAAGAACCGTCATGATCTGAAAGTCGACGCTTGCGCGTGATTCCGACTCCCGCGTCCATTTGCACGCGCCGACTAAATGGTGCGACTGGATATCGGGGTTTCCCAATTGGTTGGGATCGGAGAATTGGCTAATATACACGGAGGGCTGAACTGCGGTGGCCTTTGGTTGGCCGAGGGCCGAGTAGTCCACGTCGATCGTGGGCGCGAAAATGGCCGGCATACGGGCCCAGGACTTTGTATCTATGGAGGTGGCCCAATCGTGGAGGAGGTTCTGACACGCGAGAGGGATACTTGGGTCGGACATGGCCGGATGGTTTCTCGGGGATGATACTGCGTACGGCGAGTGAAGGGGGACTTAGTGAGTGGGTATCGCCAAGTAAGACGTTTCCTTAATGTAGCAAGGAGGCTGAGCGCGGCTGGAAGTTGTCAAGTGGGAAGAGTGTGATAAGGCAACGGCTCGGCACGATGATATAACTGTCAGAAATAAGCAGAAGTGAAGAGGGGAAGATGTACTTATGTGCTGTGATATAGACACTAGTTTAGTGCTTATTTGCAGTCGACGAACCCGCATAGTATTGGTGGTCATTTAGGTAAAGGCAGAGTTGGGGAGATAGGGATCGGCGCGGCCTAGGCAGCGATCGTCCGGGGGTTGATGTCCACTAGGATACGCCGGTTGACCGTGGTGCCATCTTTTTGGGGCAGATCAATTTACCTCGATGCTACCTAGGGGCCGAAAAGATGGTATGGAGAGAATAGACGTTCGATCCGGTAATGCAGTCAACAAACTTACTGATCCTTTCGGGACGCCCGCAACGAGTATTCCTTCAGTACCTTGCAAGGCTGACTGCCAGCCAGCTTAATTCTGGCCTCTTTCCCTGTCAATTGTTAGGAGACATACTGCTGAATTTGCTTTGTCCAATACCTACCATCATGTGGCCATTTACCGGACTAAAGTACCCACCGATTGTCCTCTACTTCAACGATGCCTGGCTGATGAGCTTTGCCAACCCGTATATCTGGCGTTGCTCGACCAAAGAAGTGCTAGTACCTCTTCACCAACGCAACATTGGCATTCATCACTGTGATATAGGATGTGGTATGTGGAACCATATGATATATGCTTGCGATAGATAACCGCAGAGATCTGATCTCGGATCAATTACAAAGGCACCGGCTACTACCTCGTTCATCACCAGCCTCCTAGCCCTAAGACGACAATAACCCTCCTGGACCTTGAGAGCGCCCCTCTATCAACAACCGAGACCCGTCTCCATAGATTCCACCCGACCGTGAAAGTCTATCCGCATCAGTGCGACATTCTATCTGGCGAACCAATCCCTCCACCTCCACGTTCATCGGAGTGCACGGCATACGATTCAATCTCGCTAACGTACCTCCTCCACACCCTTCCCGCTCCCCCGGAAGAGAAAGTGAAAGTCTTTGCAAAAGCCAAGGCCGCAATTAAGCCCTCCGGTGTGGTCTTTGGCGCTACCGTCCTCGGACACGGTCCGTGGCATAGCTGGGCTGGTCGCATCCTGCTTAAGGTTCTGAATTGGGAGAAAAGGCTCAGTAATACTGGTGATAGCGCGAAGGTTTTGATTCAAGGTCTTCGGGACAATTTCAATGATGTGAAGGTGGACGTTGTTGGGTCGATTTTGGTTTTCGAGGCTAAGCAGCCGAAATGGTGATAGAACAAAGTACAGGCTCGCAAAATAACAAGACATCCAATATCAATGAAATCTTTAGAATGTATATAGTATGGCAGGTTGTAAATCACAGTTTTGATTCCCCACCTTTCCGGACAAACTTGGCCAGTTCATCTCTTGCCGCTCGCATCCGTCTCAAGACTTCTTCACGCGGGATATCAAGCAACGCATCAATGTGTCTTGGAACCATTTCCAACCGGCCCAACTTAACAAACCAGGCAGAGGAAGTTTGTTCGTGGGCTTCACTCCCAATCGTCCGACAAGCCTCACCCCACGATTTCATGCAGTGCTTACTCTGAGGGAGCGCCGGAATAACTTGATTCCAAACATGAGGCATGAACTCATACTCCAGAAAAGTCACAGGAACTCCCGAGGTCTTGAGGTTCTTCACCAGGAACTTTACCCCGTCGCTGAATGTTTCCTCGCCACAAGCAATCCACATCGGCGGCATACCCTCCCAATCTGTCCACGTAGAGGGGTCGATAAGGGGATGGCACCGTGCCGAATCGTCGCAGTGAAGGTCGCCTCGGGGCGGGCTGGCCGGCCAGATCTCGTCGGCTGGAAAGCCGGGCTGATTCCACGGCGCGCCTTCTGATAGCCAGTCTACAGGCTTGAATTTTTCCACGGAGGGAAGAGCCAGTGCATAGTCTGCCGCTGGACTGACGAATGCGCAGCCTCGAGGCATCGCAATTGGAATCGTACAACCGTTCAACGTGATAGTTGGTTTGTCTGACCCGCGTAGAAGAGACTGGAGGAATTGGAGGAGGTGCAGGTGAAGAACCCCGCCACCAGATTCTCCAACCAGCACAATTTTCTTGGGGTCGATGGGCTTGTGGAATGATCCCGGCGGAGGTGCGATTAGATAGAAATAGGCCACTAATGTGTCGAGCACGAGTGTAGGCAAGGTGTACTGCGGCACAAGACGATACTGAAATGTAAAGGCGCGCGACCCGCTGTGCTGGCAGAGCTGCTGGATCAGAGGCCGGGAGCCGGGAGATCCCGCACGGCTGGACAGATAATTTAGCCTGACACAGACCAGCGAACAGGGAAAGATAGAGGCTCTAGCTTACAACCAAGCACCTCCAGGGACATAGAAAAGTGTCACATCATTTGTGGCGTGCTGCTCAATGCCATTGAATTTTTCCTGCTCTGTGCCCTCTGGCTGAGGGGCTTTGTGGTTCTTCACATCATTTCGAACCCCGAGCCATTCAGCCTTGTAGTCGGAGCAGGGCGCGGGCGGGTCAAGCTTCTCAACGCCCTCGCTCTTGGATTGATAGAGGTGCCAGAGCTTTGAGCGTAGATTCTCTCCCTCCTCCGAGCCTGGGCGTGGAATCGTTGTATTACTGACCAAGAGTGGCCCTTTTACCGGCCTTGGGCGCGCGGAGTAGGCCTGCATTTTTGAGATGGGCACCCGGGGGGCTGTTTTCCATCCCTTGCGGAAGGCCAAGACAGCCTTTTTCTGGTCTTCGGCTGTGTCCATTTCTGGAGTGGCGATTGAGTACACACGCAATCAAAGTTCCAATGATAAGGAAAAAATATGGCAAGGAGGCAGTAATTAAAAAAGGTGCTGTCCTGTTGGGTGGATAGGGAAGGCTATAAGCGTCAATCGCTGGGGTCGATGTCGGGTTTCCGCCTGTGAACACCGAGCCGAGGTAGCTCATGCCTTGGCCACGCAGGTTCGTTAATTCCGATATACACGTACTAAGTACCTTGGATAAAAATGGGAATTAACCCCTGCCTGGGGCGAGGTGCAGGGATCAGCATCCAAGTGGCTGGCACATACATTAGGGCGTTGGTGTGTATCAACTAGTAATGTCGCTTATGATAAAATACCCGAAGTTGATCAGCAATATACTGCGCATATATTTCCGTTTAATAGGTCCCTCTACGCGCTGGGCAGGGGTATAGATTGCAGAAATGTTGGTGATAACTATCCTGTATGGCTGCAAGCTTCTGGCCCCCAATTGTGCCATTCTTGGAACTGCCACTCAAACGTGCATGTAGTCGAAGATACGCAATATATGCGTAGAAGGCTGTGCGAGGCCGGCTATGATGGGATATTTAAATGCGGGTTTGTGGAACTTGGACTGGCTGATTATTCCGACATCAGTGCCGGTTAATTCTCTTTATTGAAAGGCCAACATGGGTGCAGCTTTTTCCAACCCAGCTCAGGACACATCCACCCCTCCACTTCAGGAGGATGAAAATAGTTTGATGATCACTGGCCTTGCCACTAAATGGCCTTCCAAGCTTATTGGCCCGGAGGATATGAAAGCATATGCATTGAAGCATTACCCGGAAAATGCTCCCTGGTTTGTTGCTTTCTAGTGGGTTGGGCGGAAAAGATTGCTGATCAAATTCCAGGCTCCAAAGTTTACTGAAAATCAACGAACAAACTGGTATAGAAACTCGGGCGGTAGTTGATCTTTGGAATGACCCGAAGTGGCATCAAGATACTCCACCCTCAGCAGAAGACGTCGACGCTGCGTTCCGCAAATACGGCGTCGAGCTTGCGACGGGCGCCGCCCGAGACGCCTTGAGCGATAGCCATATCTCTCCAGGCTCGGTTACCCATGTTGTGGCAGTTACAGCGACTAATGCCGGCAGCCCAGGCTATGATCAGCTCGTTGCCCGGGAGCTAGGTATTCCTGTAACTGCGGAGAGAGTTCTCCTGGCGGGTGTTGGCTGCGCAGGAGGCCTCGCCGCACTGCGAGTAGCTTCTAATCTGGCTAGGGCAGCAACTCTACAGCAACAAGAGGCCCGCGTCTTGATCATTGCGTGTGAGATCTGCAGCATCCAGATCCGCGCCGAGCTACATGCTGCCTCCCAGTCGGGTGTTGTCGGGATTGGGCCCGCCCTCTTCGGCGACGGTGCGGCAGCTATGGTGCTGTGCAACTCATACGGCCTGAGTGACAAAATCCCTAGGCGCTTCAGTGTGATCGATTGGCGTACCTGTATCACGCCCGACACACATCAACAGATGTCCTATCGAGTAGCGTCTAACGGGTTCCTTCTCTCGCTGTCGAAGCAGGTTCCCAAATACACTGCTGCGTCTCTTCAAACGCCGTTCCAAAGCTTACTTAAGGGCAATGGAAAGGAGCTTTCCTCGGCGGATTTCGACTGGGCCGTTCACCCTGGTGGCTTGTCGATCATCAAGGGTGCCCAGATGGCAATGAAACTACCGGATGAGGCATTGGCAGCGAGCTATGAGATATACAAAAATCGGGGAAATGCGTCGAGCGTCGCGGTTCTCGCCGTCTTGGACAGGTTACGGTCGATGGAGATGCGGAAACAAGATGTTGTCTCGTGCAGTTTTGGTCCCGGCCTTACCACGGAAATGGTCCTCCTGAAGCGATGGATGTAGTTGATGGATTCATGTATATAGCTCCTAGCGTTGTTTATGTGTCGATAATATTTTAAAACAATCTCACTCAAGGATAGCTCTTCAACATTTCGGCAGCCAGCAATAAATAACGCAACTGTAATGTCGTGCTGTTTTGCTATGCAAGACCTGGAAAGAAGTATGGGTAATCGCAGTCATTCAAGACCGCCTAATCTCTCCCGCGGACCTCTAGGCCCGTGCGAATGGATATACCACGTGGTCGTGACCCTTTCTTTCATCAGAAATTATAATTGCGCCCGGTTCTGATCACCTCCGGTTTCCAGATCGTTGTCCTGACACTAATCCTCGTGTTAGCTTTCGCACAGGAGAAATCGTTACGGTGTCACTTTGGACGGCCCCGTTCGTTCAGATATATAGTTGGCGCTTCGAATTATAGATTATAACTATTCAAAGGGATTGTAACCGCTCGAAGAGTGATTAAAAGATCAGAAGTAAATCTTGAAGGCGTGGAGCCGAAGGCAGAGATATACGGCGCTAGACTATATTAGGCATATTAATGCCTTAGAAATAAGGCTACAACAAACACTATGGAAGACCTGTCTCTTCCTGAACAACATGTGTTTAGTAAACGAGCAGAGGTCCCAACGCGCAGCCATCTACAGGCATGTCGGGCGTGTGCTCCGTCGTATAGAGTCCAGCGACGAGGTTGTGATCCCAATCGAGCAACTGCAGAGCTTCGGATTCTATCCTGTGCAGGTGGGGTTTGACGGAGATGAAGTGGACTTTGAACCATGCTTTTTCAAACCTTTATCCGCATCTATCATCGACGAACACCCGTTAGAAGAAGAGACTCCGCAGTCTATAGCATCATTTTACTATTATCCCCCGTCTTTTCAAGAGGATGACGGACCTTACGAAATCTTGCAAGTTACCCGTGAGATGTGTCGTCATGTTACCAAGCTTACAAGACATGATCGACACGGAATTGATTTTGAAGACTCCAGGCGATTCGGTCTGAATGCCTTTAGTTATTTGGGTCATCCTAGGAGGTATGATTTATTCAGGCCCCTTCTGTGCCTACTCCGTTTCATGTTAGTTTACTAATAAGATCATTCCTCCCAGTGATCGGTGGCAAATGAATCGTCCTCTTGAACTGATCCAGATCGACGGGCCGGGATCTTGGGAGATGAAAGCGCAATATGAAAGCCTCGAGGACCCTCATATGATAGCTTGCATCATCCATGATGTGAACGCAACCGACGGGGTTCTTGCGATGGGCGAACTCAAAGCAATCGCGAGAGCGTTCCGCTTTCGGTACAAGGACCCAGTTTATAGTCCGCATACGATATTACCGGTAAGGAATACCTTCTTCCAGGATGGAGATCGGGATAAATGCCATTCTAATCGAACAATAGGTTTTAATACTATCATATCTGGGTCCACAGCATGGCAGAATCTTACAAGCCCACCATGATGGAAGGAGGATTGTGGTACAGTACACGCCGCTCATGAGTTTCGAAGTGGAGTCCAAAGGAGACGTAGCTGAGCCAATCTCTCTGTTCGTTCGGTATCAGGTCAGTTGCCCTGTCGGCCAAACTACTAGAACTTGCTGCTGCTCGGAGGAGTGAGGAGATTTATTATATGACCCACGACCGCTTTTTTGTCTATATTTTCGCTATTGTGATTGCTTTCAGACCCATGATTTACTTCATGTCACTTAACCTTCCGTTGTGCAATGTTTGGTAATTGTGCTTTCACTTAAATGCAGGTGGCCCTTCCTCCTTCCTCCTTCCTCTTTCTTCCTTCCTTCCTTCCTTCCTTGTGGACCCACTGGACTCAACACCTTCCAAACCTTTCACTTTCCTCTCTTTCTCGTAGCACATTCTCACTCACAGATCTGCAACAAAAGCACAATGATCTTCGACACCTTCGTTCTCTTTTTCTTCTTGTTCTTTGTTCTATTTTTCCATGTTCTCTTGGCCCAAGATCATAGACAGTGCCGAAGAGAAAGGGGAGATTCCCCTCTCCCTCCCCCTCCCACCACCACCCCCGCCGACGACGGCGCCTCCGCAACAACGGAGGAAATCCCCCGGGTCCCCCCAATCGCCGAACTCTTTGGCCGGCGGCGTGCGCGCTCTCCAGCCGCCGCCGCCGGCCCCGCGCCCAAGCGGACGAGAACTGGTAGATATACTCGAACCTACACTGGGTTTATACTAACAGTCTTCCTAGGCCGGTGGATGTGCCCCCCATGTGTCCGCCCCCGCCGCGGAGAACGATCGTGGTGGGCGCGGTGGTCGAGGTGGTCGAGGTGGCCGTGGTGGTCGAGGTGGCCGGGGTCGCGGCCAAAACAAGACCGCTCTTGATACCCCCCCTCCCTCGAGCGCTGCTGGCTGTCGCTCTCCAAGGGCCGCTTAGATGCTTTTCCTGCCACCACGGAGGATGTGTTCGCACCCCCTTTTCCTCGCGGGCCGTTGTTCTTTGGTGCGTTCAGCCGTCGCTTTCAAGCACACCGGCAAAGCGTCATAAGCAAGGTAGTGATATACCGACTGTACTTGAATAACGGCTGACGGTCCTTTCAGTTTTGGACAAGTGACTATATCCAGGCCCCTCGGAGGGACAAACGAGGCAGCCGTGGTGGCCGTGGTATGACTGCCACCTCCACGGCCACCATTCTTATACCTACTAGACGTTTTCTTCCTTTAGATATTATAGAGTGCATCAATGGCTTTGGGTTTACTCTTTGTCGTGGAATCTTCGCATATGCAAGCCTTTCGTGACGGCAGTATATTCTCCTCGCATCCCTACCAGCGATATTCGCCTGCCAACCGTCTCAGAGATCGCCTCCATATCAGCCGTCGAGGGCAAAGGCTGGAGCCACGGCGATGTCAAGGACTTCGGGGAAAGAAAGTGATCGTCATGTGTATGTTCTCTCTCCCCTCTCATCGAAGTTGGAGTACTATGGCTGACTTGCAAAATAGCCGACACAAAGGAAACGGCAAATAAATTCTTCACCGGAATAGTTCCTTTCCCACACCATCTGCAACATGTGAAATGTCATAGAAGAGATCCACAATCGAGCAGTGTGGCGTGTTTCCGTCAGCGAGCCAATACCGATTGCAAAATGGAGGACCGTTGGAGAACGATGAGAGCGACAATGTCCAAATGCATTCGTGAACCAGCCAGAGGAGAGATACCAGCCCCAACATGCAATGAGAATCAATCTTTGATCAGCGGGCTATCAATGGGGCTTTCATGGATTACCTCGAAGGCCGAACTTAAAACGCCAGGTTCAAAGTGCTGTTGGTTCTCCGCGCGCCTTTCTCTTCAGGCCGATTTCTGAATGCCCGGCATAGAGACCCGAACAGATGATTTACTGAGCCGATGCGGGAAAGACGGCATACAGGAGACATTTGGCCTTGTCGTCGAGCTTGTCTGGGTATTCGATGGTGCATGGACCTTTCTGGCGGCAACCACGTACGACGATGAGCATGTGGGTTATCTCACCGGTCGCCCGCGATGTGATACCCACTCCTTAGGACCATGCAACAATATGGTCTATTCTTCATCAAACGCTTCATCAGCATAACATGTCTCGCACGGCCTATCGTCGGATTTACCATTTATGCGAGGGATCTGATTTCTGACACCGAAAACTCAAACGACGAAATGCTGCAGAATACTTGGACTGGCCCCGATGTCGTTGAGTATATTTTTAAAAGCCCCCTGAATATAACTATAGCTGCTTGCCCGTGGTTCTCCCGAGCCATGGGCCAATCTGCGGCGCCTGTCACTTGCCATCAGCCATGCTGTTGTGCCAATCTGTGACTTGTATCATAGCTGCTTGCCTATGGTTCTAACCAAACCATAGGCCAGTCTGCGGCGCCTGTCACTTGCCAGACATGCGGTTGTGCCAATCTGTGACTTGTATTATAGTTGCTTGCCTGTGGCTCTACTGAGCCATGGGCCAATCTGCGACTATTACCACTTGCCTTCAGCCAAGCTGTTGTGGCAAAGTGTGGCCTGTAAAATACTATGATAGAAGCTTAGATAGTTGTAGTCTTCAGTGATAAGCTCGCACCTCAACGTGGTACTGGAGTCTAGTAACCCGAACCGGACGGATGGGTGAAGCCAAGACGAGCCTTTTGTAGCCAGGTCAGCTGTCATGAAGCTTGCTTTGATACAGGAGCAATTGGGCTGGGACCGGTAGGAACTGTCGTACTCGACGTGAAATGCTTTGGAGATACATCCGGAATGAAGATGGTAAACTGCATCTATTCACGTCCTCAATAAGTCGTCTCGTATCGAAAGACCGACATCTTAACCACGGGATTGACGCTAAAGAGACCAATGCGCCTTGTGCGATGTTCGATCATGCAGCTCCCGAAGAGCTATGATACCTTCATTGATTTCTCTCAAATTTAGAGACTGAATTAGCGATATTCCTTCTCCCATACGCTAGCACTATAGGTCACTCCTGACAAATTCCACATGCTCCCACAAGCTTTACACACATCTTATTCCATGATTTCTACATCGGTATTATAAACTCGCTCTGGGGTTCAATTCTCAAGTCCTCTCCGGGTAGTCTGAATCGAAGATGCTTCTTTCCTGAGATCTTTCAGAACCCCATCCGTCGTCATGTCTTTGTAGCTGTACCTGCCGATAGGGCGTTAACATCATATTGACTGAACCTGTTGCAGTGGAAGCTACATGTAGCCATGTACCACGGCATCCTTTCTTGAAGAAAAGAGCCTTAGAACGACCATCGACGGACTGAATGCTCAGCTTGGTGGCAACTCAGTTAGGATAAAGAACATAGGCAATGGTAGCAAACATCTGATATTCGGTTTAGTTGTTTCAGAATCTCATGCTGTCCTTGGCATTCTGGTGGTCCTCGGATATGAAAGTAATTGATACGATGGCTTGGTGCTGTTAATGGAGGCGCGAATGCATTGAAACATGCTATACCCTGCCTTTACATCTGCGAGCGTATTTCCTGCGTTGTGGGTTGCCTCAGTGTGAGTTGCTAAAATGATGACAGTAAACTGGACATTGTCTGATCCGAGATCCTGATGTGATCAAGCAACTATTACAGGTATGAAGGGACTGTTTTCAGAGAATTTCAAATAGCGCCTGTTGACACCTGTCTTGCGTACAGTGGCCAAGAGAGTGGATCTGCTTTAAATGGCGCGTCTACAGCCAATGAAATCCCCGGTCGATGTTCAGCTGAACAGCTGTTGGAAGAGGGGCTGAACCAACAACACCTGGATTTCTTTTCGCTTCAGTCTCTTCTGGAAATTGCAAACAGACTTCCAGCCTGGGAAAGCGCGTCACGAAATATCTTTGAAATTACATTGTAGGGAATTTCAAAGCGTGTTGAAGCGCCGAAGACGAGACAGTGTGGCTTTCGTCTCCCACGAGACCAAGAATGGGGTGTTTGCGGGATACGCTGCGTGCGAAGCTCGGAGGCCGAAAGAAAAGAAATAAGAAGCAGAAAGAGCAAAATGCGAGTAATGACAGGTCCGATAATATATCGCGTTCAGAGTCAACACCGGTTGTAATTCAAGGACAGTCTGAAACGAAACACGGGCCCGAGATCCAATTCTCTGATGATCGACTCACCACCGAGGGATTAGTATCGACTACTGATTCCTCAGTGAACGATCTTGCAGATCCTACGCTGAGCGAGGACGATCACCGCGAAATGTATGCTACTTCATCCCAAGAGAAGAAAGTTCCTATCCGGGAACCAACATCAGAAAGCGATTCCACGCTCAACCTGAGTCCCATCCATGAGGAAATTTGGCGCAAAGCATACCAACAATTGAAACAAGACTCAAAACAAAAGAAATACGTGGAAATATACGAACAATTGATTGCCGAAACCTTTTCGGGCGAGGGGACCGAGCATTTAGCTTCCGCTACTCATGGATCTGTGTCTCCCGGCGAGGTGCAGCTGAGCACCGTCATTGAAAAAGGGCAAGAAAAAATCAAGAAATATAAAAGATTCATTGACTCCTCTTCCGACATTGTGACCGCTATCATGCCTGTCAAGGCGATCCTTGATATTCCCTTGAAGAACGTTCCCCAAACTAGTTTGCCATGGGCAGTGATTTCATCAAGCATTGATGTGAGTTGACTCTATAACCTCTGATCTTTAACGTCTTATTAATTTGGAGTCTTAAACTGTAGATCCTCATCAAACCCACAAAGTCCATGGATACATTGTATAAAGGAGTACACATCACTGCCTCGAAGATACAATGGTATGCCGGAATCATTGACCGGATTTTGAGGGAGAACAACAGCGAGCGTAATAGCCTTGATCAAGTCTATGACGAGATGAAAAACAAAGTCATTGATATTTACCAGGCTTTGCTTTTCTACCAGACCAAGAGCGTGTGCTCTTACTGGAGGAATCAGCTCTGGGTGTTCGTTCGCTCAGCGTTGGAATTTGATGATTGGGACGGTGATCTGGAAGAGATCGAAAAGTCCGAGAGGGCTCTTGAGAGCCACATTTCTCAGTACAAAGGAGAACAGCTCTTGGATGAGATTCAAAGCCTAAGAGAGATTACCGAGAAGCGATGGAAAGACGATGATCACATGAAGTGCATGCAAGACCTATGCGTGGTGAATCCACGGACACAAATGGATGATCTTGAGGAGCGAAAAGATACTCTGATTCGAGCTTCCTACAGCTGGGCTTTGGAGACTCCAGAGTACAGGAACTTCACAGACTGGACCAATCCACATGCGTCTAACTTTCTATGGATCAATGGCCAAGCAGGCACTGGCAAGACAATGCTTCTCATTGGTATCATACGGGAGCTCACAGTCGGTCAGCTTTTCAACGATGATATTCCTGATATTCTTTACTTCTTTCTCCAGAGCAAGGGAGCAGACGTCAACAATGCTACGGCGGTAGTCCGAACTTTGATCTGGTTACTTCTTTCACAGCAACCGGGTCTTATCGATTACGTGATGTCTGAGTATCGCAGGTCTGGCAAAGCATTATTTGGCAGTTCTTCCGCTTTCAGCGGCCTGTCGAAGATCTTCAAGAAGATGCTACAGGATGACCAGGTAGAGAAAGTTGTTCTCGTAATTGATGCCCTTGATGAATGCCAGGAAGAAAATGACGAACAGAAAGTCCTACTTCGCTTCCTGAACGAGCTCCTGTCTGACAACAGGATAGTATCAAAACTGAAAGTGCTCGTTTCAAGCCGCCCCGAGTGGGAGATCCAGACCGAAATAGTTAAAGATTCGTCGAAAATATGCATTCTGGAGCTGGACAGGCAGTCTCTGGAAAGTCCGATTAATGCATTTATTGATGAAAAAGGACGTGAGCTCGATGCAAAGACAGAAAATAAAGATCGACTCAAGCATGTTCTGGCGCAGCTGCGCCTTCGAGCAAGCAACACGTTCATCTGGGTCTCGTTGGTTTGCAAAGAGCTTTTCAAGACCCGGGATGATTATTGGGAAAAGGTATTGGATGCGGCACCAAAAGACCTTACGAAGCTGTACGACTTCCTACTCTTTGAAAGGCTCAAGAATTCAATATTTGAAGACTGCAAGAAGGTTCTTGCCCTGAGCGTTCTGGCGTTCCGACGCCTTACAATCGATGAGATCCAGCAACTGGCTGAGATACCTGACGGCACTGCATCGGGAATTGTTCAAGACTGCAGCTCCTTTTTCACAGTTCAGCAGGGCACAGTCTATTTCTTCCACCAGTCAGCTCAGGACTATCTTAGTAGCCATTTCGAACAACTCGCGCAGCTACCTAGGGACCAATGGCACCATAGAATCTTCCGGCAGTCTCTCAAGAGCATGAAGCGCTTTTTGAAGAAGAATGTATACGGTCTGACTGATCTCGGTAAAATTGATAAACCCAAAATTATGCCGTCAGATCCACTGGCTTCGATTCGCTATTCATGTCATTACTGGGCCCAACATTTGCAACAAAGCCCACGAGATGTAGCTGATACCGAAGAAGTCCATTCATTTTTCTGCGACCATTTCTTACACTGGCTAGAGGCCATGAGCTTGTTGGAGTTGATTTCAGATGTGATCGAGTCTATAAATGGCCTGGCCTCTCATTTTAAAGTACGCTCAAGACTTTGATTCATCCTCTAACTTGGAAAGCTAATCCAAGGATACTAGGATAAACCCGATTCCGACATATTTCACTTCCTAGCAGACGCAAAAAGATTCGTTTTGTTAAATTTCGAAATTGTTACTGTCGCACCGTTGCAACTTTACGTTTCTTGCCTGGTATTTGCGCCGACAGAGAGCATAGTCCGGCAGAAATTCAACGACCAAATCCCGTCCTGGATTACTGTCTTGCCAAAGGTCGCAGATAACTGGAATGCCTTGCTACAGACATTCGAAACCCGGTACGGAAATGTACAGAATGCTGCATTCTCTACAGACAGTTCTCTTTTGACAATATTCTCCGAAAGCTCAATCGAAATACGAAATACTGATACCGGAAACCTTCGGGACAAGTTTTACCCATGGGAGAGATTCCTCTGTGGGGCAGTCTCAAGTGACCACAAGCTGCTAGCTTGGTCTGATCGCGGGGATTGGGGAGTAACCCTTTGGAATATCGAATATGATCGTTTCTATGGAAATATAGATCTCTTGTGCGTCGAAGCCCTCGAGTTCTCCCCTGATAATAGGGCCCTTGCATCGATTGCAGATGACAAGATGTACAGCAACAAAGTTGAAATCGAAACAATTATCCCGTAATCGATACAAAGAGTTTTCTTTCTTTTTTAAGTGGGTTAACTTCCCATAATCATCTTTGATAAGCTGGGATCAGAGAGCTAGAACTGTTTAAGAGCTTGTCAAGCGTCCCGGTAACTGGACTAGAGTACATCAGTGACGTAAGTGGATTGAATGTATTTTTGAACTATTTAGCAGGTTCTCTCTGAGATTCTGGACTTCCTAAATTTTATCTTTGTGACCTGGTGATATTCTCCTATACCGAGATGCATGTTTCTGTGATGACTGAAGCCGAGCTAGGAGACTTTGGCCAGCGCCAAGTAGGTAGGCATCGCATTTGTAACATGGTCAATCCACTTTCCAAACATTCTTCAAAGTATTGATTCAAAGCTGCTGAAATATGGATTCCATTCATTCTTGAGGTTGGCTTGAAATCTCCCTAACTGGTTATTGGTTTGCAGATATCTTGCCCAGGGCTGTCATGCCGGCCTCAAAACTTCCTTTGTCATTGGCAATGACGCTAATGTGCCGGAATTATCAACATCCCACAGCCACGTGTCGCTCCCATTTCGCCCGGCCGGCACCGCTCCACCGGGGTAAAAATCGCGTCGACACCAGGTTATATTTTGCATGCACGGGAGATCCTGGTTGAGGGGCGGGGAACATGTCCTAGAGTGCAATATATCAGTTGGTGTTGAAGTATTCGTATTGATTCATCCACACACAACTTACCATTCGACGTCACACCGCACCACTCCTCCGATGGACCTGAAGATAGCCGTCAACTGTTTCTTTTTGTTTTTTATCCACTTAGATAAGGCATTGACGTGGGTCGCTTCTCCCTTCAACCAGAGATGCTTGTATTCTTCAAGCTTAGGCCATGACTCGGTATACCCGGTTTCAAGCACCACTCAGGGCAGAGGTGCAGTATCAAAGACAAACACAGCTTCCGGATTCTTCAACAGCTCTGAAGACCTCGACCCTCAGTTCGTTTCTGCTCGCCGTAGATAATTCCATATTCTCTGCCCTGCCCTTGCACTGTGCTGATGAGACGTTTTTAGGCTTCGATAACTTTCCCGTCCCCTTTCGAACACTTACAAAGAACCGGACGCTCGTGCTTGTGTCTTTTCAAAAACCGCCCAGGTAAGCACGGTTCCATGGGTAATCGATGGCATCACAACAGACAGTCTGCCGACCGAGGGGTTGAACGTAGTCTGTGTTGATTTTCGCTGTACATCTCCATCCTCGCATAAAGTGCGCGCAACTTGATGTCCAATCTCAGGAACGATCCTCTGCTCTGAGCGAGGTTCTCGGGGGGTAGACTGCTCCACTGATGGAGTCTTTGATTCGATAGTTGCAGGTTCTCTGCTTGACAAGGGAGGCATGGCGGGCGATGTCGAAGCTGCAGCAGGGTGTACTAGTGAAAGGAGCGAGGGAAATAATGGGCGCAGGATTAAAGAGTGAATTCAATTCGCATTGGTACAGTTTCAGATGCATTCACTCAACCAAAATAAAGAGGGGCAAATTATTGTTTCGTGGCTCAGAAGACCGAACGTGCAATCCTGATAAAACTTCCACAGGAGCATGTATGAGGAAACTACGGCGTACTGCTCTCTACCTGCCTACCTACTAAAATGGCCACTTATTTGGTCGGAAATAGCAGAGAAAATGACGATGGATAAAGGAATAGCTTTCATTGTAGGCACTCTTCTGATATAGAAACCTGAAACTGGATCAACAATTTCATGCTTACAGCCAGGTTTCATGGTAAAATATCATCATAACATTCAAGGTATAATGCCAAGCCTAAGGTTTGTTAGAACTACAAAGCATATAATCATCTGCAGTCCGGTCATGAGATCAGATTCCATAATTTCATGCTTGAGTGTACTGATGCATAAGTACCTAGTCATTGCGATCGACCCTGTGTGAAAGGAATTTCCCGCAGCCGCGTAAAATCCAGACGAAGCTACGCAGCCAACGAACTCGTGGGGCCAGGCCAAGGTGATAGTGGGCCATACTTATTGGCCTTGACTTGGTTAATCGAAGCTAGTAGAATTTAAAGTAGATGAAGAAAATGGCCTAAATCTCAGATCCTACTCTCGGCGCGTTTGCCGCCAGTTCGGAATGGACCCGTCCGTCGTTCGGCCTTATCCGCATTCCCATCCATCAACCACCCCCTTTTATGACTTTTGAGTTACAGGATACGTGGTCGGCCCTGTTTGAGGCTTCATTCTTGGTATTTCGTAAGAGACTACCTTTCCCCGATTCCGCGCAAGCAGTTTGTTTGGGTAGCGGGATGTCTTTTCCCCCCTAGGATTTCCGATGCCTCGTGTCCAGCAACGTGATTGGGTCCCCAAATCCGTATTAAAGGCTCGGTCCGACTTGAAACGACTGACACGCAGGTTAAGTGTGGCTATTGTAAGTGGACACCGTCCGTGAAGACTGTAGTACCGTGTTTGGGCTTCTAATGGTGGCCTGCTACCCGTCAAGGAAGCTGAGTGGCACTCGGGGCACGGGGCTGGGCGCTTCACGCGAGTACGTATTATGAAGTTGAGCCCGGCGCATTCTCCATCTCTCACGAATAGAAAAAGCGAGGCAGCAAATGACAACCGACGACGTACATCCGACACTATTTCATCCGACTCAGCCACCTCCTGAATGGTTTTCGCCACTGATGACTCTAGGTGGCTTGGCACAGTGGCTGGACGTACTGCGTAGGCCCGACTGAGGACTACGATATGATATATGACGTCAACGGCGTACTTTTGCATGAAATACATTATTTGCTCAAGGTCCGGATCCTCGAGAAGTCCGATGATCTGTGTGAAGCGCGGTAGTCAAGAGACTAGGATAACGGTTAGCCGATGCTTAAAAGTGTCTGAGTTTTATTTGTATGAATAGAAGAAACGAGGAAACAATGCAGTCGGAGCCGTGAGGAAAGCAAATAAGCCAAGAACATCTCCAAGAAGACTAGGGAGTATGAAACTTGGCCAATCACATCCCTGTCATATGTCCAGCTGGCACCAACGGATGAAGCGACAAAGACGGATCTTTCGGGCAGGCTGTGATCTAACGCATCCTGTGAGCAAGGCTGAAACGTCGACAGAATACATGGAGACGATCATTCCTTTTGAGAGAATTTGTGTCGGATAAAAATAGGTCCACGGAGGTGACAACTTGTTCTCGGCTGCAGGTGATCAGACTCTCCGATGAGGGGAAGATTACTGAACTTCAGGGACAAGGCAAATCAGATTTGGGCCGAAATCTGACAGAATGGCATGGTGCTACGGTTTCAAGATGCCAAAATGTAAGGCTGTTGACTAAAACCGAGAAGCGTGATTCGCATTGATGGGCCACAATACTGTATTGGGCGGAATAGGAGGGGCTATTGGCTAGTGTCGTGCATCATGGTGTGTAAGGCGTTTATCCGCCTAATAGACAATTTGAAACGCGAATTAGCGGTGAGTCCACCACTTCTTTTGATATTGGTTCTCAAGTGTCCATAGGCGGGGAGGGAGTTGGGTTGAAAGCTCACGGCCAGCACTTACCACTCCGCCTAAGAAGGAGTCATGGTTAGGCAAAAAGGGAGGACTGAAAGGTGTCATAACAGCAGGTTCAGCGGCAATAAATGATAAAAGCCCCCGACCAGCGATGGAGCGAGATTCTTGGAAACCAGAGCCATGGGAGTCAGCTCAGAGATTCGGACTCACCTCTTTCGCTACTAAACACCTGTTTTTGGTGCTCATATTCTTCTTTTACGGTGGCTTAAAAGATGGTTCTCACGCAACAAAGCCTTGTTAGCTTCATTCACCATTTATCCTGCCAAGTCGACGGTGCCACCAGTTTCTCATCGCTCGTTTCCTTCAGCGAGGACTTCAACCCCTTGCAGAATGCCACTCAAAAGGTCCTTGAGGAACTCCAAGGAGTGCTTGGACAGTTGCGTCAACAAGCTATTTCGCGATCGCAGACTCGACCTGCTCCCGAATGTATCCCGTCCGTGCTTGAGGGCTGCAGGGACGCAGTACAACTCGTGCACAACCAACTGCATCTCTACCAGTACACCTGCGGTGGTAAGGAATTTGTCAATGCAGCATGGATGGAGCCCGTAGAGGCCCTGCAACATTATAAACTCATCCTGGAACAGTGCATTCATTGCATGGGGTCGGAAGAGTACGTCCAAGGGCTTTTCTCCACTTATGACGAACGTAACCCGCAATTTTATTGACACTAATCTTTCTGCGAACCTCCAGTGCGGATTCCCTCGGCACAACTCCTGCGGCAGCAGCCCTCGAGAGCCTGAAGAGCTTGGTGCTGTACCACTTGGAACGGCAGTCCCACTTCCAGGCCTTCCAGCTGCACGATCCATACCAGCGGGCACCGAGTCCTACAGTATGCAGCCACAGCCAAGCACCCTCGACATATGTGACCCCGCCTCAGAGCGTCAATGGGGGCGAGGCGCCGGACAGATCTCCAACTCCTCATCCATTGGCAGCCTTCTCCCAGGTTTTCTCTCATCGCGTGGACAGAGAGAATGAAATGGTAACAGCACAAGCCCGCAACCGAGCGGCGAGTCGACCGGGCCAGGATACCCCGAAGATAACGAGGCGATCCGGATGGGGGACACTGAGCTTGTGAAATTGCTATGTTCGTCCCGCCAGACAGATGTGGACATCCGCACCAGCGACGGCTCCACACCCTTGTACTGGACGATCGAGGAAGGCCACGCGGATATGGCGCGGATCTTGATTGAGGCGCAGGCGGACATGGACACGCCGCATCCCAAGACGGGACTGCCGCCTCTATACCTTGCCGTCCAGCAGCTACGTCGCGGGCTGGTGAAAGTGATGATAACCAAGGGCGCAAATCCAGCCCTCCGGATCCCCGGTAAGCACTGTTCGCGGTGCAAAAAGGCCAAGAGGCCCCAGGGGAGGAATTCCCGATGCGTTCTAATGGCCATTGAGAGAAATCAAGGCAACGAAGTGACATGGCAGGCCATCGATGCTATGCTAAGGGCTGAGTTCTGGCGGCGTAACCCTAGTGGGAAGTCAAGATAAATGATTTCATGCCGTGTTTTGATACAAATGTACGTTGAGGCCAAATCCTTTGCATGGCTAGATGCATGACTGTATGTGGGTTATGGGTGTTTAAGCGGTTGCTGTTTGTACTATATCAGTTTTTATAATACCCGAGGATAAGATCTTCATGTGTATAGTTAACGCTTTAAACTTAATCGGTCGACTTTATCTCGTCGTTAGCCAATGTATTTATGTCTTATTTCAACATAAGCTCCTCGTTCTGTATGTATATACCTTGTCGGCCAGTCGCCCCCGTTGTTAGCTCCGGATTCCTAGCTCGGTGGCTCGGGCTGTAAAAGCCATCCATATGGCATATATTGCAGTTCGAGACTATCTCGTGCTTCTCGGCTTTCGAAAAGTGATGGCAGAATAAATGGCATGACTCTAATAATGCGTATGGATAGAAGGATCGAGGAACCGCCGCTATCGACGGACTCCACGGTGCGTCACGGGCCAGACACAAACCATGGGGTAAGTAGAAAATTTTCTACCTGTGCGATCAAATCGACCTAGACCAAAAACAATGGCAAAAAATCAAAAGTAAAAACATACAACAGCCGGGATTCGCTGGTGGTCACCCACCCAACTACTAACCGGCCGGCGTGAGGCTTAAGTACGGCTGAGCGGACGGGAAGCCCTGTTCTCCTCACCCTGTGGTCGTATGTACTTATTGTAATTTAGTAGTGGAATAAATGCTAACATTTAGGGATTATCACTGATGCTCTATAAGGTTCATAGTTAGCATGGCGCTTGAAATACGTTCGGCACTTATCTCCAGGCAACAGAGCAAAGTCAGACGGTATCATCTCATCCATTTGCGGGAACAGGAGTAGGTGACATACCCATGTATGGAACATTGAGGTGTCACGCTATCGACGTGATGAAGGCGATAGTGCCTCGAGCCCGGATGAGTAACGGAGCAAAAGCCTGAACCACGGCAATGGGGCCCCAGACATTGGTGTCGTATAGCTTCTTTCTGGTCTCCAGGTCTTCATCAAAGGCTGGCATGAAATGGTTACGGGCCGCGTTGTTGACAAGATAGTCGAGCTTGCCGCCGGTATGCTCTCTGACAGTCTCAACTGCTTCAGTGATATGGTTCTTAATGCAGACATCCAGAGTAAGCCAGGTAATATTCGGAAGATCGCGAAGCTTGGCCATTTTCTGCGAATTTCGAGCGGTTGCAAAGACATGATAATCTCGCTGCCGGAAGGTCAGGGCTAGGCCAGAGCCGATATCGTCGTCGCTGCAGCCCGCGATGAGCACCGTCTTTTTAGACGCCATTTCGGGTTCTCAGTCGATCGATATGACTTGAGATGACTTGAGGATGGAGAAATAATGCTAGGAATTGAGAAGGGGGGTTAGATAAATGACAGACAAAATTCTTTGTTTGTATGATTACAACATGTGTAAACATATGACGCCCAGTCCAGATCGGTGCGATGATTGGCGGTCGGGCCTAGAGAACAGAACTCGAACACGAAAAGACTCGTTGATTGTTCATAGAAGGCTAAGAATTTCTGCAAGCGCTGGGATGGCCACACTTGCCAGCATGGCAGCTGATGAGACAACATGTACCCCCGCTGGCGTGCCAGCGCTTGGAGCCATCACGAACCGCAATGATCCACCATATCTAGGTAAATTCTAGCGCCCAACTGTAGTTGTTCACCACTAAATCAAACCACGCAGCCGAAACAAGCAACGAAGCGAATGCCTGAAGTCCCAATGAGGTACTCTTTCGAAAGAATACTTGGATTGAGGGCCCCTCGAGAAATCATTGTGCAAGCTATGAGTCCTGTTTATGCCTGAGCGAGTGAGAAGCCCTATTTTCCGTACCTTGTGCTCGTATGCCATGGAAAATGATGTTTAGTTTTAAAAGAAAGGTCTACTTCGATTTAGAAAAGGGGGGATGACATGGAAGAGTCACCTCGGTTTGGGGATGCACAGCCTATTCTGAGATGTATGGACATGCAAGCCTTCGTTTCTACCGGGCAAATTCTATCAAAATATTTTATAAGACTTGCTCCATTTTCAACCACACTCTTGAGACACAACTCTTCCACACAGTGTAAGGCTCAGCGAATACCATATGGTCGTGTGTATGTTTGTTGAATCGGGCTAGATTCTCATTTGGTAACCATCCCAGCAGCCTCTCAATGACTTCACGGTTATAACACTGCTTTTCTGGAGAACTTCTTCGACAACATGGCTAAATAAGAAAATCATTCTTCCTTGCCAACGAAATAGTTGAAGTTATCCAAAAGGAGTGTCACGTCGTCCTTCACATCCCCATTCTGACCAGCAGCAATGACTCGAAACGACAGACTCCTCAGGTCCCAAAAGTCGTCTTCTAAATCCACCTCCGTCAATTCCCCAGTCTTGGTATAGCTGACTTTCTTGTAGACTTCGTTTAACGAAGGCCTCATGCCAGTCACTTCCACATCACAGGGAATTGTTTCCTTCTTTCCATTTTGTTTGGGACCACTGCATCCGAGCTTGATGGTCTTCACAGTAAAGACATCATCGACAGCAACTTTCATAGACCCAAATGGTTTATATACTGGGGTTGGTCCGGAGAATAAGAGTCTCTTGCCGTTGGTTTTCGCATTCGAGGCTTGCACACTGTAGGCACCGACTTGGAATTCATCGCCGTATTCCAGGTCCCGGAGAGGGTTCTGCTTGAGGGGGCCGAGGTCGAGGTAATCGAACTGCGAAAGGGTTAGGGAGAACCTGTTCGATTTGAGCTGGGGGGTCTAACATTTGTTGTGTAGTCCTTAACTGCCAATACGGCAGTGAGACTCGAAACAAGCGAGATAAATGAGAGTTTCATAATGATGTCTTGATACGACCTTGGCGATGTATCATAAATCTGATCCTCAGTTACTGACCTTTACTAGGAACTCCGGCGCAGGTGCAGATGGGTTGAGCAGCCCCTTTATACATGTTCATATAATGATCGGCATCTCAGCCTCACAGACGTGGAATCACATCACTAGATCTATCTCCCTTGGCGATTAAATAGTGTCTATCCCTTGCGCCGTGCCTTAAGGAAGTTTTCTATTCCGCGATCCTTGTGCATGAAATCAATACCCGAAAAGGAAACGATCATCCACCCCGACCCAGGAGCCCCGAAGCACTACATGTTCCGCAAGCGCTTCACGCTCCTTACATTTCTCCACCTAAAACCACTTATGGACTTAGACATTCAAGGTGGACCCATGGCACGCAAAACGGAATGATACTGTTTGCTATGGCTAAGGACGGTGCTTTGTCAAATGTAATGAAACATTCTATAAATTAAAATACCGCTTTCCTCTTACTTTGTCCCTCTGTGTAGAGCTTGAAAGTTGTGGTGTTATGGCCATGATAGGTGCCAGCTGGTATACTTCGATGCAGCAATGGATCGCATAATATCTTATAATCTGGATGTACCTATCCCGTATGGGATTGGTCATAAGATATGCTGCATTATGGAGGTTAGAAAGGGGTTGGGCAAGGATCAAACATCGCGTAGAGAATGAAATCCTTTCAAGATATACAGCTGCAATCCCGTTTACTAATAGCACCACTCTGGGAAATAAAATCCAAATGTTTTGTAGGTGAATATCACATTTAACAAAGAATCAATTCAATTCTCAACTTTCAATCTTTGTTCTACATGAAGGGAGTAATTCCCACCAAAAAAGCCACGATTTCTTTGTCTGTCTTTCTTGGTCCCGTACATAAATAGGGACATGTTTCCCTCTAGAGGAGGCTAATAATGTGAATTTACTTCTGACCCTTTCTACCCCATAAATCCACTCCGCAAATAGTCAGATTAGCTGAAGTTTCAAGGGCTTTCAGGGCTATATGCCGTCTCGGAAGAGCGATCACGGTGCGCTGAGAAAATACAAGCCGTCGCAACGAGCGCCAGCATTCTGGGATAGCCTCTTGAAGATCTACTTGACAAAAAGCGCGCTGCAAGAATTAGACCGACGTAACGACAGCCTACTGACCAGCCGAACAAGGTCCAGTAACTTCTATTTCTAATACTATGATTATAGGCTAACGTCAAATATCACAGAACCTCTAGGTCCGACGTCATTTTTGCCCCTGATTTCCTTAGCACTCGTACACCAAGCGGTCTGGAGAAGATCAAACGCCTATCGCGACACGGGGGTCCTCATACCACTGATCTGCGCGATGTATGTTATCCATTCGCCTATTTGTCCTTCAATGTTAACCATTCGTCGTCTTCAAGTATCCCCCACCTAGCGGTCCGGCATACACATTTATTCCGAATAGATCGCACACAAAAGCCAGCAGCCCGCGAGAAACCATGAGAGATATAACAGCCTACAGCCGCAACTTTGAGCAACATATCATCGATCACGGAATCTATCTAGTTGGGTACGGATACGGTTATCATGATGACACTGAATCAACAGGGGTAGAAGAGTCAACCGGTCTAGGGGAGCCAGCGGAGCCTCCAGAACCAGCCAATCTAGATGATATCAGTCAACCGCTATCTCAACGTCCCCATTTGCCACTAAACCTCACTCGAAAGGATTTCCTGGAGTTTAGGCGGGCCTCTCAACGCGCAAAGAAAGAACACCAAGTTCTCAAGGACGTGGTCCCTATAATCGAGGGCAAGGCTAGTGACAAGCACCATTCCAGTGGAAGATACCCGTTTAAAAATCTCGCTCCCTTGACGGACGGCACACTGGCTCCAGCCAAGCCCGATATTTTCTACGGTGCTTATCCGCAGCAGCTGAATCCCCATGTCCGCAATGAACTTGAAGATAAGATAATACCATCTACGGAAAACAGCCTGCCAGCAATACCCAATTTCTTCTTCGAAGTTAAAGGTCTGGATGGATCTATGGCAGTGTGTCTTCGGCAAGCGTGCTACGATGGTGCGCTAGGAGCTAGAGCCATGCAGGCTTTGCAATCCTTCCAAGGTAATCCAGTGTACGACGGGAACGCCTACACAATTACAGCAACCTTTGGTGGCGGAACGCTCACGCTTTATGCGCATCATCCTGTCGAGCCCAAAAGTCCCGGCGACCGTCCTGAATACTTTATGACAGACCTAGGGGCCTGGGCGATGAACGGTAGTTTTCAAACCTTCGAAGAGGGTGTGATTGCTTATCGGAATGCTCGCCAATGGGCAAAGGAAAAGCGGAACGAGTTTATTGCTGCGGCGAATAACAAGTGGCAGGCATCTCAAACATCAAACTCTTCTGAAGAAATAGCTCCCGGGGTGCCGACAAGGAAATAATCCCGAGAGAAGGGGACCAAATGAAGGAGAAGACAAGGAATGGAAAGAAGGAAGAAGAATGTGTTGTACCTTTGTTTCTGGGAACAGACTAGGCAGCTTTGTGATCTTAAATGGAAAGAGTAATTTTCGGATTTGATACTGAGCAACCCAAGGTTCTATAAAGCACAGTATTATTGAGATTGCTGGTAAATTGAATCCGATGTGGGGGGACTATCTGGAATACAGGTAAAGTGAGCACATGTGTGGCACCCCAACCCACCGGTCGCATACAATCAGCGGTGTTAATTGGTTGAATCGAGTGTCTGTGGTTTGATAGAGTTGTAGAAGTGGACACCGATAAGCGCGTGTTAGACTATTCCTGACCAGGTCATTTATGTAGGTAGGAGATAAGAGCGCGCATTTGATATGACCTGAAGCATACAACATTAACGGATTTCCAACCGCAAGTAGGCAGCACAGTTTCACTGGAGGAATGCAAACTACTGATTCAATAATAGTAGTATCAACAGGAAGTAAAAATTGTAGTCATTCGTGTTGGCGATAGTCGCTCGGCTTTGGAGCAGATCTACCCGAACATAGCAACTTCGACGGATTATCGGAAGGCACTAGCTCCTACCCTGTAGATGCACGAAGGTCTTGATACGCCTTTAAGGAAGAGAGATTATAATATGGCACATGAAAGATAGAAAAAGGCAGCAAACCCGACACGCCAGTCGGCGGATCAGCCGCCTCACCATACATTTCAACCGAACAAAAAATTCCCGGGTCCACTCGGAGAAGGTCCATAACGGCCAGCGCCTGGTCCAGTCCGCACGAGTGGCCTATTGTCTGAAGACACTGTATGACCCATCGACGCTGCGGATGCGTCGGGCCCTCAACCATACCGGCAACAAACAAGGGCCAGAGCAGCATCAGGCCACCCAGATAGCTCTCGGGAGGAAGCATAGGCGCGTCGGGTACAGCGTCGGAGCTAAAAACACCTAGGTGGAATGGGACACTGCGGCAGATATCGACGCCTAGACGGCGGATGGTGGAGCGCAGAGACTTGCAGTGAATGCGGAAGTCTTCGGACAAGAGGTCTGAGGAGCTGTTGGATAGCTTGTGGGCGTGGGAGAGAATGAGCTCGCTGGCTAAGATGCGTGCGCAGCGGTAGTGGTTCCAGCAGCTGGGCGCCCAGATGTCTGGGTAGAGGTGGTATTCATTGTTTAGGGGTCGGACTCCGCGGCAGCGACGCTCGAAGACACGGTCCATTGGCATCAAGGTATGGCTGCTGTATGTGAACTCCGGTGGTAGAGCGACCAGCCAGGCGACAAGATCTGCTTCGATGGAACAGGCTTCTCTGAGAATCTCCTCGGAGTTGTCGATCGCTTTTGCGAGTATATCTGCCCGCAGGTTCGACAGCCTGCCGATGATCAAAATCAATTTATTACCGAGCGCCTCCTGAGCTTGGGGAAACAGATCAAGTTTTGTGGTTTCTAGCAACGTGCCAGGGACGCGGACGTCACGTTGCAGGCAACTCATGATCTATCGTGAGTTAGTTTCACACTAACGATTTGGAGGGCAGACTTATACGCACAATCTGATATCTCAAATGCAAAAATAGCCGAACGCCTGCTTCATTTCGTAATTGTCCAAAACCCCGGTACTCCAGTAGAGCTGCAGCCCCGGAGATATGGTTTGTCCAGCGCTCTGTGCACTGCGGGGCTCTGGATACAACGAGCTATCGACGTTGGCGTCATCCTTCGTGTTAGAGTTCCAGGGGAAATGCTTACTTCATATAAAGAGAGGAAGATTACTGCGCCAAGCGTTTGGTTTGTCTTGGCCTCGTCAGCATCGGCGAGTGCTTCGTTGACACGCAGAATCGCAGTTCCATACTCGTGACGCGCTGACTGCCTCAGGGACCTAACATTGTGAACACGAGAGATCATGGCAGTAGCAACAGCCAAAATACTGGCGTGTATGGCCCGCTGGCTCAATGATCCTCCAGAATGCATAAGGAATTTGGTCAGAGCGTCCGTCATAAGCGAGGTACCAGGGAAAGTATGCGACTTCAGAAAAAAGCAGATGGCCTCCTCCTTCGACAGTCCCGAGCTAGGACGTGTGCCAAGTGGGCTTTGTCTGAGCTGACTGGTCAGAAACCGGGGTCCAGAATCTGAACCAGAGTCGAATACTGCGTCTTCGAACGAGATAGAGGATCCCCCGGTGGAGGATGATGCCATTATCTGGAACGCGGCGCGACCCGGTCGGGTCTGCCGTTTCGAGGCACTCGAGGCAGAAGTCGACGAAGACTTAGAAGAACGCGCCTTCCGCTTGACAGACTCGCTCTCGTCGCGGAACATCACCGTTAACTCGTCGCGGTAGCCGGGACATTCTCGGTTGAGTCGAATGCATTCCCGACAAGCCGGCCGGGTCTGGTCGCACCGGACTTTGCGCGCGCGGCAATTTCCGCAACCTTTGCTGGGTCTACCATCGTATACCATTGTTGAGTAATGCTGATGCTGAAGATTGTGGAGTGGTGTTAATATCCAGGACCGGAGTCAGAGTTCCTGGTGCTGAGGGGGCTGTTCTGTTTGGCCCCCACAACACGCGGCAGAGACTAGCGGGAGAAATCCTCACTCCGTACGACTTTGTGGAACATCGGACTAATGAAAGATGCGCCAAGCCCTTTTAAGCTCCTGTCGATGGTCTTGGGCCGTTCTCCCTCTTCCATGGCAAGGCTTGACTCGGCTCTAAGCCTCTAAAACCCGGTGTGATGGTTCACACAAACACGTGTATATTCGGGGCTGGATGCAGCAGGACGCCCAGCGGTACGTCATGAGGGCCAAAACTCATGCACCTTTTCATCATGGCTTTTGTCGACTCTGTTGGTGGGAGTATCTGTCTCTCTCAACTCATGTTATAGGGCGGTTTGCAAGCCACAGTGATCGAAATAAAGGATAGCACTCCAATCATCATGAGGCAACCCGGCTCTCACAAGGCTGTCCCCAGCACTTGGCGCGACCCACGAAACTCTTTGGCGTGGTAGGCTCTTGAGACTCTTGCCATGTGCAGTTAGATTAACATCGTGGCGAGCTGGGGGGATTATTAGTGTGTCATTGGTGTCCGAGATCCTGTGGGCTGGTGGCCCGAAGAGTGCCACAAAGCACGAAGGTCGAGACAACGGACACGGGAGTACGGAGTAGGACTGGTTTGTAGGGGACCTAGGATGGGCCAGAACGGAGTGGCAAGTGGCCCCGGAGATTGAGCATGGCCCCAAAGGTTGCCGATCTGTAGAGACGAGACTATACAAGCCTTCACAAATAAACAAAAATAAAAGATAAAAAATCCGCAGCTCAGACACCGCGCTAAACCCGATTCGGTCGAGATTGCGAGGGCCAATCAGAGCCTTTGTTTGTCGATTTATACTGAGTCGCTACACGGTTTGCTCGAGCTCTATCAACTCATCGTAACAGCATATAATGATGCCTAAATGCCCATAGAAGCAGCGGAGACACAAATCAACAAACAACACTTAAACGCATCGTTCATCATGGGTTCCCTTTCATACCGCGATGCCATCTCCATCCTTCAATTGATTGCTTTCCTGCCCTCTTTTTTTGTGGCAGCTTTCTTAGTCTTCCGCCATGGTATACGCACCAGTGGTGGCTTTATCTTCCTCGTTATCTTCTCAATTGCCCGCATTGTCGGCGCATGCTGCGAATTGGCCACTATCAAAAACCCCTCTACCGGTCTCTATACCGCTGCCGCCATTTGCAGCTCCATCGGACTGTCCCCACTCCTGATGACATGCTCGGGTCTGCTATCAAGAGCGTAAGTTAACCCTCCATACATGCATGGAAGCCTTTTCTCACACGAAACAGAAATCTATCCATGCTCCCCGCACCCATTTCTAGGCTCGCCTTCTCGCTTTTCCGAATCGTCACCATCGTAGCGTTGGCACTGACGATCTCCGGTCTGACGGGGCACATGACCGTGGAGGGCATGGAACATCCCAACACAACGGTCAAGGTCGGCATGGTCCTGTACGTTGTCAGTTGGGTTGCTCTATGCGCGATACTGGGGGTTCTTTTCGTGTGCCGCTCTTCCTTCGCACAAGGCGAGAAACGTGCCCTGCTGGCTGTGGCAATCTCGGCCCCTTTGTTGCTTGTGCGCATTATTTATGCCATGCTGGTTTTCTTCCTTGCCAACTCAACGTTTAACGCGCTGAATGGCAACAACACAGCTCAGCTGTTTATGTCTGTGTTGGTGGAGATTGGTGTGGTGGTTGTCTGCTTGGTTATTGGGTTTACATTGAAGGTTCGCAAACCGAGCCAGGACTTCAAGTCTATTCCTGTTAGGGAGATGGCATAGTCGACGTCGCTCTTTATTCTGTAGCGTCTTATTCCTGTTCTTTGTTTTTGCCTTTTCCTCTGTTTGGATCACATTTCTACTTTCAGCCTGTTATGAAGCGAAAACATGTTATTTTATTTGGGCTTTAGCTTCATGAGCGTTTATCTTAATGTCACTGGTTTGAGCTACACACGAAAGCTAGTATGTGAATTATATATAAACATCCCAAATTCACCCCTGACATACCCTAGCAAGGGAGTGCATACCCTGCTATCCCGATTCCAAAAGGGGGAAGCGGCGAACGTGGATTCGACTCTCTGTGGCGGCGCCTGTCTTGGGGCAAAGCCTCTCCTCCTCCTGTTCTGGTGGAACGCCTGTACGGATAGCTACTAGATAGGAAAATAAAAACGAATGAACGTCGTATAAGTATCCTAAACGAGACAAACAAAAAGGAAGTGTGTTTCTTGGGGAGAAAAAAAGAATATACCAGCAAAAGATCTGAAATAATGTCCGAAACCCATGCGCGAAAACTCTTCAATAGATGGCATTCAACGAAATTGCAATATCTGTGGCTCCTCCAAGCGATATCCACCGATTCCACACGGCCCCCAAACCCCAAGCTCATCTCGCGATGGCGGCCAAAGGAAGCAAAAGTGGGTATGGAGCTGAGCATGTCGACGCTATTCCCGATTCAAACCAAAGTTGCGATTCGTCTCTCTGCTGTCCGATCTGCGCTTCATGGCCATCCTGGGGTGGTTGTTTTGCAGGATTACTGCGTGAAGGAGGCGTTGATTTTTAGAAGAGATCCTATAAAAGACCTGGCAGTTTCCGTCTGACCCTGAAGTCTGAACACTTCGTTCGAACCTCAAATTTAACACCGCAAATATGGGAATTGTGATCAAACTCGTAAAGGTAGGTGGTCGTTTAGCGTTTGACGCGATCCAAACAAGAGGCTCAATCCAATTCTTCTTATCCTGCCTATCCGGCCAATCCGGCCTATCCAACATATCCGGCATATCCGGCCTATACTCGTGATCTTGGCGATCAGCAAGGCCAATATGTCGTTGTGGACGAGGAAACTTCGAAAATGCTCATTCGGGAAGGCTGCGCTGAGCTCCCGGCCTCGAATGAAGTTTATACTCATCAACAATACTCAGAGTTCCCGGTTCTCGACAAATCACATATCCACCCGGGCCCATATAGCGAGTTCAACCACCCCGTCGATATGCGGGGCATGAGGTTACCGACCTATGAAGAGGCTGAATGGGCCCCCGTTGCCTCTTCTGGCCCCCAGCAGACCACTCATGATCGGCAGCCGAGTGCGGATCCTTTTTCCGCGGCCCAAGTTGTGGATCCGGTGGATCGCTTGGACAGGCTGCCTTGTCCGGTGGTCATTCCCAGGTGCAAGGGCAGCGAGCGACAATTTGAGCGCATCTATGCACCGGTTTTGGCGAATTGCGGGATCAGCCAGGAGACGTTCTGGATGTTTCTGGATGATTTTGAGCACGCACTGAGAGTGAGTAGATGCCACCACACTCCTGACTTCTTCTACGCCACCAATCATTCAGGGCTGTCAGTTTCTAATAAGTAATCTAGGAGCCACGAGCTGCCCAATGCATCAGTGTGGCATCGGATATATCGCATCGGATCGTGGGGATGGCCCCTGCGGTGACAGGCCTGACGGTTGAAGTCGCGGCAGGGACAAAAGCTCGCGAGATGCAGTTTTCTTGGCAGGCGAATACCTTCCTTGACCTGGCGAATCAAGAACTATTCATGCCGTTTGGCCTCTATGCGGTGGTTATGCGGTTCACAGACACAATCCCCGGCCCACAACAACAACCTCTCATCGAGCTATCTCAAATGCTCGGCAAGACGGTCTTCGCAACCGAAAACTTTGATATAATTCAAGCAGCCTCCGCGAGCGGATACAACCCTCCTCAGGGCACTACAAACATTGAGCTACCCACTGCTGCACCTTTGGTATCTCTTGGCTCGGATCGCGGACTAGAGGCGATCGACGCTCGGAAAAGTGAATCCGAGAGCAGGAAAGATTACGACATGCAAGAAAAAGGACATTCACGCAAGGCAAGTATTAATCCATCTGCTGCATATATTAAATTTATTTGTCCCGCTAACATCAAGTAGGAAGCCAAACGTTCCAGTTACCACAAAGCTAAACACGGATCAAAACATCCGGGACTGATAGCGCGCTGGAAAGAGCTGAAACGCCCAGAAAGCAACGACAACCTCGTCTCGAGATTAAGCGGTGGTAGATCGGGCAGCAAACCAGGATTGATTGAGCGAGCGGCAATTTCCATCAAAGAATCTCAGGATTCAAGACGCAAGTTTAGGCAGGAGAAGGAGATCGAGTATTCCAGTAGATCTTTGCAGCCGGGTGTGCCTTATCTGATGATTGTCAATTTACCGAGCCAAGACGAGCTACAGCAGTCAGTTGGTCGGTTGGAGACAATCTTGCTGCAGGCTGGGCAGGGTATGCCATGAGTATGTTACTGGTTTTAGATATGCCATGAATATCGAGGAGCGAAATTTATTATGTTGATTAATTCTAAAACTTATGCATTAATGCCCTTCCCATGTAGCCAAGAAAGCTTAAAACACAGCAATGCCATTGACATCCGTACTACAAATTAAGCCCTATATCGTTCTCTTGTTGGCTGTCAATGGGAATTAATGACGAACTACATTTGCTTATTGCCTCTTTTTGCTTTTTCTTTCTGCCAAATTGCGTCATTAGGAGATCCTTCATAGAGAAAGACGGTGTACTCCGTAGAAGACGCCGAATAAGCCCGGATTCCGAAACGCTTAGCTCCAGGCTAATTATTCCGTGGCCCCCACTACTGCGCCCCGGACTGCGACTATGAAGCTTCCCCAGAAGCTTTGATTTCATTGGCCCTCGCAATTCGCGCTGTAAAGGGATTAGTGCAGACCCACCGTATATCTCGCAAGGCTGTGAGGCGCCAGCGGAGCTAGTAGCTACTCGGGCCCAACAAAATCCTCGTCTATATGTCTAATCAGGGGGGAGCTATTGAGCCTATACGTAGATTAATAGTCTGGAAGAATATAAAACAGTGGAATCTCGCACCTGTGTTCCTCCTCCTCAAACCCATTCCACATCTTTCCTACATTTTCCCCAGAGTCACAATGAAGCTGCTTGCGACAGCTCTTCTGCCGGCCTTTGCAGCCGTGGCATTGGCATCTCCTTCTGTTAAGATTGACGCCGGTATAGTTAACGGTGGAAAATGCAAAGGAGGACAGGACGCAGTCTTCTACAAGGCAATTCCCTTTGCCGAGCCCCCGGTTGGAGATCTCCGATTCATGGCCCCGAAGCCTTACAAGAAAAGCTTTCCCCAGGGAAAGCTTGATGCAACTACCTCTGCCGCCACATGCATTCAATTCACCGACGACTTTACCCCATCCAAGTTGAACTCGACTAAGCTCTCATCCGAAGACTGGTAAGTTGGATCATGGAGCTTCCATGTCTCAATTGTTTTGTCCTATTCTTTCTTGCTGATGTCTATCTCCCAGCCTCTACTTGGATGTTTGGACTCCAGCAAACGCCACCAAAGACTCAAAACTTCCGGTCAAGGTGTGGGTCTACGGTGGCTCGAACTCTGAGGGCTCGATCTCGGACCCTCTGTATGATGGCTGTAACACGGCCAATGCCGACTCAATCCTCGTGACGGTCAACTACCGAGTTGGACCCTTGGGCTACACAGCACTCAACAGCGCCGGAATTTATGGTAACCAAGGAATCAAAGATATCGTTCTTGGCTTGGAGTGGGTTCAGGACAACATTGCGGCCTTTGGCGGCGACCCGGTATGTCGATCATCTATTTACGTGCAATATTTGGAACAGCAGCGCTGACTCAAAGCAGAAAAAAGTGCTTCTTTTCGGGCAATCGGCCGGTGCTGCGAACGTGTACATCGTTGGCTCTCTTCCCCAAGCATCCTCCTTGGTGAACGGTGTCATCGCGGAATCCGGCGCTGGCAGGCCTGTCACTATCAATGAAACGCAACAAGCTACGGGTGCATCGTATGCCCGAACCCTGAAGTGCAGCACAAACGACGTAGGTGGAAAGTTGAACATCTGTGATTGGGACGAATGCTAATCCTCCACGCAGAAAGCATGCATGCAGTCTAAGAGTCTCGCCGAATTGCGAAACGCTTACAAGACCGATCCTTTCCTCCAGACGGGAGTTGGACACTACGACGACCTGAGTGTCGGCAACCCTAAGACCCCTGGCTTCCACCCCTACGTGGATGGCGATTTCATCCCCCAGGACCCCTACAAGTCTGGTGTCAACGTCCCGACCGTTTTTGGATTCAGTATGTTCGCCCCCGATGCATGACCCCATTCGCAATACCCCATCTAACCAAGTAACTTTCCAGCCGAGAAGGAAGCCACCGTTTTCATCGCCCAGTGGGCCATCACTCAGCTGCAGAAGAAGATCGTCCCAACCCCCGCCTTGTACAAGGACTTCCTCCGCAAGGACTTTGGCAAGGCCGCCCCCCTTGTTGAGAAGTACTACAAGCCCTCCGACTTCGAAGCTTACGCCAGACCTCTCGCTGCATCCGGCAAGCTCACCGGCTACAACACCACCTCGCTCGCCATCCTCCTCACCATGGGTCAGATCGTCACCGACTCCACCTACAGATGCCCGGCGTGGTACGGCGCTGTCCAAACCGCTCGCAAGAACATCCCCTCGTGGACCTACGAGTTCAAACACTCTGACAGCTGCGCCTGGCTGCCCACCCTCTCGCAGCAGATCATCTCGATCTTCGCGGGCACTCACACCGCTGAAATCCCGTATGTCTTCGGCAACCTCGACAACCGCTATCTTTCCAACGGGGCGTCTTGCAACTCCACCTCGGCTGAGTACCGTCTCAGCGAACAGATGATGGACGCATGGACCGCGATGGCTGCGAATGCCGACCCGTCGACCAGGGACTTTGCTTGGCCTCAGTTCGAGCCCTCGAAGAACCTCTCCGCAGCTCCTGGAGTGACCTTCGAAAACACATCGACTGCTGGCAAGATCGACTTCTTTGGCTGCGAGTTGTGGTCGCGCGTCAATGCCATTTTGGCGGCTGACAACTCTACTTCTACCGGAGCTTCGCCCAGTGCGAGCGGCGGTCCGGCATCCTCGTCGACTCCCCCGTTGGCTGAGAATGGGGCAGCAAGTATCCTGCCTTCGACTGGGGGGGTTGCTGCTTTGGCTGTGCTGCTGATGAGCTTGGTTTAAGTTGTAAAATGTTTTAACGGGGATTCTATGATCTTGCGCAGAGTGCTGACGGAAGACGGGCTCTGAGTAATGAAATGCATGACGTTGTATTTATTTTATTATGCTTAATATTGAGTCTTGCGGGATGTATTATTATGATTCTAAGCTAAATAAGTTATAACTCGATTTTCACCCATCTTCTCATGAAAATGCCCTAGAAAAGGGAAAACAAAAACAAAAAGTAGAAAGAAAGCAAGATATGAAGAAAGAAAACAGAATCTGATGTCAGATATCAGTACTCTCCTTAGGTTCAACAACGAAATCAACCCCATCTCTCTTGAAATTCAATTCACGATATGGATCAAGGTCCTGAAACTCGTACTCCTCCTTTACCGCCGAGCAAGTGCGAAAATGCTCGGGAATGTCGCGTTCTAAGAATGCTCGGTGATATGCCGTTTGACTTGGAGTATCTTTATATGAATACAAAGTATCCATCAGTACTTCTTCCGAGCGATAAGTACAGGCCCGGCAATAGACGCCTGGCTCCAGTCTCTGTGTCTTGGGATCCCAGTATGGAAAAGTGACCGTCGCCTGCATTCTCAAGTCTTGGTTCCCCCCATTTTCAATGTAATATATTCCCACAGTAGATGCTGGTCGGGGCTTTTGGCCGTAGCCTTCCCTCCCCCATCTCCCCAGCCGAGCGTCGAGCTCCACCTTGCGTCTCTTCATGGTATCCTCTAATATCCGCTTCATATTCTCCTCGCTTCCATGGAGCCGCATACCAGAGGCCTTTGCTTGAACAACATCGGCTATGCAATATTTACCTGGTTTAAGACTATGGATCATTGGCAGCGGTAGAAGTTGCTGTCGGGGCAATCCATAGTATAAGCGGAGATCTGTGGTTCGTGCCACGGCGTACTCTTCTCCGAAGAAATTGCACTTATAGCAAGAGCGTCTCAGTCTCAAGAGGTAGAGGAAGGGTCCGAAATCGCCACACGTTCGACACCAGGGATGGCAGAATTCCGCAAAGAGCTGACCGATAGGGCAATGTTGAGAGTACTTGACGGTGTCTATGATGCGCAACGTGGTGGAGGCGTGAGTCCTCAACAGGGAGTATGCAGACAGCGATTCCACTACGAGTCTTCCTGTTTTGTTGGCGCGTCGGAAATTCTTGATGCTGAGTATGTCAAGGTTCATGAGGATCATGTGTAATACTTCGATGGGAAGTAGGTCGAACAAAAGCGCCGGCATCAAGTTAACTTCAGTTGCCATCTTTCGTGGGGCTTTGCTTTTCTTGGCGTGATTAGGATTCAAATCTTGAGAAGAAAGAACCCTCTCGTTCGGGATCTTGCATCGAAATGCTGTGCCAGAGGCCATTCTGAGCGATGGGTTCCAGGTTGGTAGAATGCACACAAAGTATTCGGCGGCTTCTATCGGACCGATGTCGTACACAGGTCTCTCTGTCTTCGAGTGGTCGGCTAGAGAATGAAGCAGGTGGATAGTAGAACTGAGAGAAGATATTTTTGTCAAAACTTGCCGTCTCTCCCAAAGTCTGTTGTCACCAGTACGTATCTCAGCGAGAATACCGGAAATGTTTTCCGTCGGCGGTGCAACAACAGCATCGGGTCTGAGTTCCGCGGTGCTATAAACACACCCGCCTCATTACGCACAGCGCCACCAAAGCTATCTACACAGGAGCTCAGTACAATGGTTGGGATACTGTCTAGGCAGTCAATATAGATATATTCAAAAGGGCAAGACAGAGGGTACTCCTTGTGAAAGGCATATATAATCCGAGCCTTTCCCCTTGGCTTTCTACAAGCCAGGTGGAACACATGCTGGTGCTAGCTTCACTATAGTTTGTCCCTTTCCACCGATACTTTCCCTCAAATTCTGGACTTCTATCCGAAAAGTCCGACCTCCGCCGAATGACTGTCCATTGGTCATTTAACAGTTTTGTGGCGGCTATTTCCATTGGACCAGAAGAGGTGGCTTGGCTGAAGTGTTCGGAGTATATTATTGACCCACCACTCATTTCCGCATCAATCCTTTGCCCCCAAATGAAAATTTGTTCATTCCATACAATGTTGCGGCCGCAACTTACTCCGTATCGGGAAGCCCCTTGTCTATATAGGGAACGTGTGGCGAAGTAATGTCGCTCCTCTCGCTAATTCGTCCATTCAAATCTGTGGCTCAACTAAAGATTTTTACCTTTCTGGGCGGATCGTCCAAAATAAACAGCGAACAAAGGCGGTGCAGCGGAAATTTCGGGTCTCTTAGCGCCTTTTAACCGACCCGGGGTTGGTTGGTGAGCAAGACCGTCGCTGAGCCTTCATGGAGCAAAGCGTCTGGTGGTGGATCTTCAGGGCAGAAACTGAGATTCAATAGACGGAAGTTTTCGAGAAAAAAGGCCAGAACGGGAAAGGGTTGCGTTGAGGCTAGCGGAAAACCGGACGGGAATAGTGGCATGCTAATCCATTCGAGCTCCACCGCAGGATCTAGCAGGGCTATACCTCCGCCAATCATGGGCCCCAATTCTTTGCCAACACAGGACGATCTCTTGGGGGCCAAATTAGAGCCTCCGTTATGGAGCCTTGTTTACTCCCTTTGATGCAGGGTGCTTGTATAGAAATAGCTTAAATCTTGGATGTTTCCCATTGTTGTGTTCGACATTCTCATCAAAACTTTCTACTTGTCTTCACAGTTTGGTTCTAAATCTTGAATATCGGAATCATATCTACCGCAAAATAAACTCGCACTACACCTCCATTGTCTCATCTTCGGAAAAAAAACTCCCGCATCAACCACCCAAACCTCCAAAAAATGTCTCCCCGACACCATCATTCGAACAAATGTTCCTCTACAGTCCGCATTCCTCCTGTCAAGCTATGGACGACGACCGATGTCGCGGCATTCCCCAATGATCATACCAACCTCAGCAGTATCTCTAAATGCTGCGGTGAAACCACCAAAATTACACTCTACAACAAGAGCTGCGCGAAGTTCTGCAACACTAGTGGAAACACGACAGAAGTTGTTGACTGTCTGCACGATGCTGGCCTAAGCAAAGCTACTAGCTACCACAATGACGACGGCGGAAAGAGCGCTGCCAGCTCGTTGTCGAAACCGGCTATGGGTCTTATCATGATGGTTGTGGGGAGCTTGGTCGCTGGCACTCTATAGTTACATTGAGCTGGTGCTTGGGCATGTATTTGTTTACTTCTTTTGTGATGGGATATGGATTAATGTCAATAATTGTGTACTATTGTTTTATTGGTTCGGGCCAATTTTGGCTGGTGGTGATGTGATGATTTAGCGAACATAATACCATTCTGTATTTTGTCAATTTCTATTCTATTGGTTTTTATGAAGAAGAAGAAAAATTGACTTTGCTTTGAAGCACATGAACAATGAAAACAGAACACCTAACTCTGGCCTGCCACCAGGTAGACCGGGCTTCATCAAAAGAAAGGAAAAGCCCCTTATGAAGCCCCATATTCTCTTACAAGATTCCGTATCCTCAGATTTGCCTCTGGTGTCAAAGAGTATGCCGTTTCTCCCTTTGCGCTGACAAATAGCGGATCTGCCCCAGCTTGAAGAAGCATCTGAACAATCCCGGTGTGTTCCCCGGCTGCTGCTGCCATCAGTGGTGAGATTCTATCCACAGATAGCGCATCCACCTCAACACGAGCTGACTCGAGCAACACTCTGACTACCGAATGATATCCACGATATGCAGCTTGCCAAAGCAGAGTCTCTTTGGACGCATTTCCCGAATCCGGAAAAACCCCTTTCTGGATGAGAATCTTCACTGCTTTTGAATTCCCATCACAAGTGGCCGTATACAGCTGGCAAGTCTCAATCCACTCGTCTTTGATCGTAATGTCAAAGCTTCTCGCAAAGAACCGCAGTACATTCATTTTACCGGAGGCCGCCGCTGTCATAAAAAGCCTTTCTGTCAGGCTATGGTACACTTCGTCGCGTTTGTGTGCTGTTAAGCAAGCGATAATGTTGAGAGCGTGGTCATCACCTCTGTTCTCCAATGCGGCAACAAGAATATCTTCGCTGACGGTCACCTCGTCTTTTCTCCATCGAAGAAGTGTTCTGATGGCCCTAGCTCCTCTACTCCTTGTCCCTCTGTTGAGAAACACGGGATGTGCCTCGTACACAGCTGTCCCTACTGAAGCCCGAACTACTTCTCCCGTGATTTTCAGCATTCCGCTTGTTTTCTCAAGAAGTAGGTCGAGCACATATTCACCATTGAAATTAGCCGCTGCTGCTGCAAGTACTTTCGCTGTAACGTGGAGCCTGTCCCCAATCCAGGTAAACAAAACCTTCATGGCTTCGACCGGCTCCCAGTTATTGGCCGCAGCAGCTATAGCTATCTCTTCAGACACCCAGCTCTTAGCAAGAAAATACTGGGAAAGCTCCTGTAGGGCCCAGCTCTTGCCATAATAATACACAGCAGCCGCTAGGACACGATTTGTGATAGGCAATTGCTCTCCGAATGTTTCAAGGAGGAAATGCAGAACACGGTGGCCATCCCCATGGCTGACTGCAGTAATGACAACGTTCTCTGTCACTAAACCACAGTCTACTCCTCGATCAATAATCTTCCTTGTCGCAAAAGGAGATAATGCTGCAGAAAGTAGTATCTCTTCTGTCATCGGAATTTGACCCAAGCATTGGTCAAGAAAAAATGAGACCGTCTCTCGATTGCATCTTGTCGAGATTCCGATTGAAATGATGGCTGGTGTGATTAATTCTCGAGTTCCCTGATATCCGAGCAAGAGCTCAAGTATTCTTCTTCCATTATTGTAATTTTTTGCGGCCGCGAGAAGGACTTCATGAGTAATTTGGAGTTCAGGACAATGGCGTAGGAGCGCCGATACAAGCCGACTGTCGCCACAACGGGCTGCTTCTCGAAAAACATTTTGTGTGACTTTAATTGGTTCCCTCTGTCGTTCAAGTATGAGTAACAGGGGATGAAACATTCCTGGTAACATTCTCGCACAATTTACCAGCACATTCTCGGTGAGTGGCAATTTGTTACTTAGTCGGTCTAGGACGATTCGGAACATGGGCGCATGGGGAGTTTTCTCGATCGCTTCTGTGGACAAGATGTTTTCTCCTAGATTTTCTATAAGCAATAAGAGCATTTTCTCCCCACACCAAGGGTTCTGGAATAAGCTCCACAAGACTTCTTGTGAGATCGGCAGAAGGTGTCGATTTTGATGGCGCTGAAATAACAGTGACAATACTTCATAACAATGACCGCCCATAACACGGCACAAAATGTCCTCAGTAATAGCAATCCTATCCCCGTAACTTGAGAGGAGACTCGTTATGGCAGGTGTTTGATCACTAGCATAAAATGCAGCCGTGTCAATCAAGTCTTGAGAAATAGGGGCAAGTCTTTCTTGATAGCCGAAGAGCAGCTCCAAAATTTCTCTTCCCCAGGAGGGATTAGATGATGCTGCTTTTATTAGCTCAAGGGTCAAAACGATGCTTCCGCGATGCTCCATAAACAATTTGAGCATCCCATTGCCACATTCGAGGTTCTGCGCTGCCATGACTAGTGCAGCCTCGGAGATCGGAGCTTTGTGTTTGAAATGAGCTAAGACCAACCGTGCAAAATCCGCATTGGGAGAGTTGGCCACAGTCTCAACAAGAGCTTCAAGCTTCGATGAAGGCAAATTATCTCCAAGGTCAACCAGGAACATCCGGAATTCCATAAGTCTCATACCACCTTGTATAGAAAACCTGGCGACTTTCTCAGTGGAGTGGAGTTTGTGTTTGAAATGAAAAAGTAAAGCCAACTTTGTAGGAGCATGTATCAATGCACATGCTGCATTCTCAAATGTAGCCTCCGTAACTGGTAGGTTGTCCCCGAATGTGCGGATGAGTAATTTCAGAATCTCCAATCCATGATGTCGGTTCTGTACAGCGCTATCCACAATTTCCTCGGACATTGGGAGTCGACGTCCAAGGCGATTTAAAACAAGCCGCAAACTTATGTCATCCCCAAATGATACCAAGTTCTTGACCACTTCGCTATTCAGGAAATGAAGAACTTCTTCTCTCTGGAGAAGTAACTCCATCAGCTCATGATTCGCGGAAGTCACAACAGCAACGAGAGTCTCATGAGAAACGGGAATATGCTTTCGGCTTTGTAGCAAGACGAGGAGACTTTGATCGAAGTTCCGAGTTGGCGAGTTCTTTTTCGACATAAGCCAGTGCTCTATACCCGGAATTTTATCCTCTCTTAGCCTGTCTAGAATAAGAAGGGCAAGGTGGGGTGTGTGAGAATATGAACAGGAGAGATCCAGCCTTTCCGAGATAGGGATTTTGTCGCCGACACGATAGAAGAGGAGATTCATTATCTCCAAGCCGCTGTGCTCATTGTGCATCAAAGCGTGTAGGACTTGTTCAGTAATTGGCAGCTTTTTTCCGCGCCAGTCGAGAATCATTGACATGAACGTTGCATTACCGTGTCTCGCAAAAGCTTCAACAATACGTTCGTTAACCACGAAGTTTGGTCCTAGATATTCGATTACCAGCTTCATTATGTCAAGACCGTCAGCTTTATTCCACAGCATAGCTTCAAAGATCTCCACTGAAGCTGGCAAACTTCCCTCTAAAAGTTCAAGAAGGAGCCGGAAAGCTTCTTTGCTCCCAGTTCCCACTGCTGTGATAATAGCATCTTGAGTTATGTCGGGCCTATGGGGGTAGCGATAACAAAGCTCAAAGAGTAGCGCTTTACCAGTCTGATATTTGCTGACTGCAGCTTCAACAATTGCTCTGTTTATTGTTGCGACACCCTTGTTCACCTCAAGCAAAAGAGTAAATACTTCCAAGTGTCCTGCTGAGGCACTCTCGTCCAGTGGTGTTCTGCCATCCGATGAGATTGTACTCAAGTACTCATGACTTAGACTTTCCGATATAATCTCCCTTTGCTCAAGGTTAAACGCTTCCTGTTGGGACAGCACGTAGGATATTAAGCAAGGAATACCCCAGCGAGCTGCCACGTGAAAGATGGAGAAATTGAAAGGGACTTCATGGGACAAGTCGAACATGTATAGTGATCTCATGTAATCTAACCACCAATCTCGAGACGGAGATCGAAGTTCAAAGAATTCAACTTGATTTCTCTGGATGGTAAAGCATGATTCTGCTTCATGCGCATGCTCGGGCCAATACTCCGCAGAATACTGTAAAAAGTCGGTAGCATCATGGACATCACCGCCCCATCTATTCGCCTTATATGAACTCAGAATGCGATCAATGCAGCAATATGCAAGATCTGCATGTGCAGAAATCTCGTCTATAATTCGGTTGTTCTGATCATTGAGCAGGAAATTCTTGACAGACTTGTGCAATAGAAATACCACACCATCATCCAAGATAATCGATAGCCGACATGCATGAATGTCGTCATGTAGGAAGGCAAGTTGGTAGTCCCTATCTTGGCACTCGTAGAGCTGACATGCGTCTGCTAGCTCTAGAGTGCTCAATGGGCGACGGGCAACTGCCACAAAGCTGAGAATTCGCTTTATTACAACTGTGTCTTCACTGCTTTGATCAAGAGCCGTATCAAGCATTTTCTGATAAACTGAGTTGAGTGACTTAGGCAACCGTCTCAAGGTTTGCACAGCATCCTTTGCACGTGTGTGCTTCAGTTCATCACATGCTATGCCTACCCATAGGAATGTCCCTTCGGCCCGTTCTTTCAGGATAGCAGACACTTTTCTTCTGACTCTATAGGGATAGCGGTTTCTTCTGCTAAGCTCATCAACCCTTGATTCAATCATAGTAGCAAGATCGTCTTGAACTCTTTGATAAGAGCTCAGGTTGTAACTTGGATAGTCGCAGAGGCTGCGGCGAATCTCCTCGTATGGCCGGCTAGTTACAAGTATGTGAAGGTCCGGCGACTTGTGCCCTTGAAAGCTTGCATTGAACTGGCCCATGAGTGTCGTTTGAGACTCGACATCACATTCATCAAGGCCATCGATAATGCAGTAAATTGCTTGACCACTTTCACGCCCAATCATTAGAAGGATAGCCCATAGCGCGTCAAAAGACGTGAAGAGCTTTTCCCGGCGAGCGTGGTATTTTGGCATGACAAAATCGATTAGTGACGGACTGTTCTTGATAAGGTGATAAAGCAGTCCACGTAGCACAGCAATGGCCGTTCTTTGTACTTCGTTGCTCGAATCACAGAAGAAGTATGCCAGCCTCGCATTACCATCTATAAATAGATCATGCCGTGCTAGCTTTTCTGCTAAAGTGATTGCCATTGTGGATTTGCCTGTACCCGGATTGCCATAGAGCCAGCAGAAGTTCCAGATATCAGTCTCAGATGGCTTTGAGTTCAACCAGCGTAGCATGTCTTGTGTTTCAAGAAGCCACTCGCATGTTCCAGGAGCGCGACTCCCTTTCCTTCTCTTTAGTGAATTCATCTCATCCTCGGGGTCTGTCAAGAAGAGACCTTGATAGGCTCTCCGTTCTTCGGACTTCAATAATCCTATTTCATATATTAGTAGGACCGAATAATTATTATAGATGATTACTTACTTTGCTCAGCCACTCTCACGGGCACAACCAATGGCAATATTGAAAGAAGCAGGCGTGCATAAGACGCTGCTGTCATAGCAGCATATCCCTGCCATTTGTCGTGTTTGTGGGAATCCGCATAATCGCATATTCCTCGAATGACCAACGAAGGCAATTGGTTCATGAGTCCTGCGGCCTCCATTTCAAAGCAAAGAAAGCCAAATCTCTTCGCCAGCATCTCGCGAGTCACGCCATTCTTTATCAATTGATTTCCCGACGCAATCAAACCATAGTGAATCTCGGGTTCATGTGACTTCCGAGGGCTTCTTTGCTTTATTCTCCCGACATCGCATAGACCACATATTTCCTTGGACTGTACATGCTCGTACTTTGCTTCAAAAAGCCGGTCTTGCTCTAATCCGGGGAATCTGTACGTACCCGCCAGATCATTCATGTCCGACCTCTCCTCGAGCATAGAAAGTATGGGATTTCCCTCCCGTTTGTACTCAGCCTGGAGTTTCGAAACTCCCGATAACAACACTTCGGGCGGTCTGTTCAACATTCCTGTATGCTCAATCTCTCCCCGAGCAATTGCCTTCCCAAAGTCATATTGAACAACGCCCCCGTAGGCACCTGTTGGCACACTCACTACTATATCGCCGAGTCGGATATCGTTTTTATCACTAGGCGCACCGCCTCCGATTCCAACCATCAACCCGTATTGGATCTGCGGAAACGTCGAACGCATATTGCTCACCACCGCGGCGGCAGAATTGGTTCCGATAGAGCCAGATGGAAGACATGTCATGATTACATTGTGTCCAAGGACACTTCCTAATATGTATGCGTTCGTGTCAGAAAGCGGCTGAGGCAGTCGCGGATGAACCTCATCCAGCATTGTTGTCGCTGCAGTGAGCTCCAGCGGTAACGCGCTTATCCATGCCACTGTGTAGTCGGCATGGACGTGGGAATCAGGTTCAGAAGGCATGGTTTTCTTCTTGTCTTCTCTGCACGTATTCAATTGCCTCGATGCAGAACAGTCAGGGTGTCATAGAAACATTGGTCGTCCAGTGAATGAGGGGTCGTAAGCAGGTTGAGACACACGATAGACGAGGGATTGATTGACGCGATCCACGATTTCCCCGCCATGGCCAAGACACTTGACAGGGGTCCTGCGCTAACTATGCTAGCCACGCAAGCTGCTTGTCGTCGTTCCTTTGCTTTAGGTCAATCTGTATGGGTTTTGAGGCATATAAGGTTTCACACATGGTTATTCTGTTGGATCTATTATTCGCTATGTATGTCGCACGCGTTCTGGTGGTTTTGTTAATTTGCCTAGTAAAAATCGTGCTTTCTGGCCTTTTTAAAGGGAGGAGTAGATCAGATGATACATTACAGGGTTAACACTTTCCTTGCTATTGAAATTGAATATATAGAAATAGCAGCACCCAGAAGCGTTTGTTTTGAAAATAGTGGACAGTCGATTATATATTTCACGGCAAAAGATCTTGTCTGCAATGATGTTACTACTTTTCTAGCCGGGATGTGGAGCTATTCTGCATCCGAAAAATGCTGCTTTAAATTTTAGTGTAATATCTCATCATTTATCTATACCCCATTCACATGCGAGGAAGCACAGCTGTGCGCTTTGCTATGTGATAGTTGAGTTCAGTATAGAATCGCTGCCTGAGGCATGATTTATTTCGGCCGAGATCGGCTAAACACGGCTATTTCCGGGTTCGGCCCGGACTCAGATTTCTCAATGACGGGAAACACCAAAGTACATGGAGGTATCACAATATGTGCATGTCTACATTCCCTAGATCTCCAGATATAGTTACAGCCAGATTCGCAATGTTGAAAGCAGAACTGGCGTTAAAGTTGAAAGTTGTGCTAGTTACGAGCTCGGGCCAATGTTCCACGGCAATTAGAGTTGGTTGGCTGACACTCTTTCCTTCTTTGACAGGAGGAATATTTGGAAATGGCTGATCCCTGATCCTGGTTGGCGTTGGGATAGCTATGTTGAAGGGACCAATTAACAAGCCAGATGGGCACGAAAGTGGGTGCTTGTTTTGCTGTTGGTTATGCATCTAGATTCCGTCACTAGTTTACATGGAATGTTGGGTGTATCCCTTGCTTGCTGTCTTTGTCTGTTGTTATTATGCTAATAGATAAATACTATGTGAAGCGGAAATTAAGTCGTCATATAGCAGGGCAGCTATACATTATTGACGGATTACTTCAAAAAAAATCAAACCAAACCGCCCATTACCCAGGCCTCCAATACCGTCCTTACTCATTGATATCTCATATGAACCATAAACACCACGTGTATCAAATCAGATCAACACTTGATCTGCTCAATCTCCTTTGCATCGCTCTTCTCCCACGGAGACTCAATCTCCACCCTCCTGATCAGCTCTTCATGAGCTTCGCTGCGCGCTTTCACCTGAAGCCGATACGGCACGGGATGGCTGACGACACCCGGCAAGAACTCCGCCTTGGTCTCGTGAGTATCTCCCTTTGAAAAGTTGAACACAGCCAGGGACTGCGCGATCGTGCCGAAAATCGTCGACTCGGCGAGGAAGCGACCGGGGCAAATCCGGCGGCCGAATCCGAATGATAGAGTGCGCGGGTCGAGTTCGGGGTCGGGGCCGAGGAAACGCTCGGGCTTGAAGTCACTTGGATCGGAGTAGGTGTTTTCGTCATGGGTGAAGCCCCTGTGTTTGTGTTTGTTAATAGGAGTTATTTGGTTTCGGATGAGGTAGTGGGGGGCATGGGTGGGAGACGGGGGAGCGAACCAGATATTAGGCATTATAATGGAGCCCTTTGGGATGAAGTAGCCCTCGTAGATGTCGTCTTGGGTGCAAAGATGGGGAATGCACATTGGTGCAACTGGGTGCCATCGGAGTGATTCTTTCACGAGAGCCTCAATGTAGGGTAATTTGTCGCGATCGTCGAAGGTAGGTAGTTTATTGGGGCCGAGGACGCGGTCGATTTCTTCTTGGGCTTTGACTTGGACTTCGGGGTGTAGCGCCATGGCTAGGAAGAAGCAGGAGAGGGAAGATACGGTCTGTTTACTGTGCTGTTAGCTATCGTGAAAAACGACGTGGTTGTCCAGCAGGTAGGTAAAAAGGAAGGCTCAGGGGACATACAGTATCCGCGCCCCCGGTGTATAGCGATCCCGCCGTCCATTTGTTCACAAGCTCTCCTTCTGCGGTGCCATCTTCTTCCTCGAGAAGGCTGGCTAGGTAAGATGGCGGATAGGAACCCTGGCTCATCTGCTTCCGGACCAGTCGGTAGGGCTTTTCAATCGTTGTGAGAAGGTTCTTGCGCCAGTCGCTGCCGGTCCGTTTGAACCCTGCGCCGGGGAACCATGCTGGGACGTATTTTACTGCAGCTATTAGTGAGAGCAGGGATGTTCGGGGTAGAAGAAGGACTTACAGAAAGGGATGGCATCAACCAACCACGCCCCCGGCGTCCCGGCAACGGAGAAATGATCCATCGCTTCGTTGGCCAGGTCAACAAGGGGGTCGCGACCATGCGGTTCGATTGTGTATCCATAGGCGATTTTGAGGATGACAGCGCCAGCCTCCCTACACACATCATTAGTTTGTCAAGCCGAGTAAAATAATTATGTGTGAGTGACCTACGTCCGGACATGTTGCACCAGATCATTCGGCTTCTGGAGCACTCGAAGCAAAAATCGACGAATTTCGATATCCTGTAGCGGATTAAAGCGCGATATAACGGACTTCGACCCCAGGACGCGATGCATCACTCTGCGATATGCGCGGAACCGATCGGAATAGGCCTGCAAGCCCAGCGTACTTTCCCATCCCACCCTGGAATTGTCAATGTCACTCGGACCGGGGTCGGAAAGCGATAAAAGCAGCAGGCGGCTTACATTTCTCCCGCAAAGACCATCCTCGGTCGAGAGGAGTAGATGGCCGAGCGCTTTTCGAGGAGATCGAATGCGATGCGGGGCTCATTGAGGATGACAATGGTCTGGCCGAAGATGGTGACGGAGCTGATAGGACCTGTAGTCGATTGATTAGGACAATAAAGCGCGATTCCAAATCGGGCATCAAAAAGAAGGGGCTCGGAACATAACGACCAAGGGGCCGGTTCGATGTAGGAGGGTGAAACGCACCATAGAGCTTCTTGAAATGCAACCAGTGTTTCCAATCTTGTTCTCCCGGTGGCGGCAGGTCCCCCAGATTGCCAATGATTGGTTTCGGTTTGGGACCCGGAGGAAGAGGCGCAACTGGTTTCTTGGGAAACAAAACAAGCTTGACCAGATACAAGACAGTCAAGCCCAAAAGGGCGCCGTACAGGGAGGATAGACCCATGGTAGCAGGGACCAGGGTAGAAGGAGATCTTGTCTGCAGGGCCGAAAGTACCGGAAGAAGGAAAAATCGCACTTGTACAATTAACAATCTGGGTCACAAGCGCCTCTTAAGCATAGATTTGTGACTGATCAGGTTCAGGTGAACGGGAAAATCGCCAGAATGCCAGGGAAGTGCGAGTGCTGGAGCTAACAATAATTTTGTTCGTCAGCAGCGCACACACATCAGTCCGAGCGCCGTTAGCTTAACTGGCATCATCTCTTCCCCGCTTGGGCCAGTGGAGGCAGCGGGGTGAAAGGCAGAGCTAATGCCATTAGTTGAAGTCTGACAGCTAATTGTTTGGGAATGATTGGCCAGGAAGGCTGGTATGGGGGCAAAACTGGATCGTCGGGATTATTAAGAGTTGCTCTGCATTGGCAAACAACAAAAGTACTTCCGACGGGGATTTCGCTCCCCTCACGATGTGGCTCAGGCCAAGCATGGGTTACATGTGGCTAAGGTGTTGTTTTACTCCTTGCCTGCTAATTTGCTCTCCATAAAATATCGTAGGACAGCATGCTACGTTGTGGGAAGACACAAAACTTGGCCGGCAACTTCTGATGACTGCCAATGCTACGTAGTATCTGCAGCTTGAAAAAAGCAAAGGTGAGTGACCCACCACCCGCTGTCAATTATCGGCCTTGCATGTGAAATAAAATACAAAAATAACTCTTTGTGATGAGTAAATTCTGGCTAGCTTCCCCTCCCTTACAGCGCCAATTCAATTTCCACGGAAGGTTTTGGACCCGTCAGAGACAGCTGATCCTGTTCTTGTAGATAGATCACCTTGTTGTAACACCAAGCCTCCCGGGAAAGTTTTAGAGTAATAGTAATGATAATCTAGCCACGGCCCCAGGGCGGTTACTGCAGATCATCGATCGGTCAATTACAGAGTTACTGCTTGATGACCTGGCCCCTGCGGCACGGTACTTTGTTCCGAGTTGATAGCTAAATAGAGCTACCAGAGATCATTGGTTTTTGGGTCCATCGGTGCATATTCCGGGAAACGCACTGTCCATTCCCAATTCCCCGGGACATGGATTGTTATTTTGACAACTGAACCTGTCCGTGCAGAGTAGGGGGTCAAAGGTGACCAGTAAATTATGGTAGCAGCGGACTCGACCTCAGGGTGTCTACTTAAACTATCCGAAGGACGTATGTTCGGAGTTTTGAAATCAGATTTCTTCTTCAGTTGTTCAAACTTCGAGGTGTGCAACTGCTATTTACATCATGAATTCGACAATCTCGGACGGTTTTCTCGGTGGTCTGGCAACGTGTGCGGTAAGATAGTCCTCGATCCACTTGGGTGCTGCTCTTTCTCATCTATCTTGTCGCCCAGACCGACTGCTTCACCGCCGTTCTCAAGGACTTTTCGTGCTCTGCAACAGATCAGACTTGCATATGCACGAATGAAACCATTATGACCAACGCGATCGGGTGTTTCTCATTGCAGTGCACGCCCAAAGATAATCTCGGTATGATATGATGGCAATTTTCATCAAAGGTCTAAGGTTAACCAGTCCCTAGCGTCGACAAACGCGACCAGAGCTGCATGTGGAGTCCCTGAGGAGAGCCAGGCAGACCTGACTCCTGGCTTAGCAGGTGGACTGGGGATGATGGCTCTGATCATGGTGGTTTTGCGCTTGTTGCAGAGGACCTGTATCAAGAAGTCTTTCGGATGGGACGATGGGTTGATCTTGATGGCACTGGTGAGTATCACATATAATGTCCTCATTCCATTTCTAATAACAACCAGGCTTGCGCTGCTCCGTTGAATTGCCTGGCATTTCCTAGTGAGTTACTCTAGTCCGTTCATAGCGACAGGCGCTGACTTGGGCGCAGTGAAGAAATATGGCCTCGGTACAAATATCTGGACTATACCCTTTGGTGATATTACCAAACAGCTCAAGGTACTTACTGTAAACCATTTGATGTTAGAGTTTTTCGACATGCTAATAGATTGCAAAGTTGCTCCTCCTCGCGGAAGTCTTCTATATGCCTTCCGAAGCCTTCACGCAGCTTTCTTTCCTCACATTTTACCTTCGCATCTTCCCGCCGTCGAAATATCAATACATTGCTTATGCCTTGGGAGTGTTATCGGTCTGTTTCGGTACATCCAACACCCTGATAATGATCTTTCAATGCACGCCAGTGTCATTCTTTTGGACAAACTGGACTGGGGAGACCACCGGTTCCTGTATTGATATCAGCGCGTACTCCTGGTATCGTGCTGCCATGCAGATTGCGATGGACATGTCCATTATCGCTCTTCCTCTCTGGCCTCTGTCGACGCTGCAGATTACCATGAGCAAGAGGAAGAAGACTTTGATCATGCTGATGTTCTGCACGGGTTTCTTGTGCGTCCCCAACCCTTGTTGCAATGAATGTGTCGATGCTAACATGAAACAGGATCACCGTCGTAAGTTGTCTGCGTCTGCAATCTTTGATCAAGTTCTCCAAGTCTGCCAATATCAGCAGTAAGCCTCCTTTACCCCTGCTGCGCTGTCGCATGCTTACGCTGGAGTAGTGGACAACAATCCCGCTATCTATTGGAGTATCGTGGAATGCGACGTGGCCATCATCTGCGCGTGCATGCCCTGCATTCCATCTCTCTTCAAACCTCTCTTTCCATCGTGCTTTGGAGACACCCGAAAGAACAGTAATCCCGAGGATGCGACACCACCACCTATCCGCATGGAGCGGAAGAAGAGAAAGGAGGACTTCAGTATCCTCCACACAACTGCGTCGGAAGATGCATTGGTGAACGGCCGATAAATAGGCTGTGCGAGGACTCCATAGTCATGGAGATTCATGTGTATTTTCTTCGTTGTTTTCCTATATGTTCCAGTTAGCGTGGCGGGGTATTCTGGCTTGTTACAGTTTACATACATAATGAGAATAATTTGGGTCTAGTTGCGATTGACCAATCTCGTAAGATAAAAGGAGATTGCTCGATGCACGTCAACAGCGCCGCGATTCTTCATCCAGGGGATTCCTGGATAGGGCTTCGTCTTTCACGGGACATCCCTCTTCGGACTACCCGTGACCAAACTCCAGACTAACAAAGGATAACCACATGAAACTTCACATATGCAGCCACAGACATCATTTTCCCCGGTCGCGTCATGTCTGCCGAGCAGACAAGACCTCCGAAATGATTTAAAGCCGCCGGTAGCCTGCCCTTGACCACCACACACGGCTAGTTGAATATGGAACAACTATCGGCAGGGATCCGAGCCATAGTCACGGGTGAAGCGCAGCTCTGGAGTCCAACCGGTCTCGCCTGTCAGACGCTAGCGTTCCCAAAGTCTAAAGCGATCATCCAGTGGTTGGTTCCGGCGGTGTCAATCTCGGCAGGCGAGAGACTGGCGCAATACGAGCTGGGCGGCCGCTGGATGACGGCTCGACCAGTCGCCAAGGCAGCGCGGATCACACGATGAAGTCAGCAACGATTGGTGTGGGGGGTGGGCATGGAGATAAAGAGTCCATTTGATTTCTAGTTTTCTAGTTCTCTCAAGATGTGCAGGTTGTAAAGCAGAGATCGTAGCAGAGAATGCGCGAGGATGACCTAAGCGACGGCTGAGTCAGCATTTCCCCGGCCACGTGGAGCCCCAGATTTGCCATCCGTTTCAGGCAATCAATTCTTTGTTTGCCGTTTTCCTCTCGACGGCGCCTTTTGCCCTCTTTTTCCCTTTTCCCTCTTCTCTCTCCTTTCATCCTTGCAAGTCATCCATCGCCAGAGTCGCCCGTCCACTCTGGTTCATCTCCCCCAGCTCATAGGAGCTTAATCCGGCTGCGTGCCATCGCGCCATCATGTCCTCCAACTCCACCGACAATCGCGCGGCTCCACAAGGTGGCATTCTCGAGGGCGGCAATCCATCTCACTATGATCCCAAGAACCCGATTGTTATCTTCATTATCCAGGTAAGCACATGCCGTACTATCGCAGAGTAGCAGTTCCAACGATCGATAGGCGTCGATCATCATCATCTTCTGCCGTCTGCTGCACTGGCCTCTCTCCAAGATCCGTCAGCCTCGAGTCATCGCGGAAGTGATTGCCGGGGTTTTGCTGGGCCCGTCGGTTTTCGGCAAAATCCCCGGCTTCACAGAGGCCATCTTCCCAACGGCGTCCATTCCGAATTTGAATCTGGTCGCCAATCTAGGCTTGATCCTCTTCCTCTTCCTGGTCGGTCTGGAGACGGACTTGCGATTCCTGGTCAGCAATTGGCGCGTGGCGGTCAGTGTGTCCGCCGCGGGAATGGTCCTGCCCTTTGGATTGGGTTCTGCCATCTCCTACGGTTTGTATCACACGTTTCGCGATGAACCTGGTATGGTTCCGATCAACTTCGGTACCTACCTGCTCTTCATCGGTATCGCAATGGCTATCACGGTATGTTTATCTCGCATGGGCATGGCGATCGGTGGCTAACCGCGACCAGGCCTTTCCCGTGCTATGCCGTATCCTGACAGAGTTGAAATTGCTTGGGACCAACGTCGGCGTAATTGTGCTGTCCGCAGGTGTCGGCAATGACGTTGTCGGCTGGATTCTCCTGGCTCTCTGTGTTGCGTTGGTCAACGCTGGTACCGGCCTGACGGCCCTGTGGGTGCTCCTTGTCTGTGTAGGCTATGTGCTGTTTCTAGCATATGTGTTCCGGCCTCTCTTTTTGCGATTTCTCAAGCACACCGGAGCCTTGCAAAAGGGACCCAGTCAGTCCGTCGTGGCTATCACGCTTCTGATTGCCCTCGCTTCGTCCTTCTTCACGCAGGTCATTGGTGTCCACGCCATTTTTGGCGGATTCCTGATCGGTCTTCTCTGTCCCCACGAAGGCGGATTTGCGATCAAACTGACCGAGAAAATCGAAGATCTGGTGGCAACTCTATTTCTGCCGCTGTATTTCACCCTGTCTGGTTTGCAGACCAATCTCGGGTTGCTCGACACCGGCACCACTTGGGGATATGTTATCGGTATCATTGCGATCGCACTTATCGCCAAGATCATTGGTGGTGCGGGCGCGTCCAGGATGTGTGGGCTGCTGTGGCGTGAGAGCTTTTCCATCGGTGTCTTAATGAGTTGTAAGGGATTGGTTGAGCTGATTGTCTTGGTATGTTGCACGTGGCTTGAGCATGTGACCTTTTGCTAACGGCAGGACAGAATATCGGCTTGCAAGCCAAGATCCTCAGCACCCGTACATTTACCATGTTTGTGGTTATGGCATTGGTTACCACATTTGTAACCACGCCCTTGACCACTTTGCTATACCCGAAATGGTACCAGGATAAGGTGGACCGCTGGCGTCGCGGTGAGATCGACTGGGATGGCAATGCTATTCAATCCGATGCCCGCGCCGACAGTGTGGCAGTAGCAAAAGAAGAACTACGGTCAAATCCCGTTCGGAAACTTCTTGTGTACCTACGACTGGACGGGTTGTCGAGTATCTGCACCTTAGCTGCCCTTTTGGGACCTAGCGTCACTCAGGCTCCGGCACCCAAGGTTCACCCCGACAAGAGACGGTCCATGACGGCGTCTCCAGAGCCCGCGGCAGAAGAGTCTGCGGCCACGGAAATCGAAGAATCTCCAGCCCTACAGGTCCATGGTGTTCGGCTAATGGAACTCACTGACCGAGACTCCAGTGTCATGAAGGTCTCGGAGATCGATGAATATACCCTATGGGATCCGGTGGTCAATACCTTCCGGGCGTTCGGTCAGTGGCACGATCTCTCCATCATGGCCGGGGTCTCCGTTGTTCCCGAATATTCTTTCGCCGATACAGTCGTGGGTATGGCTCGCCAGGAGTCCAGTGATCTCCTGTTATTGCCGTGGAGCGAAACTGGGACCATTAGTGAACACCAAAGTGGGCTGGGCCTCGACGAGGCTAGTCGATTCGCCAACGGGCCCTACACGGATTTCGTCTCCAAAGTACTCGACCAAACCTCCTGTAGCGTGGGGGTTCTGGTCGAACGCAGCCCATACACGCGTGGGTCAGGCCGGCCCCTTCTGGCCAAGCGGTCTGTCAGCGCCCTTAGTGCTCGCGGCTCCATGTGGAATAGTGCCCCTGCGGCAGCACGCTCTCACCATATTGTGCTGCCTTTCTTCGGCGGCGATGACGACCGCTTTGCGCTGCGTTTCGTCCTCCAGCTGGCCCAGAACGATCAGGTGACGGCGACCATTATCCACATCGACGTAGCGCCGTCCCCACAGTCTGGGTCGGCCGACACCGACAGTCCTAGCGAAACAGGGAAGGGCAAGTCCTCGACCCATGTCTCGGCCAGCGTCCAGGAAGTCGAATCGGACTACAATTTCTTCGCAGCCACGCGCGACTCGCTGGCCCCGGAACTGACGTCCCGGGTCATCTTCAAACGCATCTCGCCGGCCCAGGGAGAACCCGACGCCGTGCAATTCGCAGTGACGACTGTAAAGGAGGAAATGAGTCAATCACCACACAGGGCCGGAAACATGACGGTGGTCGGACGGCGCAACAACCGAGTGGACCCTGTTTCGGGATTCGGGATGGCACAGGAAGAAGTCGGGACGGACGCGAGTCGGGCCCTGGGAGCAGTCGGGCAGGCTCTGGTACGGACGGAGAATCGGATTGTGGGTAACATTCTGGTTTTGCGTGGAAGGCAGTAGTTCTCCATACGTGGTGGTTGATTTTCTTTTTTTTTCGGTTCCTGCCTTGTTGATGGTCTCTGGTGCCCCCCTCTGCCTCACGACTTGATTATTTCAATTACGCAAACACGAGCTACGACATTTGGATACCTTACTCTATCTTCTGCACACAATTTTGAATCATTTCATGTTCTTGAATTTTCTTTGATCCATGATATCAATAAATATACATCAAGCCATATATCCACTCAATGCAAAGTATATACAATCCAATGCAAATTCCACCCAATGCATCCAATCAGTCATGTCTTATATATAGGTATAAATATGAGGGCAATAAAAAAGTAGCAACCATCCCATATGCATTAATGCAGCAAAACAAAAACAAACAAAACACGCTTAAGCCTCAGCAAGCTTCGATCGGGCTCTGATGGCCGGACCAAACTTGAACAAGACGAACGGAATCAGAGTCAAAGCGGACGCTACAAGAGCGAGGATCAACCCGGCCCACTGGCTACCGACGTTGTGGAAGAACTGCGACGCAAACAGCGGCGAGACAGCACCGAGGGTGTTACGCATGAGACCCTGGCCGGCGATGGCGGACGACGAGTTCCCGCCGTAGCAGTCACTCGTGAACGAGTAGCAGCTCTCGAAGATGAAGAAGATACCGATGGTGATGAGGGCCAGGGCGATGACGGGCGCGATCCAGTGCAGGTACTCGTACTGCGTGAAGCTGTAGATGAAGAGGCCGATGGGCAGCCAGACGGCGCCGTAGAGGGCGCCGTACAGCCGCGCCTCGGGCTGTGGGTTCTCGCCGTTCTTCACCATGCCTTCGAACTTGCGGATCTGGAAGAAGTTGAGACCAAAGCCGATGGTGGTGCCCAGGACGAGCGAGATGTAGGGAAGACCCGAGACGCCCTCGTTCCAGCCCTTCTTCTCGTTGAAGGTGATGGGGATGACGGAGAGGAAGAGGAAGGTCAGGAACCAGGCGAACGCGATCCAGAGGCCAAAGAAGAAGACGACCGGCTCGGTGATCAGCATCTTGATGGCCTTGACGGACGAGCTGTGCAGCATCTCCTTGATGCCGGGGGCCTCGACCTCGTTGGCGGCGCGGTAGCGCTCGTCGCCGGTTTGGCTGCGGAGGAGCTTAGCGCGCTTGGTGAGGGTGACGGAGCCGCGGGTTTCGCGGAGCGCGAAGAGGATGACGATGCCGAGGGGGATGTTGGCGAGGCCCTGGATACCCTCGACCCAGCGCCAGCCGAGGGCTTGGTCGATGAAGCCGGCGTAGATGGGGGCGCCGACGGTGCCGAGGATGGCGACGTAGGAGAAGGTGGCCATGGGGATGGCACGCTCCTCGGGACGGTACATGTCGCCGAAGGTGCCGCCGACGAGGATAGTGCCGACGCAGCCGAAGAGACCGAGCAGGGCACGGCAGACGATAATGGTGGCGATGTTCTTGCCGAGCGAGAGACCGATGAACATGAGGGCGAAGCAGACGTAGGCGCCGACGTAGACGACGCGGCGGCCGGCCAGCTCGCAGAAGGGAGCCAGGAAGAGAGGAGCCAGAGCGCAGGTGAAGTTGAAGGTGAAGAGACCCAGCTGGCCGAGTTCTTCGGACACGCCGAATTCAGAGGTCATTTTGCCAATGCCGGAGGAGTAGGCGGTCGTGGCGAGACCGATGAAGAGAGTCATGAGGCAGAGCAGCAGCGAGATGAAGGCCTTGTAGCGCGGGTTCCAGTTGAAGGGATCCTCGGGGTCGTCCGGGGTGAATTCCACCACGATGAACTGGTTGCCGTCGTGGACTTGCGTGCGGGTGAGAGTCAGCGGGAGGTCGAAGTCGAAGGTCTGCAGGGGACCGGCGCCCTCATGCGAAGACATTGACGATTCATCCTCGACCTTCTGGATGTGCTTGCCGCCGACGACGCGGCCGTGGGAAGGCATGGCCTGTTGTGATGAGGAGGACGAGGCGTTCTCTGTGTGCGAGGCAAGGCCAGGTTGGGCCTTATCGGATTCTGACACGATTTTATTGTCCATGATGGGCGATGGACGAGGGTAGAAAAGGGGGAGAGAGAGGAAAAACGGGGTTGAGAGGATGGGGTAAAACAGGATCAGAATGGAGAAAGAAAAATCGGACGGACGAGGGCGGATGAAGCCCTAACTATATGTGATCCAGTGGCATCGTGAAAAATGCCGCGGCGACGCTGGAGGAGCCCACCCATGGCATCATGGGACAGACAGGCTTTTCGTGCTGTCTTCTCCACGGGCGAGCTCTAGGTCAATCATAGTCCAAAGGCCAACACTGCCCGGGTGGGTCGAGGCCTGCTCGACCAGACTTGCGCTGGCTCTGTAACGAGTTTGGCCTCGGGCCCTGACCCAGACTACGTGCATGATTAACTTCGCGGAAACTCTGCTGCTCGCGAGGTGACAGAGGCATGTTCTTCTTCCTGGCATGTAGTCATTCACGGCAGAACTCCTCGTTGATACTCAGCATCATCCGGAGTATTCCCAAATCCCTACACCTCCTAAAAACCTCATATCCCGCGTCTCGAGAAAAACCGGCCCGAAATCCCAAAGCCAACGTAATCGGAACTCGCCCGAGATCCTTCTCCATCATTGGACCTTCCACCCCCACGCCGCCCGTTCGGCATCCCGATTGTGGTAAAGAGCGGCGACATCGATGCCCCCGGGCCGATTCGGAATTGCCACCCCATGGGTCTCCAACTCGACCGGTTGCCCTCCGGCGCAAGTCGGTCGGCATGGTGTATCCTCGGTTTCACCTCGGGGAAACCCCCTCTCCTAGTGCCATCCCGAGAGTTTTCGCCCGGATTGCCGGTGGACAGAATCGGGATGGTGGCTGATTTCCCCCCTGTTCAGCGTTCGCGACATCTGGAGAATCTGGAGACACGGGGCAAACCTCCCAGAAACCTGCCCCCGGGAAAACACTTCAGGGTTTCTCGCGGCCGGCATTTCACTACTGAGGTTGAAATTGAGACATATACAAGGGACAATCCAGAGGGAAAGTGAGGCAGCCAAGCTTCGGGTTCCACCGCAACGAGACCCACTCGCAGAGGAACCCCAATCCGGTAGGACGCAAAATCTGATTCTGGCTCTGCGTCCGAGAATGTGCGGTGCGATGACATCGTTGGCTTGGGGGTTGCGAACAGTTTGGCGCCAATACCGTGCCAACCCGGTCCAGAGCTCAACGGGTTGCACTTGGGGGTCTTCGGGTCTTGTGACCACGGAGTCAAAAGTTGGAGAACTGATGACGGCGTCTCCCTGCTCACTCCGTCCTCCGTAGATCCGTGGTCTGACATTCTGTGCTCATGACTGTTGCCCTCGATTGGATGAGACTCACGAGTTTGGCAGGCTGCTGTCACTCTGCACTTGGAGACGGTGGCAATAGTCTATCTCATGTTGCTGTCCATGTTCCTGTGCCTGTCTATCTCAAACGGTGCACGAATGCATCTCCTTACCCTGTGCGGTATGAGCGGTGGATAATTCCGAAGTTCATTTGTCCCCTCGGATCTTTTATCCACCGCGTGGGATGTAGTTTGTTGATACTCCGTGTTATGGGTCATCGAGATTAGCGAGTTTCCCTCAACAGTTGTCCAAGCGAATGTTACGCAAATCATAACCTGCGCGTTTTATCTAGACGGCAGCCTTGTCATTATTATTGCCAATCCAGCCTCGGCATAGACTGCTCTTTCGTATTCATTTGTTAACCGCTATGTAAAATCATACGACCCATATCGAAGTCAGCAAATCCTACGTAAAAGCAGACAACCATGACAGCATCATGCATGAATCGAGCGCCATGCCTCGAGACAACCAAACAAACCAAAAAGCCGGTTTCCCAACCCCGCCATGTGTTTGAAATCTCAGCACAGCACGGAGTAGGAACGAGCGATTTTGCCACCGGAAGTAACACCTTTTCGGTGCTCTTCTCCACGAAACGGTCGTCCACCGAGAGAACACTGCTGATCGGGTCCGGCGGGCAATCCTGACTTGAGTCGTGAGTGGATGAGTCGTGTAGCCGCCGTAGCCGAAACCTTCATGAAACTGATCTGAGTAAGATCAGAATTTTCATTGCGTTCTGCAGCCCGTTGCCCTTCGTTTGCTTTTCTCGAAAAAGGGGGCGATTCGCTCTGTCGCCACACCTTAAAAACTTTAATCGCCGAAGATCACTTGGAGTCGCTTATGTAACCGCCTCTTTGCCTGCGTTCTTGGCTGGGGTTGTTTACATTCCAGGGGTGAAGGGGAGATCTCAGTACGGGGAAGTAGCATTGGACATCCATTGTTGTGGGCAAACTGGTTCTGTATAGTGGCAAGGGGGTAACCAAGCAGCATACCATCCGAGCACTCTGAGCCTACATCCCCGACTTCAACCGAGATCATGGAACAGGTTGACCAAGTCTAAACTACCTTAGAACAACGTGCCATCCCCCAGGATCAGAATCGGACTAGACCGCGTCGCCGGCCTCTTCTCAGCCGCCAGCTCCCTGCCTGCCTTCCACGTTCCGGCCTCCAACACCTGCGGCAAAGACAGTCGCTGCGGCCCCAGATCCGTCTTCTGGATAGCCTCATGCACGCGATCCAGCAACGCGACCGTTAACGCTCGCCACTCGACAATCTCATCGGCCGTGGCATCAAACGCGGGCAGCTCTGTGCCTGAGTTCTTGACCCCGCGAGCCAGTGCTTCAGGCTTCAGGGTCAAAACGCCCATGTCGATGAATACGCCGCCGTTGCGGTACTCGGGTAGGCCGGTGGCGATGTCTGCGTTCTTCCAAGTTTTGGAGAGGAGGCGCTCAAATGGCACCATAAGGGAGTAGGCGAGCCATTGCGTGAGCTTGTGGAAGGGCTGGATCGTGTGATACGGTGAGTTGGGGGATGGTGGGTGGTCGGATAACGCTTGGAGTGGCCAGGCGTCGCCGACAGGGTGACTGGATAGCTGTGTGCGAGTTGAAGGCCAGATGGGTAGGAGGACGCTCTGCAGTGTGGTCCAGAGTGTTGCGAAGTCGATGACGTTGCTCTGGCCTGCTTGAGATACCAGGTAGTCTGGTGAGGTGTCAGCTTGTCTCCTGATGGACTTGTGCCTGCTGGGAGGCACGTACCGACGAGTTCCCCCGGTCGTCCAGATTCGCCGAATACGTCGGGGAGACGCAAAAGCGACTGGCCTAGCGATCTCAAGAGATCGACTCTGGCCGGAACTCCGACGAAGAGGTTCTCATCCGTTATCTGGAACCCTTCGCGAAGGGTGTCTTCGCTGAAATCGCGCAATGCTTGTCCTGATACCGGTCAACACATGCAAACCACACCCACAGACCAAAGAAAACGAGAGCAACTAACCAAGCACCACATCCCCACGCCCAAAACCAGCAGTAGCAAACTGCCCCTTCAGAAACATATGCAACGTGGCAACCGCAATACCCTCACTGCGAACCAGCACCAGCCCAGTGTCTGGCTCCGTAAACCGCCACTTATCACCGGCCCCGGCATCCAGCAACACAGACACAAAGAAAAGATCCACCAGACCACGCGCTTGCTCGATCTTATCGTATCCGGCCGATTCCCACTGACCTAGGAGCTTGCCGATGCGATCAACATCGTTCACCTGGAAATGCTGCCAGCGGCCATGAGGCGGGATTTTTTCGAATTTGTTTGGGCCGTAGTCGCGCTGCTTCGTTAGCACCACCTCTCCATAACCAGTAGATTCATTATGATATCTTACCTTGATAATCCCAGCTACATACTGTACCGCACCGTCGAGCCGGTCCTCATGGTACTCGAAATGGTTCAGACGATCACTCTTGGCGAGGTTGAGGATGTGATTGGCTCGTTCGCGAACGGCCTCTAGGCTGAGGATGTACTGCACTTCTTGATTCATTCCGTATGAGTTTATGACCTCTTCTAACTTTTGAGGTCTATAGTATCTTGTGGACCATCAATCTGGGGAAGCGGAGAATATAAAGCATGAGTAATGCATGCTTCAGATGCGGGGTTAAACACTTATGTCAGCTAAATGATCATTCCAGTGACTAAAAGTTATTGTTCGAGGGTTGCATTGCCACCTGGCATGCTCTTTGACCTTGTTTTGAGCAAATGTGGGGGTTTGGATGCTCTTGTGATGCTTTGTTGTGTTGTGGCTTCATCTATGGCTATACCGAGAGTGTGGTCGGTAGCATGAATCTCAAGGCTAGACTTTAGCAATGAAGCCGATACGTTATGTTTGATTATTGGATTGTGTCTAATGAAGTAAATGTTTTTTATATACAGAGTCGTGTATTCATAGTAGGAATTCTGTGACATGAAATAGTAGCCAAACATGATGCTAAATCTTACCAACCATAAAAGTGGTGGTCCAAATATATAATGACTTTTAGAGCCTTCATTCTAGGTCAACCACTTTTGCAAGGTATCGGTCGCTCAATAATAATATTAAATAAATAAATCAATAAGAAAAACCAAAAAGCACACCATCGAAGTGAAAGAATTACATCGAGTTATTCAAGTCTGGGGGAATCTGGAGGCGTGAGCGGCCATCGACGTAACACTCGGCGGTTTCGGCAAACGGAGCACGCCGAGATCGTCGGATGGTTACTGGATAGAGACTAGTGAAGAACAACTTGGGAGTCGAGCGAACAGGGCGAATCAACAATAATTGCAATATTCGGAATAATATTCCTGATCACTATTGTATTTGCGAAAACTTAATAATTGTCCAGAAATGGGGGCTTGAAGGAGAATGAAAGGTGATTACTGGTCTGTGGATTCTTATTCTGCGAGAAATTTCGAACACCTATGCCTCAGGTGTCAGTATCCCTGGATATGCCGGCTTGATAATCTGCTTTCCTTAGGGTAATTCGCTGCTAAGACTAATAAGCCCAAAGTAGATTGCACATTATTCGCTCTAGTGATTCAAAATCTCTGAGAGTCATCCTTTGAAATTATCATAAACGAGATCCTCCCAGATTTCCTTGAGAGCAGAGATGAAAAATTTTGAAAAGAAGAATGATCTTTGGAACCCATCCCGAGCCGTTTCGCAAATTAGGCTACAACATTCAAACAGGGAAGACGAAAAGACCACCACATTCCACGCCCCCACAGGGCTGGAATGGAACGTCGTTATCGGTGCGTCGAACAAATCAGGAGCATGCATGAAAGGAATAGCGCGCACGTCATTTGGTATTTACCAATAAGAGCGCTGATTATCCTGTCTCCATGTCGCGACAGGATTGTCCGTAGGGCTGAAGTGGATCCAGGATCCAGGACGGAGATACGGCACGGATAGGGGAGAAAGCTTGTTTCTGTCTTGCACTCTGTGGTTGTTACGTCGTGCGCGGACTCTTCTGCCCTTGGTGATTCCCAGCTGGGAGAGTGGGTATTCATTCTGACTCTTTAGTTAGTTGACTAGAGGTCCTGGGTGCTATTGATGAATGTGAATGCCTTGTGTAGACCAATGTCGAGCGTCCTGTCCGATGAGTCAAGATAACTACCCCGTAGACCCACGGTGAGACAGAGCAAGCTGACGGGATCACGGCTAGCTCGGGTCATCACAATGCAACTGAAATTAAACCAGAAATAGAACAAGACCACGTCAGCCCTACGAGCGTCTGGGGGACCTTGAGGCCCGGGGAGGTCCCGGTCGAGGGGGTTTCCATCCAATCGGGTGCAGCGGCAGGCAGTTCGGGTGCGGGTAGGGCTGAGATGGTAGGAGGGCCTTTGGCCAATGGCACAGGCAAGGATTGGGATGGTGGAGGGCAATCATTGAGTCACTAGTGGTCCTTGCTGGTCTGGCACGGACTAAAAGACCCCAATAAGTGAGAGGTCATCCCCCTTATCCAGTTTCCTCTGCCTTTTTTGCTTTTTTCTTTTTTTCTCCATCTTCGTTCCCCTTCATTCCTTCCCTACCTCATCTGATTTCATCGACAGATGGCACTCCCATTGCAGAATCACCTGTCCTACTGTCATGGATCACAATGCACGGATCCAACACTTCCTCTCTATTGCCGGGTAAACTTACCTTGAAGCTGCTATGTGCGGCGCTCTGCTTCGGAATGGCAGGGACTTCGCGAGGTTAGTTAACCCGTTAGATGTTCAGGTGGTAAGGAGGTAACTGACCGAGACACGGCGTAGGTCTCGATGAAGGGCTCATCGCCAGCACAATAGCGGACAAATCATTCATCGAAAATTTCGGTCTTGAGGCCGACTATCTCAGCGCTGCGCAGCAAGCGGACCGACAGTCGAATGTCACAACCATGGTCACGATCGGGTGTCTACCAGGCGCCTTGCTTGCTTTCATTTGGAGCGAGAAGATCGGCATGCTTTGGGCCATGCGGCAGGCCTGCGTCCTTTGGATTGTCGGCTCCATCGTCTTCTTGACGTCTCATACTATCGGGCAACTCTATGCTGGCCGTTTGATTATGGGAATGGGGATCGGTCAGTTCGGGGTTCTGTCACCGGTTTATTTGGGTGAAGTGGCGCCTCGGGATATGCGTGGGATACTGATCGGATTGTTTGGTATGTCGGAGTACTTGGGTATCATGACTGGGGTAAGTCCGTCGCTGAGCGTTAATTGCCCTGGGGCTATGCTGACAAGCAACAACCTAGTATTTCTCCATCTGGGGTGCCTCTATCCACATTTCGGACTCGAGCTCGAAGCAATGGATCATCCCGCACAGTGTCCAAATCATGTGGGCGGGGATGCTACTCATATTCTCGATATTCTGTGAGGAGAGCCCGCGATACATGTGTAAAAAAGGGCGTCAAGATAAGGCGGCGGAGACTCTAGGAAAGCTATGGGACTTGTCGGCATTTGACCCTGCCGTTCAAGACGAGATCACCAGCGCACAACGACAGCTAGAACTGGAATATGGGCATTCATCTGCACGATCGTTCTTCGGGACCCTGAAGAGCCTGTTCACAAGCAAGGAGAACCTTAAACGCATCGCATTTATCTTCACCTTACAGTGTTTGATCCAGTGGTCTGGCCCTACTTCTATAACTAGTACATATCCCCACCTTGCTCAACTAAAAACCCACCCAACAATACACAATAACTAACACGATCCCAAACCAGCCTACGCGCCCCGTCTTTTCGCCCTCTTCGGCATAAAAGGCCAATCCCAAAAGCTCTTCACGACCGCCATCTTCGGCGCCGTGAAGTTCGCCTCCTCGCTCGGCTCCGCGCTCTTCATGATCGATCTCCTCGGCCGGCGCCGAACACTCTATATCGGACTAACCCTGCAACTCCTCGCCTTTATCTACTGCGCCATATTCCTGACTATTTACTCAACCCTCTCCGAGACGGCCCAGGAGGCACCGGCTGCCAGACACGCGGCCATCGGCGCCATCGTCATGATCTACTTGATTGGCGTGGCGTGGGCGTTGGGGTGGAACTCCATCCAGTATATCATCACCGCGGAGATCTTTCCGCTGCATGTGCGACTGGCGGGGTCCAGTTTGGTGACTGTTTGGCATTATGGGAATAGAATGGGGATTTCGAAGGTGAGCCTTCCATTCCCTTCGTCGTTGGGGATTTGAGATGGTGTTCCATGTATGTTGACTAACGATGACATTGCGGATAGGCCGTCCCGACTATGTTGCTCGAGCATGGATCTCTGGCGCCCAAGGGCACGTTTTGGTTCTTCTCGGCTGTGTCGGTCGTGGGGATGGTTTATACATGGATGTTTCTGCCAGAGACGTCGAAGAAAGGGTTAGAGGAGACCGGGGATTTGTATACCAAGGGGAGAGTTTATGGGCAAGAGAGTAAATAAAAGGTGTTTATGATTGGGCGGACGTCGAGAAAGGGATCAACAGGTGGGATGCTATGCCATGTCCTTTTTAGTGGAAACATCAGACACAGAATCCGCGTGAATCTGTTGCAGGTTTGATATCATTTCTTAATTCCGACATTTATTACTCTCCAGGCAGGATCTGGGTTGAGACAGAAATAAATTTAAATCAAGGTCAGATGATTAATGACAACAGATTTGGTTTTTTTTTTTAAGATGGTCGAATATTCATGTTTGTGCTGGGACACATGTTCTGGACAGTATGGTCGATAGGACAAGACAAAAGCCAAGTTGAAAACAGGGCAGGGTTTGCCATGTAAGAAGGCTGAATGAAACAGGAGAACCCCGTTTCCCGCCCACCCTCTGCCTTTCTGACTTGGAGAAAACTCAGAAAAGAGAGAAAAAAAAAATGAGAAACTTGCGGCTACTCCGTAACATGCCATAGGCTAGCCTAGCTCCACCTAAAGAGCCAGTCACATTTCAGATGCATTCTAACGGTCCACTTTTATACAGTTAGCGCACATAATTGAATTATCAGTCTCCCTGCCTGTGGCCGACCGTGTTACTTGTTCCCTAAGGCAGAAAGGCTACAAGTCCTGCTATGAAGTAATATTATTGATGTGTTGTAACATTGGAAAGACATTTACGCGGAGAATCAATTGGAAACAGAGAGTTTAGAAAATATCGGTCTATAATTCCTAGACATAATAAACCTGGATGTATGAAGATCTTGGGCAAATAGAATGAAACTTGACTTAAACCATTTAATGGATAGGTAAGAGATTATAGACATTGAAATGAAAGATAGCTTATCTTACATTTAAAAACTAGCCATAGTTTAATTATTTCTATACCAACCGCGAGGGTTCCGTGGGCTTTCGTCTCACCCTGACTGGATGTTAGATCTACTACTACACCTACTCGATAGGCGGATAAAGTGAGAAGGCTGCAAATCCATTGCAATGATCGACAAGCCATAAATTCATGAGATCATTGGATATCATCTATGTAAAAATACCACTGGAGCCGTCCCAGGAGCCTAACACGAGAAAGGACTCCGGACAGCGCCAATCTTGTAATGATGTCGCTGTCAATCTGTCAGTATCTCATCAATTCACTTCTCGGGGGTAATGAATACTAACGATATCCTGAACGCTGGCGTATGTGCCTCCACCGAGGACCAACAAGCCAATAAAAAAAACGAGGACGCAAGAAACAGCATGGACTAGATTCTTCGGAGCGTACCATTTCCCGTCGCGAATAAGTTTGAACCACATGACTGGTGGGAAGTACAGCACGAATCCAGAAATAAGAAGAGCAGAGCTGAGCGCAAGAAGGTCGTCGAAGAAGGGAATGGATTCGGCTAGGATCCAAGCAATGATGGTGATCGCAGCGAGTGTCACAATCCAAGTGATCCAGCCCTTTGGAGTGTTGATGAAGCGAACAATGGAGTTTTCATATATGCGTAGGTGAACATATCGCGCGGTGACAGTGTTACCGATGGCACCGGAAATGAAGATCAAAGGCAACGCCATTCCGAATGCCACCTTGGGAAGCACGCCTTGGAGAGAAAGGAGAGCGGGACTTTGGACGTCTGTGCCGACGAAAACGAAGATGAGCGAGCCGATGAGTGTATAGACTACCATTTCGATGATGCCCAAGGTCCAAACTGACTTCATGAAGTCTTTGGGCGTGTGCATCTCAGACATGAAAGGGGTAATGAACATGCTGAAGCTGTAAGCGAACATGATATTGCATATCGCGACCATTCCATCCTTGAACGTTGTGCCTGGAGCTGGCCATGCAGACCAGTTTCTTCCAGCTATACCGCCCGGTGCGTTGGATGCCTCAATCCCAGAGCCGATGATCGTGATGGCAATGGTGATGGTCACGGAGGCGAGGTCGATGTATCCTAGGATGGCTGCTTCGGCGAAGGATGGCGCAATTGCAAGAAGAAATAATAAGATAGCCGACACAATGCCAAAGACTAGACCGCAGACACCCTCGTCGGACAAAGTGTTGAATGCAATGGTTCCAGTGAGGCAAAAAGATGCCGTCATTAAGATCAGCTGAAGCACGTACAGGGCGCCCACCAGCTCTTGCCCCCATCGGCCTAGGACGAGGCCGCCGATATCTCCATAATGGTGGATTTCGGGGTAATGAATCTTCACCATTCCGACGAGATACCCTGTATAGATGACCACCAGCCCCAGGCCAACGCAGCAAATAACGCCAGCAACGAGACCAAGAGTTGCGAATGCACTGGGAAGACTGAATGTCCCTAAACCTATGGCCTCCACGAGCAGAATCACGGCCATTCGCTTCCAGCCAAGACGGCGGAATTTTGCTTCTCCTTGGACAGTCTTGTGTTTCTCTAAGTCAGTGACGGTGCCGATTGCATTTTCGTAAGATGCCTCGACTTTTGATATTTCGTCGGGACCAAGGCCGCCCGTGTCCTTTGCTGATTCTGACATGGTATATGGTGGGAGGGCAGTGTCATTGTTGTGCATGATGGAAGAGGTTCCCGGCGATGGGTGGGAATGAAACGTGGTTGAGAGTGGATGGATATGGGGACAGACAAAACTAAATAGAAAATTCCCAACTAATGGGCCGTGCGTGTCGCTTTGCTTATCAGCTCCAGGGCCACACGATATGGCGTGTGGGCCCAGAGGTGCGTCTACCCCATGCCAACGATTCTACCCCGTCATTTCCCCAGGCTATCAAATACGAGGATCTCCACGGGTTACGACGTCCACGAGATTCAATCGAAACTCGGGAGGAAGCTGATGTGCCCGGACTGAGGGCTGAGCATTGGAGACATTTCACGCAAAACTTTCCGCTATAGCCCCGAGTTTCCCCTTTGGGTAGTCCTGAGTGGATACGGAGAGTGGCCCCTCGCATGGTTTTGGTGGGTCGACCCGGTTATAGCCGGTGTCTGACCATGACTTTCCGGTTTGAGTGAGGACTTTTACATAAAAGAATCCACCAAGGGCTAGGTATCTTTATTCTTCTCCTCTACGGAGGACAGACTACTCCGCAACGGTGTAGCTGCTTTGTTGTCTGTGTATGGTAGCTGATGAGAAACAAAAGAATATATTCAGCCGAAGGAACAAGAAGTATTGTTCAATTGACAGCATCGCGCCCTGTGTCAATGTGATTTCCAATCCCCCCACGATTCGCCTCAATTTTGGCCTTACTTTATGGCCACACGAATAAGAAAAAGGCACCAATATTCACCCCGCAAAGGCACAATACCCCTCAGAAATAAACAAATATGGATGACCCACTGTACGCTAGATCTCCTTCCAGGAAAGGGCTAGGGGAAGGTTTTCTCGAGGTAAGGACCCAGTAACGCGAGAGCTTCCTCCAGCACTTCGGTGTGGCAAACATAGCCCACACGAATGAAACCCGCAAAGTCTTGGCCGTCCCCAAAGCATCTTCGACCCGGCACAAAGAAGACCTTCGTCTTGGAGATAAGGTCCTTGCAGAACGTCTCTTCGTCCACAGGAACACCGTTGTGAGCAATCTTGATGAAGGCAGTCGTGCCTGCATTGGGCTTGACCCAGGACAGAATATGGCCGTATCTGTCAACGAAATCACCCAACAGGTCGAGGTTTTTTCTAGCAAGTTCGACGTTTCGTTTCAAGAGAGGCAATCGAATGGCATCCGACAGTGCATAGTTGGCGATTTGGTCGTCGATTCGAGAAACGCTAATGGTGGTGTAATCCCGAGATGAAGCCAGAGCCCCTATGATTTCTTTGTTCTTTGAAGCAACCCAGCCGATACGAATCCCAGCCATGGCATACGCCTTGGACATGGAGCCAGTGACTACTACGTTGTCGTAGTCCAATGCCACAGCCGAGGGGGGTAAATCCGCGTCCTCCTGGAAGAGATCATGATAGAGGGGTCGGTATACCTCGTCGGCAAACAGAACCAAGTTTCTCGCCCGGGAAATACTGGCAATCTTTTTGAGAACTTTGCCTGGGATTGTGACTCCCGTGGGGTTGTTCGGGTTGTTGATGATAATCATCTACATGTTGGATCAGTGTTCTGTGGTCGTCAAACCTTCGCCATAGGATCCTCACCTTTGTGTTTGGCTTGATCAGCCCTTCTAGCTCGCTTATATCGGGCACGAAGCCGTTGTGCTCTTGCAGCTTCCACAGCGACACTTCGGCGCCAATCGATTCAGGGACGCAGTAAAGCTGCTGATAAGTGGGATATACTGAAATAACGTGATCGCCAGGCCGGAGCAGAGTGAAAAGAACCTGGAAGTTCGCTGCGATAGCCCCCTGCGTAATCAACACATCATCGGCACCGAGGAGATTGTTGTTTCCCAGGGAACTTTGACCAAGCAACGAGGCGACCTTGGCACGCAAATCAGCAGTACCCCGGATGGCACCATAGACAAGACTCATGGACGTGTCAACGGGGTTGGAATTGGATTTGTTGCCGGCTAGAGCAGCCAACTCGTCCAGCGACACTGACGCTGCGCATGTTTCCGCTGTGTTCAGCACCCCTGGTGTCATCTCATACTCGTCCATCCATCTTTCCACCTCGAAGGTTGGAATTGGCACCATTTTAGTGTATGAAAATGCAACTATGGATGAGAGAGGATGACTTGATTCACAGCTGACACGGGACACGGATGTGGACCGATAAGCAGGACTTGATGTTGGTATTTATGTCCAAGACAACGCCGAGTCATTTGAGGGTAAAAAAGGGAGAGGACAGGAAAACAAAAATGCCTGCATTCACACGCCACCAAGAAACGGTCCACCCATCAACTGCGGTCATGTTATTAGGTGTGTGGAGTCAACATGGAAACTCAAGATACACGGCTGTGCCAAGGCTGCTCTTCCATGGAATGGCCAAACGAGGGCTCTACTGCCACGCACAGAGCGTTTATACCGAGGAATTGAATTGGTTTTCGCAGAATGCAATCGGTTCATTATTCCCATTTCTCTCTCTCTTAAATGCCCGATTGATGGATACGAAGGTGACAGCCATGCGACCCTATTTTGGATCTTACGGCGCCTTGGATCGGAATCTGTAAGAACACTTGTGAAGTGCCATTGCCGGAGTACAGTCTCCGTGCAAGCAATTTCATTGCTCTGTATAGAGTGGGAATGGCCATCCTAGCATCCGCAGCCTGTGGAGCTGGGTATACTAGACTTAGCCTGCGGTCTACCCTGCCTATAAAGAGGCCGACCCTGCTGGGATCCAAGGCGGTTCCATTTCCAGAGCATTTCGAATTCTCACCTCCTTTACCATGGCCTATCGTACCCCCGTTTACACCACCGCTGCTGCCCTGCCGCTTCCGCAATTTTCACAGGCAGTCAAGCACAATGGGCTAGTTTATTGCAGCGGCTCAATCGGCATTGATCCGAAAACCGACGACCTTGTTCCCGGCACTGTGACTGACCGTGCGCGCATGGCTCTTCGGAATCTCGAGGTCGTCCTCCAAGCGGCCGGAAGTAGCATGGACCACGTGCTTAAGGCCAATGTCTTTTTGTCCAATATGGCTGATTTCAGCGCCATGAACGAAGCCTGGGATGAGTTTTTCCCGCAAGACCCTAAGCCGGTGAGTTAATGCGACGTCGGACTTGCGGATTTAGCGACATCTCGAAGGTGGAAGACTGATGATTCCCAGTGTCGAACATGCGTTGCGGTTCTTCAACTACCGCTTGGAACTGACGTGGAGATTGAGGTGACTGCAAGCTGCGATTAAACATGAGGGTTGTGGGCTTAGCCATTGGAACATGGAGGAAGAAGAAGAAGAAGATTGCATGTTAGAGCGAACAAAGAGAATAAAATATTGAAAATTCATGATTTGCTTCATAGTCCGTAATCAAGCATGTTTCTTCACGTCAACCTGGGCTGATATTGCCGGTTTCTAGTAGGAAATGTCTCATCAGACAGCACTACTAGGTAGATTCGTGAAGGACTGATGCATCAACGTGCCGTGAAGGGTGAGAATGGCCGAGAGCCATAGGCTGCCATCCGGACAGACGCGATTATTGCATACGGATGCCTCATGTCAAGAAAATCAATCTGAATGCAAAAATTGGCCTGCCCCCGAAGTCATTTCCACGCACTTTCTGGACAAGCAGAAACAAAGAAAACCCCAAACTTCCACCCGGACATCAAGCTTCTTCCTGTTGTCATAGGACTCTGTCGGGTGGGACGATCATACTAATGGGCCGCACCAATTTAGCGCCGCCTAATTGCCCGCATTAGGAAACCGGGGACTATAGACCGGTAACGCATGGGTCTGGGGCCTCTTTTATTTTAAGTGCAGCTCCTGACACAATCTGGTTGGACCGATCGCTTCGTTATCCTACACTGGACTTACTTCGTACGCATGGGCAATGAAATAACTCCGCAACCTGGGCATTCTTACCCCGCAAGCCGATATCGTAAGGCCAAACACACGGACCCGACGGTCGGACGGGGACTCCGGATGTCGGAGGGTTGGGGTAATATAGCTGCTATAGTCGGCTTATGTGCCTGAAAGTCGAGATAGTTTGTGTTCTTCTGCACCTGTTTACACTTCTCCCCAGTATTATTGCCGCTATGTCGCAAGCTCAGCAAGAAACCATCCCACTCGGAGCGTACATCTGTGCTCGTCTGCGCCAGCTTGAAATTGGCTCCGTTTTTGGCGTCCCAGGCGACTACAATCTTCGGATCTTGGACTATATCGAGCCGGCTGGCTTGCGTTGGATTGGAAATTGCAATGAACTGAACGCCGCATACGCCGCTGATGGCTATGCAAGGATTCATGGCGTCAGTGTCGTGATGACAACCTTTGGCGTAGGTGAACTCTCTGCCATCAACGGAATCGCAGGCGCCTATGCGGAAAGAGCACCTGTTATTCAAATTGTGGGCGCGCCATCGCGTGAGATTCAGAGGTCGCGAACCTTGGTCCATCATACCTTTATTGACGGGGAGTTTGGCCGATTCGCGCGGATGCATGTGCATGTCACGGTAGCTCAGACAAGTATCACGCATGTCCGGACGGCTGCTGATCAAGTAGACTGGATCATTGAGCAGGCTATTCTGCACCAGAGACCTGTTTACCTCCAAATTCCCGAGGACATGCCCGACGTACCAGTTTCCGCCTCGAACCTCCGCCGAAAGCCAACAGTCAGTCCATCGATTCACTCTGTGGAGCCAGACGCCAACCACGTTCTCCAAATCCTCAACCGAATGTACTCAGCAAAAAAGCCTCTCATACTGGTGGATGGTGAAAGCAAGAATATGGGCGCTCTGGAAGAGATAGAACAGTTGGTGAAAGTCACAAATTGGCCAACCTGGAGCACGCCTTTTGGGAAAGGGCTCGTGAACGAGGAGCTGCCCAACGTGCGCGGAACTTATCTTGCCAACTATGGGGTGAAGGCATCCGCAGAATACTTCATGACGTCGGATTTGGTGCTGTTTCTCGGGCCGCATTTGAGTAATATCAACACGCACATCTTCACCGCGATCCCTGACGAAAATGTGACAATTTCGTTCTCGCCAAATCAGGTGAAGATTGACGGCCAGATAATTCGCGATATCTCACCCTGTCGTATGCTGCAAAGCCTCCTTCAATGCCTTGACAGCTCTCGCCTTGTCAAGATCAGTGGTCCAAACAGTCCCACGCCTCCCATCCATAAGCCGGCACCCTCCGATTCTCTTTCTCAAGAAATCTTCTACCCTTTTGTCAATCCAATGTTTCGTCGCGGCGATACGATTCTCACCGAAACGGGCACCGCAGCGGAAGGTGGCCAGGTTTTCAAGCTTCCAAGCCACACCCGATTTTTCACTGCGGTGACATGGTTGTCGATTGGCTATATGCTCCCGGCTACCCTTGGGGCAGCATTGGCGCAACGGGACTCGGCGATAGCCACCCATTGTGCTGAGCATAAGCCGAAACGAACAATCCTCTTTATCGGCGATGGGAGCTTCCAAATGACGGCCCAAGAACTCAGCACGATCATAAAGCAAGTTCTCAACGTTGTCATTATCATCATAAACAACAATGGCTACACCATTGAGCGAGTTATTCACGGTCGAGAGGCTTCCTATAATGATATCTCACAGTGGAATTATAGCCATGCTCTAAGACTGTTTGGCTTAGATGAGGAGGAATCCTCGCGGCGGTATTTTAGTGCGAGAACTTGGGGTGAGCTTCAAACGGCCCTTGATTCGGAGGAGTTGCACCGAGATGATGGCGTCAAAGTTATCGAGGTATTCATGGACCAAGAGGACTGCACTGGGGAGTTGAGAGACTTGTTGAAGGAGCAGCTAGCTAGGGAGAAATTATAAGTTAAACATAGTTCACTGGTTTCTGGTGTGTAATGGCCATGAAAAAGTCTGAAAGGACATCGATATAACGGACTGCTGTGGTTCCTCGACGTTGAACGCTTTTTTTCTGCTCATGCTAGCGTAGCAATAGCCCATAATGCTAGTTTCATTGTCAATTTTTCTTACACACGAGTCTAGTAAATGGCGGTCCACTGGAGTGTCCTATTTTCAACCCAAAGGCCATAGTCCACAAGGCTTGTACCGGAAATAGACATTGATCCAAAGTCGAAGAGAACACGCTGACTTCTTCTCCATGAGAAACATGGTGGGATTGTGAGACCCCAGCGGCGTGGGCTATCGATTGTCCCAACAGTAGATATGACTTGTGGATTCCGTCGGCTTCCGATGATTGAGCACAGGTATATCCTCTGACCCACAGACGTCGAGGTACATGTCTACGGTTGTCCTGAAAATATTTGCTAGGTAAATATTTGGGAAAACGTTTGGTTTGAAACGCGTCTGGTGATGCTGACTCAGACGGTTACAACAATTCTGACCGGGAAATAATCACAAAAAAACGTACCATTGCACATCGAAGGCCCATTTCCACCGCCTTCAATGGTCATTTTAGGGAGGCAACGGGAAGTTAGGATACCGGAAAATCCGATCGGCCAGAATAACCCGTCCTCCGCTTTCTGCCTTGCCAAGATCCACCGCTTGGATCGCTTTTTTTGCCCCCCCCCACCGCCTTTCTGAATAGCCTCATTTTCGCCCATCTTGGCCGTCTTGCGTCGTCATTGCATCGTCGGCAGATCCACCATATCCATATCCCTCCTGTCTTGACATTTGTTCTTTTTTTATAAAATTAGGAATAAAAAAAAGCCCTCATTGATCATTTTGTCGCGACTTCGATCAGGTCTGTCACGCACCCCGCTTTGTACACCTTTGTTTAGTAGGATTGATGACCCAACTGTGACCCCTACTAGTGTGCAGTGCGTCTTTACCCTATCAGTGGGACTTCGCAGCCCAGTGAGCTCATACCAATCTCGCTTATCCCAGCGTACGACTTCGAGAGGACTACCGAAGACGATGCACAGTACTAGGACCACAAATTGGGTTGATCGGTGGATGCGTGACCTCTATCGCCTCTTGGCTTTTATCTAGTCTATCCCAGTGCACCAGGACTAATTGACCATGAGCGGGGCTTCCTACATCCCTGCAGCTCATCCGTACCAGCATTGGTCAGACTTTGAGCCTTCACTCTAGAAATGAGTCTCCTATCATGTGCTGAACGAGTCAAGGGATAATTGTGGCGGGGTGCAGGGATAGTGCAGTCGGACTTGCCCGTCGGTTATGCCTGCAACCCCGTTAAAATGATGCTCAGCTAGGAAACTGCAGTGGTGAGATAAGTCTCTCTAATCTCCCGGTATTGGAATATCTACATTATACTTCTCTCTTCGTTCCATCTTCAAATATCGGCTTTTTCTAGACCATCTAAATTCGACCTCAACGGCAGTTCCAAGCTATCTAACACACGTGGGAATAGACTTTTCCTAATCGAGTCGATAATCCGGCTATAGTAGCATTTTGTAAGTCATCTGAGACATTTGACTTTAGGCTTTTTAGCTTGTTGCGTGCTTTTCGGTCTTGATTGATAAAAGACTCCTAATCTCGCAAGTAAGGTTACAGTAGATGTGATCGGCTAACGGCTAGTATCGACTAGTCTTCAGCCAAGGCGAACAAGCGCTATCGATCTATTGGATCCGATAAGGCGTGATGCAGGTGGTCCGACGGAATTCCATCCGACTGACCTCCGATTTCAATTCAATCAAGACTACGGGAGAAATTGGCGACTAGAGGAAAGCCCGGTCTGTAAGGCAGAACGCCACAAGATAGCGTTAGTGGTTAGGGCCGAAGCAAGGATCTAAATGAACCCCGCCCCAGCGACGTACAGCAAATGTAACTGGAATCAAGAATTCGAGTGGTACGATGAGATGTTATCGTCTCTAGGCTGAACACCAAAAAAAAAAAAAAAAAAAAAATAGAACCACCGAGCTATCGCGTGGTCGTTGATGTGGCGGTCCTAGCGCTGGTGCAGTCGCAAATACTCTGGGCCATGAGTCCCGGTCTTTTGGGCCCAACATGCTTTAGCGATAAGGTCATCGAACTCACAGATGGTATCACTACGAGACTGACCACGATGCCCAGATACCAAGCGATAATATATAGCATGCGCTGTCGCCGCCGAACTTCTTGGTACGCTAGCGCCGCATATCCATCATGTCACCAATTGTCTCTGAAGTCACGGGCGACGGTGCCTCGGACCCTAAACACGAGGGCATCGACGAGAAAGCCGCGATCAGTGTGGCTGCCACGGCCGAAAAGGGCCCTGGGATTGAAGATGACACCAGCAGCGAAGACGTCGTGATCGTCACGGGAGCCGACGCTGCGAAGCACTTGTTGCCTCTTCGGGATGACTTCGACAGTGCCCTAACTCTTCGCAGTATCGTGCTGGCTTCGGGCTTTGCATGCTTCCAGGCTGTGATGAATCAGATCTACCAGGTAGCTGAGATCCTTCATTGGTTGAATTTCCATTTCGTGATCCTCCTAACACTTCGGTCAGTTCAAACCTACTTTAGTTACCATCACAGGAACCTTCATCGTCCTACTTTCCTACTTCGTTGGCAATGCCTGGGCCAATCTATTACCCCGTGGTGATAAAATCGAGGCTCGCTGGAGGGCAAAAGGAAACCAGGGCAAGCTGCCCGCGTGGATAGCTGTCGTGAAGTTCATAAACCATGGGCCATGGTCTTTGAAGGAACATTCGATCTGCGCGATCACCGCGGCATCGGCCTCGAACGTGGCTGCTGCTTCGACAGTATTCGCCGCTCAGAACTTGTTCTATGACCTTCCTCTCAGCGCAGCGACTGTCGTCCTCAGTACCATCTCGATCGGTCTGTTTGGGTATGGGCTCTGTGGAGTGATGCGCCCGATAGCTGTCTGGCACACAGAGGCTGTCTACTGGAGTACTTTGCCTACTGTCAAGACCCTACAGGGACTTCATTGGCAGCAAGTGAAGAACTCAAAACCACTTAGAGTTTTCTGGTATGCGTTCACGGGCATGTCAATTTATGAAATTATTCCTGCCTACATGTTCCCGTGGCTTAACTCGGTCTCTATTCCGGTACGCGACTTTCATATTCGTTCCAAACCCATTGGATAAAAATGTTAATCCCAAGGTATACAGTGTCTGGCTGCCCAGAAGGCGACCGGAAGCAAGGCTTCTGTCCTCACCAATCTTTTTGGTGGCGGTACCAATAATGAGGGCCTGGGTCTTTTCTCTCTTTCTTTTGATTGGCAATATGTAAGAGAGCCTCTCTCCGATTTCGGGTATATCACAAGAACAATACTTATGCAAACAGATCACATCGTTTCAAACATCTCTTCCCTTGTCACTTCAAGTTCACCAAGCGGTGGGACTCTTCTCCTGCTTCATTTTCATGCTCGCAATCTACTATGGCAATGGGTGGAATTCTCGATCCCTTCCATTCATGTCAACGAAGCTCCTAAATGCCAACGGTACATCCTATCCCGTCGAAAGTGTATTCCCCGGGGGCGTGCTTGATGAGGCTCAATTGGCCCTACATGGCACTCCTAAACTCACAGGAACATTTGCTTGGTCCCTGTTTTGTGCAAATGCTGCTGTAAGTATCATCGTACATTACATAGTTAGGGTCCATGCTGACTGCTTTAGATTGGAGCTTTGATTGTCCACTGCATCCTCTTCTGGGGCAAAGACATCCGACGAGCCTACAAGAGCGCTAGGGCAGGCCGATATGACGATCGGCACCATGACCACATGGCCACGCATTATAAAGAAACTCCTTGGTGGTGGTATGCTTTTGTCCTAGTGGCCAGTTTCATCCTCGGGTTGGTTGTGGTTATCAAGGAGAACATCACACTGCCTGTATGGGCCTACATAGTTGCACTTATTGTTGGCATTATCATTGCCCCGTTCGTGAGTATTCCCGAATCAATCTTCAACCAGGGTGTTGCTAACATTGTAAATCAGAGTACCATTCTTTATTCTCGTTACGGCAATGGTATTGCCACGAACAACCTCTCCAAAATGCTGGCTGGTCTGGCAATCCCCGGAAAGCCAGTGGGTAACATGTACTTTGCTGCATGGTCTCACAATGTGATCTCAAACGCAGTGAACCTATCAAATGACCTCAAAATGGGCGAATATCGTAAGTACCTTGGCTCCCCAAGCTTCTGTAATGTCATGAATCTCACATTGAACCAGTCAAAATTCCGCCTCGCGTCATGTTCCTGACTCAGATTTATGGCACCATCCTGGGTGGCTTTGTAAACTACGCCGTCATGATCTCGATTGTGAACTCGCACCGCGAGCTGTTAGTTGACGGCAACGGCAACTCCTCCTGGAGTGGCGCCACCATCCAGGCCTATGTTAGTAACGCGACCTCGTGGGCCCTCTCGCCCCATCTCTACAAGATTGGGGGTCAATATTCCATGGTACCAATTGGTATCGCGGTGGGTGCAGCCGTAGTCATTGTACATCGCTTCTTTTACCAAGTATGCCACTCCAAGACATCGCTCGAACGTCAATTGCTAACCAAGTCTTTCTCTATCTAGTTGATCCCCCGTATTGGAACCGTTGACATATCAGAGGTTAATCTGCCTCAATTCATCCAATACGCGGGATATATCCCGTACAACCAGAGCCAGACCTGCGTTATCTTCAGCTGGATTCTCTCCGGCTTCTTCATCCAGTTCTATCTGCGCAACTACCGCCCGCGGATCTTCAAGGACTACTCGTATCTCGTGACTGGTGCTTTCGACGGAGCCAGTCTGACGGTGCTTTTCATCTTGTCGTTTGCGGTTTTCGGGGCCGGTGGGAAATCGTATCCCTTCCCTTCGTGGTGGGGCAATAATATCAATGGAAATCCTGACTGGTGTCCTATTGCTGATGAATGAGGTTGATGCACTTCATGGGTCTGTGGATGGCCTGTTCTGGTTATATAGTTTGTTTAAAACTGCCGGATCGTTTGTGGTTTGGGCTGAGCGAGGACTTGGATGAGCTAGGAATGATCAGCGAGATATGTGTCTATGATTAACCAATTTGCCCTCCTCAGGGGTACTTGAATATTTATTTCTTGACCGAAGTTAATCTGAAGCTTAATCAGTATGTGTTACTGACTCTGTCTGACAGAAACTAGAAAGTTCTCTGGAGATTCTCCCGACCGAATCTTTGCCATACTAGACCTCTACACTTTTCATTATATCAAAGATCCAGTGGGTATGTTGGAGCTGTTATGACGGCGACATCGAACTGGAGGCATGCTTGTCGTGGTTGATTTCAGCTAGGAGCCAAGAGCTTGGCAACCCGACTTACCGTGCGGCAGATATGGTCAATTTATCACAAGGGATGGAAATAGCGGTTCAGGACCAGGCTTGTTAATGCACAGGTGAGAATATGTGCAGGGCCTGTTGTCACGTCTGACAAAATATATCCAAGCAGTACAAGCTCTTAGTTACAAGGGGTTTTAAGCACACGGGTGTCTCCTGACGCACCAATCAAAACCGTTGAACTTATTTGGAATTCTCCCTCTAGCCAAGCCCAAACAGCATCCTTCCTGGCCCGCTCTTCTAATATTCACAGACTATAGAGGCTGATGACAGGCTAGCCCTAAAGGGACACGAGCTTACATAATATATGCCAAGAATCTCCGCCACATTAGCGCTGATTCCGCCGGGATCATCTTCGTTGGCAAGGCCGAAGCAATCTCAGCCTCAAAGAAGACGCTAGAAGAGCCCAAGATTTCCCTGCCGAAGTGAAAAGCACTAGCTCGTGTCACTTTGACTCATAGGTATTGAAATTCTACTCATCCGGGTGCAACGTTGTTTCTATCGCCATTTTTGCGAGATCTGGTGCTGTCGGCAATATGCCTAGCGATACGCTGCTAGGGCTCCAGACAGGTGGATATAGACTCCGCAGAAGACATGAAAAGTCCAGGAATGGTTGTATGAGATGCAAGCAGCAGAGAAAGAAGGTAAGTGGTCTCTTTTTTCTTGTCACTATGCGCATTGTTCTGACCATATCATCCAGTGCGATGAGCTGAGACCGAACTGCTCTAGATGTAGCAAGTTCATGTACAGATGTCAATACCAGACCAGCCTGAGTGATGGAGACTTGAATCAAGAGCGGGACCTTGCCCATTTACCTGTTCCTGACTTTCATGCCCCGCCCGCAAGTCCCAGCACTATAGCGTCAAGATCTGGGTCCCCACTTGCACTTCCGATTGATGGCCTGTCGATTCCAAGTCCTTCATCTACGGGGCTACCAGCTTCACTTTCGAGTGGTAGTGTGAATGAGGAACGGCTTCCTTCTAACCAGGAATCTCCACGCCCACTCGACGGCCCGGAACTCAGTCTTCTGAGCCACTATATCTCGCACACTAGCCAGGTCATACCTGTCGATGATCTCGATCTCTACGCTCTTTCGGTCGGAGTGCCGAATCTTGCTTTCAATTGCAAAGCTGTCATGTCATCCCTGCTCGCCTTGGCCGCAGCTTGTAAGTCACATGATATAACTAAGCACGCCCAGGAGCCTCTCGATCCTCAGGATGTAAAGGCGATTCGAGATCTTCTTGCACTGGCGGAGGGCCATCATGAGGCATCTCTGCGACACATCCAAGCATCCATGCGGAATGCGGAGTCCTACGATGAAATTCTCGCCAACGCGGCATTGATGGTATTGTACGCTTCCGCAAGCCACTCCATCCGAGTACATCTTGCGGCCACTGCAAAGCGATCCGGGAAACGACTACCACACGAAGTGTTACCGCAGCATTCCCAATGGATCTCATTCACACGCGCAGCTCACACCGCGTCTACGGCCGTTCTTAACAACATCGTTGAGGATGCGGAGAAAGATTGCATTTCAACTACCAGTCCAGCTATAGATGCAAGACTTGAGCTACCCAGGGCAGGCGTTTGTAGCGCGAGCGTCCTATCGCCGCAAGATGGTCCATCCGATCATACGAAGCGCTTGTTTCTCCCTCTAGTCGCATCCACATATGTTAGAGCGCTTGAGGGACTACGCAGAAGGGCCGAATCCACCGCCGCTCATTTGAAAGGCTCAGACTTTCCTTCCGATTGCACTGAGCTCCACGCATCATTGGAGACTATGTCTGTGCTTGAAAAATGTGCATCCTCCGCCCTATCCCCAAGGGAGAATACCAGGGTGACCGAAACCCCAAAAGATCACCCCAAGCCGATCCATGGATCATCCCGAGTCTCGCCATGGGTGGCAAAATACATGATAAGCGTCACATCGATGGAGTCGCCGCAGGTCCTCCGACGGATCATCATGTCCTTTCTGAACAAAGTGCCAGCCGAATATCTGAACATCGTTCAGTCGGTGCTAAACTCTCCTTACGTCGAGCGTAGGGCTGCGAATTTGATGACGCGAGACTCGGAATCACCCGGAACCGAGGTGCCGTTGCTGGGTGCAACGAGTTTGCTGGCAATGGACATCTTTGCCCATTGGCTAGTCCTCGTGATGCTTTTGGATGGTGTCTGGTGGATCGGTGATATTGGGGAATGGGAGTTGAGTCAAATTATGTCGTTGATGAAGGCGCAGAATCTGTTGGGTCAGTCTGCTGATAAGGGAGAGACATGGTGGCCTGAGACTATGTTCTTAGTTAAGAGGGAGCTAACTCCTAGTGTTTTGAACTGATAGAGGTATGTAATTTTTGTATTGTTAGAAAACTTCATCATTCGATTGATATCAATGTTTTGTTATTATTTTATTTGCAAGTGGTAAAAGGTAAAGGGGGCTGACAGATTACAACACTCAGTTCTAAAAGAAAAGAGGCGTGAGTCCTGTAGGATCAAGTTTAAGCAAAAACATTAAAAAGTCCGCAGAAAAAGAAGTGTCCATAGTATATTGAACAATCTCTAGAATGTTTAAGATACCGAAATTTAATTTGCAGTAACGACTGAATCTCTGAACATTCTCTATACCAAGCCAAACAATCCAAAAGTTTCTCACAGTCAACGAAGATCGTTTACCCTTCTCTGTTATCTCCATCATATTGCAAATCTACAGCGCAGTCGGCAACTCATACGCCCACTTCGGCTCCCCAGCCCACTGCAAGAAAGAGTTACCAAGCCCCTGATAATTCTCGACCGGCAAAAGACTATCGAGCTGGGATTCGACGCATCCACGCTTGGCCACAGGCCGATGCTCGAATCGATCTTCAACCCAGCGCAGCCAAGTTTGTCGTGCCGCACTCATAGCAGAGAAATGGCTTCCTTCAGGAACCGCCAAAAACTCCAAATCCGCAGCATACTGCTTGCATGTCTCCAGAGCCACAGACTTGGTCGTGTTGAACGGTACCGTCGTGTCCCCTGTTCCGTGAACGAGAAGAACCGGACCCTTGAAGTACAAGTTACCAGGGTTGGCTAGTTTTTCGAAATCATGCGCATACGGTGTCTCATGCCAATTCGGCTGCAAGAGCGCCTCTTCAGGACCAAACATGGCGAACGTCACCATTTGGGATCCTGCAACTTGGTTCAAGAGCTCTATTCTTTTGACTCCAAGCGGAGTGAACCACTCGGTGAGCTTGAAGGACGGATAGATCTGGTCCAGGTCCTTGGCTATCCAGGCTAAAAAGCCGGAGAACGCCGGCCCCAGTGCGTTGGCTGGGGGCGCAGCAAATACAGCACCGAGGTACCCCTTCGCAATGTCCTTGAATTTCGAGTCATTCCGACCCAGAATTTCTGTCAGGCCCCATGCAACAGCACCGCCTTGGCTGTGACCCATGACCACGTAATCGGTGGAGAGACGCTTCGGGAAAGATTCACGAACGGCTCTTAGAGCATTGAGAGCGTCGTGAGCCCCGGCCTCGCGGACAAAGTACTGGTGCGGGATTCGAGTCTCATCCCAGGAGGTATCCACGCCAAGACCGGCATAGTCTGGAGCAATGACTGCATAGCCGGCCTCAGCCAGCGCGAACGGCACTATGTCCGCGTAAAAGAGGCCACGGTGGGTAGAGGGGGCTCCGTTGGCATACCAGCCTGAGGTCCCATGTGTCCAGAGCACAACAGGCGCGGATGATCCAGAGGTGTGGTTTCTGCCCCGAAGTGCTCGGGCATGGTAAGGCCAGAGGATATACGCGGAAGCAGGGATCAAAGTGTCGTTGAGATCAGTCGTGCTGTAGACAATGCGAGACATGGCAGTCTTTGGAGGAATTGAGAAGGGCGATGGATCGGTGAACTCTTGGAGCTTGATTGTCTTCCCGGGCGCCGTGGGCCATTGGTTCTTAGGGACGCCCTGGACGTTGTAGAAATCGTCCTCGTGTGCACCGCCATTTGCGAGCTGGGATCGGTCAAAGTTGATGATGGTGTTGATGATGTCGGCCATGTCGCTGGTCAGCTCGGCTGACTTGATCTGATCGGAGCTGAGCTCGAAACTGGAATTCCATCCTGTTGATTGTGTCGCTGCAGCTGTTATAAGCTGGCTCGTGGCTAACTGAGCTCCGACGAGTAGGATGACGAAGTATTGGAAATATGTAGCCATGGTGACCTTCTTTAATAATTTTAAGGGAAAAAGAATTGACCTTGATAGCTTTGAAAGCGGTTTGAGGACTCTGATGAATGCTTTCCCTTCATCTTTGTCTGCAGCTTTATGCTCCAACCCATCACGGTCAGATTGTTGTCTCCAGAGTCATCGCAGCAACTCACGTCATACCCGGCCAAGGCTCCATAATTAGAAGAAGAGATTGAGATTCCAAATAACTTCAGATAGTCCAGGCGCAATGCTTCTACAAGGAGTTACGCTTCCCCGGGTGAGGCTCCAGGCCACGCACGACGCGCTCGCCGGCAAGTCCGCCGCCCTAGTGGTTCGGGCCGTGGCGATACGCTGCCGCTAACCGCAGGATCCGGCGGCTGAGTGGCCGGAGCGTATTACTAATACGCTCAAGCCCCAGTGCCCAAGGCTTTGGCAACCAATGGCAGATGATTGCGCTACTCCAGACCCGCTTGTTTGCACTCTGCACGGTTTGAGGCTCTGATATCTCATCGTGGCCATGGTGGCTGTCGTGTAAGCTGATGCCGAATTGAGGCCAAGAATGAGGCTGAGCTGTGCGTATGCCAAATATCAACTTGGCCCATGGCTTGCGGAACCAAGGAGCTGGCTGAAGAATATCATTATTTGGAATACAGCGTGGCGTTGACATCAACATCATGTCCCAAGACGAAAAGATCAAAGTATCCTGTGGTATATAAGAGCCTCGGAGGCCTGCTCCTTTGCTCTTCATTCACACAGAAATTCCAACTCAGTACATCGAATACAGACCACTACTTCCAAATCAAACCAACCCTTCACAAATACCGACTATCATGCTTCCTCAATCTATTGTGTGCTCGGTCGTCGCCGTGATGCTCGCCCTTGCCCTTCCGGCGAAGGCAGCACCTCAGCCGATCAGCCAGCGCTCCACCCCTGAGCTCAGCCGGACAGCTCAGTTGAAACTTGCCGACTCGTAAGTCGCTTAACATCAACTGATTTCCACAAACTCGAGATCTAACACCATGACATAGTTCCACGGAGCGCTACCAGCTCCTCCCTAACAATGAGGACTTCATCTTCAAGGTTACCCCAGACGGGGACCCCGTTGCGACCAGCAAGAACTTCCCAGCCCTTACTGGTGTCGGCGCCTCCTTCAGTATTGGGCAGCTACCAGGTACTTCATTACCCATGTCGCTATTGTTTTCATTACTCTAACCCATCCCAATAGCATGCAGCATGGCCTTTCTCCACCTCCACCCTCGAGCCACCGAGCTGTTCTCTCTTTCTTCTGGCCACATCCTGTCTGAAATGGTCCCCGAAGTGGCAGCTGTTGACTCTAAAGGCAACCAGCGAACTATCCGCGTAGAGCTCGAGCCTGGAATGGTGACTATCTATCCGGCAGGTTCGTTTCACACGCAGGTGAACCCGGACTGTGAGCCTGCCAACTTCACGGCTGCGTTTAACTCGGATGAGTTTGCTGTGGGGCTGGTTGCGAGGCAGACACTCTCGCTCAGCGATGGTGTTATTGCTCGGACCTTTGGGCAGAGTATTGCTGGTGAGGATATTGAGAAGGTCAGAGAGGCTATCCCTACTAGTATGGCTATTAAGGTTGAGGAGTGCTTGAAGAAGTGTGGTAAGGAGAAGCGCCAGACTTGATTGGGTTGACGGGTTCCTAGTGGAGTGAGAGTGAATGTCTCGGGGATGTTGGAATATGCTTGTGAATAGTGGTGAATGCGGATAAGATCTTTGGGTTGGTAGAGAAGTTATACAGATGTGTTTTGTTGATTTTATGTCGAAGTCTCTGCTCGTCAGTTAGCTACAATTCGTTATTATCTGTCTGAAATAAGGAATTCATCTCTGTTGGCTGTTTCATTGCCGCGCGATGAAATAATGCCTCATGCTCATATAATCAAGTAGTTGTCGGGATCGACGTTTATGGATGTGGCCAACGATGGACTGCCGGAGATCCCGATGGGGTGGCAATGATGCTAGAAGACACGGGCATGACGATATTGAAAAGATTACAACCTTTTATCGAAATCAGCCTTGCTACTTTCATTCTTCTAGGAATCATTCGGTTCGGAGAATGAGTGCTAGAAATGCCCAAGGGCAAGAACAACGCAATATGAGCAATGACAAGCTGAACGCCCTAAGATTTATGACGTTGCCTAATTTCTGATGCGGTTGAAACGTAGGATCATATAGGACATTCGATGTCTTCTCAATGTATCAGAGTAATCGATTCCAGGGAACCATAGGCGATGCTTATGGCACTGAAAGAATCACTTAGTACAGTATCAGAAAGCAACATACGTCAGAGGCATTGTACTGAGAGATCAAGGGCAGATTTGGGATTACACAATAAAAAGTGGTAAAGTTTTGTCATGCAAGGGTTGCCTTAACAGCATGACCAAAACCCCCTCCATGCTTATTTTCTGTGGGTGATCTCGAACGCTTCTGTCAGTGGAATTCCCCCGGTATTCGACCCTGGGCATTGAGAGACAGCGATCAACAATGCAGACCGAAATTCGGCAAAAAGAGTGGCCAAGACCACAGCTGGGAAGCAACTACCGTGCATCACACAGGTAAAAAGGCTTAATATTCCAACATCTCTATATTTTGTCACATTCCGGTTGGCCAAATCTTTGGTCGATACCCGCTGGAGGGATACAAGAGATCAGCTGGAATGAACACATATCAGCCTGCAGTCTTTTACCCATATACAGACATTACCGTGCAAATGATGTGGTATAAAGAGCGAGCGCTGGCCCAACAACACTGTACTACAAGCCAGACAACAGATCATCCCACTTCGGAATCTTCTTTTGTGTTCAAGCCTCCAATCAAATCTTTCCAGATGAAACTCTCGACAACAATCCCCTTGGCACTTTTCTCTCTTGCCTCATTTGCCTCCGCGTGGGATGTCATGGCCTATGACAATATAAAGGACTGCGGTCTTGGACATCCAAACAAGTATCAAATCTATTATGGAATCGACACGAAGAGGTGTCACAACTTCGACGGCGGCGACAGTCAAATGAAGTGCCATCAGTACTGGAATGGAGGAAAAGATCACAAGGAAAGCTGTGAGAATAAACAGCTGATTGCAGGCAGCGTACTTGTACGTCACTCTAAGGAGTGTCGGCTTTTTAGGCACCGGGACTGCAAGGAAGTCGCGGAGAAAGTCGAGGGAGGGAACTGCTTCAATGCGGCGATTCAGTCGTTTGCTTGTGTATGTGAAAGTTTTCTATTGATCCTGAGTATCGAAGAGGATAAGGGCTAAGAGTCTCGTGGAACTGCAGAATACTTAGTAAATTGCTCACAGGAGGTCACCTTGTCGCTTCCTGGGTGGAATTACGAGCAGGAATTGGAATATTTGCCGTCTAGGAGAAATGAGGGCTGTGTTTTTCCAAGAAATACTGTTTTTGATCCTGTTAAATGAATTCAGAGCAACTTAAAAATAAGAGTTACTGTGATTAAAGCGCATCAGCTTGCCCCAAGAAATATATGAATCACCATGGGCACTTTGCTTCTTGAGCATACCGATGTACGTTGAAAGTTGGGAGGGAAATCTCACTATGATTCTCGGTTTATTCAAGGCTTATCCTGAATTTCCAGCACTGTAATTCTGAGATACTCCCAGCCTGCATAGAACTTGTTTTGAAATAATGAATTTGTACGCGACTAGTACTACTGGCTATAAATAAAGTGGACCCTGCGCCCAACCGTTCGCACTAATTTGGTAGGTAACCACTCGCGAATCTCGAGTGAACTTTCTAGAGGGTTCTTGTGAGTGCCCCGCAGGATAGTGATTAGAAAAATATCAACAACATAAAAGAGTGGCCCAAAACATGGGGTTAATAATTTGACGTGAAATCCCCCTGTGAAGAACAGTTGTATTCGAGGGCGGAATTCTGGGCATTTGAAGCTTTTACCAACAGCGCACGGGCGGCTTGGCAAGTCGATTTAATAATTCAATTTCGTTTCGACCGTGTTGAACGTTGGCATAGAATCAAAAAATGAGGCTCTGGCTAATATTGACCGACTTTCGAGGGTGGCGAAGTTGGAGTGAGGCATTGGATGGCGAGATGGGCCAATGATAAGCGCGGAAGCCAGAGAGCTGTTGGTAGGATGAGTCAGGAACATGTTTAGTAGCCAACTAGTGTCGCCAAAATAACTGCAGCCTTTTCACGATCTGATCAACAATTTCTTAATGATTAACGACCACCATGACTGATGAGTTTGGAAACGACGCAAACGAATATGTTATTGTTCCTCGTCCCGGTACGGTTGCCGCCGTCGAAGATCCCATGGAAATACCTAGTGCCACCAGCTAACCGGCCACAGAAACCACGGGCCAGACCAATGCTGAACTGCGTGTGATCCAGGAGCTCAAAACATGGCTGTCTCCGACCGACACAACCTCGCCAGCCAGCGAGTACCGGAAGCACCTGAACTCCCATGCAGCTGGCACCGGGGAATGGATCCTCGACACCAACCAGTACCGTCGGTGGAGTGACACCGATGAAATCGGCGACCTCTGGATCCGAGGGATTCCAGGCAGTGGGAAGTCAGTGGTTGCTGCCAGCATGGTCAGGCGGCTCCAGCAACGAGGAGATGCGCCGGTATTGTTCTTCTTCTTCCGAGAGATTATTGAGGCGAATCGGACTCCAGAGTCGCTGTTGAGAGATTTCTGTCACGGCCTTGTGGAACACTCTCCTGTCCTTCAGGAGACATTGGAGCCACTAAAGGACCGAAATAACTACGTGGGGAGTGTTTCGTTCAATGAGCTGTGGAAATGCCTTGCTTGTGCTTTGGCTGCAATGCCTAAAGTATACTGCGTGATTGATGCGCTGGACGAAATGGAGTCAGGCCACGATCAGTTCTTGCAGGATCTCCTGAACCTGGGTCGCAATTCACCCAAGTCAATCAAGTTGATCCTGACTAGTCGTCAGTTGCCTCACTTGGAAAAGCATCTCGGAGGGTCTTGTCTCATTGACCTGCGTCTGGATCGCCGGAACGTAGACAGAGATATTGCTATCTACATTGCCCAGAGACTGGAATCTGAAACGAACCTAACAGAAGACGAGGCGGCGAAGATCAAAAAGACCATCTGCGACCGGGGAAAGGGGTTGTTTCTATATGCTCGCCTGGTCACGGATCAGCTACTTCTGCACCCCACTACGATTGTTTCACAGTTGAGCCAACTACCGCAAGGTTTGGGGAGCATGTACACGAGCACCCTACGTGAACACGCCGCTCGATCACAGACAACAACAGATTTTCAACGGCTTGTCTTGGAATGGGTGGTATACTCATGGAGGCCACTGCGTCTGCTAGAGATGGCAACAATGGTGGACTCATTGCCTGATCGCGGCGGTCTTTCTGCAGACCAAAACACTAAAATTGCTATTCGGAGCACCTGCGGACCCTTGTTGGAGGTCTGCGAGGACGGCGTCATCCAGATCATTCACCACTCCTTGACCGAGTTCCTCCTTAACAGAGACGTCAGCCACATTCAAGACGGGCAAGATTCGAGAGAATTCCCCGTCCTTGACTCTGAGGTTGCACATGAGAATATCGCGCGCATCTGTGTAAATTATGTCTCTCGCTGCTGCCGCGAAGGACTGGTGAAATATGGTCAGGATAACGGCGGCAACAGAGCCTTGTGGCAGCGTTTTCCCTTGATCCAATATGCCTCAAAGAACTGGCCAGACCATGCTTACATGGCCGAGTCAACAAAGGAATTCATCGATTTCTTGGATGAATTCTGTAATGACGCTGCATGCTTTGACCCGTGGGCAATGCTGTGGAGAAGCTATAGCTTGGATTCAAGCAACGACTTGACTAAATTACATGTGGCAGCACGCAGCGGCCTTCACTTATACGCTGAGCGTCTACTTATTAATGGAGCAGACACGGAGTGTCGAGATGACTACAATAGAACCCCCCTTATACATGCTGCTAAGGAGGGATATGCCGAGACCGTGCAGACTCTTCTGAAGTACAAGGCTAGTCACGATGCGATTGATGATGACATGATGAACCCAATGCATTATGCTGCAAATGAGAATCATCATGGAGTTGTGCGTGTTTTGTTGGCTGCGGGAGCAGATCCTCTGGCTGCTGTACAGGAAAAAAAGGAAGACGAGTCAGGATACTACAGAGGGAGATGGGGAAACTTTGACAAAGGAGAAACACCTCTTTCCTATGCCTGCAGACTGGGAAATGTTGAGACTGTCATGGAGCTGCAGAGCTACATTGACCCCCTAAAGCTACGCCGAGAAGCTCTCCATTTCGCTGCATCGAAAGGCCAAGCACGGGTAGTTGAACTTCTTTTGAAAAATGAAGAGGTTCGCCGCGGGATCGACGACCGTCACAACGGCAACACGGCCTTATATCACGCCGCAAAGAGTCAAAGTAGCGCCACGGTTCAAGCCTTGCTAGAAAACGGCGCAGACATCCACGTTCGATCTCTAGATGGATCACCGGCAGGCGATACCCCGGGGCTATTACACGGCGTCCGAGCACAAAACATCGGTTTTACTCCTATCCATGGCTGGGCTAGGCTTGCTGAACGTGATAAATCCCGAGGGACTGTCAAGGACGAACGGAGCCGAGAGGTGCTACAACTTCTCATCAAGGCAGGGTGTGAT